TGCGCTTAATAAAAGTGCTTGTTCTTTGACCAAGTACTATTTTAACCAAGAAAACACATGCTCAATAGGATTCAAATCTGGTCTATACGGTAGTGTAAACACGTGAGGAATTCTATCCAACACACCTTTTACAGTCTAATTTTTGTGAATTGTCGCATTATCCAGTATGTGAGCAAATGCAAGTCATAAAGTAAAGTAAACGAAACTATTAATAAGTTTCTATTTCCGAAAAAGTACTCACTATTTTCGTCAAAAAATACCGACTATAAACAAATACTAACTTTTTGTCTAATATTCTGTAAATGGTAGCATCGTCCTTTGTTACACAATTATTAATAAGAGAAATACAATTTAATTTTTATTGTTTGCTACCTAGCAGCAAATTTGACTTTTGCAAAAGCGAAATATGATCACTTAATAAGAGATCAAATCTACAGCATTTTGTTCATTTGTCGTCAGATAAGACAAATTTAATATTAATCCACAACTTATTTGAACTGGTAACCATAGTAATAACAAAATCAACAACATTAATTAAATCAGATGAACTCTACTGATACCATTTGTTAGTATAATATAAGTATCTGGGAATAAAATTTATCACCAAGGGAAAATCTTACTATAAATGACAAAACTAAAACAGGCGGTAAATAACCTGACATAAAAGCTGCTATGGTTCATAAAAGATTCAGCTGGTAATTTCGAATATAGTTATGGTAAACATACATTTACCCCGGTTCTTCAACATTATTTCGTCCTTCTCGACTTAAAAATATTAAAGTGTTAGGAAAAAAATTGGATAATTATACTCTGCAACCTTTAAACAGTTTGTAAAAATCCAAAAGATTGCCAACATAAGTACTGCATTATTTAATACCAAATATCGAAACTATAGGAGGACTATTCCTGAAAAAAACAGAGTAATAGATGAAAATAAGTTATATTAAAATCACAGTAAGTGTTAATTAACAACAATTTTTTCTACCCCTATCACTCAAATAGATGGCTGGCTTCCAGATAACTTCCCACTATTATTTAAATTATATAATAAAACTTGGATAGCACTCCTAAGCTCATCATTTTAGAAACATATACTAAAATATCAATCAAAATTTTTTAATCTCATTGTGTTGGTTAATAAATACTAAGATCAGAAGACAAGCAGAAAAAATTAATAAGAAAGAGCTACCTAACTCCATTTAAGAAGCCAGTTAAACCAATTGAATTTATAGGATTATATGTGTGAATGTTAATAATAATAATTCTCTTAAATTTAGTGGAAGGTAATTTGATCAAATGTTATAGTTTCTATAAACTGATTAATTTTTTTATTCACTTGATAATTATTTAAATATACAATTATTTATCTTTTTAAACTTTTTGAGCAAATTTTTGTATTTGTTCAACTAAGGTTTGTTGAAATTTCTAGTTACGAAAAATTTATTTGATTGATATAGAGGTCGAAAACAAATTTAGGGTTCAAGGGTTAAGGAATAATTTAACTTTAGTTCTCAAGTGGTTCCACCAATCTAAAAAGAGAATAAGTCTGCTATTACCAAAATGTAAATGTGAATGGTTGTGATTATTCCTTACCTTGAAAGGGAGCTAGGACGGTTCAACGACTAGGTAGTTCTCTCTACTGATCCCAAACCCAGTTTAAATACAACAAGAAGAGCAAATAATATATAATAAAAGTGAATAGAAATTTTTGATAACAATTATTAAATAATAGTTTCATTAAAAAGAGTATTATTTAATTATGAATTTGTTAGATAGATTGTTGGTGTTCTGTAGATAAACTAATATATTTATGATTATATTATTCTTCATTAAATCCACTTTTAAATTATATTATCTTTCAAATCTAAAAAAAGGCTTCTTCTACTTTTAAAAAGTGTTCTTAAATCTGTGCCTTAATAATCTGTAAATTCTCCTTTGTGTATTAACATTCATCTAGCTTAGAATACTGGTTATTAGGAAATAAGAAGAATAGTTAGATTAGTGTTAACTTAATTACATTTTTCGGTAAAGGAATTGTTTTCAAGTTTCTATTCAAGACTATCCTAATAATTTTTGTTAGTAGTAACAATAGTGTATCCATATTTAGCCTCCCATAAACGGATAGACATATCATCGCTACCAGATGCCAATAGATTACCATCAGGGTGAGAAGCATACTGAAGTAACAATTTTACTATGCTCATTTAACTTTGCTTTTAATTATCCTATAGAAGCATCCCAAAGACAGATAGAGAGATCCTCACTTCCAGATGCCAATGTAGAACCATCCAGGAGAGAAGCTTACCGATCTGACATTATCGCTATGACCATCGAATTTAGCTCGTTATTGTCCTGTTATAACATTCCATAAAAGAATAGAATTATCTTTACTACCAGATGCTAAGGTCAAACCATCAGGAGAGAAGCATACTGATCGGACTTAATTACTATGACCATCAAATTTCTTTAACAGCTATCTTTTCTTAACATCCCATAAATAGATAGACTTATCGTAGCTACAAGATACTAATGTAGAACCATCAGGAGAAAAGCATACTTGATAGATACAATAAAGATGATTTTCCAATATTGGTCATTATTGTTTTGTCTGAATATCCCATAAAAGTATCGATCCATCTGCGCTGCTAGATGCCAATACAAAACCATCAGGAGAGAAGCATACAAATAAGACATAATTCTTATGACCATCAAATTTAGCTTGTTATTGTCCTGTCTTAACATTTCATAAACGGATAGATTTATCTCTGCTTCCTGATGCTAATGTAGAACCATCAGGAGAAAAGCATACCTATCGGACATAATTACAATGACCATCAAATTTAGCGTTTTATTATCCTGTCTAAACATCCCAAAGACAAATATAGTTATCTGCACTACCAGATGCTAATTTAGTACCGTCGGGAGAGAAACATACTGATATGACATAACCATTATGACCAATTAATTACACATCTAATATAATTTTTGATTTTTACATAATATTTCTTGAAATCCTTCTCAAAGAAGCTCAAGCATTAAGTATAAGAGTGTATCTGCTAATTAAGTTGACTTTATGGGAAAGTTTGCCTTAAGGTGTTTTTTTTTTAGTCCTGATTATCGCAAACCTTTAAGGCTATGTCACTAAGTTTGAAAAATAAATATTTAAATTTATTTTTATGCTTCCTTTATACTTTATTGATATATAGGAAATATTTTTGTTTAGCTATTTCTCTCATTTTTGGCTTCAGATCTTCATTAATCCTATTTTCCCAATATTCATTTTTCTTTATTGACATCCAAGTCCATAAAAAAATTATTCTAAACTTATCTAATATAGTGAGTTAATATAATTTCTATTTATTCTAGTTGAAATTAAAATTAAGGAAATAAAATTACTTCCTCGTGATATTTTTCAATTTAATAGTAAGGATGAGGATTTGATTAATCTAGAAGAAATTTCAAAAATATTTGAATTACTGGTTAAAGAACTCCAAAATATACTTTTGCTTTTTTTCCTTGCATTCTGTTAATTCTCAATTTTATCAAAAATTGACTTCAAGTTGATCCCTCTATACAATTTATTCTTAGGTAAGTTCTAATGATTTAAATTTGATGAGTAACCATTAAACAATGTGGACCTGATTTATTCCATTCCTTGATAGTTTGATTTGGCTAATATTTCATTCAGCACCCTATAAAAGCTACAATATTAGTCACTTCTTATATATTTGACCTACTTGGAAAATGTTTTCTAAAGATACTGCAGATAGCAGATCATAATTATTAGAATTCAGATCTTCATAAAAATTGACCAGAGCCATTTATTGAATTGAAATTGTATAAGGATAAACATTGCCATTACTATTCATTTTTGTTAATTTAGTATAAAGAAGAATCTATTGATTTCTATTAAATTCGATATAATTTTCAAAAAAAAATCTGCTGACAAAGACTTTAAATTTGTAAGATATAAACTAGGCTTTTTACCTAGATAACTAAAGCTAATTATTAAATAAAATATTAATAATCTATTAGTTTATGGTTTTTTTCAATTTTATCAATAATATATTTCATCACAACTTGACAAATTCTATTTAATCAAATAAAGTCTAATAAAATTAGACATTATATTTATTCCCTATCAATTTTTAATTATCCTCATATTTATGCCTGATCTCAGGATAACCTGATGAAAAATCGCACATTTGAAGTGTTTAGCTAATTGTTTTAGGTAGTACTATAATAAAAATAAATAGTATTATAAATAAGGAGAATAAAGTTAATGAAGTTAAATGAAATTTTTTTGCTATTCAAGAATATTTTCACAAAGGTGTAAATTTTAATTACATTAAACTTTTAAAAGGACTCATATATTTATACAAATTTGTAACTATGAACTATTCAAGTTAGAATGAGCAACTTATTATTATAAATACATCCAAAAATGATTGGCTCATAAAAGGAATTTCCTTTAGATCAAAGCATATATGTTTATTTAAATCAACTATAATTGTTAAAAATACAGTATGTGTATGATATTCATATTATGAATCAAATATTATTCAATAATTTCTATTGTTTTTTCTTGATTCATAATCTTAAATAATTTAGTCCGCTGTTTTTCTTCCTTTTGACTAATTCAAACTTGAAGCTGATGAGTATACTTTTTCATTTGTTGTCTATCTAGGATATTACGATTCAATAATATTAGTTCCAAAGATTTCACTAAATTAAATATCAAATTAATACTGCTTTTAGCTTTAGGTTTCCATAAACTCCTTCTTAGGTATCATTTCTGGTTCATATAATTTTTAATATTTAAAATCTAAAACTGGCCTTTATAGATTGCTTCTTCTTGTAATAATAGTTTGAGTAACCACTTCTTATTACTAATAATTATTAGTTATATTTTTTCCAACAAGTTAATCAGCAATTTTTTACTCTTCTGACGATAGATTTTAATTTGAGTATGGGTTAATGTTTGGTTGACTTTTTGCAAGACTTGAATGATATTAAAGAGTAGGTTTAGCAGTTTATGCATTATTCCAGTAAAAACTATTGCTTCCTGTAGTTTCCATCTTCACTTCTTATTATTTGTTAGACCAATAATAATCAGCTTTTGACCTAAGAATTTTATGAATTTATTACTCTAAGGGTTGATTTTCAGCTTCCTCGTATGTATTGATTTCAAATTGCTGAAACTCTTATTCAGCATTTGCAATTTTTGGATCATCCAATTACTCTTCAATAGCAGGAGGCACAATTCCCCAGACTTCAATCACTGAGATCTAAATTTGTTTAATATTAAAACCTTTAATTTTTTTATATGTCTATGAACAAGATCACCACTTTCATAACTTTGATCCTCAGATGAACAGGTAGATTTATTCAAATCTTTGTCAATCCAAATTCTAAATTTATCATCATCAAATCCAAAACCAATACCCTAAGGTTTTGAAATATCTTTTGTGTTAAGGTAACAAAAGTTCTTTTTGGCAGTTCTATCTTTTTTGGCTTGATATACAACAAAGTAAGGATATAAAGAAAAGATACAGTCTTTAATATCACCTTGAGGTTATGCAGTATCAAACCATCTTTGATTAGAGACGGCTCCAAAAGTATAAGTTTTTTAAATATTGCTTTTGTCATGCAGAGCTTCATAAATTTCCTCATGCTAGATTAAAATTAGTGTTGGTAATCCAGATTAAATAATATTATTTATCATTTATTTGAAACCTCCATTATGGACTAGGTTGGAATATAGTAGTTCCAATTTGATTGCCCCTTTCAATTTAGTCTCATGGGCACTAAGCTACAATTAAAATATTAGATCTTCGTTTAACAAATATGATGTTGTATTCATTTAGGGTACTACCATTGCTGAGTCTAATAAGAAGAACTTGGTTTTCATATATTATTTGATGGCTCCTGATAATCCACCAAGTCGAATTCTAAGTTGCTTTATCAACTCAAACCAATCAATGATTCCATTTTCTGATTTGAACATTGAATCCAGGAATGCTCTGCTAGCTTTTTCATCAATATTCTAAAAATTATCTCCTTACAATCTAATTTTGAGAATGTCATTTATTATTGTAATAGCATCTAAATAAGTGATTTTAAAAGAATGTAATTCTTCTTTATTCTTAATATATTGGCTTGATTTTAAGCTGATTAGTGAGAATAGTTCTACCTTATTTAAGTTTTTCAATTCGTTCACAGATGAGGCATCCTTTAGTAGAACCTCCACTATTCGTTATTAAATAATAATTACAAATGTAAAACAACACATCTCTGTGTATATATTTTTCCTTTTAACCATATACCTCTAGAAAGCGAAATAACTTTCTACCAAGATCAGCATTCTCAACAAAGATTTCCTCAAAGCTTTACTATGATAGGTGTCTGTTTTTGCGAGTACTAAAGATTATTATAATGATACTCAGTTTAAAGATCACAATAATGATCAAATACTTGATTAAGTTTTTTTAACTCTTGAGCATCAAAAAGAGTATGTTAAGGTTTTCTCTCTTAAACACAATTTCCCATTAAAATATCTAAAGTTTAAATTAAATTATTTAAAATGTTTTGGGGAACTCAAGTCACTCAAGGATAATCATATAAGCTAACAGCTGAAGAAGCTACAGTGATCCACGTCTCTAATGTAGTTCTAGCAGATGGTGATAGCAAGGTTTAAGTCTACGCTAAAGTAAAGGGAAAAGAATTTGTACTTGCTAACCTTGAAAAAAATAAGGTATGGTAATTTTTCGATAGTTAGTTGGAATAAGCTTTTTTGGACCTTTACTTTAGAGTTGATCAATAGGTTGAGATTGGAGTTAAAGGAAAGGGTTCAGTTCATCTTTCAGGCTATGTAGAACCAGATGAGGAGGAATTGGTATTTATTAAAATAATCTTTTTAGAACGAGGATTTGGATTTTGAAGATGATGAGAGTGAGGAAGTTGAGGAAAAAAAAGTTAAAAAGCCTGAACCCACTAAATAAGCTGAATAAGTCAAATAATAGCCAAAGGAACAATAAAAGCCATAAACTTAATAATAATAAAAACCTTAGACATAATAATAAAAGCCACAACCACAACCACAAAAAGCACAACCAGAATAATAATAAAAGGCTAAGCCTCAAGCTCCTACTTAGAAACCTTAATAACAATAGCCCAAAAAGGCAGAGGAAGATTGGAATGATGATGAAGATGATGATGGAGAAGATGAAGAACTTATCGACCAAAGTGATGTCGATGATGAGGAGGTAGACAATGACTTAGGAGATGAGGAAGACGATGACGAAGAAAATTTAGATGATGAAGATGATGAAGATGAACCTTAATGTATAATCTTTGTATAACTTTATAGAAAATAAAAAATTCCTTAAAGGAAACTAAGGTTAATAAGTGAAGCCATAATAGAAATAACAACAGAAACCTTAAAACTAAAAACAATAATATAATAAATAATAACATTAAGGAAACCAATAATTTAAATAAGGTTAGAAGCCTTTCTAATAAAATAAGAAAGGACAAGGTCAATATAATCACCAAAACAAAGGAGGAAACTAAAACCATTAGAACAATTTCAAGAAAAATAATAACTTTAATAATAATAATAATAGAAAGAACTTTAACAAAAAGAATAACAACAGAGGTGGATTTAAAGGAGGTAGATAATGAGTATCTAAATATTATGTGTACATTAAATAAAAATATTGAAGATATATTTATATATATTAATGATTTTCAATGGATATTTTAACTATTTCCTAAATTATATTATATTCTCTATGAAGATTCTAATTATATCCTTTATTCTTCACTTAATTAGTCCTTATTCTGATGAGCCCATTCTGTACATACTTACTTCCCATTTACAATCATTTATTCCGAAATCACGCCTGATCTTCCTGTTTATTCACAAGTAAATAAGACTGGCTGCTTTAATCTTTTATCAAAATGATGGTGAGCTCTATTATCAAGTAAATTCATACTCTTATAACATTTAATCCAAATTAGCTCCGTATATCTTTTGGAGTATCTCCTATGTCAATTCAATGGTTACAAAATTTTCTGTGATTCCATCAGAATAATTAAATTTTAGATCACCTATTGAAACATCGAGTATTCCATGTCTTATATAATATTAATGTATTTGATGAAGTGAGAAGCAATGACCTTCAATTATGATTGGATCTTCAGTGATTTCTTCTCCTGATAATTTACAATATTTAGATGAGCTATAGGTTATTTAACTTTGATATTTGATTGCGCATAGCTTATTTAAATAGTCATAAATCTTCTCTGTATTGGCCTCTGTAGGGTAGTTGATGAATGCGGCGATCTCTTACTCCATTTATGGATAATTATTTTGAACATACATTTTTCTATTAAAATAAATATGAATTTTTTAATAATTCAATATTTGCATTAAATCCACCTGCTTAATAAAAAGAAAGCAGAAATGGCAGGACTCCTCAATTTACTTGAGAATATTCATTTTTTTTGTTTCGCGTTCAGAAGCTCAAACCTCTCAAATAACAATTCCAAATATAGTTGTATAAAAAAAAATCTGAGCCTAAATTTTAAAATATGCTTAGTCTGAATAAGTAAAAAATTAATCTTTCTGAAGAAATGCATTTTATTATTAATTTATTATTCTAAATAGATTTAACTCTAGGAATTACTTGAAAGAAGGTTAAACACCTTCTTCAATGAATTTATAACCAATTTAAAAGAAAATTATACTGATACGTAATCATAATATTTGCAACAGAAATGTAATAAATACTTCGGGTATTGTGATAAACAATTAGTTATAGATATTAAAATTGAGAAAATAAATTATTTTTAAAGAGAAACTTTGAATAAATTATTGCATACGTTTCTCAGGTATAATAAAATTATTTTCATATAATATTGAGTTATTTAAAAACAATTATAATTTTTATTACAAAAAGTGGAGTAGCCGAGCTTCGCTCTCGGCGCCTCGTGAATGCAAATCACGCGCTCTACTAAATGAGCTACTACCCCAAGTTATAAATAATAATATAAAATGATTAATATACATGAAAGAAAATGTTTGACAGACAGATAGAAGATTTAGACTGATCCAATTTCATTTTACATCTGGCATATTATCTTCGAATAAATATAGATATTCGTCTCATACATTTTTCGAGCTGCTAAATTAATTTAGATAAGCAAGGAGCATAACACTTTATTAGATAAACTTCCTGATCAACTAAAAAAAATTATTAATTGGGAAGATGACACAGATATATATTAAAAAGTATGCATTAAGATAGAAGAAATATTGCAAATTAATTTTAAAGAGGATAAGCAATTTGCTAATAAAATTGAAGAATTAAGAGATATTGTAAAAAAAGAATATGAAAAAGTAAATAAAACCTTTATGAAAGTTCCAAAGCGTTAATGCATCTTTTTCTTTGCACTCTCGAGCTTAATAAGTGGATAAATCAAATTAAATAATAAACATGAGTGAGAATACATTTCTTTAAGACATAAGTTATATCTAAAATTTGGAAAGAAAATTGAATTTCAAAGAGCAGATTGTGAAACCAACCACAATTTATTATTAGTAATTTTCAAGAGTATAAACAAATATACTAAATAAAATAAATAAAATAGCTTCCTTCAAAGATGCCAGGTTTTAAAAGCTTGAAAAAATTAGATAAGTAACTTATCGAATTTTATAAATAGATTGAAAGCACGATTGAATAAAAATTAGAATCAATCCATTCGAAATTGATCGATTCATCTTATAAACTAAGACAATTAAATAACACTCAATCTTAAAAGCACATTTTAGTTAAGAAATCAATAAATCCTGTTTAGATTAACGAAAAACATTCGTAGCGTCAACATTTACAATAATTAATAGCAACAAAAATTTTTAGAAATGCAAAGTAAAATTAAACTCGATTTAAAATTAATATAAGTGCTATGTAATAGAGAAACTAAGCATCCTTGAGACTAGATTAATAAATAAAATCAAATTAATTATCTCAAGAAAGAATAGAAAAAGCAAAAGTAATCTAAAATTATTTTAGAAAATATCTACAAAATAAATAAAGCATTAAGATTATATCTAAAAAATAACCATCATAAACTAAAATTCACAATTTACAGTTAAATTTAAAAAGAATTGGAAGTTAATCCAATCACACTTCACATAGAACAGAAAGATAGAAGTAAGGTCTTGTTATGATTACACAATAAAACATGCTTTCGTTTTTATAAAGGCAAAAATCTCTTAGTAAGCATAGTTATCAAGAAAAGCTTTAACTAGCAAAATAAAAAAAAATTTAGTAAGCCATTCAATCAAATGATATCAAAATTATTTAAAACTCTGGATTTAATTTTGGTTTGGATGATTACAATGCTAAAGATGAAATTTAAAATACTCCTCTATTTTATTGTGCAAAACATGTAAATCAAGTTTGATTTAGAATCTCTATGGATTATGCCAATTTCTGTTGCAAAATGGTGCAAACCCTAATATAAAGTGTTCTTAAGGACAAACTGCCACCCATTAAGCCTGTGTATCAAAAAACCCTAACCTATTGAATCTATTTACATAATATGGTAATAAAACAACAAAATTTATAGGTGCTGATTTTAATATGCCTGACGATTATGGAGTTACAGCTTAAGCAATAATTGAATAAGAAAAGATTTCTTCTATGATTAATGAAAAGGATTTAAAACTTAATTCATATAAAGTCAGCTCACCAAAGTTTGATGAATTTTTAGTAATGTGAGATAAAAAATTATAATTAATATTAAAAAAAATAAATGGATATATTTAAGGATTTGTTTGCTACATAGGGGTTCTAACTATGTGTAAAGGCTGTATAAGATGTTCAACCAAATGGCGATCAAGAAGCTTTATTCAAGTAATGTTAATAAAACTATGCAAATGCATATAAAGTGGTTGGGTAGGAATTTCTAAGATTCTTCAATAATCAGCCATCTAAAGATAGATATGGCCCTCCAAAAGAGATCTGATTATTATCACATCATCACAAAACATTATTAATTATAAAATCTAAAATGAAGAAGTAGTTCTAAAAGTATTAAGAAGAATCTAATGAAAATGTGCTTATCAATAAATATAGTGGAGGGTAAAATTATCTATTGAGAGAGAAATATGAGAATAAAAAATTTGCTCAAATTATTGAGAAAAAGATATCTAATAGGATTTTCTCATCCAAAATGAAAAATTTCCTTACAACTCTATTGAGAATATTAAAAACTTATAAGAAACATATTAGATTTAGTAAAAAGAATAATATTTTTAGAAAGCGCATAAGTACACTTGCCCAAAAGAAAAGGACATTAGAAATATATGGAAAATTATTTTATTTAAAAAATAACAAAAGTATTCATTTCTAATTTCTATGATAGTAAAAAGAGGTAAGTTGCTATTTAATTATGATGAGGAAAATTAGTAGATAAATTTAATGAAACCTTCTTTCAAAAAGAGCTTGAATATCAAAATAGCAAAGAATCACTTGGAAATGAATATTATTTAATTTACATTATATTGCAACATCCTCTAAATGGTAAGATTACTTTGGAAGTTAAAAATTGTTTTATGATAATTGGGTCCTAATAATTTAATACTGCTGGACTTTTATAAATTATTTTTCACTAATCCCATACAAGCCTTTATCATTCTGACTATGACCCAGTATATATATAGAATTTATTTTATTCAATGTTATAAATAATCAAAGGAACTTATATAATAACGATAATAAATTCATTTTAAAGAATTTTCAAGGAATCAGCATTATTAATAATTTAAAGTCAGCATCTCTTATCAAGCAAGTAGTAAGATGTAATTTCGAAGAACTTTTGCGTCTCAATTGATATTATATATATTTTTGAATTGATTATGAAGAAACATTAATTAAATTAAATATTCACTTAATGCAAACAAATATATAAAAAGAAACAAATTATCTAGTTTCTTAGTGTTTGATTTAGATTTTGTTGAAAAAGCATGAATTATTTAAGCAAATAATGTCTAGGCAACCACAAAGGGAAAGTTTGCAACTAATATTTAAAGAATATGATGAACTATAATAAATAGTGAAATTAAATTCCAAATTGAGGGAAGATTTTGCTGTTTTAGAAAAATTATTAAATATGGCAGTTGAAAATTGATTGAAATACAATATTATAATTAATCTTATCCACACATCTCGCTCATTTATCTTCAAACCAATAACTACATTTTCAAGGCTCATTTATTTGTTAACTCAACTTAGCAGTTCAATTTAACCTGGAAAGGATTAAAATAAATAATTTCCTTTGGATTATGAAGACCAAATGTCATTAAATATAGCGACTCATTAAACTGTTAATACACTTCCAAAATGCATTATTTAGTTAAGCTTTGATTGTTAAGAATTTGAAATTCTCCTGAAGAAAACATTTATTCTTCAATTACATAATTTTTCTTATTCTGGACTCATTTCTTACAACTACATATAATTCTATCCTATTTTTTATTCAAAAGGCAAAAATTGTTTTTTTACTAATTAATATATTTATTATTGTTAAACAGGTGATTATTCCAAACCCTTGTGTGTTGCTGTAATTTATATGATAATAAAATTAACATTTTTAATCATCAGTCCTGTTTTTTAAGTAAAATGAAATATAGAGTTTTTGTAAGAAATTGAATCTATTTAGTAAAATTCATAAAATTAAGACGGCTGTATTGTTATTTGATGAATATATTTAGATTTAAATCTACTATATAAAGCAGCATTTATTTATTGAGAAAAACAATAAATAATTTTTTTGACTTAGTTCACTTAATTTTTTGAACTAAGCATATTCTATTTATGTTAAATGATAAATCTGGCATTTATTATTATTTTTAATTTTTCTAACCCTTTAAAGAAATGAAATGCGCTAAGAAAAAATATAAATATTTAATTGAAGATGATCGAATTGATATGGATAAAGTTCTGAAAAATATTTAATATACTTTAGGTATTTAGTTTTATTAGGTAGAAATTACATAATATGAATAAAAAGAATTGTAATAAATGTTTTGCGTAATAAAAGATAAAATGCATTGCCTAGAAAGTTAGAATTACACGATTGAAAAAGAGGTAAGAGCATTAAAAAGTGAAAATGATGAACTTTAATATTTTATCCAGGAAAAAAAATAAATTCTTAACTAATTAAGATCTCTAATTGAAATTCTTGAAGTGTCTTAAGAAGATTAATAACTTGATGGGGATTCTTTAATAAAAATATATCACATCTTATAAACTTATACTCCTAGAAAACAGTAAGTAGGAATAGATATACTTTTAAATATTTAGACGGAAGAATAATAAATTTTACAATTAAAAAAATTGTTATAGTCGATCGAGAATTAAACCATAGCCTTAGACATGAATGATTTGTTTTGGTCTTGCATTCGTTGTAGTAAAATATTATAGGAAGGTCAAAATGAATAAGTACTATTTTTTATATTTTATTAGACTTGCATTTATCATTCTGGCAAATTAAAATATTACTCTTGCAGATCTTGTGGAGCTGATGAATATTTTACTTGTTGTCATTAATGTCGAGATTGCAATTCGGGTTGCAAAATTGGACTACATAAACCATGAATTACTGATTTGATTCACAATTAGTTATTTGATTATTTCAAAGACTTAATTTAAACATTCAATGTTCTATAAAATTATAACATGCATTGAATAAAATCTGTCTATATTTTATGACTGTTATTATGTTATAAGATTAAATTAAATCATTCACTCTTATTTATTAACATCACTTTTTTTAAGGTCAAATTCCTCTAAACCAGAAAACAGATCAATTTAAAAATCATAAATTGATTTTTCTTTCATCTTAAACATTTGAGAAACAACCAATTTTATGTGAGCATTTTGTAGAAACATCACAAAAATGAGAAGTCCTAAGCAACTGAGTAGAGCTTTGCAAATTTAAAATATAACAAGAGTAGAATCTTAAGCAGGTCTATGAAAATATTCTAGAAAAAATAAAAAAGCTGGTACAACGCAAGTTAAGAGAATAAAATAAGGAACTAAGTATAACCCTTTGATGGCATTAATATGATTTTCATGTCCTCTTAAAGTTATTATAATTAAAATTACTTAAAAATTTCTTTATTTATTTTCATAGCTTCTATTTTTTTGCTAATGCTTCTTAAATCTGTTAATTGTATAATTGATTGAAAAATAATTGGTAAAAAGAAGCAAAGTAAACTTAATGTTACAATCGTTCTAGAAAGACTCGTTTATAAGTTTTATAAATTAGACTCAGGTTCTGATACGCTATTTGAATTGCAAGGGTTGCTTTAAGTGATTGTAAAGTTATATTATAACCAACAGACATTATCAAAAAGTCCATATATAAAGTCATCATAGTTTTAATCCGTTGATTCTCCTTTAGATTATTTCTTACTAGAACTTAATTATGGTAAAATTGTACAAATAATTGGGAAAAAAAATGCAAACGCGATCAAATTTAGCTAGATATTACATAACTTTACATGAACTGATAATTATTCTTATTTCTTATAGAGTATGGCTTCTTTTGCAATTTTTATTAGGACAGTTTGCCAACTTACCACATTCATAACTCCATATACAGAAATATAAGATGTAATTTAACAAATTGATTTTTCTAATATGTATTTTAGTTCAAAAGTATGGCAAATTGAAAATTAAAATACATTGAAAGTAAAATCTAATAATGTATAGAGGCTTGCTCCTAATAAAATGTAAAGTTGTATGGTATATGAAAATAATTTAAAATTATCTGATTTAAAGTATATGATCATCATAGCGATGCAACATATTAATCCAGCGACAGATAATATCAATTCAATTAATGGATAAGTACATCCGTCTTGGCTTGACATTTTTTATAAAATTGTAATATTACATTTATATATATTTTTTAACCAAAATATTTATAAAACAATATTTTCAAATCATGAACTTGAGAGAGCCTCATTGTAAATAAGCCAAAAGATCTAGGTTTATGACTTTTTGAATACATTTCAGACATATATTATAAGTAAAAGATTTTTATCACTTTTCTTTCTTAATACATTATCCAATCCAAAAAAATTATCAATATTTTGAAAAGTATTGTGATTCATCTAATATTTCTTTATTATCTTTGCTTAAATTCTCTTAGAGATTTTAATAAATTCTTTATAAATTCAATTTGGTTCAGCTCAGCAAAATTTCGTACTTTATTATAAATGTCAATTCAAAGTTCAAATGTTATTTCTGTGTACTATAATGAGTATCTCAATAAATTGATTGATTCTAATTTGATGTTTACAATTATTGTTACCCAAAACAATTGAGTTATAATTACAAAATGATAGAATATGAAATTTAAAAAACAATAATAAGGAAAATTTAAACTCAAACTTAACTTAAAGGGTAGCTGCAGGTTAAATGAAATTAATCCTAAAATAATTTTTTTGATCCACTGAAAGTTTTATCAGGAAGAATTTCAACTTCCTAATTCAATATTGGGGTTGAGAGTGATAATGGAGTTTCCTCTTGTTATTTCTCATCTATACTTGAGATATAATCATATGATTAAACGACAGATAAGTTTATCTAAGATACAAATTTCTAATTTTAAATTGAAAATATACCGAATAAATTCTTTAACATAGACTTTCTGAGGAGTCCTCTTCATAACTTTCAGATTATTTAAATGAAAGTTATTCTAGAAATGATTAAGGTTATCTCAATTCTTATAAATATGAATCGATATAAGTATTTAGTTTTGATGATAATTCCTCCATAGAACTAAATTGATTTATTTCACTTTGAAGCTCAGAGCTTGAGTAGACAAGACCTTCATTATTTAAAAAAGGACTTCTCTAAGCGTGTTATTGAATTTATAAAAACGGTTATGTATATGATTCTTTTGTTATCTAAAGGTAAATGGATAAATTTATACAAACCTCTGAATTATTATTATCAATGTTATCATCTGTGCTTTCGTTTTCTTTAATTGGTTAAATGTTTTTATCTAGGGGTTCTTTAAATTAGTTTAATTTCGACATTATATGATATAAAAAATATAAAAAACAAACATTTCAATCTGATCATATAATAATTTTTGAAAACAGGAACATGTTACCATAAAGTTGATATTAAAAAATCATATAAAAATCTAGTGATAAGCAACATAGAGAATTTTGGATAATACTAAGAAAATTTTAAACCTTTTAAATTTATCCATGAAAAGCAATTTTAGAGTATTATAGTAATTTACACTAAACGCATTAAGAAAATTAAAAAGAATATTGCGAAGTCTCAGATCCGTGCAAAATATGGTATAAAAAACAATTGTTTATTTTTGACTTTTGTGGTAATATATGAAAATGGCAAATGTACTTATTACATATTATTGGTTTACATATTTCATTATTTATTTCGGTGATGTAATTAGTTTTATTACATTATGTAAAAAGCAATCATGTTAATCTCGATCTGCTTCCTTGCTTTGTATGCCTTTGAAACCAAGGCTTTGGAGAAGGATGAAGTTGACATTGCAAAACTTAATGCCCTATTTGGTACAAACTATTAAGGAGAGATGTAGGATTATTGATTGTATTTTAGATATTCCGGTTATCTTAGTGCAAATGATAATGGATCAGTCTAGTTTCATTACCTTTTTTATCCAGCTATAGATTCTGCTTCTGAAAAGCCTTTGATACTATGGTTACTTGGAGGGCCAGGATGTTCATCAATGATTGCAGCATTCACAGAAAGTGGCCCTTACACGTTCATTTCAGAGTCTATTGAATTTGAAGAGAATCCTCATACTTGGACAGCATTTGTAAGCTAATTATCTCATCAATTAGGCTAATCTGCTTTACATTGAATCTCCAATATCGGTTGGATATTCTTATGGCCCAGCTGGAGCATAATCTGACGAGTCAACTGCTGCATACAATATGCATGCATTGATTGAGTTTTTCGTTCGACATCCAAATTTCAAAAATTAAAAATTCTATATTGGTGGTGAATCATACGCTGGCATATATGTGCCAACCTTAACCCAGGAGATTATAAAATATAATAAATAACCTGTTAATCCTGAAGTCTTAAGAATAAACATTTAAGGTATAATAATTGGAAATGGTTGCACTGATCCTAGCGAGTGTACTTAATTAGGATATCTTTTTCCAAGGCATAGATTAGACTTTTATGGAAGACATGGCTTCATTAGTGAAGAAACTTATTAAAAAATAATTAATCATACAGAAGAATGCTATGGCTCTGAGACACCAGAATGTTAAGCCATAGCTTATGAAGCTTTAGCTTAAATTGCTGGACCTTAATATTCCTATAATTTGAACTAATACAATGTTTATTCGAAATGCATTACTTATACTCCCGAGGGAAGTAAAAGAATGAAAAGTCCCCTTCGAGTTTCAGATGAAGAAAAGGAGGATTCTGATGTGCCCCCATGTGTGGATGTAAAAGGCCTGTATCATTGGTTTTAGAAGGATGAAGTTCGAACTGTAATCAGTTTTCATGATTATTCTAGTTACTTAATATAGTCTAATAATCACCAAAATGGGTTGCTTGCTCAGTTAATTTCTAAGATTATCAAATAAACCCAAATGGATCATTAGACATTTATCCCACTATCATCAAAAATAATATCAGAGTTCTTATTCTAAGTGGAGATGTAGATGGAGTGGTTCCAATTGCTGGTACTCTGTATTGGATAGATAAACTTCAAAACTCACTATGTAATGCAATTTTAATATATATAGAGTTGAATACAATAAAACCATGGAGACCTTGGTATATCCCTGCATTGAGAGAAGTTGATAAAGATTAGAATGCAGGAAATGTGTTTGATATTGAAGGATTGACCTTTGTTAGCTTCAGAAATGCAGGTCATGAAGTACCTGCTGATCATAGAATGGAATCTAAGATAGTCTTAGAGAAATTCTTAAGATAGGAATATTTATGAGATTCAAATTATTATTTTATATTCTTATTAATTTATAAAACGTAAGTTCTCATAAATAATTCAATAAATAATGATTTGTAGAAGCTAGCATCTTCTTTTTAGCACAGACTATAAATTATATCTCAATCCATAATAAATAGTCATTGGGAAGGTAAGAAATAAATTAATTAGAAAGAACGAATAGAACCTAAAGTATAAAATCCCTTTGAATCTATCAACAATTATCAAATGGTCTTTCAATAGTGATTTTACTTTCAATGGATTTCAGTTTTAGTGGAAGAACTCCTGGAAAACTATACTGTTGACTCACGAGCAATCTTTGACTCTAAAGGATAATCTGGATGGAAAGGTCACTTATTGTAACATAGTTAAAATGTATAATATGATTCAATGTGAGAGATCTGGCTATTCAAGCAAAGTAAACTTTTCGATAATATCAGGTTTATTTAACTTATTGTTGCGCCAATCAATAAAAATATTATATGTAAATATTTCCAATTTCTGATTTGACTTCTTAAGTATTATAATTCAATTAAGTAGGAATATTTAAGATTAATAGAGATGATTAACATTACTCATCCAAACATCCTTAAATGTGAAGAATACTTTGTTGAAGAAAAGAACTTGTATATAATAACAAACATTTTAAATGGAAAAACGTTAAAGGAGAGGATAGGTAGTCAGTATAGGATGGAACCCTAAGAAATCATTTCTACTATAAAAACTCTCCTTAAATTTATAAATGATATGCATAAGTTAGGGTATGTATTAAGAGAAATCACATCAACGAATATCTTTCTATAAAGTGATGGAGAAATCCTGATTATAGATTTTGAACTACTAGTAAAAACTGAAGAAGCCTTCAGAACCAAGGCAGTTTCTAAAGAAAATGACTTTTTACATGAGCTTAAGGATTCTACAAAAAATACTCATGAAGATTGGGTTGAAATTGAGAGATATTATTATGAGCAACATGATGTTTTGATTTTAGGATCTCTATTAAAGGAAATGTATTAAGAAATTGCATTTTAGGTTAACCAGTAAAGTTTAACTATAACAACCCTAAGGAAGGGCAAGGCAACCTACAATTACAATTAATAAGACCACTATAATAAATAGATCTCCAAAATATTATATATACTAATTGTTGCAGAGAATGCTCGAGCAAGATCCTAAGGTAAGGATAACTATATAGAATGCAATTTATTTTTTAGAAGACATCGATTTTGAAGACAATAGCTTTGAAGATTTCCCTGAAACATCAGAGGAATAAAATTTTCAAAGTGTCAAATCAATTTCAATAAAGAAATTCCTCGTTTGATTTATTAAATATTTGATTTCTCAATTAGATATTTAGAATTAGTGTTTTCTTCATACATATCTATTTCATTTCAGTCCTCTTTCACTCACTCCTCTGGATAATGAAATATCGCCAGGTATATTCAAAACTGGAGCCTTCATTGGAGATATTGTCTCATTTAGTTGTGGATTTTAAGGCTGTAATAATTCGCTTTTTACAATAGGCTATATTTGAGGGATGTATGAGTTGTTTCCCAAAATTTCTGATTGTTTTTATTATCGAAATTTGTTAGGAACATCCAGAAAATTATTTACTTGAGTATTATCATTATGACTGGGCTTTTGATTATGTTATGTGCCTTTTTTCGCTTTATCAATTTACTTATTCATGTACATTTATGAATACTTTTCATCTACTTACTATAAATATGTTGCCGTTGGTACTATGTTTTTTGCTATTGTTTATTTAAGCACGCATACCTCCACCATGCTGTGAGCTGTTTTGCATTTTTTATGTTGAAAATGAGGAGCTATGAAGATCTTTGGATTTAGAAATGTCAGCAAGAAGAATGTTAAATTTTATGTCATTATTAGAATGCTTATTTGCCATTTATTTTTATTATTAATATTGTACTAAATCATCATCATCATGATCTATAAAGATTTGGTCTTTTTGCTTTGAACACAGTTCTGAATTTTTTATGGCTTGCTCTTGGAACAGTCTTAACAATTGGGAATTTAATTGAATCTCCCTTTAATAAATAGCAAATTCGTATACTCTGTATTAATTTGTTTTGCCTCTCTTGATATCAGCACTTTTTGTCAATACAGATGTTCTGAGAATGTGAATTGTTTATGGTTATGCTCTATGATTTCCTGCCATTTCTTAGTCTAAGGAGTTAATTTATTGTGTGCTTACATAATTAAGACACAGCACCATTTAATGTGGTATCTCTGAATTCCTTATACATATTGTGTATCGTTGTTCTTGATTGATACTTAAGAACGATTCCATATGTCTTAACATTTGTGTCTCTTCTTTCAAACAATTCTTAAACTGCTAAAATCTAACCATGTGATGGTCTAAGTTTATTTAATCTTCTTAAATTCCACCTAAATTGTAGTCTTATGACTAATACCAAAATCTGCTTTTTGCTGCAACTGTATTTCTTGCAAAAATTCTCATGCTTATGACTTTTGGATTTGGATCTTCTTTTGATGGGAGTCTTCTGCCTGAAACTAAGTATTATCTAATCTATTCAAAGTAAATTTCTTCCTTACTTTCATTTATAAAGAATTGTCTTAAGGGTCTTAGGCTGAGTTTTTAACCATTTCTTATATTTTAAAAAAAGATTTAATTTATCATGCAATTTATCATCTTAAACAATAGAATACCTTAAATAAAGTATGAATTCTTATTTATATCTCAAAACTATACCTGTCAATCTCGAATAAAATCATTATCTCCAATCATCTTTAGATAAAGAATTAAATATGATTAATAATAATTATAATATGTAAAATTATTCATAATATCATAACAATTTCAAAATCATTTCTTTCTTCCAACATTTCCAGGGTACCTTTATTATTATTCCCTAACTTTAGATAGAAAAATTTTGTCAATCACTTGATAATTCAAATTTAATTCTTAGTTTTCAATCATTCTATAAATTATGTATCCTTATAAGCCATATTTTTAAATTTCACCCCATAAAAATTTAGGAATTGATATTTAAAATTATGGCGGAGCTGGTAGATTGACTACAAAGGTTTTATTTGGTTAAATCATTAACGAATTATTTTTAAAATTTGTATTATATTTTTGTGATAGCTCCTCCTTATTTTCTAACAAATTCAAATATTATAGAAATTATTCACAGATTTAGCTTCTTTAATTGACATTATATTGATCAAAATACTAATAGTAGTGGATAAGATAACTCTGAAATTCTATATATTACTCTTAATCAACTTTAGGATTAGTTAGAGCATTGACCATACTTTTTCTGTACTTTTCGACTAATTTCTAGTAGTTTTCTCCTTCCTTTTCGTTATTATTTTACAAAATCCACCCAGCCTAATTCCAAATATCTCCATTACATTTTTAATTTTTATAAAGCTCATCTTTACAAGCAGCACATTCCTTATACAAAAAGGTTTTTATTTGGGTCAAAGCTGTTAGCAAATCCGGTTAATTAATTTTTACACCAGGATTTACATTTGGGGGAAGTTGATCTATAAAATCTCTTCTGATATCTGATGATTTAATTAAGAGATCTAAGTTTTAATTAAACGTGAATTCACATTAAAGGATAAGATCTCCATTGGCACTTTTAAGTTTGGATATATATTTCTCAATTTTGCTGATAACTTATTCTTTCCTCTATTCTAATTAAGTTAAGTATTTAAACCCAAGCCAGCTCTTAGGTATTTCAGCTTCGATATTTTTCTTGTACTTATCAAAGTCTATATCATTTTAGCGATATGATGTAATAGACATCCTTCCATAATATGTTGAATTCATAAAAGTTAATAGAAATATAAATATAAAAAAATGAATTAGAAGGGGCTTTATCGATACATAAAAGAATTTAAATAATTAACATATTATTGTAGAATAATTTCATTCTATTTCGATATCATCTAAACATATTTTGAAGAGATCAGACATCTAGAGTGTGGAAATGGGTTCTTTGTTATCGTTCAGACATACTAGACTACCTCTAGACGAGAGAAGTAAATTTTCAACAACCTTTGATAAATGAAAGTATTACTTCTTTTACAGTTTATTTCATGTGAAATAGCTCTTTGTTACAAATACTAAAGCCTGCATACTTAGATTTCTCAATTCTAATAAAATTCAATAAATCAATGGCTTATCTATTGAGCTAATCTAAATGTTGAGTCATACCATGTCGTAGACTTGATACTTGAGGATGAATAAAAAATCCCTTCTATCAATCAAGCCCAAATACTAGTTGTTAATGTCCACAATAGGAATAGCATTTCTTTTGAAAACATAAATCAATTTATAAAACACGCTAGAATAAGAAGAGTAATTTACTCATATACATTTGTGTCGAATGGGAGTTTGGTGTTCAACTGGAGTATGGTATCACTAAAGTAACCTATTTCCAAATCATGTTGTTCAGATTGTTATTGAGTTTCACTTCGAACTTCAATCTTAAGTGATTTTTGGGATAATTATAGATGGAAATACTAACTAAATCCTTTAACAAGAAAAGCCAAAATATCTTTTTGCTAGAGGATGCCCACAATAACTCTAGATTCAGTATCAATAACTACAATTCTTGTTACACCCTACTTTAATATTTTTTTCATGGCATCATTTAGGTTATCAGCCATATCTGCCTGAACAAGACTGCTTTAATGAAGATTTTCTCCATAAGAATTAAACCAGTCTCTTACAGAGATAGTCCTCAAATCAATGAGCAACTTATTAATTTACTCCTAGCCAATTACTTAAGTTTTGGTGACAGGAGTTGATGTTCTATCTTCATCTTCTTCTTCCATTATGGGCTACACTTAATTCTTACTATTTCCCCAAACTGACTAAAATATACTGTTAAGATTACCATTCGGAATGCCATTTATAGTGTTTTGATAGCATTTGAGAATGATTCTAATCAAATCAGTTTGAGTGAATACTCCATCATAATAAGCTACATCTGGATTCCAAAACAATACTTCATCAATATGTGTCTCGATAAAGACATTGAAAACATCATACAAGGAGAATGACTAATCAATTACACTGACTTAATTATTGATAGATAAGCAGTCATAAAGAGTGCTGTCTTATAAGAAACATGTTAAAGTCTTCATGTATTAATCTTTTATGATGTCCTCCTTACTTTACATTCTTTTAATCATTTATAATTATTTAAAAATGATAATAATATTTATTCAAAAATCATCTTCTACCATAATGGGCATCATTATTATACCCAAATTGATCTTATTATTGATAGTACTTATGAATTTTGTGGTTTGAATCTATCAGCATATTTTGTTTTTCATTCCATTCTTCAATAGCTTTGTGTCTTGTCACTGGGTTTTCTCTGTCATAGTCTGTATCGAAACCCAAACATCCCTCATCATAGGGTTTAATCTATAAAATTAAATTAATAATCGCTCATACCTCTTCATTATTGACCACTGGGAACAAATATTCTGAGATGTCTTCCATCGGTAATGAAGCATAGATTATAGCAATCACCATCAACAAAACATCAATCGAACTTATCTCCTTGAAAAATGCATAAGTCATGATCATTTCTCCAAAGGCACTCCACACTATTATGTATTCCAACATCTCAATCATCTCTAACAAACTAAACATTATATCTACCTGTTGATAATTAAATGCTGATGGATTCCTTCACAGTTCTCCTTCTTAAAATGTTATAATAGTCAACATAATAGTAAATTAGAATTCCAAAAGCACTGCAAACTGTACCCAAAGGAATGGCTGTACCATACAGAAAAGTAAACCACATTGTTTTCATAATATCTGAGTACCTTTTGGCTGACAAATAGTCTGGTTCCTCCATTAAAGTATTTGCCTCTTATTGGGTTAACAAGGCTTTATCTCCCTTACTTACAATGTACCACCTCCAGATGTTTTTGCACAGACTCCATGGATCTACACACCATATAAATGGAGGTAACACAGCATTCAGAATAAAAATCTAGCTTTCATTTTGTAAGAAACCTCCAGCTCCTTCCACATTCTTTAAAATTACAATATCCACCAGAAAACTAATAATGGCAGCATTCAAAAATAATGCTAAAGCATACTTGTATACAAAGGATATCTGAAATTTGGTTTTACTTGAGATCTTTTCATCATCTACAATGTAATGAACTATTTTAGCAACTGCGAATTTATTAAATAGAACAATGCTCAAAGAGATGATAAAAGACAAAATGTTGATTTTCAACATTGTATTATGATCCAGTTTTCCTTTAATTTCTTCTTCTCTTGCCTCATCTCCATATTTAGCCACTTTATGTGATATCAGATAAATTGAATAAAATGCTGCACTTTCAACTAATAGGTAAATTATCCAAGCCTTGACTCTTTTACTTATCTTTTCTTCAGTTTTAACATGAATGAATTCCCAATCAACTTCATTTGGTTCTGGAGCTTATTCGATAAATAATTTCTAATCGTGCCATGATAAATCATTCTCAGACAATCCTTCTAATTTACCCTTATTCCAATATGACTTCATTCTCTCTAACTAAGTATGTTAATTTTCTTGCAACACCAAATTTTTCATATTTTCATCCTCAAATGATATGAATGCAATCCCAGCAAATTTTTTATTCTCTTTTTCATACTCTTTCTCTGTCTAATGTATTTTATGCTCGAATTCTTTTATTTTTTAGTCTATTTCCAAGACTTTTGGATGATTAAAATTGTAATTGTATTCTTTTATAATATCTTTCTTTCTCTCCACTAATTCATCAAGTTTCTTTTCCATCTCAATAATTTCTTCAATGTCATAAACTAGAACAACCTTTTTCACAACTATAGGATTTGTGTCTGATATGACTGCACAAGTCTCAAACATGTGTTTCAATTCCCATTTGTAATTCAAACCTAATCCTAAAGGAATATTCTTGACGCAAACTGTATAATCAGCAGGTGTTAAGAGTTCTTCATCTATAGTTGTATCTATCTATCGCTGGCTTTTTCTAAAATAGATGAGGACTAACATAACAATAAATAAGTTAATAAAGTTTAAAATTTACACATGCTCTAAAGCTTCGCGATTACTAGTTTACAAATATAAATTACTCCAATTTATTAGCTAAAGATAATCTCAAGAACAATGATTCTGAACAATTTGGTAATTCTACGACATGTCCTTCTATTTTTTCTTTTTTAACATGACTGCAATATGAGCCCTCGTAACTGGTATAGAGGTTATAAATCTGTTTAGTGACCAAAGTTATGAACAAGATTATTATGCAATATTTGAGATAATTGTAAAACAATGTGAATCCAGAACCTAGAAATGACAATGCCATCGGGTTTGAACAATATGGGATTTCATCTCTCTCTACTTCAAAACCACAACAAGGACATGTTTCAACTAATGTATTATAGTAAATAGGGTACCATTTGTAGTTTTATTAAAGTCCTTCTTTTTCTCTAAAGCTGTCCTTCTTGATTAAGCATGCTTTCTTGCCAAATCCCAATTGCATGGCATAGTAAGAGGATGATAATGTTAGGCCTTAGAGGAGTGTTATTGGAGATCAATATGACTATGATTAACTTCATGGGATTGTTAGTAATTCACCTCTTCAATCTTGGAAACTGGCATTTATGAGACCCTTGATTAATCATGCTGATTCTGTTATTGTGAATTCAATGTCTGTAACAAATAAATAATGAATATATTACCTAACCTTTGATATTAGAACTGAACTAGTTAGGAGCAACTCCCATAAAGTGTTGGAAATTCGAAGGAGGATTAGTTTAACTGTTGTATTTCATATTTATTTTGAAAAATAAATACAATATAGTTAATAATTTTTATTAAAGCAAAATTTATCATAAAATATTTTATTATGTAGCCATAAAATTAGTTTTCATTATTTGGGAACGTGCAAGTGAATGAAGCTGAATAAAATAGTGAAGTCAAGAAAAAAAGAGAGGAATTTGCAACAGAAATCAGGTCCAGGGAAAGAAATAATATAATAAACAATAAAAGATTAGCTTAAAATGTAGTTCATATTGATTATTCATTTTAGAATTAAACCAACAAACTTCCTGAATCTTTGCCCTTGATACCACCCACTCTTCCATAAGAGTTACAAATAGCCTTAAAAACTCAATAAGAGCAACTTATGAAACGAACATTTTCATTTGAAGATTTTCCTGATGTTCTACAAAAGATCTTTTCGACTGATATTTTGTAATTACATTATGGAGTGACAGGATTAAGAAAGATGTTGTCTGTTGAAGTAAGATATATGTTTAATTATTAAAGTCAGGCGCGCCAATTTAATAGGTTATTGATGCAAATTTGGTACCTAAATTAATTGACATGATATAAAAAGAACAAATACCACAACTCGTTCTGGAGGCTGCCTGGGCTTTAACAAATGTAGCAAGTGGAACGACTCAACAAACCCAATCCATCATTGACAAAGGAGGAATATATTTATTTGTTAAACTTTTGAGTTCATAATATAGAGATATTGCAGAACAAGCAGTATGGGCCATAGGTAATATCGCTGGAGATTGCACATAATACAGAGATCTAATATTAAGAGTAGGTGGAGTTGATCCCTTGATAACAATAATGCAAAATGCACCAAACAAAAACACAATTAAGCATTGCACTTGGTCTTTGAGTAATCTTTGTAGAGGAAAACCAATTCCTGATTTTAAGGTTTTATTCATCTTCTATCAACTAATAGTATGTCAAAAATGCCTTACCTGTATTCTGCAAAGTCATAATAGAGGAGACTGACCCTGAAGTATTGACTGATGCTTGTTGGGCCTTGTCTTATTTAAGTGATGGAGACAATAGTAGATTATAAACTGTGATTGATTCTTAAGTGATCCCAACTCTAATTAAATTGCTTGATCATTCATCTCTACAACTAGTTATTCCCACTCTAAGGATATTGGGAAATGTTGTGACTGGAGACGAAACTTAAACAACTTATGTTTTAAACCAAGGTTTGTTACTTAAAATACCTAAGTTGTTATCTCATGACAAGAAGGCAATCAGAAGAGAAGTATCACTCTATCTTATCATAGGCCTGTTGGACCATCTCTAACATCACTGCAGGAAGTAGCAATCAGGTTAGTTAAGTCGTTAGAGACTCGGCAATATTAGAAAAGCTCTTCACATTGATGACGACAGACGTTGAGGAAATTGTAAGAGAGGCTACTTGGGCCATTTCCAATTCAACCAAACATGGAGGCAATTCAGACATATAATTGCTAGTTTAAAAAGGATTACTGAATGTGTTTAAATAACTTTTAGAAGGGGATGACACACAAACTATGACTGTGGTTCTGGAGGCTCTATTAAATGTCTTAAAGAGGGGTATTTATTCTTTTTTTAAGTTTAGGTGATTAAGATTTTAAAGATGATAATTATTACTTGACCTAATTGGAATAAATGGGAGTCATTTCAAAGATTGAAATATTACAAAAACATTAGAATTAGAGTGTTTATCAAAAATGTTTTAGCATTTTGGAATAATATTATGAAGCTGAATCCGAATTATGATATATATGTTAAAATAATTAATATAGATTTATTAATTAAATTATAAACATTTCAAATCAATTATGATTACAGATGCGACTTTTTTTTGTCTTTTTTTTTTTCTTACTTTGATTTATAATCTTCACTCATTAGCTTCTGATTTATTTTTGAGAAAGGGTTTTACTGGATCATCATCTCTACAGATTTAGGTTGACTCTAAAACTTCTCATTCTCATGCTTCTATCTGACTTTCTCTACACATCCTAAAGCCAATAAACAAACTTAAATTCTCAAAATTATTTACCTAATAGCAAAACAAAAACGAGAATTAAGGTTTTAATTAACTCGTCCTCTAATATAGGTTCTGGGTAAGAGAGTTGAACATTTAAATAAAAACTATGTCTTATAACTAAGTCTCTATTGACTTCTCCATCCATAAATTAAGTAACATTATATTTTACTAAATAACTTTGTTAAGTTAAAATTTAAGTTTCTATTAAATATTATTGATCACAATTTTACCATTGTTACTATAACACTTGACTCCAGCAGGTGTAAAATTAAATCGAACTAAAAATGCTCCTGAGCCAGTTACACCAAAAAAGAAATCATCGTATTGGAACCCAGTTATATTGAATTTCTTTAACAAAGGATAATCTGTTATATTTGAATCGAAAAACATGAAATTACGTACACCAAACAAAGTGTAGATAGTTGGCTCAGTATCTGGATTAACTAATTTAAAAGAGTTAGCGAAAATTAATTAATGATGGATCAAACCTTGAATTAAAACAAACTCATCTGTCACTTTCAAACCAACAACCTTTTAGTAAGATATATGCTAATTCACAATTTCATATCCTTCTATGTTCTTGTCATACAAATATTCAATTATTGAGTATCGAAATAACTCCTTATAAACAACAAACACATTTCTACCATTCTTTGTGTCAACTGCAATGCCTCCTTCCTTTCTTGGTATTTCAGGTCTCACTTTGTATTTGAATTCACCATCATCAATCTCTATTGCCAACTCAATTAGTCCAATCACAACATCTAACATGAACATATGGAATTCATCATGATCTTTCTTAATTACAATGAAATCTGACAATTTTGTAAAATCTGGAAATAGTCTTATCAAATCGATTGTCAATTCAAATCTAACATCATACGATGATACTCTATAAACATCAATTCCCTCTCTCCCTACACTACTATAAACATAGCCAAAATATTCTTTGGTAAGTCCTCTCTCTTTTCTCTACTTCCAAGATGAAGCAGTATACAAAATTAAGTGTTTTGAATTTGCATCCATTTCATACATACTAAAAAACTGTGCACTATTTGGATATAACACTAGCACTAAATTGTTCGTCTTTAGATATAGAATTTGAGGGATTTCTTCTTTGTCTTCTGTAGTTGGAGCATAAGCCTATAAATCTACCTTCCATCGAAATCCTGCAAATTCATAAGGATTTCCATATTCTGGGAAGCTGAATATATCATGGATGTAATTGTAGTTAAATTTCAAATGATAAATCTTGGCATTTGAAGTAATAGCTATAAAACCATCCCTTACATGGACCATTGAAATAAATTGTCCAAAATTTAATGGAGTTTCTTCTTAATACACATAATCAGTCAGATCTTTCTCTGTAATAATATTCATTGTTTTTGTCTCAGTTTTGACAGCTGGTTGTTGAGACCAACAGTAGCTATCGTTTTGATTTCCAATTAAAATAGAATCTGCTGCTCCAGACATTGTGATTATTGTTGTTGCTCTGTCCAAATGAAATTTCTTTGTTTAGTTTTTATCAGTCACTTCCTTAATAATAATTCCTTCTATGAACTTAACTAAAATTAGAAATAAAATCATTATTTTATCATTATATAATGAAAATTAGAAAAAAGATAGTGTCTTTATTTGTACTTTTTATTAAAAGATAAAATAAAATTGGATCTTTCTCAATATCACGGAGCTTAAATAACTTGGCTTTCGTCAAATTTAATTTGATTATGAGATTCATTCGATTTTTACTGATTTTCTATTTCGGTATCTAGTCTTATTTCCTCCTTCCTAAATTATTAAAATTTATAACAAATTGCACTTACTAATAAATAATAATCATGTATGAATACCAGAGAAAAATGACACGAATCCTAAAATTATTAGAATTAAATAAATAAAGTTAATCTGCTATTCAAATAAAAATGTTGTTACGACTTCGACTGAAAAGTGTTTCGTTGTTCTAATTACTTTATCTTATGCTACTATATTATTTGTAACATATGATTGATTAAATTGTAATCTATAAAATTACTTTGCATTTTATAGTTATTCTACAAATATTAAGAGATAATTACTATTATCAGTGAAACATACTACTCTAGCAGGAACAAACTTAAATTTGGTTAAAAATGCATTTGTGGCAGTAACTCCAAAAAAGAAATCATCATATTAGTATTCATCAGATTTGGCAGCATTTTTGAGTTCATCTTATGAATAAGAATATTTAAAAAATTCAAAATCTCTCATGCCTATTTAAGAAAATCTTATAAACTCTTTGTGAGGAGCGATAAAATCATAACCGTTTTAAAATACTATTTAGTGATTGTTGACACCACTTATAATTGCAAATTCATCTGTTGCATCAACATCTAATATTCTATAATTACTATATCTTTTTGTGATAATAGAATAGCTTTTATCTGTAAAGCTCACAAAATACTCAATATAAAAGTGAATCCCGTTATCCTCAAAAGCAGCGAATACATTTTTTCCATTTTTTGTATCAACTGCTATGCCATTTGGTATTGGTTCAACATCAATCACTCTTTCAAAAGTTATTTTATCTTAATTGATAGTCATATAGGCCAAAACTAAACCTAATTTTGCATCTAGCAAATACAATTAATATTTTCTCTCTTCAACTTATATGACAGCAAAGTCTGCTAACTCCAATTCATGATTAAATAAACCTAAATCTTTGAAAGTGATAGTTGTTCGATATTCAACTAATTCCTCTAGAATTCTATAGATATCTAAGCCTGCCTTTCCTACTGCTGAAAATAGATGTCCTTCCACTTCTTTTGTTAGTCCTCTTTCTTCTCTTCTTATAAAAGTGGAAACTTGATATATAGAAAGCTAATTTTAATTAGTTTCCATTTCCGAAACATTAAAATAATGAGCAGTGTCAGTGAACAAAATGAAAGCAAGATTCCTTGTTTTTGAATAAACTAGCTAAGGCAATTCTTATTTTGCTTCAGCAGATTAGAGAATCTCCTATAAATTTGCCTTCCAAATAACACCTGCAAAGTCACCGCCATTTCCATACGTCGCGAAACCATGTTGATTCATTACTTTATCATAATTGAATTTCAATAAGTATGCTACCGAATCAGAAGTAATGGCAATCATTCCATCATTAACATGCACCATCCCAATGAACTATCTAAAATTTAATGGAGTATCATTCTCGAATTCATAACTATTAATCAATCATTTTATCAATATACTCTTTAAATTCATCAGACTTAAGTATGGTAAATTATTAGGTTTGTGTTTAAACAGTTTATTATTTTACTTCACAAAAACTCAATTTTTCAAAACTTTCCAAAACAGCATCCTCAGCTTCAGGGATATTTAGTACTATCTTTGGTTCGCCAAAATGGATTTTGAAAGATTCTGTAGATTCTTGATTTTCTTTGATTAAAAGCTCCCCTAGAGTTGTATTGATCGAAATTAATAAAAACAAAACAAGCATTAAATTATTTAATCTTATTAAAATAAATAAAGTGCAAATTAAAGAAGTTTTATTAGGCTATACTCATATACTAATATTTAATTTATCAAACATTTTATGGAGATATTTTCATCTAAGTTGAATTGGTTGATCCACATAAAGAAATTCTTTTTGAAGGAAAGTGTGCTGGACATCTCAGATTTGATCAGTTCTTTGAAAGATGCGATTCTTACGGAATAAATTAATCCTGAAGATGAATTATTTTCATTAGAAGAAGTTATTGAAGAAGTTTATAAATATAAGAAAATTAGATTAACATATGATGACTTCTTTTAAATCATTGGTAATCTTCATTAATAGGATCCACAATTATCAACTTGTGTGAATTCTGTGGCTGATTCTATTAATGATCTAATCTTGAATGACAACAAAGTCAAGTAAGAAATAAGAGTATCATACAATGACACAACAAAATTAATTAAGACTCAGCAAAGTTGTATACCATCCAAGATTTCCAAAAGTCCAAGAAGGAGAATTGAGAATTTATAAGAAGCATAAAAAAAGATTCTGGAGAAAATAACTCATATAGAAAATGAGATAGAGTATGTATGATTATTTGAATATATAACGAAGTAGAAGCAGCAGCATCAATTAAAGAAGCCACACATTTTATAAATTAAGGAATTAACTAAATAACTATAATAAAATGACTCGGAGATCACTTTAAATGGAGTAAGCACTTTTTCAGTTTCAGACTTTCAATTAGTATTCCATAGTTTAAATAGAGTGATATTTAATGTCTAATCAGTTATATTTAATGATAGATGTTCAGAAATACGAGAAGTAACCATGATATTTAAGAACTTATAATTTTTGAGCATCAATTCCTTAATGATAAAGGAGCTAAATTTAGAAGAACTGACATCGCTAAATGTATTATCAGTAGTTGGAAATAATTTAAAATCTTTGGATGGATTGCCACCAAATTTAATTGAGCTCTATGCCCAAAACAACTAAATTTCTTTATTAAGCAATACAAAATAGTTAAAGATCTTAAATATAAGTTAAAATTGCATAAACTCTTTACAACAGTTGTTGCACATTAATAAATCATTAGAATTCATTAATTGTCATCAAAATTAATGTGCTTAGACTAAGGATTATAAAAGAGTGCTTTTTAAAATATTCCCAAATTTAAAGGGGGTTGATAAGGATGATTTATTATAGCATTCAATGATATAGTAGAACAATTTCCACTTTAAGAAGGAATAAATGGACTTTTCTTTTAGTTAATCATGATTATAATTTATTTAAAATATATTTAAGTTTTGCTTTACCATCAACATTTTTTTTGCTCTTTCTACAAGAGATGTGCTCTTTAGATCACTTCACTCAAATTTATATCTTATTTCTCCAGATTTTGTAAAATCAACAAAATTTATCCAAAATCACCTACGATCAAGTCCTCTCTCAATTAAATCAAGAAGGAGATAGCTAAATAGTATAAAAATTCCTCTCTATTGTTTTTTTAGCAAAATAAACAGTCCCAAATGCGTAAGGAATCATCTATGTGGAAATCTTAAGCGAACAAAATCATAAACCATTTTACATACAGGATAGAAAAATCCATCTTTTAGTTTACTAAATGATCATGCAATTTCCAATCTACTTTTTTTAATAAATCCTAAAATGCCCTAACTTTTTCCTTTTAAAGCTAAAAGTTGTTCTTCAAACTTGTCATCAATATCATAAAACAATAGAATGCATCACTCTCATTCTGCAATTTCTCATTCGGATCACTCATACACATATACAGACTAAATCTATTTAGCATTACATTAATGCAGCAAATTCATTCATTCCTTAGACATAATCCATTTTATTTAATTTACAACACAAAAATAAAATCCTATTTAACATCTCTCTAAATTCCTCTTTTCCCAATTCCTTCACTCTTGTTCTAATGACATCCTTCTAGATTTTAGACCATAATTATTAATCTTAAAAATGATTATTCCAATCAGAATCTGTATTTCTAGATAGAGGATGGTCATTCTTTTTTTGAGGCGGTGCTTTCTTGATGTTTTCTATTTTAATATTGTTGTAATTATCTCTATTCTTAATGATCACCTAAGTCCAATACTTTCTATTTAGAGGGAAATACCTTCAAAACATAAATTTTTTACCCCAACAATAATCTCCAAATTATTCCTCTCAACCTACTAGTTTAATTCGTGAATCCTTATTAGCACAATTTTACCAGCCCGTCTTCATCCACAATTTCATTCCTCAGAATATTTTACACATCCTTAATGAGTTATTAATTGTCATTAGAAATGCCTCCCAGATTTTAAGACAGACTTTCGATGTCAAAATCCTAGTTTATCATAAACTATAAATAATGTTTTATAATATGTAATTTATATCATTTTTCCTAATACATTGGATCAACTTAGTTTCTGCAAACAGATTTTGATTCTTTATTCATCTGCTAGTATTATGAATAATCATATAGATTTTATTAATTTGTGCATTAATTTTAGAATTAGAATGATTAAGAATTTGAAATATTAATTTGCTATTGTTGTTATTAGGGCAAGTTCTGCTATTATAATTGTTATTATTGATATTGTTATAATGTATTTGGAAGGTTAGATTGTTAAACATAATTCATAGTCTGGCATTTTGTGCATCTGATCAAATTGGATACTAAATTAAATTTGTTTTTAATACATCCGCATTGGTACATGACTGTAATTTTACAGGAGCCACATTGAAAATAACCAAAATTAGGCTTATTTACTTATTAACATTTAAAGCACATAAATGGTTATTTTTCATCTTATATCATCTAGGGAGTTTTACAATGAATGCAAGTTGAATAAGTTTATCTTTTTGTTGACATAATAATTACTTTCTTTGATTGATACTCTTATCAATGAGCATTGATGTTTATTGTAATACATTAGAGACAGGGTTCTAATTTTAGTTCTAAGGCTAAGAATATTATTAATTTTGATATGGAGCATATTGATACTAACTGTATTAATTCTATATTATGTAAATTCGAAATACTGGGTATATGTTGATTGGAACTTGTTGTTGTTATTAAAACTAAGGGTACTGAATTTACGATTGAGCTGGGAATTAGTTCTGTTGTTAAGCCTATTATTAATTCTAATTATTTTAAAGATCCGACTTGCTTTATATGTTATTTTAAGGAGGTGAAATTGGTTATTCAATTTATTTTGGTTGAATAACTTCGGCATGTTGTACCTCTAAGAATTAATTCATCAAGCTTACTAGCATCATCAAAAGAGACATATTCTTATTCATCTCCATAATCCTGAATTTCAAAATCCTCGTTGTTCTATTTTGGTTCTTTATATTTAGCTTTGGATTTGTTGGATAACAAGCCCAAATTTGCATCATTTTGGTTCATCTAAAAGGATTATAAGAATATTATATTATTATTTATTCAAAATATTTCTAAATATTCCAATATTCTGTTTATATTCATAAAAGTCAAGATTAGATTAGACACAATGTAAATTGTTAAAAAGTAAAAAAAATAATTCAACATATTTCACTTTTGAAGTTTATTTTCAACGTACAAAAGTCCTGATTAATTATATTTTTAGTATATAAGTAAGTCTTCATGTCTCTATATAAGTTATAAATATATATACTTCTATAATTTTATCCTGGATCGTATCACTAAATTTAAAGTCAAGCATTATAAATTTTGCTGCATATTTGATAACATCTATTAGATCTACTAGATTAAAACCAAAACTATATTAAACAAATTCAGTAAATAACTTATTGAACGATTTCTAAGCTATGAATTAATTAAAGGATTACAATCAACTAGGATAAATTTGCGAGTCTTAGGAATTTCATAAAATATTTATTCTTTAGTAAATTGTTAATATTCAATAGCCAATATTAAATACATAAATGATGCTACCAAAGTTCTTGGTTTATAATTCAATGTTGATATATCTAAATAGCAACAATCAATATATGCCTGCAATTTTAACATTACTTACAATAAGAAAATGATTTACATTTATAAGATGTCGTGTTATTAGCTCTGAATTTCTTTTGAATATCTGTGATAAAATTATCCCATTAATTGGTGTAGAATTCAATCCAAAGATTGATTGTAGGGAGATTCAAATGCCATTAGAGGACTGTACAAACTTCTATCTCCATATCATAAATTTAATCTATGGTATACCCATGATTGGCTGCTTTTTCAAACTCACTGACATGTTTTGCCTCTACTTCCTCAAATATAATAAATTAAAATACTTCCATTTTAGATGCAATTAGCATCGAGGCTGTCCCCAATAGTTACAATTCTACTTTTGGGATAGATTTTTTCGATAAATAGCTATCAACATATGCTACTGCCAAATAATAAGTATCTCTTTTCATATTGTAGACAGAACAAACATCAATCATCCAATCCATTAAAATTGCCCTGACTTTTGGACTTAATTGAGTTTGGATAGAAACCATATAATCAGGATTTGGAAAATGTTCAATTTCTTATAACATAAGTGCTTGTAAAGTTTCAGCAGAAAATCCACCAATTTATGAATCCTTGCCGTTTTCATTTTAGAGAAATGTTTAATTTAGTTAGATATTTTTTGATTAAGTTGAATTAGCATTATCACTCAAAATAGTAATGCTGGATTCATCACATTCTAGAGTGAGTCCCAAATTCTTTTATTCTCCCATAGAAATGCATCGAGTATTTTTTTTATGCTTCAATAAATTGTTATTAGGACTTTATTTTTTGATCGTTCTTTCACTTAATTAATTAGAGGAATTGTCTTAAATTAAAAATTTGGGGACATTTAATTTTTCTACCTTTTTTTCTTCCCTCTGAGAATTGCAACTAGAGATATAAATATTCTGATTTACTTATTATAGTTAGAATAGTAAGAATTAGAAGTATTGCTATTAGTGTTTTTATTTTAAGGTATATTAGAAATCATAAAATATGTTCCTGAATTACCTTAAACAACATGACTATATTATCTATGGTTTTTTTTGAACTAGGTTTTGCTATTGCTATCAATGGAATTGTTTCTTGAGAGATTTTATTAATTGAGAAATGATTCAAAAGTAACTTGCTGATTTTAGTAGTCTTTTCTTTCCCATACGGCTGAATCTTTTAAATTATTATCCTCATTCGGCTTTGGCTTATTTAAGGTTGGTATTAGGCTTGGCTAAGCAATTTTTGTTAAAGTTGAATTAGAAGTTTGTTAGGGAATGTTTATTTAAAATGGAATACAACTGGATTGCTTTTTATTTCTTTTATATTTTATTTCTTCGGGTTTCGGATTTGTCTAGTATGAGGATCAAAAATACTTGAATCTAAATTTTATTATGCAATAGTATTGATTTTGGATTTTGAGGCAATTAGGAATTCTAATCAAATCTTACAAAGGAAATATTCTAATTTGGTTGTATGCTTTACATTCAACTATTGATAATTTTCTTTTGGTATGAAATAGGGATTCCACTAGGCAGTCATTTTCAAATTTAAATATAAAATATTGATTAAACATATAAATTAATACTAGTCAATGGGAAAATGGTTATGTATTTCTAGTTGAAATTGAGCGCCTATCAGTAAGTTTTTTATTTGAATGTGGAGAGCCATCCAACTTAGCAGAGGCCTTCATTTCATCTTTGCTTTCTTCTACGTAATCAAAATCCTTGATTAATTCAGAAGTCTCTTCATTCAACCTTTAAGAAAATAGCATTTATTCTTTATTAATTTTGTTGAGATTCTTGGCAGATATTTATTTGATGATAGGTTTAGGTATGAAAGATTTAATATTATAAGAAAGACTAGCAACCTACTCTCTAATTTTACTCATTCTGTCAGTGTAAATTTAGTGCTTTGTTTTGACATTCTGATTCGTTGTCTATGATTATAAGGGATCTGTTGAAGGATGATTAACTATATTGGCTTATCTTCTATTTCGATAGGCAATCATGGAATCGATTTCTAGAATCTAAAAGTCTGCACTAAGAAATCCAGTTTCGTTATAGCCTCCGAAAATAATAAGTTTATGATCATCCACAACAGCAGAATGACCTGCTCTTCCTTCTTTGAGGTCTAAATCGACTTTGCTCCAAGATTGAGTTTCAATTTTGAAAATGTGACAATCATTCAAGAAAGTAGATGATTCGCTTATGCCACCATAAATAATAATAATTCCCTACCTATCACAATATGAAGCAGAATGTTTATATCTACTAACTTAGTGCTAATTTCAATTAATATTTACTTGGTAATTATCCTTTGCCAGACACCAAAGACCATTACATTGGACGAGTACAAGGATTCAGCATGTATAAGCCAGAATACAGTGTTCCTATTTTAGATTCTCCTCCAAACAAGTATACTCCCTCTACTTTATATTTGATTTCCTTCATTTCCTCTGGGTCCATGTAGTTTTTATAAATTTGGATATTTCTTTAACTACTAAAGACAGAGATGAGTGTATGAAAAGCAATTCCATTAGTAAAAAAGTCATTCTACTCAACCTAACTTAAAAACATTTTATTGTTCAAAATATCATAGTGATATAAATCACTTAAATATCTTCCTTTAGTGTTGATACCCGCATGGATAATAATATGCTTTCCTACAATAGCTCCTGATGCTCCCCTTCTCCCTTCAATTAATTCTCCTCCAAACCTTAATGCTTTGAACTCATTATTTTCTATTTCATATATCTACCAATTTACCTGTATTAAAGACTCTAAAATCATTAGTACTTTCCCTTATCTTCTATTAACCATCATATGGTTTCTCACCTCCAAATATGTAGATGTTCCTTCTAAAAACACAGTGAATATGATTGGTTCGACCAAATGGAGCCTTCTCTCCTATTATCTGTGGTTAGAACCACTCTTTATGATCCCAAATAACGACATCATTAAATGGTTTGCTACTTATTCCTCCAAATAAATATAGTTTTCCTAAGACATTATTCAAGGAAGCTCCTTCTCTCATTTAAGGTCTCCATTTTCCATAGAACGCATCTATCCAACCTAAATAGTGGGTAGGAATTGTGAACTCTTCTTCAGGTTACTGAACTTGTATAACTTTAGCTTTAATGGCTGGCATAATTTATCCTTCCTCATCAATTTTGGCAGGATAAGTTTTTATTTTTGGTAATTTATTTTGATTATATGATCTAGATCTAGCGAACGTTGTTCTCAATATACTTTGTTTCTACTGCTCCTCCTAATACCTTAATTAAGTTTTATTATGATCCAATTAAAACGCAATCTATTCTTTTAAGCAACAGCTGTCATTCAACATAGACTGACTTTTATCAGTCAGATTGAATTTTCGCACATAGGATTGAGAATGGTTACGCATAATCTTCTCTCTTTATGTTCTAAACCTCTAATCACTTTCAAGTCGACCCAACAAAGTTTTATCTAAATTGAGTAATTCTTGTTAACTTATAAATTTTACTCCTTTCTAGTCTGGTAGCTTCGGTAATAATGGATGCAACTAAAAAATAAGTTATTTATTTTTTACTAATTAGCAACCTCTTGATACTAGCTAAGTATATTATGTTATTGTTTAGTTTGTAAGTCCTTAATGCTAATATTGTTCAACTATCTATCCTAGAATTTGATCATCTAGATATCCTCTTATGTTTTCTTGATCTAATTAAATTTCATCCTCTTACTATAATATTTCACTCATTTAATTAAATTAATAAATGTATTCAACTTAAGCGCTTTAATAAACTATTCATAGTTATTCTCTACAAGTGCTTTAAGCTGGTGATTTTGCGGTACCTTTTGATGTCTATATTATCTCTGTAGAAAAATTAACAAATTATTGACTAACTCAGAGCATTTATTTTGGATTGGAATAATTTGCCCCTGTTTAGAAATATTGTCGAACAAGATCAAAAACCTGAAACTATCTTTGTTCTCTATTCCCTGATGTAAAAATCACTTGCCCAAGGATCCAAATTTATTAATGTGCTTCAAACTTCATTAAAAAAATAATCTACTTTTGAGGAATTAGAAAAGTACTTTGATTATTAATTTCTTAGCAATGAAAAGTAACACCACACCATAATTGTTACTACTCATATTGATATTGTAATCAATTATTTTGCAAGATTCCTAAATCATCCAAATCATGTATAAAATTAGGTGCTATTCACTTTGGCTTTCCTATTAAGAAAATATTGGACAGACACTTTAAACTCAGATTAACTAGTTGAAAAATTGATTAACACATTTTTTAACAGTCAGAATTTCACAATTTTAACCATTGGATGTAAATTATTTGAAAACCTCTTAATTTGTGTTAGATCATATTATTATGCGTCCAGTTATTTGGAATTTCGAAAAATAATGATGAACTTCTTGAAGTACAATTTCAATTAAGTAATTTAGGTAATCTTTAAGCACCTTATTGATTTCTACTCATAAACTGATTCTCATTTAGTTGCAGCATAAAACGTTGATTTAATTATATTAGGAGGATAAGGCTTTTGCTGATACATTAATCTAATTACTAAACTCATTCATGACTTTTAATTTCAATTTAAGCTTTTATGAGATTGAGTCAGATCAAGATCAAAAGGATAACTTTCTTATAAATGTAATAATTCTAAATCAAAACATTAATTTAGTTTCCTGACTCTTACATTTCAATAATAACTGAATATAAACTCCTTTTAGAAATGTTCAGATCAATTATTGACTTTTACACTTTAGATTAAACAATTTCAATTAAATTGATAACAATTGTTTAGAGAATAGCTGCTGCAAGACTTTCACTATTCTTTGGAAAACGCTCATAGAAGCAATAAGTGAGAAGAGCCCTCTGGGAAGGTTTACTTTATATCTTAAATCAACATTAAGTGTACATAAAAAATTACGACTTTTGTAATGAAGTTTGTATATTTGCTATCAAATTAGTTGTAAATATCGTTCTTTAATTAGTCCAACTTTACGCTGAAAAAACTGAATAAATTTTCAGATTTATTTGATTAATGTGTAATTTAATTTAATCAAGTGAATCAAGTAATATTAAGTAATTATTAAATCAGGATACAACCAAATAGTGTTTTTATCAAATTGCAAGAAGTTTGGAATTAATTTTAGATTTAAATAAATTCATACAAATAACATTATCCATCCTAATATTAGAATCTATCAAATTCTATAAATTTAAGTTTCAAACTTTTGATTCAGGCATTTTATAATGGGAACCCCTTTGCAGACATTCCAACAAGCATTCCAATTAAAAAAATTAAGAAGTTTATTGATAAAAGTTTTCGATTATGTTCTTAAGTTTATTAATAAAATGCTGTAGAATGTACAAATTTACTCTTGGAATCATTTAAAAAAATACCAATCCAAGTATTCATCATTTTTCACTTTAGAACCTTAATCAAATGGCAGAACATGAATAGATGATTACAATTTGTACTTTTATTTATTGATTTCTAGAAAAATTCAGCTCACTGTTATGTTTAGTCTCAGCATTTGTTATTAGTCCAACACAAGGAGAGTTATTGACTGGATATGATTATTATGGGCAATAAAATAAATAAGAAAGACCTCCTTAGTTTGGTTAATTAATCATATATATTTTGGAAATTATATCTTTTTCCAATAAATTAAGTTTACCAGTCCTGGCTACTTAATAAGATATTGAGAAGATATAAATTATAAAGATGTATCACACCTGTATTTTGATATTTATTCAATCTTATATTACACAAACAATAGATGGTGTATATTATGATGAAAACTCCAATACAGTTATTTCTTAATCTTAATTGTAATTAGTTTTCTTTTATGAATAGATAAACAAGTATTTTTCGTGATTTAGGAAGTTAGTAAAATTATTTAGCAATAATTGAGAGTTGTTTAGAACAATGGTATTTAGTTGATTTAATTAAGTTATCAAAAATTTACTTTGAATGATCCTGATCTAGTAGAATATAGTTTTTAAATATTGTAATTTACTTATGAAAAGTACAAAATATCATAATATCGAAAGATTAAAGAGACAGCTTGATAGAAGAATATTCCAAGCAAGTTAAGTAAATAATATGCTGAGACAATTCTTCCTCCAAATGGATTTCACTTGTTTTAATGAAGTCTAGTATATTAAAAAGAGAAAACTTGTGTATCAATTAATTTCACTTGTTTGGGTTGATGATCAGATGGATGACTATGTTCCAGCTTTAGTGGATATTTATAAGCAGATCAAGAAGTCGATTGCAATAGAAATGAATAAAATAAATATGCTCAAATACATTTGGGACATGATTGGTATTGTGAATGAGCTAGAACTAGATAAGATTTATCGAATTTTCTTACGCATAGTGTATATAAAATAAATTAATCTAGTTTACCCGATATATTACAAATTTTGCAACCTAATAATACTAATATCTTTGTTTCAGATTTCGATGCATCAATTGGATTAACATCTTTGATATGTTCAATTTTCAAAAACAAGTAATTTATATAGTTCATTATAGAAATACAAGATTATCAAATGAAAACATTTAGTTGGTTCTGTATTAAGTCTATGGACAAACAACCAACTATTTCATCACATCAATCAAGTACTTATTAACATAAGCATAAACATGTTTATCCTAAGGTAAATAAGTTTAAGATAATACTTTGAAAATGGCTGCAAAATTGATGAAAGTTATGGGCCAAATTTCAAGTTCTAAATAGATAAATTAAGGATTCTTTATCATCTACCAAGATAATTTTTGTTTGGAATTGTTTATAAAATAATTGCAACTCATTACAGTTTATAGACCTTTATTTTAAAATCTAATGAAGTACAAACGTTATCTCTTCGAATGTCTTGAAGGAGTTTGTTAAGAACATAGTGAAACACTTACATACAAATGTGGAGCTGAAACATTTCTATAATTATTTGAACTATCTGAGAATACTTTAACAGACATTCTAAATTTTAAATCTATCAAGGGTGATGAACAAATAAATGAAGAAGCCATTTAGTTGTCATAGTTAGCAACATTATTATATAATTCCATCTAATTTCTGGTATAGGAAAGTATAATAGGAGAAGAATAAGACACAGCTATGATAAAACAAAAGATTTCTGATATCTATGGTAAAGGAAAACTATTATTACAATCAATCTTTAGATAAAGTTTTATGGTAACTGTAGCATTTCCAAAAATCATTAAATTTTTATAGCCCAATTCTGATATAATGTTTGCAATTTCTTTATTCGATCCAAAAGAAGTATTCATTTATATGAAATTAGTTTCAAAATCTTTTGTTGTAGTTGATATAAGAATACAAAAATTAATTATGGCTGTCAAATCTAATTATAGATCCAATAACTATAGGATATTAAAGTAAAAATTAATGTTATATTTAGGCTTGGAGAACTATTTGAATAGTTTTACCAAAGATAACTTCACTAAATAAATCAAATATGTGTTAGAATATGTGTGTCATGAATCATGAAGATAAATGTTCATAGAAATATATATTGTTTTAAAAAAACTATTATAAATTAATCAATCAATTAGTTATTAAAACGTTTATCTACCAGAATTCGGCTAGGATTAGGAGAACTTAGATTTATTTTATTTCAAGAATCCTGGAATCCATATCTTTTGAGATCCCAAAAATTCTTGATTTAGTGAAGGATGTAACTATCTTCTGATTTCAACTTGAGATAAAACTCTGTAGGTTTGAAGTAAGTTTGAATCATCAACCTCATCATTGGCTTGAAATGTCACTTTGGGTTCAGTTCGTAATTTTACATGCTATCGGCTAGTTGAATTATTTTTGTAACTTTGATTTGCATCTAAATTATGTTTAAGTGATTCAAAATTTAAGTAAAATTTCTCTTTTTTCACAAGAAAAGATTTTCTTTGATTCGCTTTCAATGTTTTCTGCTGTATATTATTTTATTCAACAACACTATATAGTATATTACATACTCTGGTAAACGATTTTTCTTCACAGAGAACCCAACATGTAATATCTTATCTCTCTCTTTCTCAGTATCTAGAATTGCCTTATTGACTAATTTGCGATATTCCTTCACATAAGCTTTATGTTAATTCTTCATTATATCTTCTTATAAATGTTGGGTTTTCTTTTTTGTATCTTAATTGTAGATCAATTCTATGTTTTCTAATCCTCTTGGAGAACAGTATTACCTTTCATTAATAATACTTATTGTATTCTATTAATGTTAATATTTAATACATATGTATTTGAATATCTTATTACCTTGATACCATTTTCTATAAAATTAGATAACAAGTTAGTTTAATCTTTTTATTTATAATCTAGTTCAAATAACACTGCTATTATGTTATCACATTATAAGATTAAGGGACCTCGTAGGTTATTTTCAGCCAATGATAAAAATCTCTATTATTTAATTGATTTAGATACTTTATCTGGATTCGTGAATGTGATTGTATGTATATCCCAGGTATTTGATTGTTTAATTTAAAACTCAATATTAACATCTTTAAATAACCAATAATGTAAAAATGGCTTTTTGATTATGCAAGTCATTTCTGTTTGATTGCTGAGCATTGCTTATTTAGGTTTATAAGCAGGGGATTTTACAACATACTTTCCTATAGATTAATATTCCATTGCATCTCTTCTGTGATGAATCCCAATATTACATTTAGGCATCCATTCGTCTGTAACTTTATTGTATGTGTATAAATCTCCTGTTGTTGTATCCAAAAAATAATCGTCATGAGAATTTTTTAATGCTTAAAGAGTGTACTTTGGAAAATCAACCAATTTGCTGCCTTCTCCATTTCCATTCGTAATATTAATATGCTGTTATAAAATGAGATAAAGTTACTGTCGAAATATTGGAAGCACATAAATATGCAAGTGCTTGAGCTCCAAATGATGTCATAAATAATAGTTTCTTAGTTTTGATGCACATTCTTATTAGACTGATAATCTAGAATAGCAAATATATCGATACATTCCTCATGTTTGGATTCCATGGCCTTGTATTTGGAGATGCGATTATAAAAACCATGTCTAATGAATTAAATTTCTGCCCTTTTTCAGGTCTAATGTGAGATGTTTCTGGCTCAAATAAATAATCTTCTAAATTATGTCTATCAAGCTCGATAAATTCAAAATCAAGATCGGCGACTTCCTTCTGGGTTTATGTGAGCTAGCTATTTTGAAGTAATACCTCATATATTTATTATTTAAACTGATTAAAGATCTTTGAGTGAGAAGCATTTGCAGTAAATCCATTAACAATCAAAAATTTCATAACAAAATTAATTGTTAATTATATATGTTGAAAAATTTGAAGAACTGATCTAGATTTCAATAAAACTAAATTTAATTAAAATTTGTCGAAACCACAAAATAAAAAAGCAAATTTATTTTAATTTCTCTTTCATATATAAACATTCGAATATCTAACAAAATTCTAAAAAGAGGAGAGTAAAATATTAGCCATGAATCATCAAAAATATTTTTCTATTTCTAGAATAAAATTTTTGATTACATCTCATTGAAAACTGCAAATTAAATAGGTTGCTGGCATGATACACCTTAAATAAGAAGCTGTTTAAGATAACTCAAATGAAAGAGTTGCTAGCACCTCTGAGAGAGGTCTTATTTCATAATTCTTACTATAAACAAGGAATCAAGACCCATAAAAACTTAAGAAATTAGCTGGAGAAGAAATTCAATATTAACATATTCTTCAATTTAATATAAATCTAAATTCATCATTTTCCCTTTTTCTTTCTCAAATTAAATGTAAGCCCGATATCATCATTTTTTATATGTGTTTAGATCTATAAATCAGCTGTCATTTATTCTAAAATCTAAGATGTAGACATTACCTGATTTTTGTAGCAAGTTTGCAACGAAATTATCATCAATGTACTTATCAACCAAGCTGACGATGACTCCTTATTCCTTTGGCAAATTTAACTGAGTAACAATTAAATTTGTGGCTTCTCCTCCTTCCTCTTGATCAAAACTGGCTTAATGGACAACTCCATTTATTTAAATCAATCCAATATATTTTAATTTTAACTATTTATTAACTAATTTTTACTTTGTTTTTATAAAAGATTATTTACTTAACGTTAATGTCATTTTTCTTACTCAATTTATACTTTAGATCTGTTTTTATAGCTATTTAAAATCTTCTGCATGAAAATCCATTTAATAAGGAATCTAATATTATTCGATATTTCTTACCATACTCTGCACTCAATAAAAAGTTGATCGGTTAACTTTTAACTGGAATATCAACTGGGGAATTATAATCAGCTAGTTAATTTCCAGTGAAGTGTTTTAACACCTTATCAACATTGGTCTATATCATAATATGTATATAGTACAATCTTAGATAAATTTTCAGCACTTAAACAGACTGTGTGGTCTTTGAAACTCAAATAATATGATCCAATTTCACCTATGCTTTTGAAAGTGAACTCGATCAGCGGCTCAAAGGATTGCCTAAATTCCTAAGATATATGATACAATTTTTAATAAATACCTGAAACCGTCATTTATTCCAATCTTCTACCAATTCTGTTAATTAACCTAATAAGCCACTTTAGTCTAACATAATTAGCAGATTTATTATATAAATTTGTTCTTACTTTCAAAGCAATTTATTGATTTTGGAATATCAACATCTTCATCATTCTCACTTTCCGATTCTGATTCTGATTCTTCCTCTTGAATAAATTATTACTGCTTTTTTGGAATTACTTATAATTTAAACACTTTTTATTCCTAAACTTTTTATTCTTAAACTTATTGTGGAGTCTCCTTTACCAATGTAAATGTTTTCTATTCCAATATTGCTTTTTCTTTAGCTTCCTTTTATGCAAAAGATGTTAATGAAGATTTTTCTTCATCTAATTTCAAAGATTATTAAAACTCTTCTAAACTTAATTACTTTTTTTATTTTTTTGATTTCTTCTTTTAAGGAATTTAATCATCCTCCAAATCTCTTTTCACTACTTATTGTTTGGATTATTATTAAAGTCTCTCTTCCTCTTCTTATTTTTTTCTTAGTTCCTCTTTTTCATTTTGTTTTTTCTACATGATTTGTCTTTATTGTTCTTCCTCCTCTTATTATTATTAGATTTATTTTTATTTTCTTTTTTATTCTTCTCTATCCTCCTTTTATTTTTTGCTTTTCTTCACTTATTAAACATAATCATCATCATCATCATCTTTATCCTACTCCTTATCAGTTACACTTTCTTCATCTTCTGATTCTAATTACTCAATTTTTTATCCTTTCTTACTTGATTTCTATTATTATTTATTTTAGTTAAAGAAATCGAATGCTTCGGAGGTAGATTATAAGTCATTGAAAGCTTTATTGTTGTTTTTATTGGATGATTAATTTGTTTTATTAATTATTAAATCCTCATCATTATCAGACTCACTTTCTGGTTCCTCATGTTTATATTCTTATTTCTTTTCTGGATTATTTTAGATTTACTATGATGTTTTAGTTTCTTAAATGTTGATGGGTTGAAAATTGATTTTCGGCATGAATTCTTTCAAGCTATCGTCTTCATACATGCTCTTAGATTCTTTAGGTTCATCTAGATGAAATCTCTTGCTATATTTTTCTAATTAAGCTTATTTCATTTTTTCAAAATCTGCTGAGTGATCTTTTCCTGAATCATCCTATACTTTTTGGGTTACATCTTGTTTAGTTTCTGAAGGTCTTTATTATACTTCTGGCATTTTTAAGTTTGTAAATTGGTTGAAATCATTCTTTATTTATTCTTTAGCTGTTTAGATTGGTAAAACCAATGGTTTAGATTCAGTCTAAGCCAATTTTTTTGATATTCCTCTACTCCACATGTTACCACCGTCATCTTCATCGTCATATTCTGATTCTGATTCAGAAATTACTTGAACCTATTTCTTTTGGGGTTAGGGTGGCTTAACTTCTTTACCCGTTGATAGTTTCTATTAGTAACTTTTCAATTAAGCCATAACATCAACTTCTTCATCATCATCATCATGTTAGGCCACTTTCTTAGAGGTTTCAGTATCATCATTATCGTAATCTTCTGATTCTTCCTCTGAAAATGGTGAAACTTAACTTTTGGCAAATTTGGAAGGATTATCTCCATCATCAGCAAATTTAGATATTGATTTTAGCAGATCTACTGTTTATATTAGGTTAGTTACCGCTGGAGGCTGTTGCAAATAAAATCAAAACAAAGAGTATGACTATTTGTTTCATAAAAATAATAATATATAAACCGTTTTTAAAAAAGAACAATAATAATATAAATAATCACTATAATTTTCTATTCTCAAATCCCCCATTCCAAATAAAAATAATGATGTTATCGAGTATGCTATCAATGATTCTCTCTTATTGAATTTATTGCCAATTTTCGATCTGAATAAATACAGTTCTCTAATACTGATCCCTATTTTTATATCTACCTAATTCTTATACATACATCTCAAACACATTCGGATTACTAATTATAAATCAAATAAATTTACATTAGTTTCTTTTTATTTTCTAAGTATTCAACATATGGAAACATACTATTTATAGCGAAAGTTATTTTTTTTAGTTGTTTTTCGATCAATTATTGCTAAGCCTACGGGAGATGACTATAGAGAAAATTAACATATAAGGGAAATTTTGATTTTCTCCAGTCATCATTAAAGTAAGGCATTATCTGATCATGTAAATTTTAAATATCTCCCATTTCTTAATTTTTTTAGAAGTCAAACTTAAAAAACTTTAGTTTGTTTGGATCTTAAGGGTTATCTGAGTCTTAGACCAATAAAATGAAATTTTTGATGAATCTCTTGCTTGGCGTCATCTAAACCAATTCAACTTGACATCCTTTTATATTTGATAAAGGTTTGAATTGATATGTATGACAATCATAACCTCCTTCTTGTGGTTCAATGCATGGAAATTCAATCAATCGAAAACTACTTGACTCTTCTGGGAATGTAATTTTTATTCCTGCTATACATTCACTATTAACTGAGTACACTTGATATTAGACAGTCGTTTGAGAATCAAATTATGTAAAATCTAATAGCACACCATATTCGTTATCATATTCATTTTAGTTTGCATCTTCATACTCAACCCTAATATCCTCATTGCTATGAGTCTATTGATGCACAGTTTCAGTTTTGATATGTATATTTGATTAATGAGGAGATAAAGGAGGACTTTGTCTAAGGAACTCCTATAGATTTTCAACTTGATCCTCCTTATTATTAAACATTGATTGATATGTCAAATATTTGGTTAAAGAATTCTACTTTTCATTTAACCCCGATACCAATTGATATTGACGCAATTATAATTTGGTGCCATTTTCTTCATTTTGATAGACCGCATTTAGAGATAACATCTCCTTCAAATTGAATTTCAATCCAAGAAACTTATAATTTAATGACTCATCCCCCCCTTTGAATTGTATCAGGTTTTTTACAGAATCATAAAAATACTCCGCATACATATTGTAATAATCCTTTACTTCTTTTTATAGATCTTGAATTGCTACTTCAGCATTTTAGACTTATTATGATAATTTTCCTGAGAATAATCTAGAATTTGGAAGCTTCAATTATGAATCGACGGTTAACAATTACTGAATATTACTCATTCCATCACTTTGCTATTCTTCTAAATAAAATTCATTCTTTAAAATTGATATTTATCCTACTCTTCTTAAACCATGCTAATTTAATTTACCCAGCCTTTACTCTTCCTTTTATTTTTTCAGATATTCTCGCTATTGAATAGACTACTAAACATAATCATATCCTGAATTAAATTGGTGGAATAAATAGGCAAAAAATTTGTCATATAAAACAAATTCCTATTTGCCTCTTATGATGCAATTCATGGCAGAACACAATTCGTATAGTATTTTCAAAGAAATTTCTTTGTTGTCATTTTATAATACTTTAAGAAACCTCTCTATCTCAATTATATATATTTATTCTGGCACTATTCCTAATTACCTAGTTTATTGAGCATATTGAATAATTTTTAAATATTATTGATCTCGCTTTTTCTATGAGTTACAAAAGATTGGCGGTTGCATCCATTATAAAACAGTTAGTATTAATGAAGTTCTTAGGTAAATCTACTAAAGACTTAAAAAGAGCATCTCTTTAAACTGTGTTAAATATGGGCTTTTCTAGAATAATTGACTCAACATTCGAACATGAGGATTCACAGAAAAAAAGTTATGACTCTATTTTTTCATAAAATTCATTCATACTCTATATTTTGTTTTGTCTTATCTAATTATTTTAGATCCATTTAATCCTCTTATTTTCTCATTTGCAAACTCATACATAATATTATTTTAGATAATATTAATATACTTATAAAATATTATGGTTATAGATGAACATAAATAAAATGTAAATATGTTTGATATTGATTAAATTTAACACTCACTAGGTAACTCTATTAATTTTGAGTCAACTTTAGTTACAGTCAATTTTATTATCTGACAAAAAATGAAATCAATGTTAAACTAGTTTATGGTCATGCATTTTCCAAACTTATTAATTAATACTCATAATTATAAAGCTAAATAATCCATTTAAACTTCGCACGTTAATACTTATTCATTTATTCCTAATTTCTAGAGAAATAAATAAAGTTTTATTATGTTACATTAATCTATTAAATAAGTAATACTAAATATTATATATATATTTCAAAATTTGCTTGGTTTTAGTGATTCTGTTCTAAAATGGTTTAAACATATAAATGAGTAATTCAATGTATGATGAATCTAATAAAAATTATTAATTTTAAACCCTAGTTTAATTGACGTTATAAAAATACTAATCATCAAATGTTATGGGAAGAGGCTTGAAGAATTCTTCATCTATTTGCTAAATTATATTAAAATAAATCATAATTAGGGTTAAGTAAACTTCAATTATATTGAATAACTTGATTAACAGTTATAAAAATTCAAAAATACAATATCATACTGGATTTCTGTTTTATGAATGTGTTTACTTATTTTCTAACTTTAAATCGCTTGTCAGCTTTGAATTAATCTGGTAGATAAGGTTCACGATTAATTGGAATGAGTTATATGAATTTTTTACTTTTGAAATTAAAATACCTTTTTTATAAATCGAACCATTTCTATTTTATTTTTATTATTTACATAACAAGCTTCTATTCACTTTAATTTCTTCAAAATTAGAATAATGGCGAAAAAAGAAGGTATGAATAATCGTGCAGTTTAAATCAATAAAATGATGTATTTATCGTTCTTATTCATTGTCAGTAAAATTGTAAACATTTACTTGTTAACTCCAACCATAATTTCTTTTTTGAATCATTTTAATAGTCCAAAACAATATGAGACTTTACATAAGATATATGAGGATCATATTTCCTTTATCTAAGTTTCTTTTTAACAGATAACTTATATTTGTTTATCCAATATTATTAGATTCTCATGCAAATATTTATAATGAAATAATTTTAGTATAATTATAAAAACTTAAATCTTTATATATTTTTATTCCCAAGGACTAATATAACATAAATATAATCATAAACTCTTAACAGGCGTTCATATTGAGGATTTTCTAATTTTAATAAAATTAATCACTCAATATAGCAGTGCGTAATTAAAATGAATTGTTTGCAATATATAAAAAAATGCTATGAAAATCTCAGACAGAAAAGGGAAGGGCAAGATGAATCGTATAGACTATCAACCTAGGAATCGGAATTGAGGAAGAAGAAAATATTAGTTCTTGATTTGGATGAAACCTTAGTACATTGTGAGTTTAAAGAAAATCAAAATTTTAACTACGAAACGATTTTGGATGTTTGGCATAGAGGAATGCTCTACAATGTTTACTTATGTAGAAGACCTCATTTGGAATAGTTTCTTAAGTAAATGAGTGTGTACTACGAAATTATCATATTTACTGCTGGCTATGAATCATACTGTGACAAGGTGCTTCAATACATAGATGTGGATAAACACATAAGTGATTATTTTGCTAGATCAAATTGTATATTTGTGAACGGGAACTGTTTGAAAGATCTTGCAATTTTAGATCGGCCATTGGATTAGTTAATTTTTATAGATGTATCATTTATATAGCATTCATAGAATAATCCAAACGCTTTTGAATTACAACCCGATAATGGGTTGTTGATTCCTTCATTTCTGGATTCAGATGAGGACGAATGTCTACTGAGATTAATCCCATTTTTAACATTCATGGCTAATAAATCTTCTGTGAAACCTGTCAACTAATGCTTAAAAGAATACGAAACTATAAATGGTTCATTGTTTGGGGATTCAGATATCACTCTGTAATGTCACTTGGATGGAGAAGAAGGTAGTCTCAATGAAGACAGCTGTATAATAAGTGACGATGTCCCTTAGCATCGAAAGACTAAAACTTTAATGTAACATCAATCAAAAGGAAAATAAGTATAAGAGGCTCGCAGTTAATCTCTATTCTCTGGTTGAATAAATTTAAATTGTTTATAATTTCAATTATTATGCGCCAAAAGACTATAGAAGAATAATATAAGAAGATGACTCATATTGAGCACATTCTTCAGAGGCCAGATACATATATTGGCAGTATATAAAGAACTTCTGAACAAATGTGGATAATACAAAATGGAAAAATGATTTAAAAAGAAATTGAATATGTGCCCGGGTTTTTTAAAATATTCGATGAAATTTTGGTGAACGCAGCTGATAATCTACAAAGAGATACTCGCTAACACAAATAGTCCTATATCAAGGTAGACATAGGAAATGAAATTACAATTAAAAATGATGGATTACCCATCCCAGTTGAAATCCATAAAGAATACCAAATCTATGTTCCAGAACTAATTTTTGGAGTGTTTCTGACTGGAAGCAATTTCGACGATTCTGAAAAAAGAGTGGTAGGAGGGAGGAATGGATATGGGGCAAAATTGACAAATGTTTATTCTACAGAGTTCACTCTTGAAGTGTGTGATGGTAATAATTACTTCAAGTTGGTTTGGAACAATAATATGAGTAACAAACAGATTCCTACCATTAAATAACTAAAAAAAGATCCCTATGTGAGTATTTCATATAAACCAGATTATAAGAGGTTTGGGATGAAAGAGATAGAAGCAGATACTCAAGCTTTGTTAACTAGAAGAGTCTATGATTTAGCTGGAATATATGGTAGTAAAATTAATGTGTATTTGAATGATGAAAAAATTAAAATCAATTCCTTTTAAAAATATGTAGATTTATATTTACCAACTGAAGGAGCAATTAAAATATTTGATAAAGATATGACTACTCCTAGGTGGGAAGTAGTCGTAAGTTATTCACCTACATAATTTTAACATGTTTCTTTTGTTAATGCTATTTATACTGCAAAAGGAGGAACTCATGTTAATTATGTGACAGATAAAATTATACAAGAAATATAAAATGAAATGAATAATAATAAAAAGTACAAATCAATAGAAGTTTAAAAATATCAAATTAAATAATCTCTATGGGTATTTATCAATTGTTTGATTGATAATCCAACATTTGATTCATAAACAAAGGAGAATATGACAACTAAGGTCTCAGAGTTTGGAGGTTCGAGTGAGGAGAAATTTAAAGTGACTGAGAAGTTCTCAAAAGCTTTGATAAAGACGGATATCATTGAAACTATATTTTAGTAAGCCAAAGCCAAAGCAGATGCTAAGTTGAATAAGTAATTGAAAGGTACAAAGACAGGCAGATTACATGGAATTGAAAAATTGGATGATGCAAATGATGCAGGAAAAAAGAATTCAGAACTTTGCACACTGATATTGACAGAAGGAGATTCAGCAAAAGCATTAGCTATGGCTGGCATTGATATTGTAGGAAGAGATAGATATGGTGTATTTCCATTAAAGGGTAAACTTTTGAATGTAAGGGAGGCATCATTAAAATAAATTCTATAGAATGAAGAAATTGAGAATTTGATAAAAATAATAGGGTTATAGAAGGAAAGACAATATACAGATTTAAAATCACTTAGATATGGATCGGTAATGATTATGACAGATCAGGATATTGATGGATCACATATCAAGGGTTTGATCATCAACTTTATTCATCATTTTTGGCCATCATTGGTGAAGTATAGTGGGTTTTTGAAAGAGTTTGTAACTCCTCTAATAAAGGCAACAAAGGGAAATTAAACAATACCATTCTTTACAGTTTAAGATTTTAACAAGTTCGCACAAGAAGAGGATATTAAGAATTGGAAGATTAAATATTACAAAGGGTTAGGTACTTCTGATGATCAAGAGGCTTAAGAGTATTTTAAAAATTTGAGAACCCATACAATATAGTTTAGATATGATGGAGATGATGATGACAGCTCAATTGATTTGTGTTTTAATAAGAAAAAGGCAAATGATAGAAAACAATGGTTAGCCCAATATAATCATGATTTATATGTGGATCATACTAAAAGCGAATTAGGCTATTCAGAATTCATACACAAAGAGTTGATTCATTTTTCTATGGCTGATAACATTAGATCTATACCTTCCCTCATGGATGGTTTAAAACCAGGATAGAGAAAAGTGTTATTCGCCTGTTTTAAGAGAAATTTGAAATAAGAAATCAAGGTGGTCTAATTGGGTGGTTACATAGCTGAACATTCTGCTTATCATCATGGAGATTTATCATTGGTTTCTACAATAATAGGGATGGCTTAAAATTTTGTTGGTTCGAATAACATCAATTTATTATTACCTAAAGGTTAGTTTGGTAGTAGAGCTATGGGTGGTAAAGATCATGCATCTGCGAGATATATTTCTACAGCTCTTAATAAGATTACGAGGTACATCTTCCCGGAATAGGATGATCATTTATTAAAGTATCAGGAAGATGATGGATAGATGGTTGAACCTGAATATTATGTGCCTATCATCCCTATGAGTTTAGTGAATGGAGCTGAAGGTATTGGTACTGGTTGGTCTACATCAATCTAAAATTATAATCCGATTGAGTTAGTCAATTAAATTAAAAATAGATTGGATGGATAACCATTTCAGCCAATGACTCCTTTTTATAGAAATTTCGATGGTATAATTGAAAATTTGCCTAATGGTAATGGCATCATCAAAGGCATAATTGATTGCAATGAAGCCACAGATATTATTACTATTAGAGAACTGCCCATTAAAAAGTGGACAAGAAATTACAAGGAATGGTTAGATAAAGAAATGGCTGAGGAAGGAAGTCAAATAGTGGATTTGAGAGAATATCATACTAAATACAAAATTCATTTTGAAATATAGATGGTGGATGGATTTGTATCGGATTTGAAAAATCCATTAGAGTACTTTAAACTGAGTACACCAGCCTCTTGCAGTAATATGGTGTTATTTGATTCAAATAATAAAATCAAAAAGTATGAATGTGTTTCAGACATAATGGAGGAATTCTATTAAGTGAGACTATAGTTTTATCATAAACGAAAGGAATACCTTGTATCAAAGTTGGATAGAGAAGTATAGTTATTAGATAATAAACTAAAATTCATAAAGATGGTCATTAGTGAAGAGATTTAAATAAGAAATGTTAAGAAAATTGATTTAGTGAAGTAACTAGACAAGAATGGATTTACTCGTTTCTCATAATTGATTTAAGTAAAATCTACCAAAGTAAAGGCATTTGGAGATTCTTAAAAATAAAAGAAAAATGTTGATGACGATGAAAGTGAAGATGAATAAGTATCCGAGGATGAGGATAAGTAATAAAAAAAATAAATTTAAAAAAAGTTATAATCAACACCATCAATTGATATAAGTGAATTTAATTATTTACTATCGATGCCATTGTTTTCACTTACTTATGAAAAAGTAGAGAAATTGCAAGAAGAATTAAATCAAAGAGTTTAAAGCAGAGAAGCTTTAGTTAATAAAGAGATATCACTTATGTGGAGAGAAGATTTAGATAAGTTTTTAGAGGCTTATGAAGAAATGAACGAAATTGAGTTGCGTTTGATAAACAAATAAGAAAAGATGCCAGGAAAATAAATGAAGAAACCTAAAAAGAAAAATGATAAATAAGATCAAAAAATTGTTGAGGAGAAAGTACAAAAGTCAAAAGCTATTAAGAGTAAAGATCCAGTTGAAGATATACTATCTAAATATAAAAAATAGGATGAGAAATAAAGCTAATTGAATTCTAAACAAGTAGAGTTCAATGCTAAGTAATAAAATTAAAAGCTGTAGGAATCAAAATAAGAAGTTGAGAATTCCAAATAGGTTTCTTAATCAATTCAGGGAAGAAGGATAAGAAAGTTAAAAGTGGAAAGCAGCTCTGAGGATGATTGAAAAAAAGAGATAATTGATAATTAAATATATTTATGTAAAAATACTTATTAAATGGATTTGAAGTTTTTAAAGTCTTGCCAATCTCTCACGAAATTTTAAGAAAGAAGATTTTTGAGCATTATAATTTCACCAATAAAGAGGAAGATACCCTAAGCACAATGATTGACACTCTAAGATTATATAATAAACTTCATTCTATTGAAGCTTTGGCATTGGCAGCCCCACAAGTAGGATGGGAGAAGAGACTTTTCGTTTGTGCTGACTTAGAATTGTAATAGAGGAAAAAAGCAAAATATATTCAGAAAGTTGATGTTTACTTGAATCCAGAGATAATTAAAAAATCCAATGATTTAATTGTGAGCAAAGAAAATTGCCTCAGCATTCCACCTAATGTATATTTATACATTTACATTGTTAGTAAATAGCTTGTGTGATGAGATCAAATAAGATAACTATGAAGTATTATAATTTATTGGGAATTGAGATGGTTGTAGAGGCAGAAGGATTGCAAGCCTGTATCTATCAACATGAGATTGATCATTTAGATGGAATTAATGCTTTAGAAAAAGCTACTTCCATTATAGATAGCTAATAGCGTTGATAACTCATATTATATTTGTGAATAATTATAAAAATATATAAATGACAGACTTTGTAAATCAAAATCGTTCACATTTGACTGCTGAGGAATCCTTGAAAAAACTATATGAATATTCATAGTAAAATTTCAATTTATTTATAGCATTTAAGATGCAAAATAAAGATCCTATCACTTGAGATTGTAAAAAGCTCATGCATTTTCTTTCGTTGGCATTGCATCAATAGCAGTATTTTATGTTGGATATGTATGTATTATAAAAATAAAAACAGAATTTGATTGAAGGAGTCTGGGCTAAATTATCAACTACAAATTAAGTCACCAATTTGTTTAGAATTGCTTAAAACCCAGTTAGATCAGTCTACAGACCTGAAATCTATTTGCGAGATCAAAATGCAGATCAAATTATAGCTTAGAAAACTGTAGAATAGAATAATCCATTAAAATTATGGCATTGAGAAATAAATCATATATACAATCAATAAAATATATTTATTAATGTCCACATAATATCGAATACCCTCTAATGATCATTATATTCGCGATCTGGAGAATCTTTCCCAGAGGTATTTCAAATTGCTTATCTTTAGAGAACGGCATGGATTATTCTCATAGCCCCCTCCTCTTTCAGTTGGTGATTAATACAACGATTCTCAAAAAAGTATTAAGAAAATACTAAGTAGGCAAGGGAAAGAAAAAGGGAGTTCTAATTAATTAAAAAATACAAAATCATCATGAACCTTCATTATTTATGAACCCAGGTTATATTTCAGTAGGTGATCCTTACAAAGATCCATTTAAGGCTAAATAAATTTATGAAAAAGAAAGAGAAATGGCAATAACAAATCCTCATAGTTTTAAACCCACTGATAAATCTAAATCTATGTACCTCTATAGGTATCATATTTATTTAGAAAACACTCCGAATTTTAGCATTTGAAAGAATACGAAGATAAAAGGTACAATACTAGAAAAACATCAGGAGAAGTTATCACTTAAGCTCGAAATTTTTAAACAAATCCAGCAAAAAAAGGAGTGGGAAGAACAACAATAAATACCTTGTTTGGAAATTATTAATACATCCCTGACCCATACGATAGATAAGAAGAATTAGATAGATCAGAGAGACTTAAATATAAGAGCAAATTCTTACCAGGAGCCATCAGATTCGTTTCAACCAGTCATGGAAATCGCCCTTTTACATCTGATGGAGAATTGTTAGATGGAGCAGGATATGTATTAAATTGATTCATTATATCAAGAATGAAGAAAAGTTTAAACGTCCACGATACAAAGGGGTTTCATTTAGGCCACCTAATAAAAATAAATCTGGATTTTAAGGAACTTTTGAAGTCTTTCAATATATCGAAGAAGGAGCACCAATACCAAAAACAAAATAAAATACTTTTTCAAAATTATTAAAAACTGATACTTTTGAAAGACCCTGGAGGCCTAATTCAAATGGAACATTTGCTAGACCTTGTCCAAGCGTATCTGAAAAATTAAGAAATAAAAGTGGAGGTACTACGAGGATTTGAAACATTTTATTTATTTATTTTATCATATATTTTCAGAATGAACCCTTTGGGTGATCAATTTTCTTATTCTAGATTTCAGATCACTATTTTCATAGTGTTCCTTATTAGCTTTATCGAGAATTTCTTGAAGTGACAATTTTTGGCCTTTGATTTTTTCATAATGTAATTAAACTGGTAATTCCTGCTTTTCCATTTTAATCCTAATTCTCTACTTTGACAATTAAGAAAGTAAGAATTTATCTTTAGAGAAATTTTATATTTCAATGAACCTATTAATTTATTTATTTGACCATAAGTCCGCAATATTCATAACACCTAATGAATGAGTATTTTATATTTATCTTTGAAACTCCTTTATATAAAGATTTTCCTATCTTTCATCTGCTTTAAAACCGAATAGAAGATACGTACACTAGTTTTCTTTTAATGAATTAGTTAATCTTTTTAATCGAAATTTTCTGTCAATGCCTACTTAATTTAATTAAACTTTTCTCTATTAAGGACTACTCAAATTAGAACGACTCATTAAAATAATTTTATTATTACTGATTTATTTATACAGAAATAATAGTAATTATTAAAATCTTTCAACTTATCAAAGTGTAGAGACATTCTTATTAAAACTGACTCTATCAACTCACTATAAATATGAATTGCTCTTAAATATATTCAATTAGGACCATACAAATTGATAAACACTACGTACATATATACATTTATATGAACTTTTTTTTGATGGATATTTAATCATTAATTAATAAAGTTATGTTATATGATCACTAGTCTTTGAATTATTAGTAGAAGGGACTTAAACTTTAGTAACTATCAAGACTTTCTTAGCTCCTTATGGCTAGAGGTGAATAGGCTAAATATTTGAGATATCATTGATATATCATACCTTAATCATTATATACGGGACTAAAGGTGCCCAACTAAGTGGGTACTTTCAAGTTCCATGTCATTTGATTTTGCATCATTTTTAATAGTGGAGACAATGATTCCACCGGTTAATATTCTTGTTTTGGTTTACACTAGATCTAGTTTAGCATTTCTATGGAGTCCTGGTTATTGATTCCTTATTGTTGGATTATGAAGCTAAGTAAATAACTTATTCTATCAATTTTAACATCAAGTGTTTTTTTGGAATTGCTTAGTTCTTGCCAAATTTGTTTGTGCTGATCCATAATTTATTCATTTTGTGAGATTATTTCTTAAAATTGGGTTTCAAATTTAGTTTATCTTTATTTTAAAAATAACAATTCTGAATCCATTTATTTTTAAAAATCATATTACTTTACAGCTGACTTCAATTCTTTCTTGACTTTGCATTTGGTTTTAATAGGATTACGTTTGATCAAGGACAATTGTTTCCTACAACATCAATATTATCATTACTTATTGCCTCTTTTGAAGAAGGGATGACTAAATATCTCATAATTTTCTGAGTTTCTGGCTTTGATAAATTCATACATGTTGAGTTACCTTAGAAAGGATTAATAATGATTGTGTTTGAAGTATTGCAATAAGATTTCATTCTCCATCAATTTAGGTTATAAAACAATAAAATACTCTCCATCGTCGCTCCATTTGATAATTTAGTTAAATTACACCTAATTCTTATATCAATGCATTGTGTCTACCTATTCGTCCAAAATATCGTAGAGCTTAATAATAAAAGCAGGAGTAGAAAATGGGCCAGATTATGTTGTCATAAAATTTATATATTAATTATTTTTTTTAACACATGAAAATTAGAATTACTTTATTTTTTTCAGAGTAATTATTAAATTTTAATTAAATTTCATATGTAAAAAATTAAAGATTGGGGTTAGTGAATAATTAAAATTTAGAATAATAATTTCATCAATTCAAAGATTAAATTCTAAATTCCTTGGAGTGATCTAATTATCTAAGTATCTTTAGTCTAAATATTGAAGTGAATTAATACTTTAAGGACTTCCTCTATAGGCAGTAGTAGAGTATAGCGGTTTCTAACCTGATAAGATTTTACGTGGCGTTAAAAATTGATTATTTAAATTAGAAGGAGATGCATTATTTGATTGGCTATCCTGTAAATTTTGATTGGTATCGCATCTTAAAATTGTTGAATTAATGACAGATTTTTAAGACATCAAATAAGGATATTGACTTCTTAGAAGAGACTAATCCTGAGTAGATTTCATTTTATCATTTTACAACTACCCCTAAGTTGAAATTCTTGAAGCCAATTTATTTTGATATGCATTTTTTTCTAAATTATTCAAAGATATTGGTTCTTTGAATCTGTTTGTAACCATACTTTAGATCTAATTAAAGTCTGGTCGCTTATCAGGATTTTCATCTATCATTTTTGCAACCAATTATAATAGTTATAAAGTGAATTTTCCATATAAATTTTTTATTTATTAAATAAAATTTAATTAATTTGCTAGAGTATTATGCATAAATTACTTCTTTTGGTTAAGAGTTCAATTACAAGAATTCCTAAATCATACACATCATCTTTTATTGAGTTTCGATTAGGGTTTTGCCCTATCTTATCTAATAATTTGATATGAAGATTATCAGTTATGAATATTGATTATGAGTTGATATTCCCATGATATCTATTCTTTCTTTACAAGAATACCATAACATCCACTATTTGTTCGATTATCTATGAAAATAGTATATTTTTGTTACCTTCCAAATTTGGACCTCAGTCATGGCGGTTGATTAAATATGTTCCTTTAAAGTCTTTTAGTAGTAAGCAAAAAAGAATTGTTAAGATTAGACTTTGCCAATATTTAGTGCCTTTGAACTAGTACAGGCAAAATACTCAATCAAATTAGGATGTTGGAGTGAGCTGCGAAAATTATGGATATCAATAATTGATGAGTCTTTTTCAAATATATGGACATGCTAAAAAGTAGCTCAATATTTTACAAATGAAAATAGCAGAGGTAAATTGGTTTCCTTGATTTTCCACAGTTAAATTGAACCTAAGCCTGGGTGTTCCAGCATTCCTTAATCTATAATCTATTCGCTTAAATCTTAGGCGTAGTTTAAAGGTGCATGGTAATTTATCAGAGTTTAGAGATTTCCCATTTTTTTAATAAAATTATAACAAATAAAATTTATTTACATCGATAAATAAATCACTTTCTTTTTTTATTAGCATTCTATTCAACACTAAATAATGGAACATACTAAAATTAATATAATATTTACTTTTGTTATTGCATAAATAACTACTAACCATGCACCCACACCTAAGATGAGGTACAAATCAATAAATGCTGAATAAAACTTAATAATTTATGCTTTTAACTGAGATGATGTAAAGAATTTCCTATCCTTCACCACATACTGCATTTTAGTTGTATGTTTAAATAATTATCTTAGTAACTATTGTATAATATAAAAAATTTACAGAGTTGAAATCATTAATGAATTTAGAGTCCTTTTACAGATTAGCTGGATGTCTATTAGGTGTATTAATAAATTAACTCAATGCCTCATCAAACAATTGATCCTAATGTTATTGTTCATAAGGTTTGTCGTCAATCAATTAACTGACTAAATTGAGTATTTGTAATTAATTGTCTTGCACTTTTGTCGAATTTTATTTAGTCAATATTTATAATTATTTTTGAGTATATATTCTGATGGTGTCTATTTCTTTATTTTAAATGTTTGTAGTTTCAGCTTCCTCGAATGTCGCATCGCTTTCAGTCAATAATGCTTAAACTTAATTTAAAAGTTAAGGGCTGACTTCAATGTGTAGTTTTTCATTTTATCTAATTTAATCGAAGATTATTATTGTGTCTATAGTAGATAGGATTCTTTGATATTCCTATTTCTTATAGAATTGCTTTAGGCCATATTCACCTAAGGATGAGGAAGTTGAAATATAAAAGATTATATTTCGACTAATTTAATTACAATGATATATACTTCAATCTTTGTTAATACTTGAACTCTCTAGCTATCTTAAAGAAGATGGATGATTGAATTCCAAACCTATCTATTGGTATAGTTATTTCAGCTGATGGTACATTTTCATCAATTCCTAACACAATTAAAGTAGATGGATTGTTTTACTTAAAGTTAGATATGCTTTCTAATAAATTCTAATATTTTAGATATTTAATTTACATATGAGTCCTCTAAAGTTAACACTTATTTTTGATCCACACTAGTGACCTACAATTAATATTCTTATTCTGTTTAACTTTGAATTTCCTTATAGTGATTATTAATATTCTCAGATTCATAAGTGAAATAAATGGAGATTGTTGCTCCCTTAGGACCTACATTCACTAATTTAAATACCCAAATTATTTGTGATTAGGTCCCAAATTTAGGCTTCGTTATCTTGAGACTATTGATCCAGAATTATCAAAACACCATTTGGTTTGTTTGTAAGTAATTCAGAAATTGAATTAGCATTTATTTCTGAAAATTTAATTAATGCCACTTTTCTTTATGATAATTCTGACCAATGAGTAGTGAGCAATTAGAAAGAAGCTATTTTGCTTCCACTCCAAAATTGATCTTATTCAATGCCAACCATTCTATATACATCCAATTCAAATGCATTTATTACACTTAATGTAATTAGCAGGATAGCCAATAAATTATTCATTAATTTATTTATTTATACTCAAATGTTAAATACTTAAGTAATTTATTCAAAAAATATTCAAAAGTATTAACAAAATTTTAACAAAGAATAATGTATTCATTTCTTTAATTATTTATTTTAAGAAATAAATGTAATACTCTTTTAATATATTCTAACAATCTCTATAATAATAATTATTGATATCATGAGATTTATAAAATAAAAGTAAAAATGATTTATGGAATCATTTCCGATTCCAAGGAGACTTGCTTCTTTGTTATTTGTTTTTTTCTACTATCATCCTTGATTTTGGATTTATACAAGGACTATGATTGTAATTTTCCTTTTAGTTAGGTATGCTGTCTCTTTTAGGCATAGATAATCGATCCTTTTAATCAACTTAGTTTAAACCACTTTTTTTCATTTTTTCTTCTGCAATCTGCAACGATTTTGGATTTAATGCAGGTTTAAATGAGTGTTCATTTTGGATTTTTCTTTCTTCAAGGAGATGTTATTTTTTCTATTCTTTATACTAAACCCAATTTTAGGAATCCTTTATAAACTAAGAAAGAGATCTTGTAGGAATGATTATGTTTTTTTGTATTTGTTCTTCCTCTTGAACTACTAATAGTTTTTAAAATTCCTCTTTCATCCTTTTCTCTTACCATACTTCCTCCTATCGTTGCAAGAATGGCTTTAACTGCAAATTATTTAAAAGTTTCTGTGACTGTTTATTGACATATGATTTCTATTTAGGAGTCAGGGAACTATCTTTTTCTTGTTATAATAATTTGATTTTAGTCTTCTTTTTTTCATCTTATTAATATAGTCTATCAACCACATTTAGTTAATGCGATTATTTGACTTCTTTATTGGATTATTGAGTATTTCCTTCAAGCAGTATGGCTGGCTTTTCAGGATTGTACATGGCTTGCTATTTTGGATATGAAAGGATAAGTGCACTCATTAAATTACGTTAAATTATATTAATAAAAATTAGTACATAAGCGAATAATATTGTTCGATTAAATTTATTTGAAAATCTTAATTTAAAAATGGGTTGTGGTTAATCATCTGCTTCATTTTTTGAGTCCAGAGGCTTAATTTACATTTACTATGGTACTACATCAGGTAACTCGAGTCGGTTGGCCTTCTAATTTGCTAGTCAAACAAGAAAATTGAACTTTCTTCCTAAGGGTAAGGATGTTATCTAAAATTTAGTAATTAATCTTAGTGAATTTGAACCTGATTAAATAAGTTAATAGAAGCTGGCAGTGTTTTTTGTCTCGACCTATGGAGTGGGATCCTCCTCCTCTGATGCTTAAAAATTCAATTCTTGGATTTTTTCAAGCGAAAGAAAGAATGATGAATTTAAATCTATGTCATATATAGTATTTGCACTTGGAAACACTAATCATGAGAATTATTGCTAATTTGGAATTAGACTAGATAAAAGGTTGGAGGAGCTAGGAGCAAAAAGGCTATTTGCTTTAGGGAAAGGTAATGCAGCTGAAAATACAACTGAAAATGATTACCAAAATTGGATAAACACAGGAGTAGAATAAACACTGATTTAAACCTATCCAGCATAGACATGTGATCCAAAAAAGTTCGAATAATCAATTTAAAAGATCAAATATACAAATGAACCAGAAAATGAAAATCTTGAAAATTTAGATTATTAGGCATAAAAATATAAATCTAGTAATACCTTTATTATCAATGAAATAAAAGAACTAAAAAAGAAACCAACACTGGGAAACTCTACTTTATTTATTGATCTTATTGCTGATAATATCAATTATAAAACAGCTAGCAATATTGCTATCTATCCATAGAACTCAGAGTAATATTTTTATTTTATTTTTAGTCAAGATATCAACGAATTATGTCACTAACTTAGACTTGATAAAAACATGAAGTTTGAAATTATTACATCATCTAAACATCCCTTCCCAAATCCGATATCAATCTAAAATTATTTACGAAAGTATTGAAACATTCATAAACTTAGATATTGTGATTTTACTGGATTGATAACCAAAAAGCAATTAATGGAATTATCCAATTTAGCAATCAATGTATAAAGCAAAGAAGAGTTATTGAAAGCTTCATCGTTTGAAGGTAGAGATTTCTATCTAGAGAATTTCCAAAAAAAGAGAGAAAGCTTGCTTACTGTTATAAAAAAATACAATATACGCAATTTATCTATTGAATAATTATTGGAAATCTGTCCACTAATTACTCCTAGATTCTTCACTATAGCATCAAGCAATATGAAATATCCAAAAAATATTCATATTTTAGCAAGTTAACTAGTTTTGCATGAAAAAAGACTTGGACTTTGCAGTTAATACTTCTCAGGCCTAAAAAAAGGATCTATAGTAAAAGGGTATCTTTCAGATTCAAAATTTATCTTCCCTAAAGACCCTAAGGTCCCTGTGTTATTAATAGGACCAGGAGCAGGATTGGCACCGATGAGAGCTTTGATCTAAGAAAGAGATTACTATTTAGAAGAAAATAGCATAGATTGGTCTCCTTTCTAAGGAAAAATGGAGTTATTATTTGGCTGTAGAACTGAAGATGAATATTTTTTTGAGGATGAACTTAAAAACTATGAGAAGAATGGTACTTTGAGTAATTTGAAAGTGGCTTTTTCAAGAAAAGAAGTAAAATAATATGTGACAGATATTATGGATTTAAATTAAATACATTCCCATTTGACTATGGAAGGAATAATCTATATTTGTGGATCCTCATAAATGGGTAGAGATATCACAAATAGAATACAAGATATGTACAAGCAGATAGAAAATATTGCACCTTATTTGGCATTTAAAAAGATAAGCGAGTTAGAATAAAAATAATAGCTAATAACAGAATTATGGGGATGATATTGATTTTTCATTATATCTTTTTAGAGCAAAATGTTTTTACAGGATTATATATAGGGCCAGGGGATTAAGAGTCTTCCTTCTTTAATTTTTCATCTATCCAACTTATTTTAGCAGCTCTTCCAATGGTGGCATTTGGGGAGGTCTCTCTAATTACTAATTTTCTTATTATTCTTACATTTTTCGCTTTGATCTACTTAGTATTTCCCAACCCCTGGGGAACTTGTAGTCAAACTATTATCTAATTGTCGTTAGGCTTTTGCAAAAGTAGTAGGAGAGCCAATTGACTAAAAAGACATTTCACTAAATGGTATCATCTTAGAAGACATTTTACTAGGGGATCTGCTGAAAATTGATTGATTTGATGCGAATTTTTAAAATTCTGAAACAGATTGTTTAGTCATATCTTATATCTTCTTAGCTGATTGTAATAATTCAATATTGGATGTTTACAATTATTATTCATAATTAGAAAAACCGAGTTCATTGATGAGTCTATTCCAAATTTAATTTATTGTGGTTGTAACAATCAAGTCAAAGTTTTATTTGAATATTGTCAGATTTCTATTTAACTACACATTGAATTCTATCTTCTAGCCCTACTTCTCCATTACATTTATAACTTCTTTTAATCCTTAAATTATAACATGATATTACTTTATTAAGCAAAATTGATTTCAGCAGTAAAGGTATGTTCAAATACTTTCACAATTTAATTCAAATATCCTTTTTTTTAGACTGTATCGTATATATGAGAAATATCAGCATATCTAGAAACATCCTATTGAATATTTAAAAATAATTTCATTTATTTAATATAAAATAATACTTCAACTATTTACATAGCAGATTCAATTTGCATTTAATTTATTCCACTTTTTGAGAATTAAAATAAATAAAATGTATTTTATCACAACTCTTCCTACCTACCTACCTATCTATATTAATAATTTTAATCAATTATAAGTAGATAAGAAATAAGTCTGAATAATTATATTTTGACATAATTGTTTTGGTCAAAAAATGGAATAAGAAAATGATCAGAAATCTTTGTCCCAATTAGGATCTTTGGCTAATTCCTTTTTGTACTTTTGTTTTTGCATTGATTGTTCTTATTTGATTTCTTGAACAACTGGCTTTCCTTATTAGAATTTCTTCTCAATATCATGTTCTGAGATCATTCTATCTTTAGGAGGGACATACTAAATAAAAGTTAATTAGGATTAATACAGGAACTTTTTATAATTCTCTGCTGAACAATTTATCAAAATCAAAATCATCAAACCATGGATTAGCTTTTAAAGCAGAAAATGATGATCCCAATCTAGTTTCTGGTTGTTTGCTGAGTAATTATTCCATAAATTTCTTAGCCTATCTATCTCTAATGAAAGTAGGGAATTTTAATTATGTATTCATTATTTCTTCATAAATTTCATAAGGATCCTAAGCTCAAAATAAATTGATACATCTTATTCTTCTGCATAAGGAACTCCTCCGCACATAAATTCATACATACAAATGCCCATGCTCCATAAATCCACATTAAAAGAGTATCCCTTGCCGAGAATGATCTCTGGTGCCATGTAATGAGGAGTTCCGATAATTGTGTAAGTTCTGTAAGCTCTTGATTTAATTAATGGTTTGGCAGTTCCCAAATCAATTAGGTACATGTAACCAGCATCATTAACCATGATATTTTCAGGTTTTAAATCTCTATATACTATTGATTTGGAATGCAGATATTCTAATGCTAATATCATAGTAGCAACATAGAATTGAGTATCATATTTTGTTAATAAACCCATGTCTCTAATTACCTTAGAAAATAGATCTAAATGTTACATCAAACAATTCCATTCCTCTGATATATTCTACTAAAAAGTAAATAGAAATGTCATCCTTGAATGTTCTTACAAAGCCCATAATAAATGGAAAATTACACTACTCCAATACAGTCTTTTCCTGCAGTATATGTTTTTCTAAATTTTACTCAATTATCGAGGCTTTGCTAACTGATTTAAGAGCAAACACTTTATTAATTGATTTATGCTTAACCAAATAGACCATACCAAATTATCCTTCTCCTAATTTTTTAATATAAACTAAATCTTCAACTGAGATGTGAGAAGCATCTGCCCTTTCTCCTAGTTATTTAATTTTCTTTTCATGGGAATTTTCATTTTTCTTTAATGCAGTTTCCAAATCTCCTCCAAATATCTTAAAGAGTGATTGATATGAGATCGTAGCTAATACACCATCTCTAACCATTGCATATTCAGATTCAATTATTTATCCATATTTTTCTTTCATTAAGAACTAATCTCCAAAGCATAATCCTTTGGGGACTGAATCTTATTTAGCATTAGTCATCACTCCCTCTAAGACAACAATCAATTTATCACAAGCCTTGCCTGCTTCTAGAATCACCTAGCCTTTCTTATAATTATCTATCTTAGCTCTCTAAGCTATTTTTTCAAGTTATATTTTGGATAATTATTTCAGCACTTCACTTTTCTCAAAACTCCATCTCATAATATTACTAAAGATGATTATTTGAACTTTGTCTCCCAAAATCTTTGTTAGGTTTTCTCTACCCAATGCGACACATTTGACTTCTGATTCTGCAACACATGTAGCTCCTCTTTTAGATTTCTCATATAAGGCTTATTCTCTAATAATAACTCTTCAATCTATACCCAAAACTATCCTTGGCACCCATCTTCCTAATTTCTTTGGTTCCTTTCAAAACTGAAACTTCACCGCTCTTTATCACGTAAAAAGAATCAGCTTGATCTCCTTCATTTACAATAGCTTAACCTGGAGCAAATTTAGTTGTTATTAAGGCGTGTGCAATGGAATCTTTTTGATCTGAAGTCATAAAAGAAAAAAATGGAACCTATTTATAAGAAGATTTTGTACTTCATCTATAAATTTTCTATTTTCATCATATTCTTTCAACATCAACTCTTCAATTGTTTTCTTGAATGTGCCACGATCTAGAGACCAAAATCCACAATCTGTCAAAGTTCTGATAGAGGCAGATCGAGTGGCATTGTAAAGAAGTGCAATTTCACCGAAATAACTGCCTTCTCCCAATGTACGAATTTGTTTATCATTTATTATAATTTCTACAGATCCTCTTTCAATTACAAAATAGGAGCTTGCCTATTTTAAGAGATCAATTCCATACTTGATCTCCTTGTTTAAAAATAAATTAATTAGCTTTTAAAGTGCAATAAAACATTTGCTCTATTAATTAAGCTATTTAATCTTCAGGCAGACTAAAAAACACAAAATGACCTTTAAAGCTTTTTCTAATCAAGTCAATATCAGATTCTACAATATTGGTGATTTGTACATTGCATTTCTCTATCAATTCTGGTCACATTCTCATGGATCTAATGATTCACATCATCTCCACCTCTGTATTTTTTTTACTATTTTTTTTAAGCCCTCACAACATCCTCGGGAGGCGGCTAAGCTGAGGCAAGTTAAGAATCACTAAATAATAACATTCTATACATCTTTAATTATTCTTCGTTGTCTATAGTTTGCTTGTGTTTTGACTCAGGCTGGACCAATAACTATGAATTGAATATTCATTCTGATACTTTTGGAATTTTCTTGCCAATAAGATCTTCTATTTCTGATGTTGAGGCTGATTTAAGCGAAGCACTTCTCTGTTTTTATTCTGGTTCTGCCGCTTATTGAGAAGAATTTGAAGAACCACAACCCATATTTTATATTAATTTAAATATAATTATATTCAGTATTTCAATGTCAACATTAATAATCAACTTTAAGTTATACTTAATTGATCTTGCACCTGTAACTCAGAATTAATAATGTTGATCACTAATTGTTGATTTGCAGGATTTATTAATTATCGGTTTTACTTTTTTTGATTATAAGTTTTATAATATTCAATATTAAACATTTTTATCAAAAATTAATACACTACTTTAATGCTCTTACAAACTATAAATTAATGCCTTTATTCAGATAGAAAATATAAAAACAGGATTTTATTGATTTCAATAAGTAATACAATTCTCAAAGATTCTCATAATAATAATATTAAGTCATTATATTTGCTATTGTTTCTCTTGCAATAATTCAATGATCTATTTTTTAAAACAATGTCTTTAGACTTTCAACTTCTAATCCATCTGATAAACTAAATTTACAAATTCGTTGAAATTAATCTTATCATTGTTTTTGACTTCTTGCTCATTAAAAAGTACCCCTTATAATTGATTTAACAAATTTCTTTAATAGTTATTTATTTCTAATTAAAATTTATCATAATATTGATCTAAACTATTATCATTAAATTTTTCATTCAAATAATATGTAAAATATAAAACACTTAATAGTTTAATAAATTATTACATTTTCTAGAACTTCTTAAATTTTATTAAATTACGCAGGCTCATTTAAAGTCGATGTCTCTAATAATCCTAATTCTATTTATTGAGTTATTATTAGTAATTCTCTAATTGGAAGATATCCTTTGTTAAAGCTGATTCATTTTGTCTCATTTAGTTCAATATTTAAGATGGGTTTTTGTTATAGGATGCAAAAGAACAATTAACATAGTCTTATCCATGTTCTTTATTCCAAGGCTATGAACACTTATTACAAAAGTCATTTCCACAAACGCATGACATCTAAATACAGCCTTAAATTCTCTGGATATTCCTACTACAAAAAGGACACACAGAAATATCCAATACTGTCCAAGATTAATTTGATTCCTTGTATTATGTTATTTCCTTCAAAGTTTCACAGGGGATTGGATAATGTGTATCTACTTTACACTTAGAACAAAACCTTACACCACAATGACACTTGAAATTTAATGCAAGTCCCTCTAATTTATATATGTTTTAACAATTAAGTCCTTTAATATAATAATTCTAGTATACCTGGACACCAAGTATAATTGCTATCGTTGTCCAACATTCTCTTAACCAATATTTCCTTGTATAATTAATTAAGTTCAAGAAATTAATGAGGTAATCTTTCTAAGCATTAATATTCTAAACATTTTACTATAGGTATAGAATCAGATAATTGAATATCTATCATTTAATGCCAGCAATCCTTACAAAAAATATGTTAACATCTTAAGCTATAACATTCCATATTTTCTTAAGAACATAATGAACAAAACTCTTTTTTATGATATTTTAAAGAGGACTCCCTGTAAATTCCAATTAATTTCAGTTCTTCTTTGTAATCACTATTAGTTTTTAGAAGATTAAAGCATCTTTTAACATCATCATCTTTAAAATTACAATATAGAAAAATCTTCGATTAATTAAGTAATTTTACATTCATCACGATTTATAAGCTTTCTTTATTACTATTTTAGTATTTCTCAATCTGTTATTGAAGCTCTTGATATAAATCAGGTTACATCAATTTTATATTCTATTCTTATCTGCCTTACATATACTAAACAGATTATTTCAAACAACATTTCTCATCAATCTTAAATGATAGACCATATTAACTCACTTCGTTTCTTTCGCTGTCCAAACAATCCATTTCACGAGCCCTTTTCATACAAATTTAACCCATAATTATATAAATTATTGTGATTTTCAATTTGATGTAAATATATTCAGAGTTGCTATAAAATCTTATTAAAAATGATTGTTATTTAAATCAAATAACTTCATTTGGCTCGAAAAGTTAGGAAATATAAATCAAATTAAGATTAAGCTTAATTTTGCAATGATTTAATAAATACAATTTATATTACAAATTACTAATTTACTTTGTTAAAGTGAAATTCTTTAAATAAAAATTTTGGTATTAAGAAGAAACCAATAGATTCCTTTTATGAACATTTAAACTATTCACTAAATCTTTATATAAACACAATATTTTACTATGATATTTTTATTCTAAGCAAAAAAGGTCTAATTTAAATTGTTAATCTTTTAGAGTGCTTTATAATTCATTTATAGAATGTTAATATTTGGTTAACTTCTTTCTTCTACTAAAAATAAGCATAATTAGTATTGATTTGATCGAAATTAAATGATATAATAAATTGGATGTTAAATATGAGAAGGGATTTAAATATTAAAGGAATATGTATTTTAATTAAATTTTTGATGATTTTATATCAGATGATGGACTTTTTGAAGTCTATTGATATGTAGGACTAGGATTAGGCAGAGTTGAATATCATGGTAACAAATTAAGCTGCAGAATTGGGACATTGAGTCTTTGCACAACCCAAGAGTTTTCCTGCTGCAAAACTCTTATTCAAACATGTCTCAAATGATTCATAGGAATTATCTTCGGCAATATGTGACCTTAAATCTTTTAAACAAGAGGTTAGTTGTTTAGCACTATATTAATATATTATTCTAATCTTAATACCATTCTGTTGACTCCATACATTCCATTGCAGTACCCTTACACATAGCAGGATTGCATTATCTTATGTTGAGACAGTTAGATAGAGTAATTATGAAAGTTATCATAACTAGGCTTTTCATCCTTTTTATTAAAACGAATATATATTATTGATATTAAATAATACTTCAATTTACATATCTTGAAGTCTCATATTTTTACACTTTCAATACTCCACTACCATTTAATTGCTATGAGTTTTAATCAAATTTGTATGGAATCTATGATTAATATTGATAAGATCTTTAAGAACTAATGTCCCCCTATAAAGAGTTTACTCTATCATCAGGGGAAACTATATTTTAATATTATTCATTATAAGTATTGTTCTTAATTTAGGTTGAATATTTATAATTGACCTGATATTCTTTATTTGCCTCTTTATGGGTATTTATGAAATAATTTTTTGATTATTCTAAATTACTTTGGTCTTCGTATAGATTCAATTATTCAACAATGACACGATTAGAACTCTTACTCAGTAATCCCTTATTTATTTCAGTATCATTTTAACGTAATAACAAAGAACTATTTTAATCCCTTAGATTCTGCACTTCAGCAGCCATTAACACAAGCAAGGAAAGTAATTCCTCTTCTCTTTTTGGTTGTATAGTGGTGGAATCATATAGTTTACCATTTGGTTAACTTGTAATTCTTGTTTAAAGAGTTGAGATTGATTAATATGAAGATGTTTATTATTGTCTTAATCTACTTAGTTCCATTGTCAACATTACGATTTTATTTTCATAATACTCCTTTAGCTTTTCGATTTCATTATCCATCTTCATTTGAGACTATAGGATAAGTTGTTATTATAGTTGCTAAGTTATTTATTCGTTTTTTTATTTATAAGCGTTCACTTAATTTTAAAGAGATTCAATTTATCCATATTGTTTATCAATAATAATTCCCAATCTTTCATTTTCAGTTGAAAGTAATAAGTAGTTTATCAGCATATTAGAAGGTTAAATGTTTGCAAATAATCTGGTTTCTTAGTTATTCTTATTAGATTTTCTTTTCTTTGGGTCTAGATCATCATCAGTTAATCCAAATTCATTCTTAATCCATTATATCTTATCATTAGCTTCTTTTAATTTATTACTAAAATCTTTTAACTCTTGGTTTTTCTTGTTTAAATCAGTTTATAAATCTTTTAGTTTATTATCCTTATCCTAAATTTACCTTAAAAGATCATTTAGTCTATTCTTGAGATCTTCGTTTTCATTCTATAATTTATCATTTTCCTCATGTAATTAATCAACTTCCTAGTTTAATTTTTCATTATCATCTTTTAATTATTCAGCAACATCTTTTTATCCATCAGCAGAATCTAACTCTTCTAAACAATTTTATAAATCTTTTTATAATTTCATTTTGTCTTATTCTGCTTATCTGTATTTGTATTGAATTTCATTTAATAATCGTGTTTAATCCTACACTTATTTCTATAAATCTGAGATTTATTTTTAAGCGTCATTTAATTGCATTTTTAAACTTGCAATTTCTTAATCCTTTTTCTTTGTTGAGTCTCTTAATTAATTTAATTCATTTTTAATTCCTTCTAAATCCTTCAGTTTATTTCTAAGATCATTTAATTATTAATTTAACTATCCATTAGCAAATTACAAGTCCTGACTTGTTTTCTATTTGGTTTATTTTAAATATAATTACCTATAGATCATCCAGCATTCCAAGATCACCCCTTTATTTATCATTCTCTCTTTATTACCTATCTAATTCCTTCTTCAATTCATCTGCTTCTTTAGCTTTTTTCCTTAATTTTTCTAATTCCTTTTTAATTCATAAATAATATTTATACTTTCAACAAATCTTCTGGACTCCCTCCAAATTGCTTTTATAATTTCTCAAGGTCCTTTAGTTTTTTAGCAAGAATATCTGGATTTATGCCTCCTAATTTATTTTACAACTCATCGTATAATTTAGCCTTTCTTCTCAATTCATCAAGCATTCTCTAAAGTTCATCTGGATTCTTGCCATCAAATTATCTATCATAATCATTTAGTTTTCGTTTCATTTGGTTTAATTGAGCTTTCAAATCATCTAAAATTTGAAAATTTCAACATTACCTATATCTTCATCTCCTATCTTTTTTTATAATTATAGTAGCTGTTTTTTTTAATTTTCCAATTCCTTCTTCCAATTTGGATCATAATCTCTAAATTAGATCTCATATTTCGATAAGGAGACTTCGAGGTCCTATATAAGTTTTCTCAATCTCTCATTGTCAGTCACGATCAACTAGTTGTCTCTAAGCTTAATCATATTCCATACTGTTGCAATCGTTAAAGTTTCTCCATTAAGTCTCTTATTTACATCTCATAATTAATTCTATCGAGTCCACTGTCATGATGCTATTTAATTTGAACTTTTAATTCTGTGTTCTCCGCAACCAAGCGCTAAATTTCCACAACCATTAAAAAACAAGTTACATCCAGTTTTCCACTCAAATCTCGAGAAATTGCATTATCCCTTAGATTTATACAATGTATTACCTGTATCTAACCCTTGTTCTATATTAAGGATGGTTTATTTCTTCTTCAGATTAAGTATAATTTAACATTTAATAATGATCACTGATAATTGATTAGATTTTATTAAATTTTAGAAATTACTTGTACTGTTTTGTATTAAAAGTCGATAACCAATAGCTTTCACATGACAATTCCATTTTCAAAATATTTTGTGTAAATTTATAATATATTCTAAGATATTGCATAAATATCTTTTTTATAATCTTTAAAATATTATAAGTTAATAATGAGTGTAGATAATTATTTCCTACTTCGATAATATCCAAGCTGTATTTTCAATTTGCTGAAATTCCATTAATAATTTATCAATTAGAAAATATAAGTTACTTTTTAGATTTTATTAAAAGAGGATATTTTAGCAATTAAATAATCTTCGTTTAGCATCTCAATTAATTTTACTAGGACTATGAATTATGGGAATTATTATATTAAAATGATATATTATTTAGTGTTGAATATTATTGATATAAAAAAATATGTTTTTCTTTCAAATTAATTGATTATATTAGAAGCAAATTTCAATATATAAAAATCTTTAATTGAAGGTCATTATTAGAAATATGTGGCAGTTCTCTATTTATATAATCGATGATGCTATTTGAGATTTTTATAATGTGAAACGTCTGCTTAGAAATCTTTGAAGGATTCTCTTGTTTTGTATAAGAAATCATTAATTTTTTATCTGATTGTGTTTTCCTAAGGTGATTCGATGGTATGTTGACTGCATTTTTTTTCGAACATGTTTTATATTTACACTTTTTGTTATGGGACTGTAATAGGAGCAGGATAAGAAGTTTTGGACATCCTCAGGTTCTATTTAACCTCATGAAATTGACCCAGTATTTCTTGTTCCTACAATTTGACTAGACTAAGCTAGATATGATGATAAGCACTGTTTTCTTCTGTATCATCTTTGAGCATATCATATTTATCGGAGATCAATTGCACCAATTGTGATTCTGATCTGATTAGCTTTCTTTTAACTGGCTTGGATAATAATTCTTTGGCTTTGACGATTAATTGATCTTCCTCTTCTTAACATTATTCTGGTTTGTAAAATACGATTCTGGATTAAGATAATCTTTTCTTTTCGAATGCTGGAATTGTGCTTTTTTTCTTGTTTAAACCCAAATGAGAAACAATATTTAGTATTCTTTTATGTCTCTCAATATTATTATTATTTGACATAATATATTTTAATTCGTTTTATGAAACTAATCACTGTGTATTTGTTATTGGTTTTAGGATACTCCCAATTACTGGAGAAGTATTAGATAATAGGAAATCCAAAACCTAGTTTGGTGAGTATTTTAACAGAATTGTAAACTCAAATAAAATCAGGAGGAGCCCAAACTACAACAATAGCATTTTTGGATAATCTAAAATCAACAATAGACGAAGAATAAATAAGACATGATTAATTGTATACATAACAAAGAAATTAATGTTCATTGGAATTAGACTTAAGAAAAAAAGACATAAAAGATGCCGAATAGGTTGGTTCTAGAGCTAATGAATAATTAGAAAACTGTTCCACTTCCAATAACAAAGCAAGATCTGAATTAGATAATAATCTGGAATCCTAAAAAGTACTTTATTTAATCTGAAATAGACTACAGATAGCGATATCAAAATTTTGAAAAGCATTAGAGATGAAGCAGCAAGATTGTTTTCAAATAAAAGGAGAGATCATCTAGACGCTTTAACATCACTTTAATAGGTGCTACTCACTTTAGATGGATTCACAGGGGGGGATTGCTCATTAGCTGAATTAGGAAAAGTGGCTATGGCTTTTATTTAAACAGCAGTGATAGCTAAGAATGATCAACCTTTGGTAGAGATCTCCGAGATATTCGCATAAGTTGCAACTGAAAATGGAGGATATAGAGAAGTTTATGAAAAATTAAAATAATTAATTGTTAACTTTGAACAGACCTTATAAAAAAACTTATAAGACTATTAAGAAGTGGAGGACTTGCAAATTTAGGAATATGATGATCGTAACATTCATTTAGTTGAATATTTCAATAATCTGAAAAGAACAGAACAATAATTAAGAGATCATATAACTGCTATGAGTATGTGCATAAATTAATAAACAGCAATTGTGGATACTGCAAGGGGAAAGAAGGTATATCCTATTGGGTGATTTATATTAGGTGAGAAATCTGCAAATGTTGGATTCAGTTGATAAAATGTGCAAGGACTTCTTATCAGAGTACGAAAAGGCAAGTCAAGTGAGGAAGGATCAGATTGATCTTATAAGTCAAGTGAAACAATCTGTTTATGATTTCTACTCTTAAAAACCATAAGCTGCTTGTCCAGGGGGAGGAAGTGATTGATTATTATAATATTATTTTATTTTACAGTTATGACATCCAATTTTAGATTCCACGATAAATTTGTCTATCATCCTTATGAATTTAGATTGAGGTTTGTCTATTCATGAAGATTTATTAAATACAATTATAATTTGATCCTTGATATATAAAATAGGAATAAAATTTATCATACTTAACTAGATCTTATTAATTTCTATATCATAAATTAAATTTACTTATGGGAAACCAAAATGCAAATGGGTTTGATCATTCAAAACAAAATGGCTTGTACATTCGTACGGATAAGCCATTTTATTTTGCAGGTGAAGAAGTACAAGGTAAAATTAAAGCATAAATTTAGGCAATATTTACTTGAATGTGGGAGGCGGAGCATTTCCAAGTTCGACCATTTATTTGAAAGTGAAAGGAGCTGAAAAAGCAAAATGGTCAGAAACCAGAACTGTATATGAGGATATCCCAGGAACTAATCCTCCATAAAGATAATCAAAATAGGTTACAGAGCATTATGATAATGACAATGAATTTTACAAACATAAAATTCCAGTCTACATATTTTAACAAGGGTATCTATTGAAATCATAAACAGAATGATACCTTAAGGATAATACACATTTCCTTTTAATTTCAAATTGAAAGATAGCTTACCAGGTTCTTTTGAATATTCAGAGAAAGACTTAGAATGCAAAATAAAATACAGTGTTAAGGCTGAAATAGATTCACCAAATAAGACCTTAGACAAGATTAAATATAAATAAGAATTTCTAGTCAGAGAGCCTATAAAGGAGTAAGTCAACTAAAACGAGGGATCATAGGTTTTGCAACCGACAGCATGTTGTTGCATTCCATTGGGAGTATGTTTAAATTTAAGTATTCACCTAGACAATTTCGTTTAAATTTCAGTTTGATAAATCAGCATATCAACCGGGGGAAGTTGCCAAGTTGCAAGTAGAAATTGATAATACTCAATCAAAAGTTGGCATACCAATTATTAAAGGCAGTGTGACAAGCAAATTAAGAGTTATTAGCAAATAAGGCCACGCTAGAGTGCTTTATAGAGTTTGTGCCAGTTCTTCAATTCAAGGAATTGAATCTGGTTAATCTGCATTAAATGAACATAAAAAGGATATGAACTTGCCATTAGTTGATGCTGGAAGACACAAACCCTTGGATCCTACAACTAATGGAAAGATTGTGCAGAACAATTACTAACTCTCTGCCACTGGAGAAATGGACGGAATATGCTTATGTTGTTCTTAGGATCCAGGCATAGAATTGCCAATAAGAATAGTTGCTAAGCCAATTGCAAGTTACGAATAACCAGTAGTGGCTCCTTCTGGATGGAATCCGCAGGTTATGAATGTAAAATTATAAATTGCTATTTAATTTAGCCTTTATCTGTGCAATTTGATGACTCTTATAAATATCAACCTGCCACTGGTGGAGTTTTGGTTCCAGCCTAGAATCAGAATCCGCAAGGATATCAGAATCCCAATTAACCGTATTACGGATGATTAAAATAATACATAGGATTATAAAATTCAATATTCTTAATTCCTACATTTCCATTGAGGATTACTTAAAATGAAGTAGAGAGAGTTTCAGTTATTGTTAGAGGCATTTCTGATAGATTCTGTATATGTAAATGGCTTTGAATATTAAGAATAATAATTATAATTAAATTCTCATATGGGTTCTATCTGTGGAACCACTAATAAAAGAGTCATTCCAAAAACCAAGAAGGCGCACCTGGGATTGAGATCTGGCCAGACAATCTCATCATAGTCGGTGTTCTAGCAACAATTAAATAAGAAAACATAGGAGATTAATCAAATTCATAGATTGGAAATTTAAGATGAAGATCTGGTTACTTGGGATGATCCAATGAAACACTGCACCAATATACTTAAGCCAAAAGGTTACAAAGTAGCGAGAATTCTAAAGACAACAGGTTCATCAATTACAGCAGAAGTGTTGGATGTAACTTAAATGTAAATATTATAGGGTTCCGGAACATAATTAATATTTAAACGTTCTCTTTTTGATAACTTTGATAATGCCTCTAACAACATATCATATTTGTATAACATGAACAAAGTCAGCGCTGAAGGTTTGTTAAGGTTTACTTCATTAACAATCAGTTAATTTGAATAAACCAATGTGTAATTGCGACCAGAGAAATAACTCTATGCAATCGATAGAATGATACCAAAATACAATACGTTGAGTGATTCTCTGGAACATTTGAAATTAGAAACTCTAATGCAAAGTTTACTTATTTTAGAACAAGTGAGCGATGCATTAAATTAACTACACAAAGAGAAATTTGCGTATCGTTTTCTGAGACCCGAAAGCATCTTAACTAAGGACGGTAAGAAGTTTTTTCTAAGTAACCCATCAATTTAAACTAACCATAAAGAACAAGTAATAAACTCAATTATTCTAGAAAATCATCAAACACTTCGTTTAATAAGAGAGTGATTACTATATCTATGATTGCGTGATTTTTTCATTGTTATTTCTATTTTTGGTTGATCATAAAATTTACACATTTGATTCGCTAATTGATCTTAGATTGAATTAAGGTGACTGGGAAGAGTAAATATATATTCTTAATCAGTTTAGATTAATTGACAACTATAAGTAGTCAGTTGCATCTCAATTTGAAAATGATGTGCCTTAAATGATTATGCAATTGATTGAACAAATGAGTGCCTTTGATAAATTTGACATGCCTAAAATGAGTGATATTAATCATGCCATTAAAAGTGTTCGCCAAAAAGGGATGCAAACATATTTCAAAAATGACTCACTTGGAGCCTATTTATAATATCATAAAGAAAAAACATTGCCTGATGCATCTCCTTGGTTATACTTCACTAAAGCTAATCAAATTCATCTGTATAATTATGAAACCAATAAATTTCATTTTTTGAAGGTGTATAGAAAGAAGCAGCCCTTCAGAATAGAATCAGATGTAGTTTATCATCCAAATGAAGATAAGTTTTTTTTCTTTAGTCATAATACCTCTACATTCTTATTAAAAGTATATGATGAATCACATGACAGAGGTAGCATCAGTCAGAAGCGAGAAGTTGAATTATTTAGAAATATCAAGAATGTTAAGTTTGAAGACCCCTAATTGTTGGTGATTAATTTCTCTATGGAGGATGATGCGAATTAAGAATAACCACTAGAAGTAATCGAGGATAAAAAAGAAGTGAAAAAGGGCAATAAGTAGTAATAACAATAGTAGAATGTATTAGATTAAGAGCCTAAATTATTATCAAAAATCATGGTCATGAATTAATAGTAATAGGCTGATGAGGCGACTCAAGAGGTTTATTTTAATTCATTTGAAGTGGCATTTAATTTAGAATTAGTAAAAAACGACAATGAGGAAGATGTTTATAATTATGGAGATGATGAATACATAAGCAAAAAGGTTATCAAGATCTATTAGGGACCCAAGAATTTTCAATGGCATAGGAGTTCTTTTCATTTCTTTGATCCACACAACAATTATATTTATTGCATACCTGATTACAATAATGTATTCTAAAATGGAATCAGATATTGTTATTATGATATTTCAAAAAGGAAAGGAAATTTCAAGGAAGGCTTATTGAGATTTGCTTGTAGCACGGATGAAATATTCAAGCAATTTTGTTTACTGAACTTTAAAATTAAACATATCGTATTTTGCATAGAAGTTCAACATGGAGTATTTTTAATGTAGGCATCTAAAAACATTTTTATTTTGGATTTTAATTTCAGATGTTTTTATTCGTTGGCTTCTCTTACATAATTACAGAATTACAAAGAGAACAACAAATAGAATCCAATCTTGCATCAGAATGCTTATGAAACCAGAAATCAACCTTTTGAATTGAAGTGCTTGGATGCTGGAGGACACAACTATTTATTCTAGAATGGATATTTGCATTGTTTAGCCAGAAAGGAGATAGAGACAGTTCATTGTGTATATAACATCCTCCCAAATTAAGCATGCATTGAATTATTAAATTGCTATTCCTTACACACGAATTAAGATTTACTGCTCTTCATTCCTAAAACTCTAAGTTTTGTAGTTAAAGCATAACAAAAATAGGTGGATGAGAGTGTGTTTAGAAGATATTCAAAGGTATGATTGTATAATTATAATCAATAGCATGTCAGATAATATGGTGTGATTAAAGACTTATATGCAGATTAGAATGAAGCGTATTTAAGTGCAGAGCATATGGAAGAAAAACAAAAGGTTTATTTACACCAGATCAGAGTTGAGTCTTTGGTTGAAATTTCGTTGTTGTTCCAAGCATTTAACAAGAAGATACAATCAGAAATTCTATTGACTCCTATTGAATATTTTGCAAGTTCAGAAGAAAGTAATGATCTATTTTATCATAGAAAATTCCTTTCTTATGTATTATGTTAATGAGGAAATTTCAACTACCTTGGATTCTGAGGTTGAAAATAGAAAACTTTATAAAAACACTTTTGAATCAAAAGAATTAGCATTGATTGTAAAAATTATCTTTAAGGCTTTAAAAGAATTGAAAGATAATCATATGGAACATGGAAATTTATCAACTAATAGTTTATGCTTTACTAAAACTGGAATTATTAAAATGTCAGGTTGGTATGTAGCTAATAGGAAGAACTTCTCTACTGATATTGATGATGCAGTGAAGGTTTTGTATTGTCTAGCAACTCTTTAGAGAGTGTAAGACATTGATATTATGGACTTCTCCCATCCTTTAATAACAGCCTATGACGGCCTAGGGGAATTCTTAAAGTCAACCTACAAACTACCTAAGAAAACACCCTATATCAACATTTTGAATTCGGCCATGAATTTGAGCAAATAATTGACAGCATAGAATATTGATTTCAATGAAATGCAAAGTAAGGCCTAGGCTATTCTATGGGTTGGCTATGGTTAAAACTATATTATCATTACTCCTTTAGAAAATATGAAGGATCCAAGATTTATGAAAGTCTGTATCTTAAAACCAAACTAAACTAATTTCAAGATCTCCAAACACTGCATGTTTACTTTTAACTTTGTGGATGTTATCTACATTTCAGGAGCCCTTAAAGAGGATATGAAGACTTAGCATCTTTATGAGTGTGCATATAATAAACACAAGGATACACAGACTGTTACTTTGAAGAGATTGCCAGACATCCCAGCTCCCATCTTGAGTCCGTCCCTATTGTATGCTGAGGGAAAGATATATGTGATTGGAGGCTACGAACTTGGAGATAACCTTAATAAATAGATTACAGATAAGGTCTTTGTCTATACTATTAAAACCAAATAGTGGTAATATTATCATTCTAATCATTCTTTATAGGAAACCTTTGAAAAACCTACCTATCAATATCTACGGTGGAACAGCCCTTCATGATGAGGACAAAAGTATGATCTACTTATTTGGTGGTGTTTCTAGCGAGATTGATTTGACTTCAGATAAACTTATTTATTTTACTTATGACATATTGAAAGATAATTGGGAATTCAACGTTGATTTGTCATTTAAATCCCCATTTGTAAACTCACGATTTACAAAGCCTATTGTTGACATGGTAAGTCCAAAATTATTTGTTTCCTATTACAAAACTGAAGAAGACTTCTTTGTCGAGGTTTTCGAACTTGTCAAAGCTGGTGTTACTTTGAAGTTTAAAATTAAGAATCCTATCGGCAAAAAGAAAAATGAGAAGGAGAATCTAGAAGCCTATGCTGAAAAAGCACCTAGAGATTATGAAAGAACTTTGCAGGATGATTTGTCCATGGCTGTTTATAAAGATTCCATTTATGTTTTGGATGAAGAGACATAGAATCTCAATATTTTCAGAATCAAAGATGTGTTTCATCCTTAAATCGATATCGTTAAATGTTAAATAAGAGATAGCAATCCTATAACAATCCATTTAGTTTAATAGGAAGCTTGAGAATGAATAAACTTTTTATTTAATTTTACAATTTAAACTTAAAATATTACATCTATTATATTATTTTGAAAATTTCAAAGATTAGATAATATACTATATTTTTCATTCACAAATAAAATAATATGTACCGAGTTTATTTGAACAGGATTAACAATAATGATGTGCATCTTTGCATTACTTACATAACATATACATAATACTCTCATACAAAAAGGTAAAAAAAACAAAAAGAAAAAAGGAGTTAAAAACATTAAGCAGCAACAAAAACAGCTGCCCCATCCTGGTTTTGATTCCACTTTTGTAATCATTACATTCTGGCATCTCTCGCATTTTAACACTTGAGGTTCTCTGCTGTATGGTTAAGATGGTGCTAGTAAAATTACTTAGTACTATTAAATAGCAATACGTCGATCTTCTTTTTTGAATTCTTAATTCCCAAATGATTTATTTTCATCATCGACCTCATTAGGTTAGTCTAATTACTTCTTTTATTGAATCATCTCATATTGCTCCTATCTCTGCTAAACTATTTAAAGCTAAGAAAGCGGTTATTGAGGATGGTATCGAAAATTATTATTTTCTTCCTATGCTAAATTCAAATTTTTGTTTATCTAGGAAACAGGTAATCTAGTCTTTTGAGGAACATCCTCTTAATCTAAATTATCTTATCTTATTTATTGAATTAAAGAGGCTAATGGCACATCGTCGCCAGTTGCCTATGCTTAAGTTGATAGTTGTGTTTTATTTGACATAAGGGTGTTAATTTTCTATAATTTTGTTTTTTAGCAAATATTATTTCTCTATTCCCATATACAAATTTATTATAACAAAATTGCATTAATTGGATACCTTCAGATTTTCAAACTAACCTTACATAATTTTAAACCAAATCTTCTCAAATAATAATTTGAAAAAATAAATCAAGATATTTAAATAATAATTTAAGATGTTTTTAACAAACTGTAATCTTTGCGGATTATTTAGCCGTATAAATTTAATAATAATTATTTATTAAGTTTCATTATTCAAAAATCTCTATCATTTTCTCAATCCATTTACACTCCTCCTAAAACCCAACCTTCTTATAGAAACTTAGCAAAGACTTATACCGCTTAACTTTGTCGTACTTCTTGATCATGGAGAGCTTTTCCAAATCATTAACACATAAGTGTAAACTGCTTGAATCAACATCTTCATTCATTAAGCAATTCCATAAATAACAATGATCGAATCCAAGTGTATGCATCAATTCATGAACGATAGTACCATAAAATACTTTCAAATTCTCCTAAAATTAAACTACACAAACTCCATCACCACATGCTCTTCCTAAAATATTTGAATCAGGTTAGAGTGGATCAAAGATATTCTAATCAACTATAGCTATTAGAGAACAAATATGTTTGGGCTTTAAATTTATTAATACATCAAAAATGGTGAATACATCAATATATTCCAATTTATTTTTTTACAATTTGTGCTTTTTATTTTGTTTCAACTCTTCAATGTAAAAAGATTTTTTTTCATAATACAATGCCAAATTTAAATTGAGGGTAGTCGTTCTCAATCCTAAATATTTATTGATCCATTATTTAATATCATTTATTTTTAGTGATTTTTCAAGACTCAAATTAATTATTCCAATAGTATTGAAGTTTTATTTGACAGAAATCCTTCCAGTTCCCTCCTCATTAGGTTCCTAATGTCCCATTTTTTCAAAGTCATCTAATAATTATATATCCTGAGATTCAATGTCTGAATCTACCTGAATCTTTTGAAACTAATCTAAAATTAGTTGATTCACATTTGTTATCTAATCCAAAGCCTTGTTTCTGTATTTTTCTCCTTTCAAATCCTTTTTCATAAAATTGCCGAATTTTTTAATTACTTAATTGATTTAAAATTATATCAAGTAATTGTATATTAATTCAAGATATTTTTAATTAATGAGTTGATGATGTCTCGTATTTATTATTGACTTCATTAATTAACGATGATAACAGGAAGAGAATTCAAAAAATATCTTTAAGCAGAATATTTTAGGAATATCTTATTATTAAAGTATTTATATAGATTAGCAATAAAATGGAAATACATATACAATATTATTCATCTTTTTGAAGTAGATCCAAAGGCTATAGGAAATTCGAGATTAAGTTTTGATTGATTGCTGATAAGATTTGAATTATTATCATAATAAGTTGGAGAGTTTAATTTGTTTTCAAAAATGCTAATTCTCTTCGAATATTTGTCAAACCTTATTACGCTTTTGACTACCGATTAGTCTTGTATATTATATTATCCAACTCCAACTGAAGCCTCTTAATCAATGTATTTAGTTCTTCCTTATTATTTTCCGAATGGTTAATTCTTGATTTCTGTTTACTTGAAAACACTTGGCAATTCGTAGGAACCAGGACCAGGAACATCTTAGACTTTTTATAATTTGTCTCTCAACAGAAAGAGTTCTAGACTTTCTAAAGATTGCAATTTGGGTGGATGTTTCAGATATTGTTAACTTGTAGTTTTTTTGATGCCAGGTGACTATGTTCCTAAAAAAAGGGATTGATCGTTTAAAGATGATTATGAGTTTCGTTACAATCTTTGTAGCTTAACAAGTTTTCCCTTCTTAATGGTGGAACGTACTTAGGTATCGAACTCTTGGTTAAATTGATTGGGTTTATATTCAAATTTAACTTATTTCTTAAGTTCTTAATAGATTTTATTTTATCTAACTCTTTAGATTCCACTTGCATAACTATGCAGAGGATAATTTAAATCGACTTTTCGATCATTGGATAGTTATGATTCACTTAGGGGAAGTGATTCATTTTTTTTATGGGCCCCATATTTATCAGTATGAATAATTGCCACTGGTTTATCTAATTTAGTAATAATATCATAGAGTCCCACTCCAGGATTGAAGTTATCTACGTTTAATTCTTTTTTTCCTTTAAAAAACATGTTATTAATATTTATTAATTAAAATGAGTTAATAATTATTACCCAAGATATATTTGTAAAATGTCAATGATGAAAAAATTAATTTTACTTAAATACAAAAATTATCAAGATCTTATTGCATCTCAGTATAGGAAATATTCTTGAAAACAGAAAATATTAATGATGATAGATTTAAATATATTCCATAAAATCAAATTATGACTATAATCAGACTTCAGTTGTCAATTACTTGAGATGTGTTCTTCTCTTTGGAGCATAGTGTCTTTAGGTGGGTAAATCTTGGACAACTTAATAATTATCAAATTCATCAATAATAACATGAGAGTTTTAAAAAGAAACCTACTTTTTATTACTATTGATGATGGATTTAATCTTTTTGTTAATGTTCTCCATCTCAACATTCTCCCTTTGCGTTTACATCTCGTAAAGTTGATGGACATCATCCATGTTCCTTTTTTGCATGCTTACATGCAAGGAGAGACTGGGAAGGATTTGGTCTGTTTTTTGAGGAGATAATCCATTCCCAATAGCACATCTTCTCCGAACTGTTTTGGGGAGTACTATTTCATCTGGTAATTCTAACTCTAAGACTTTTTCTCGGTAGTCATCTTCAAATTTTTTGGGTTGACTATCAATTTGATTTAAAAACAAGGAGGGACAGAATGGTTTGTTCTTTCCTAAATGTGTTGATTTAGTGATTGAGATTGGAGTTAGATCTATCAAACTATTCTTTTTATACATTAAGAAATAATTATTTGTCAATATCACTTTGCAATACAATTATTTATTTCATATTAAAGATTCCATAACTTTCATCATGGCTCTTTCTGGTCCCAATTCTTACCAGTCTTTCTTGGAGATCCAGAAATTGGACTTATCCTTCATTACATTTGACAAGAAAGAAGCACCAATGAACACATTATATTTTCTTCTGGCAGGATCCTAAAGAAGGATATTGTAATCTAAATAAGTACCAAGACTTTAATTTTGATCTTAGAACTAGCAGCATATGCAGTGTTGCCTTTCAATACAGTTTCTTCAAAGATTGATCTCAATTGATTCTATAATCTAGTTGGGAATCCTGGGAACATGGTCGTACCTCCACTTATGAGAATGTTTTCATAGAATGTCTTCCTTGAATCAATAGGGGATTTCTATTTATCATATAAAAAGAGAGCATTACTTAAATGGCATTGAATACAATATCTGCACATCCAGGTGCATCTTTGCCTAACAACCATGGAGAAAACAAAATCTCTGGAGCCATATATCTTTCTTGTCCAATCTTCACTTTTCCTCCATCAGGTAGTCTGAATGTACTTTCGTGACAAGTTGTCTCTTATGCCAATTTAGTATCCATTCTGATATCTGAACTTACAAAGCATAAAGCTTCTTTGATTTCTCTTACTAATTCAAAATCAGCCGAAGAATTGAAGGCATATCCTCTTTGGAATAATAGTTTGACTAGTTGATCTGTAACGTGTCTTCCTGCAATATTCATTCTCTAAGCTCCTTGATTCAAACAGAATCCGTCATATACTGGCATACAATGTGTGACACCATCTCCTGCATCAAGCAATAAGGCTGTTCTCAAACCCTCTGCAAATAGGGGAAGCAAAGCCTGGATTCCTACGTTTAATTAAGCAAATCCGAATTTCTCAAACTTAATTTCTGCCATCTTCTCCCTATTTTTTTTTGGATTTCCTGCAGCTTCTGTCATCAATACTGTTTAATCTGTTGGATCAATGCCTAACTTAATAATAATATTTATAGTCTTCTTACTTTCTTATACCCATAATTCCAAATTAATTCCATATCATCCCAATTTTTCACCACTCCTTCTTCTAAGGGATGAGTCAACTCTAATAATCCTCTATATGGCTATGCTTCATCTCCTATCATTATATCCTAAAACTATGATCATCTCATTGTACTTTTAAGTTGGCATCATCCAATTGTTCATCTGCTCTAAGTGTTGGTCTTCCTACCATAGCTGGGAAAGAATGAGCTGGAAAGTTATCACCTGCAAAGCCGATCTTCAAATATCTAACAAAGATTCTAAATGTACCCTGTTCCAGAATCTTCAATTATTGGAATAGACATTATTTTTTTGATTATATAAATAAATCTATAAATTAATATAATAAATCAATATTAAATATTCTTGTATTGCCCATGATTTGGATTTCTAACTTTCATAACCATCACCTATGTTCAATTTGACTATTAAATATTAATTTTTATATACAGAAATTTCAAATGCTACATAAAATCACTTCTGAAATCAATATGGGAGAGCATCTTCTCCAACCAGCTCCAACTTAGTTTTTAAGTGCTCGAACCATTAGGCCTTCTCTTTTTTTAAATGAAGCAGATTTTCATCTTCCATTCATCTCCCCATAGAAAAGATAGATTACTGATTATCAAATAATAAAATAATCTCTACCTAAGAGTCAGGCTGTAAGTCCTGTTTTTAGAAAAACCTAAACTGAATAAGATGCAGAAGATAATTTCTTATATGTAAAAAATACAGTCAGAAAACTAAAAAAATAAAAACTATATATAAAAGAACATCGTCAGTCTCAGTAGTTCTTGCCTCAAATTGAAGAACGTTCAGAAAAAGTTGCTACCTATTCCACACCAAAAAATAAAAATTACAACTCATATGGTAATCCACTAGATTCCAAAGGATTTAGCTCTTCTTTTGCAAAATTAGGGGCTCTTGTTGCAAACTAAGAATCTTCAACCCAACTCTCCAACTACACAATCCCAAAAGAAATCGAACAACCACAACAAAACCATCTACCAATCCCTGACTACACAAGCAAACAAAACACTTTACAGTAACCTCCCCATCATAAAAAAGCAGTCTCATTTCGTAAATCTATAGTTGTGATTGATATAAACAATGGGCAGGTTAGCAAAGATTAATTATCAGAAAATTCTAAACCACTTTCATATACCTAAAGACCAGAAATTAAAGAGGAAGTTTAGGAAGCTTAGGAAGTTACTAAAAAACATATATTTCGAAGAACAAAAATGATTATTTGATGATAAGCTAGTTTGTATATCATGAGCATTGATTTATCAAAATATTAAATTATTAAATATCAATTAATTAATACAAAATAATTAAATTGAGGTTTTTGGGTTACCAACATCTGATTAAACAAGTCTAATGAATTCAATAAATTGGCATCTAAGATTTATCTTAAAATTGAAGATTCAAAATGGTTTGAATCTTTACTTTTATAAATTAAAACAACAAATAATTTAAATATTTAACAAAAACAGTTGTGCTTTTAATTTCAAATAATATTATCTTCTACTCCACCATTATATGTCTACGAAACATTTATGATTTTTATAATCAAAATTTTACCAAATTTTTGTAGGAATAAATAAAATAAAAAAAATACCTTAAATTCGAATTACTTATTTAATGAGAAAAAGGGACAAAAAATAAAATAATTATTTAACAGTTAGAATTCATAAATGAAATCAAATTAAGCAATATTTATAGCATAATTATCCAAATTACATGCTGAAATAATGAAGGGCTTAGACATGAAATAATTTCAAATAAGATTAAGTGTATAAGAATAATTTCAAGATATTTGTGAAATCACATGCTATTTAATTCTACCTAATTAATCTAATTAGATTATTTTAAACACTTAATGAATTTAAAAATAATTCATTTAGAAAATATAATTATTAAATTTAATATTAATAACAGGTGATCAATAAATCTAATAGAAGAATATAAAAGCAGAAAACAACTTACTGATTTTTAATACTACCAGAATTACTATTTAAACGTGATCACCTGTTTTTAATATACATTAGTATGTAAAATTTTAACATCAATAAAATTATATAATTCATTAATTATGACTTCAATATTAATTTCTTTGAAATAATAAATAATGTTACATTTATAATATTCTTACAGATTAAAGATTAAAGAAAGGAGATTTACAAATGATACAACTTAATATTTAGAAAAGAAAATGTTAAAATATCAGAATTCATTAATTGAAGATGACGATATGGAATTCCATTTTAAAATCAATGATTATTTTATGATTACTCAAGTATTCAATACACATCTGAATGTTGTTGTCCTTAAAACTTATGTTCTTCAGCTAAATTTTTCAATTTTTCTTTTCCCAAGAGTTTTTCCAAAAGTGAATCAAATTCATTTTCTTTGCTTATCATTGTTTTTCTAAATTGGATAATTCAATACTTTTTTAATAATTTGTCTATAATCATGTCTAAGAATCCCTTTATTCCTTACTCTTAAGACTTTTCAGTCTCAATTAAGAATAATAAAAACATTCTTAATTTGTCAGTGGTGTCTTTTCTCATTAATACATCATTGAAAGCATATGCGAATGCATTTGCAAAAGCAGCCCTAAAGCTTGGGTCCATACCTGCATTTTTTAAGATTTCCGCAACTCTCATATATAAGTAAAATTTACGCTTAATTTATTTCAGGTTCTTATGATAAGGATTTACAAAATTCTTTCACTTCATATTTGAATATTGGATCATTTATTACTTGTATTATTAATTTTTGAGTTTAATCTTAAATTGATTTATCTTGTACCAAATCCAACACTAACTTCTTTCCAAAAACTTTTGAATCCTCTAAAAATGAAGGATCTTGTATAGATTATTTTAATAATGTAACAATGCTGTCTTAAACTTATTGCTGCTTTCCCAATCTTTACACAAAATCTACTGATTCCTGCTAAACAACAGGATCTTTAAGAATCGTTTAAACTTCAGTCTATTGATCAAAACAAGTTTACTTTAACAAAACTGTTAATAAAGACTTCAAATGGTTAACCAGGTCCCAGTTCACTCTAAACTGTCGAAACAAATGAATTTCTAATTGTTTGAAACATATCCTTATATATAGGATAAGTAATTAAAGCGAAAAGTGTCATTATTTTTCCTTTATGAGGTCTCAAGACTAATTTTACATTTGACCATTCTTATTCTATATCAAATGATCTCTAAAATGTCTTAAAGGGATGTCTTATCGGTTGGTATATTAATGTTAGGAATTTCTTAGTTTTATTAAACATTATTTAAAATTAAAATAATAAAATTTTTCATAAAGTGATAGAGTGATAAGCAACTAACACGTCGTATACAGTTTATGAAATAGCTATTGATATTTTAATGATATGATTTAACTAAATACCTATGTGATGATAAGTTCTATGAAACATATAGTTTTATTTAAAAAATAATATGATTGACAAAATCGAAGGACAGCCTCCCAAACATAATACTGACTAAGCAAAATGACATCATCAAACTTAGATTCAACAAAGAAAAGAAAATACATAGATTTATTATCAAATTATAAATCTATACAGTATTCATCTTAATATTTTGTGATAATTCAATTATCTGATCTGACTCTTCTTCCTTCGACCCATTCAGCTTCAACTTCTCTGGCTTCTCTATCGACCAATATTCCTCTTCCATGTTATTTTCCATCCTTCCAATATCCTTTATATTATTTGCCATCAGACCATTTAAAAATTCCGTATCCTTCCTTTTTATCTTCAACATAATCCCCTTAAAATAGTTTTATCTATTACCACTATATTACTTTCCATCAGGCCAGTTAAAGTCTCCTTTGCCATGCATTTTATTATTTTACCATTAACCTTTATATTTTCTGCCATCAGCCCAAACATATTCTCCAAAACCTGTTTTTGATAGTAAATAAAGTGAAAATACCTTCAATATTGTTGTCTCTAAAGTCGCCTTCATAAGTTGCTCCGTCACTCCATTTAAATTTACCTTTTCCATCTTTCTTTCCATTTACGTAACTTCCAATATATTAGGCACCATCTGGCCACATTTCAGTTCCTTTTCCATGCTATTAATCTTCCAACCAATCTCCCTCGTATTTGGCACCATCAACATGAAAATAAGTTCCTTGGCCCTATGCTCTGTCATCTACCCAATCTCCATCCTAACAATTAATCATATGATTACATAGGCATCTCCATCTGCATGAATTAATCTTCCCTTCCCATTCGCTGTATGGGAACTCCAAAATCCTTCATAAACTGATCCGTCAGGCCAATACTGCTTGCCTTTGCCCCATCTTTAGTGGTTTTTCCATTAACCCACATATATGGCTCCATTCTCAAATTGCTAGAGTCATCATTTGATTTTTACATATGGTCCTAACTCAATACAATCGTGGAAGTGCAATAAGGATGCATCATCGTAATGATAATTTCCGAGTTTTTCAAGTGTTTTACGAACCTACTCATTTTCAATAAATGGATCTTTGTCATATGGTTTAGCATCTTCAGGGTTTGGACCATGTGATGAAATCTGTTACCTTTATTTTTCTCTTTAAGCCTTAATATATTGAATTATTGTACATCATCTGGGGGATTTGCACTTTATGGAGGGTCTTCAACCTAAACTTGTTAGGATTCCTCTTTTATTGGCTCTTTCTCCTAGTATTAATTTTGAACCTCCCCTGGCTTGGCTGTTCCCGTATGATCATTTTCTTCAACTGTGGCCTCAAGTTTAGCAGGGGCTGTTGAATTAATCTCCTAAGTTTGTGGTGTTCCTGAACAACAAGTAGCTCCCATCGCCTTATTATTATTTTTAAATAATATTAATAAATCGTATTATGTAACTCTATTCCTTAAATAGTTATTCAAACATGTTATTAAAAAAGGTAAAAAAACTGTTCTATAGAAATCCAAGCAACATAGATCTTAAGTTTTTTAATAAGGAATAATTAAAAATTTAAATGATATGATAGATATAACTTATAAATTGTAATAGATAATAATGAAATTTGATGTGTTTTATATTGAAACAAAAATTATTGGATTATTCTTATCACTAGCCATCAGAATCTCTAATCTTTTCTTTGCTGTGCTTTAATATAATTGTAAAAAACTTAAATAATATTATTTATGATTTTTATTGATTACAATCCTTATTCTATTTATAAAAATACTCTAATTCCAAATAATTCTATTTTAATTGATAAGCAAAGTTGGTATTTCCTTTCAATTCTCTATTATTATATGAAATTAGAAACATTTTTTGATTATTATACCATAAATAAATAGGTATATCTATATTGATAATTAATACAAATGAATTAATTTAAACTAATTTAAGATAGTTAAAGTATTTTTATTGCCAAATTAAAAATAATAATAATTTATAGTCATGGGATTCACTTTTAGATCTTATTTTTATTTTATGATATTATATAGCCTTGAAACTCATAAAATACATAATCTTAATTATTATAAATAGATTATAAATTTATATTTACAATATTTCATGAATTTAGTCTACACTTTCGTCATCTTAAAATATTAATAATTTGATTGTAAATTATGATAGAATAATATGAGACTAGGCTTAAGATTTCAAAAACCTTTGAGAACTCTGATATTTTATCGAATGCTATCATGTTCATAAGAATAAATGAATACAATATATCTAAAGTTGGCTTACTTAAATTTACATTAATCAAAATAATATTCTAGTTAAAAATACTTTTTATAGATTAGAATTTACAAAAAGAATGAAGTCTTAATTATAATCGTTAAGGAAAAAAAGTAATTATAGATCCAATTAGTAATTTAAATCAATAATTTATTTATTTATTTAGTTGATATTATAATCTATATATACATACTATGATTTCCTAATTAAGAATTCAATATTATAGATTGTTTAATGCATTATGAATGAAGATAGTTATGAAAGATTAAGCTTATGTTTAAGAAATAAAATGAAAGACTTTTGGACGTGACCATTTTCAATAATTATTAACTTCATGATTATCTATTTTAATCTAATTATTATTTGTATATTTTTCATAATACTCTAATGGGAAGTAAAGTAGCTTCAAGATAGAATGAGTAGCAAGATTTTCAAATAAAAAAAGAGGAGAGTTAAGTATAGACTGACAGATCGAACTAGTATAGTTTTATTACCCAAAAGGATGTGTAATTATGATGTTTAATTAGTTTCAGAAGAATTAATACAATTCCAGATCAAGGAGGCAATAGTTCAAATCAATCTAATTAGAAGGATTCTCAAAATAACAATTTAGTACAATCTCACGGAAGTAAATATTATTCTACATAATAAGGTTCCCATAATATTTAAGAATAGCAAGTATAAAAGGAAGATGATATTAAAAATAACGAGTAAAATTAGACTAATAATTGGGAACCTAAAGGAAGTCAACTTTTTGGTCCAGCCCCAGTTTTTAATTAAGAAAATACATAGCATAATTAAAGAGCATTGTTTAGTATCTAAGAGTTTTATGACCCTTGGCTAAAAAACAGGTTGGGATAATTTGGGTAATATCAACCTCCCGAAAAATTTGAAGATTTAGAATCAATAAAGGTAGATGTAGCAGATCTACCTGATGGTTCAAAATATGAGGGATTTATGAAGAATGGAAAAATGCATGGTTATGGAATTCATTTATTAAAAAATGAACTATTTGAAGGCAGTTTTTAAGATGGGATAAGGAAAGGATGGGGAAGAAGCATAACTGAAGACACTCTAAAAGTATACTGATTAATGATTATAATAGTCCGGATTTTGGGACAAGGATGAAATAGAAAAAAAAATGATATTGTAGACATAAGATGTATACTATTAAGGAGAATGCTCGAAATCGATCCCAAATGGAAAAGGAGTATTAAAAAAAACTACTATTAATTACGAAGGGGATTTTATTAAAGGAAGGATGCATGGAAAAGGAGTATTTGAAGATAATTAATAAAGAATAAAGTATGAAGGGGAATTTGCATTGGATAAATTTAATGGACATGGAACATTTTAGTTTCCCAGTGGTAAAAAATATGTTGGTCAATTTAAGAATTCTTAGTTCAATGGTTAAGGTGAGATGTTTTGGCCAAACAAAAGTTATTACAAAGGTAATTAACTAAACTAAAGTTAGGTCAATTTGTAGATGGCTTATATGAAGGTTGGGGATACTATTTAGATGAAGAAAAGACAATATATGATGGATAATGGAAGAAAGGCAAAAAGAATGGCAAAGGAAAGTTAACTAGTAAAAATATAGAGGTGTAAGGAATTTGGGAAAATGATATCTTTAAAGAAAATGAATGACATTAATATAATTACATTTCTACATTAATTATAATTGCATACTTAATAAATTATTACTACTGAGTATTCAACATCACTTAAAATTTAAATTGATTGGTTCCCCTGATATTTCGAAACAGAAATATATACTGGTTCTTCTCAAATTGCCTACTTTTCATGTGTACAGCCTAAATTATAGGTTCTAGCAATTTTAGCTTGATTAGGTTGTCAGTAGACAGAGGATCAATATTGTTTATTGATCAAATTTTTGATTGTAGCCTGTAATTTAATTGTAAATCAAATTCATCCAACTTTAGGATTAAATCAAGAGTGATGTGTTCGTAAAGAGAATTTGAACTGTTAGTACAACTAAGTCAATCTTTTTTCGAAAACTTTAAAAAATCACTTATTTTCAGTTGATGTAAAACGATAGAAAGTTTTACTATTTTTCTGATTGGCTATCCTTTAACTAATATATAAATCCTAGTAATGATTCTCTTTTCTATATTAGCGATCGGAATTTTTTAGATTCCTAGATATGTTTTTATTGCATATTAAACCTATAAAGCAATTTCCAATTAGAAAACATTTTAAATTAACTCACTATTTATCTTTCTTTGCTACTTATTAATGGGTTTGTGTAATTCATAAAAAGCGAGGCTTGACACTAATGATATACCTATCAATTAGAAACAGAAGTCTGAAGAACCACACTCGAATGGCAAACTATTACTCGAGCAATACCATAAACTAAATATTTTGTTAGATCTTCTGGGCAATCTAGATCTCTTGGAAAAATAAACCCAGGATCATATCAATCTACTCTATATGATTCGCACAAATATTAAAATACTCATCTAGTATAACTTGAAGAAAATAATGAAAGAAAAAAACATATACAGAATTTCTACCATTGAGGATGAAGAATGGTTATATACTGATTCATAATTCCTCAATAGAATTATACCCTAATTCTAACAACTTATTACTGTATTAGAGACCTTATTTCTAAATGACGACTTCTAAAACGCTTTTCCTATTCTTATTCATAGTTTCTATTAAATTAATGAATCCCTCAAAAAAATCCCAATCTAATATACCCTTACTTAAACTAGAAATACGACCCTTTGATTTATATTTTGTATTAGAGAAATATAATATAATATTCATAAAATAATAATCTGCCAATTATTACATTCGCAAATCCTAACTATTTAGAATCTATCTCTAAATAAGTAAAAGCTCCAGATAATTTAATTACTGGCTTTGGCCTGTCGCCTCTAGTTTAAAATCTATGAATAAATAAGTTTATATTAACTAAAAATTATTTTCTATGAGTACTAACTAATTAAACTTATTTATATTATTTGTGGATTCATAAAATTATTTTAAGACAATTATTGAAATTCTTTAATATTCTAAACATATTATAAAATCCTATAATTCTCACTATTATAAATAATTAAAAATCAATAATATAAAATATTAGTCATAAAATGAGAGATCTTTATATTAAATCAATCAAAATTCTCTTTTATTTATAGGCTACTATAATAATAAAATTCTAGTTCATTAATAATAATGATTAATTGAAGAATGTTCTTCTTTTCTATGATCAAGCATGAGAACAAAAAAGGTTATATAACATCAAGATATGTGTTAAAGAAAGACAAAATTGAAGTGAACAAATCGAAAGATTAAAGTTGAGATGAATTTGATTACTGATTGTTGTTTTGAAGTCACGAAAATAGAAGCGAAATATAAATGTATTTTTTCAAGGTTTATAAGATTTGATAGTTGATTGGGAATCCATTCTATTCTAAAATTATTAATTTTCAGTAAGAATTTATTGGAAATTAGCCAAGAATCTCTGAAAATAAATCAAGCAAGAAATAGGCATCACTATGATAGATATATATAAGATGTTGATGATAATACAAATCAATTAATATCTGGAAAGAATGGTTACGATTTAAATTTATGCATTAGATTGTTATTACTAAATATATTTTTTAAGGATTTCGTGCTTCTACTATATTTTTTACTTGATATAAGCTGCTGATTTCTTTTTTCATAATATTCTCTAATATCGATAACATATTGATGAAAATTAGTAGTATTAATCCGTTTTACTTCTTATGGTCTCATAGATTCAAAGAATCTCTACCTTGTAACTAGCATTTGATGTTGAAGTTCTTTCTTTTTCTTAAAATCCCAATCACTAGAACTCCAATATCTAAGATGGAGTTGACTATTTTATTAAGCCATTTAATATTTATTAATAATAATATTAAAATGAATATGTTATTTTCAATCTTTTTATAAGATAACTACCCAATTGGCATGGTCATAATAATTATTTACTATCTTAAAGCCTGGCATTTCTGATAATAGTTCTTCGATCTCACCTTATTTAAATACATGATAATATCGTTTATAAACAACTGTTTTTTTTTAATCATCAATTTTAAATTATTATTACACTACCGATTATAATTAATTAATATACCTTCCTAATTGATGACTTTTTCATCCTCATATTTAAATTGTAAATTCCAAGGCACAAAAACATCTTACTCATTGAAAGTCTTCTCCTCTTGTTCCATAGCCCAAACATAGATTAAAACTAGACCTTTGGATTTACAAATCCTTAACAACTCTTTGATAGCTTGTTGTCTAAGAATTCTACAGAGTTAATAAGATAATTATTACTTATTGGAGAAATGATGAATGACTGCAATTGAGATGACTGCATCGAACATTTCAGATTTTAAGGGTAATCTCAATGAATCTGCACTAAATACTTAATAAGCATCTGATTTTTCTTTGCAGATTTTCAATAGATTTTCACTTCTATCGGTACCAATTATTTCAATATCTGGATTTGAACCCAAATATTTGCCATTTCCACATCCCACATCAGCAACAAGGGATCCTGGTTCTAATGATTTGAGAAATTGTTCTATTTTAGGCCATGGCTTATAACGAGTTGAACTAAAATGTGGTGCAATTTTTTCGTAAATCTCATAGACATATTTCTTTTCGACTTCAGTGGCTTTAGGAATTTAGAGTAATTATTATTGTTATTCTTCAAGTAATTAAATTTCTTCTTGAGTTTTGTTGGGAACAACTTTATTGTCTTATATAATTCCAATTTAATTCAATTTTGCTAGGTATTCTTGGAGTAATGGATTTTTGCTCTTCATGGTCAATGGATTGTACCCCTAAGATTCACAAAAGAATTAATATTCACAATCACATTTCAAATCATTTCTGATGGTTCTAAATGTCAAACTCAATCTTTTAGATCTAAAGTGAGTTTCACCTTCTACTTTATCGATTTTCCTTGCTGCAATTGAGTGGAACCAAGCATATCTCACTTCTCCTGTGAATAATGCACAAGATCTAGGAGGTAGATATAAATGATGTTCTTCTCCTTTGAAGGATTTAAATGACATTACTAAACCACTAAGTAAACTAATTGTCACGAATTTCTCATGGAATGGAGGATGAACATCGAAATGAGGGGGAATACCCATTCCTGGTAAATACTCATTAATTGTAAGTTGATTTATTTCTGCTTATGGTTTTATTAAATCAGAAACTTTGGCTCTGACATCTTCAAGAAAGGCTGGAATATGTTTGTCTGCAGGCTAATTGACATTGACTGTATTATCTCCATAAATGAATTCATAGCCATAATGTTGAACTCTCCTTTATTTCAGTTTGGACCATTCTTGCTTATCGATTAAATCCAAAATATATTTTTCATATTCTGGTGTTATGAAGTCGTGTATCAAATACAGTCCTGGGATATTGATTTGTCGCATAGCATTTGGTATATCACACATGCCTCCTCCAATCAATTCTTATTCATTTGTATAAAAAAACATTGTGGCTCTCTCTTTATTTTGGTACTTTAGATTTGCAAACTTGATATTCTCGAAAATTTGTAAAGACTAAGTGGCAAATAACTCATACTTGGATTAATTATAAACTCTATTGGATGTTTTGGAATTCAATAAATGCATAATTTCTTACAGGGTATATCATTATTTTGTTTTGACCGAACTATTTAACATAATTACAGATGGTGTCATAATCATCTTGATCACCTACTCCGAAATGAACTGCTATTAATTTATTTGAAGGTTCCTAAGTGACTAATTGATCGAATGGCTTCTTTTCAGATTTGGTAAGTGTCTTTATTAAGTAAATATATATACTGCAATAGCTATTGCTAATTTCTTATTCAATTTGATTGTGGGATTACGTACTTTCTCTCTTGCCTCGATGGCTATATCTAAATCCATTAATATTTTTACAAAATCGAAATAATTTATATACTAATTCTTTCATTAGTCAAGGATTAAAAATAATTTATTTCATTTTTAAGTATGTGTTAAGACTTTGTCCATCTTAAGTGAAGTTTTATAATTCATAAAAAACAAGATAACTAAGCACATTTGAGAATTGAGTTAATTTAATTCATATATTTATAGATTATCATTCTAAAGTGAATAGAGAACATTGGAAACACCCACATCTATTATATAAAATATATTAATTATTAATAATAAATGAATCTGTATCAATTGCTAAAACAGGATTATCTTGGCTAGTCTCTTTGATTGACTACAGATCTTGGAACATGTCCAGCATATCCTGGTATTTTAGTATGACTATTATTATAATGAATTATTATACTAATTCTCTTTTAAATTAGTTTTCATGAAATCTGTTCTTGGTTCAGTTCCACTTCCATGTTCAATAGCTTTTGAATTAGTAATAATTGAGGGTATGAATCCTGTATATCCAGGCACATGCTATGCTTCTTATGAAGTTCCTAGTCTCAATTCATCAAATGTTCTTGGATGAGTTTCATCTAATTAATTTAATCTCTCTCTTGGATTCTCTCCTATTTACCCATATTATTTCTTATATTCAGATGGTCCAACTTTCCTATCATAATTTTCTATACAATATACGTTTCCACCACATATGGAGGTCTATTTTAACTCCATTCAGGAGGGATTGCTCTATTTTTTGCATATGGATCCACAATCGATGCTTAATATGTAGATTTCCAATGTTCACAACCAGTCTTGAGTAGAGGATTCTCTGGAGTTATTGCTGAATTCCCTGTTTTTTAGAAAAAATTGCTAGAAGTTGCACTCTCCAATTGTGCCTATAAATAATATAGAGGATTATTTCCTTACTTTATTGGCCTTATATACATTCTTATAATGCGGAGGTTATACAGTAGAATCAAGTGAAACTTATTTGTTTGAATAATGATAGTTGGAATTCTTATAAAAGCTCTCTTTGTCTTCATTTCTAACAGCTAAGTTAATGTGGTAATCAAACTTACTTTGCTCCCATACTTCATTAGAGTCTAATGTCCTTTTGCCAGCTTTAAGAGATGGGTATGGCAGATCTCCATACGATTAAAATGCTGCATAACCAACAACTTTAGGAATCATTAATTTTTAATAATATCAAAATCATCTCTCTATAAATATTCATAATAACTCTGAATATTTTATTTGATGCTTACACAATCATGTCAATAATTCTGCTATTACATCAGCATTTTTTGCAATCATTAATCTATCTTACGATTTATCACATTCCCATTCCAATATTTGGCATAAAAACTTACCAATTACAAAAAAGAGATTTAAAACATTTCTCTCATTATTCCTAAGCCTCGGAATCAACCAATTTTTCATTTATTTTAATATATTACTATTTATACTCCTATTTTATCTACTTTCTTATGGTTTTCGTCAATTACCTATTGGTAATTTCAAACCAACATTCCATTTACAAATTATAAATTTTATTTATACTAATTTTTCATAATTATTGAAATTACGTAATCACCTTCCTTCCTCGGAAAAGCTAGAAGTATTCCGGAGAGAAACGAATAGCAAAAATTTAATGATTAGTTAATCAACGAATTTAATTATAGAAGTTTGTTTTATTCAAGAAAAAACGTAAATACATAAAATAGATAATGGAGTTGTAATCAAAATAAATCTGAAATTGATTCAATCTACTTGGTCTTCAAGATGTAATCAATAATTTTTATTAAAAAGTGTTCATTTCCTGCCTTTTTTAAATTGTACTATTTTTAGACTTAATGAATAAGTAGTGGTTCTAAGATTGTAATAGAGTAATTTTAGGATCCTTAAATTGCTCATTTATAATATTAAACCTCTAATTCTTCATTTAGTAAAGTTAAATGGGGTTTAGGCTAATATTTGTGGTTTTATAAATATTCTTATGACCATTAGACAACTTCTGAATTCTTATAACATAACTAATTGCTTTCAGTAATGTTGGCTTACATTAGGAAATTAAATATAACTTCTATAAATAATCAAAATTTCAGGATAGAAAAAATATTCTTTAGCAATAATTAATGAATTATTATTAATATTTTTCAGAAAAAGTATAGGAATCAATTAGTCGATTCATTAATAGCAATTTTTTCAACAAAAAAGCAACAGGTTTAAAATTTACTTTCTATCATTTGGGACTCCTCATATATTGAAAAAAAGACGTGTGTTGGAATATTTCAGCATTTAATAAGGAATTATAAAAAGATTTTTATTATTGATTAAATTTGAATTAACATAATATAAAATTAAACAGCACGAAATGATTTATAAAAATAAATTTATTAATTGAAGTCTATTACATTAGTCACGAGATCTAGAAATTGCAAATAATAGATAATTAAAAAAAAGAATTAGACTGAAACATTAATAGGAAAGTAACAAATTTAAGTTGAATGAAAATAAAAACCACTATTTTTATATTATTAATTTGAACAGTAATGTTGTATTCTCATTTTCCGTAACTTGCCATCTTTGGTTACCGATTACAATAGTTTTATCAGTGAGTAAACTTTTACAATTCATGATTTATAAACAAACAATAATAGTTGTTAATATTTTTATTCATTTTTAAATTTAAGAGGTCTTTTTCTAATTTAGGAAAAAAAAAGAGCCTTTGAGTAATTGAAGAGAAGCTCATTTAACTGAATAATAGCGATGATTTGTAAATGTATGAAAAATTGATTGACATAAAACATATATCATTAAAAATTGAATCAATCGAGTTATCCCAAAATGTCTTCTTCAACTGAATTTATGACTTCAAAATGAACTCCATTTATCAGTACATTAAACTGTCTATGCGGATCTAAAGTTAATAAAGCTAGATACTTGTTGGATCATATTCACTATATTCTATATTAGAGGGTCTTTTGTGGACGAGTTTTGGTTGTGATTTTGTATCATTCCAATTCTGTGAATATGAAATTATTTTATTTGAAAATTAACTCACAGGAGTCATGGTGGTATTTTAACTATTTAATTTTCTTTTATTCGTTTAGCAAGTGCCCATTTCAAACAATATTTTATTTATTTATCTAAAATGATTTTAATTAAATCAAGATTATATAACAATAAAATATCATTTGGATTCAATTGTACTATATTTTTAACTATCATCATGGAATTGATTCAATTTCTTTAATTTTGTTTGTAAAATAATTGTTACAATACAATTAAGTCATTTAACACAGCTTGAACTCCTTTTTTAAATATTGCATTAAGATCCCATTTTGCCTCACTACTGCTGAATATGTACCAATTCAGAGTACTTGATTCCGAGATAAGAATTGAATCTTCTAAGCCTAGCTAAAAGAAAAAGAAATTTAATATAAAGAAAATTTGAAGAATTTTCTGAGTTTCTTAAAATTAATTAGGTAATATTTTAAGTCAAGATTTCCTACTATCATTTTAATATCATTAGAATATCAGAAAAATCTAAAGTAGAGCCATTTCTATTTTTAGTTATATTACACATATAATTTATAACAAAAACTCAGGATTTTTCATTGATTAAGCATAAAATCGTAAATTTTAAGTGGATTATATAATTGAGGTTTAAATGTGCATTCTTACATTACTTTTTATTCTTATTCTTGTTTCACTAACTCAAGTTTCTAAAATTAAATAATCGTTGATTACATTCTATTGTAATTTTGGACCCGATTTAACTATTTTCATTGAGTGCTTGCATAATTTAGGCTTGGTATAAATGAATTCTTACTTAGAAAGTACATTAATCGAGATCTACTATTTTTTTTTATCTTAATCCATTGATTAATTTATTTTTATCTGAAACATTTAAAGATTATATCAATCTATTAGCTGCTTCTATAAATGATTCTAGATCTAATTGAGCCTAAATCGATTCCATTTCGCATAAGAGTGGTGCCAAAATTTATAAAATTTCTTATTAAATTCCAGATATTTCAATAGAAGATGCTGAAATTTACCCATCTCCGTCTGAATCAAGTAAAGAGAATATCTCTTCTAAGACTTTCCTCTTCTTATCCTCATAAATCAAACTTGATTTTTCTGAAGACTTTGCCATGGAATTCATAATAGATTATCTTTCCTATTCAACTAAGTAATTATGATGATCTTCATGGACAGTTCTCATTTGAAATAAATAGTCACCTATTGGAAGATTAGTGTTATTTCGCTATGAAATTAATAAATGAATACCTCATTTGTAGGTGGTCTTCCAATTATAGGATGATATAATTTTTAACCGGTTGACAGATCATGTGTAGGTTCTTCAGTCATTACAGTTTCTTCTAATTTTTTTTATCTTTTCTAGATAGAAATTTGCATTCTTTCTAGAAATGGAATATCCGAAGGTTTGCTTTTTAAAGGAGAAGTCATTTTTGATTAATTGATCATTTGGCTAGCCTCTTTCTTTTTCTTCATCGAGTTTATGCCTTATTAATATAATCGATCATGTATCTGACTTTTTTGAGCACTCGAATAGTTTCTTTCCTTTTCTTGAGAAATCTTTTGACTTCTAATCAAAATTGTTATAGTAATTTTACATGGGGTTGATAGTAGGTTAAAATGAGCATTACTAATTCTATGCAGCCATTCTGCTACTTCTTAATTGTTCTTTTCTGTATGCCATCTGTTTGCCTTGCATAATCAAATATTCTGATGTGGGCATATTCGGTCTTTTAGCCAAAGCCAAGCTTTTCTCACTTATATATGGTTTGAAGGAATATAAAACATCTTATTTAGGCTCTAAAACTCGACTTTGCCTTGATCTTTAATATAACTATTCTCCTGGATTGTATGGTAATGTTTTTTGAGGACTGAAAGTTTAAGATAGACTGTTGGTGATAAATTATTAATGTTTTTTCTGGGTCTTAACGGCAGCTTCATTATGTAATCGATCGAAAATGCTCTATTTTGAACAATGGCTGTCCTGCAGATTGCTGATGATAGTTTATTCTATTAAAATAGTTGCCTCCTCTCTTAACTAATGTTTGCTAACAAATTCCTTTGCAATCATAGTTATATCAGAATCATCATATACATGCAATGTTTCCTTAAATCTTATATACATTTGTATACATGTTTCTTTTCTCCAAGATCGAAGACGATTTGAAGCACTTCTTGTTTTGGTTTTCCAGGGGTTGACAGACCTCTCGATTGCATTATTTTATAATATAAATTAATCAGTTATGCGCAAACCTAATATTTTATCATTTACTCGAGATGAAACTCCAAAACCTTCCATTAATAGAGAAAGACATGTGAATCGATAAATGGCCATCAGTGTTGATTCACCAAAGGAATTCTAATTTAAGCACATCAAAGTCGAGGATATCCTCTTTGTTAAACCATAAGATTCTGCCACCCAATAAGGTAACCTTTATTCATCTAAAGACTTAAGACTTGCAATATAAAAGGATTAAATGGTATGGTAAAGCTGTTAACCTCTAACATGATCTTTAAATGACCTTAAGACCCAATTTGAGCTTGTTATAAGACAAAAAAGTCAATGAGTCCATTTAAGAATCGGAAGATCGTATCATCAGACTCAAATCAACCAAATCTAGATTCAACGATAAAATCTCTAATAGATCCTATGAGCTCGAACATAATGGCAGATATTTAGATTAAAAGTGTGCTTTCTAAGAAAATTATACTCTCTACTCTAAAGACTCCTTTAAACTTAAAACAGGAATGTTTGAACAATTCAAAAATGCACAACTCCTCTAAAAAAGAGGTAATCAATATGAATATTTCCTTTAAAAACCAACTTACTCCGATTATAGTAAATAAAAAACCTATAGGACTTCAAAACAAAAGCCAAATTTACTTAATCAGACAGATAATACGTTGACTACTCTGTTTGATACTCCCATTAAGTATTAGAATGAATTAAATCTGAAGATTGCTCGAAATTAAATTCTACAATCACTTGAATAGCAAAAGAGGAAGAGAGCTATTTCAGAATATTGATTTGATATTTATATTCTAATTAAATAAAAATAATAATATCAATTTTAAAGTCATGAGTAGAATGGGTAGTTTGGTTCTTCATTCAATAAAATTAGAATAGTTGTTTTGTTTCCAATTTTCAACTTCTATTTTCTCTTAACTAGAGTTCTAACTGCTATTTAAATAGCCGTATCTGCAAATTCATTAATCTCTTTTCCATAATATCGTATATATGGTTCTGAAGGATGCTCCAGATTGATTACTATAGAAGAACCTTTTTTGCATTCACTAAAAATATCGTAAATTAGTCTCACAAAATAGGTTCTCACCATTTATACCTTCCCCTCAGATGATGGAATAATTTGATAACTAATCGATTTGAATTGGAAAAACTCCTTGAGCTTTAACAAAATTGGTTCTATTTCAAAATCTTATTATTTAAACTAATGATTGAGTATTTTGTAATTTAGAATTTATTTGAAACAATAAATCCTTAACAAATGTAATTGATTCAAATTGTTTGATTTTAATGAAATAGACAAATTATTTACTACACATTTGAAAATCTTAAATTATACTAATCTCTCTTTCTCAATTGCATTAAATAAATACTTTTTTAATTTATCTTAAACTTAAGAATTATTGTCAAATTTTATTAGGAATGTTGGCTATTAATAACTAAAGAAACAAATTGTTATATTTTATTTTTATTTAGAACCTTTTCTTATTTCAATTTATTTACTATAAGATTTAATTTCTGAAGATTACTTACGTACAATGTCTTAGAAACAAATCTATTCGAGATTTTACTATTTATAATGCCATTCTCTTAAAAATTATTTCAAACTCTCTGAATTCTCACAATTAAATTCTAATTATCGTGATGAAATTAATGAAAATCTTAATTAGCTGCTTTCAAATTGAAATAATATATATGACTTATTTACAATAATTGGCAAAATTTATTCCATTAAATTATCTTTCAAACTCAATAAAAAAAAGCTGCGACTCTCATAATTCAATTTATGAATATAAAAACCCAAAAAGCAAATTAGTATAATTGTTGCAAAATATACATTATATTATGGGGTTTTAGTTTCACATATTGCCAAAATCAATCGTATTAGCATTGTAGTAGTTACCAGGAATATCCCTTAACACATATCAACAGCCAGAATGATAACAAAGTTACAAGCAACAAAATTATTAGCAAATAATGGAATCGCCTCTTGTGAGACTGTGCTAGTTAGCATATATTAGTAGGCAAGTAATAAGTAATTTAAAATCATCAAACACCATTATACTGATGAAGGTTTCCACTTTACTATGAATATAGACAAGATGAGATAAATTTAAGTGATAACTAAAATGCTTAATTGATTCAACTCGTTATTCAGTATTTCTGTGATCATCTTTACCAGGCTGATGAAAAACAGTCCGATAGCACTCCATACATAGACTGGTTTTCTGAGTTAATTCATTTTCTACTCTTAATATTTTCTTTCGGATTCTTTATCTAAAAATATTAAACTATATTTGTTCATAATTATCTATTTTAATAATTTAAAATGTTGGTCTTATTTAATTATGATTAAAATAATCAAAATATATTTAAACAATTCCAAGATATTCAAATTCAATTATTAATCAATTTAATATAATATTTCAAGATATATTTTACTAAATCAAATGAGAAAACAAATCTTTCTTCAACCATGCGTAATCAAACCCAATTCCATAGCATTCCAAAGTATTGATGTTGATATAGTTTATCTTTTTGAAATTTAAGTCTTTGTCTGATGTATATAGTATATGATCTTTTTGCATTACCTAATCCTTCTTAATTCCAATAATGTTTCTTTTTGTTATTGTAAATTATTTAGACTTAGTATTATAAATCACTTTTTCTACTTAATATTTATAAAACTATCTCTATTTTACAAGTCTAGTGAATATGAATCCTGTGGTTATGGCAACTTTGAAGATTTCCATGTTATTTTTATACCATTACTCATCCCTGAATACAGTATACAATCCCAAACCAGCAAAGGCCACCCAAAAAATGTTCCATAATGTAGAGATTAAATAAGCTCTACCCTTAGTGTCATATAAATTAATATCGACTTCTCTATTTAGAATTTCTTCAAATAAAATGGCTGCTCTGTATTCTTCTTTTGCCTTCATCTTACTTTTCTCTTTCAAAGATGCTACAATTGCATTTGTAATAACTTCCTCCCTCATTTTGGCAACATACCCTTATTTTTTTGAGGTCTTTTGCTTTTCTAAGTTTGTTTATTCTTTTTCTGCAAATTCTCCTTTTTCTTTTTCTCCATTAGAAAATCCATATTTTGATTAATTTATAAACTGAAAGGGTTAGCATCTTGAAAAAGCTAAAAAATTTGATAAATTATATCTGAATTTTATCATAATTAAATTTAATATATAGTATGAAATTTAAGTAAATCACCACTATTTCATATCCTAAAGTACTTAATATAATTGATCTCTTTCCTAGAATTGCTTAGACAACTTTAAACAACTTTCTATTAACAGATCTTTTTGTTCTTAACTCCAACTATGATATAAACATTATTCTAAATGAAACTTTAATGAATGCTGATATTCTTCCTTAATTGCTATTTCTATAGCCTTTAAATGGAACTAAAAAATAAGATTAAAATTTTACAGTCTTTTCAATTTATTCATCATCACTCTTTTCGTTCAAATCTCTAATTATTTCATATAGCTAGCAATTTGGTTGTATTATGTATAAGCATTTTGCTATTTTTTAAAAGTTACTATTGAAGATTCTCTATTTCAGCATTTCATTATAAGTTTGTTCCAAAGCAAACAAAAATTCTTTGTGATGATACAATTTACAAATTTGATCAATATATTAATTGCTCAACTATCCTTTAACTAAACCTAATATCTATTGTTAATATTATTATACTTCCAATTGCTAGAACTTATATTCTAAGAAGATCATATTAGAACTAGCTTAAACTTCCTCCAATGCAGAATATATTTCCATTAGAAGTTCAGATCTTCGGTTATTAAAATTAATTTTATCTCTTAATTCTCCCTGTAACACCACTAATATGAATTTGAATAATACAAGTGGTAAATTGTTAGACTTAAGATTACAAGATTGAATAGTTTCTTTGCTAATCCTCCTAATCACATTTATTATGATTCAACATTTTGAATTTGCATATTGATTATAAGATTTACAATTCCTATTAAACAAGCAGATTTCTTGTTTCTTCTTAGTCTTTGTCATAACTGTATTATCTAAAAAATCCAAAATTACATTTATACATAAAGCTTAAATTCGATTTCCAATATTTGAAATTTTAAGTGCTTTTTTTCCAGTTGATAAAGAACTAAAGTAGCTTTTTCTCGAAAGAATTTTAGAGTCTCTTTATTTTAAACATATAATTTAAATTTATGAAAGTTGTTAGTATAAAAAGCATAACTAAATTATTTTAAAATAATAACAAATTTTTTATTTTCCTTAAAAATAAATGACATTGTATTCACTTTTATTTCTTATTATTACTTGGTGATATTTTTACTATTTTGAGATTTATCTCACTATGCATTAACAGAATATGAATTCAATGTGACCAATCTAAAATATAAATTACTAATTAAAAATAATGGCTTTTAGATATATTAGCCTAGATTAGAGTAATATTAGAATTTAACTCAAATAATCACAAATAGAAAATGGCTAATTGATACTAATAAGCTGAAATACCTTTATAATACCGTTGAAAAAGGAGAAAAATTTTTAAATTAGCTCATTAAATATAATTGAACAAAAATCCAACTAGTTGATAACTTGAATTTAAAAGTTAACACTAACAATCAGAAATAATTTATTGCCATTAAATATCAAAAAAGGATTTTAAAAAAAAAGATAAAAAGTCACTCTGAATTTAATTTAAGTCTGTTAGGATACAATTCCGACTCTTACTAATATTTATTATTGATAAAATGAATCTGTAAATCAAATCATTGTTATTATATTTTAAAAATAGATTTTAGATAAAATTAAAAACAAAATAAAAAGAAGATATTGTAGTTGTTTCATAAATATTTATTATTTTAACGAATAAAAACAATAAAATATAGAACTAATTTTAGATATTGGCAGACTAATTACAATTTTGAAATGAAAATTCTTAAATTTTACGACATAATGAAAAAGAAAAGATACTTTAAGTGGTCTGATAAAAGGATAAAAATGAATATAATTAACTGAATTCAGATTCTAATTATAAATGTTAATTATTTATCAATAAAAGAAAATTCTTCTGAATGTTATCAAGCGAATGGGAGCTAAGCATAGCGATAATAGGGGATACTGGAGTTGGAAAATCAACATTTCTATCTATGTTTATGACTAATCAATTTGTACAACGCCATAATGATAAAATTGCTGTTCATCAATAGGAAATTTTGGTAGGAGAAAAGTTGGTTTAATTAAAACTGATTGATATTGTAATGATATATTATGAATTAAAGTCTGGTAAGGAACCATTCCGTTCGATGGCATGGGTTCATTACAGAACTTGTGTTGGAATAATTTTAATTTTTGATCTTTCCAGCAGAGATAGTTATGAGAATCTGAAAAAGTGGTACGAAGAAATCCAATAGTATGTTGATCAAGAGAAAATATTAATTAGACTGGTAGGTAATAAAAGTGACAAATTGGTTTACGATGATTTGGGAGAAGGGAAGGATGGCGGAAATGACAGGTAAAGATAATTCTTATTTATTTATGCAAGGCATTACATACAGTATGAGGAAGGGGAGCAATTTGCAGCCACTCATCAAATGCAGTATTCTCAAACTTCAAGTAGTGTGCTTTCGTTGATTCAAGATGAGAACTATTAGAGCATTAACACTATTATCACCAAATTTACTGAAGAGATATTGGATTTTGTAAAAAAATAAAAAGCAAGTGGTAAATTAGATGAATTGATGGGAATTCGAAGTTTAAAAAAATAGGTTGTTATTCAGGAGGTGAAGAAAAAAATTAATCGAAACTCCTGTTGTTGAATAGAATTGATAAGAAGATTTATCTTAATGATTATATTTTTCTATATTTTCTATGAATTCAGCGTTTAAATTGTAATATAAATTATTGATATGATTTTAATATTAATATAAATATATTTTTTATTCTGATGAGTTCTTATGCATACTTGTTTAAATTTATTATTATTGGAGACTCAAGTAATTATAATTCTAAAAGAGTTTAGGTGTTGGAAAATCATGCTTGCTTTTATAATTTTTGGATAGGAAGTTTAAGTTGGATCATGATACTACAATAGGAGTTGAGTTTGGAAGCAAGACTTTGAACATTAGGTAAAAGAACATAAAACTATAAATTTGGGATACTGTATCAACTAATTTAAATATTTTAGGCTGGACAAGAGAGTTTTAAATCAATTACTAGATCATATTATAGAGGATCAATCTGCGCATTAATTGTGTATGATGTGACTAGCAGAGACAGTTTTGAGAATATCAGTAGATGGATGGAAGAAACAAAAAGCTATGCAAACGATAAAATCACACTAGTGTTGGTTGCTAATAAAACTGATTTATCAGACAAGTAAACTTATATGAAAACACAATTAGGAGAGTGATATCAGCTGAGGAAGGACAAACATTCGCCAAAAAGCATGATTTGATTTTTGTTGAGGCATCTGCAAAAACAGGATTTCAAGTTGATAAAGTATTGTCTATCACACAATATATATTAGATATTCTAAGAAGCTGCTGAGGCTGTCCTTAAAAAAATAGAGCAGAGAGACATTGATGCTACAAATGAGGTATAAGATTAAAATATTGTTAGTCTATTGGTGTACGTATTGGATCATAAATGACTGAAGAAATGATTGAAAAATAAAAAGAGTAAAAGGCATCAAAATGCTGTTGAAATGATTATAATTTTAACTTTAAAATATAAGTTTTGAGTTTCTCATTTAATTCCATCAAATTATACTCGGGTTTTCTTTAGCAATAAATAATCACTCTTTATGGTATTTTAGTATGATCTGGGGACATCATATATTACGTAGTATTTCTCCCCTTATTTGAGTATTGCCACCAGAATAAATTGTATAGTTCTTGTTGTAATTCGAATTTCCATAAATTTTCTTTTTGCAATTGTTAAACCAGAACCTCCTTGCAACAAGTTTTATTATAATACTGCAATGTAAATAGTTCAAAATGTATGTTGCTTTGCAATCTTCTCCTGAATTTTAGAGATTCTATCGTTGTGAATTGTAGACATATTTTAAGTATTTCAGGGAGATAAACGAGGATGGGAGAGTGCTTTTGTATGGTAAAGGGTGTGTTTTTTGCAATGTTCGGTTTAATGATTGTTTAGATCAGAATAATTTTACATATATGGATTTAATTAGTGATGCAATCTTATGCTCATTATTGAGATTCTATATTTTAAGGTGTGATGGAATGAATATTCATTAGATATTATTTTTCATAATTTATTGTGAATGGCTTAGTATCGACCATTGAATGATGGTTAGTAGAACTTCACATAGGCTACAAATCCTCAGATTATTGCAGGTTTCTAAGCTTTGAGAATGAGTGTCGATTTGGGAATGCAGCAGAGCGAGTCAGCTCGTAAGAGCTCCATGAAAGCACAAGCTCTAGTTTCTAGACAAAGTCAAATGCTTAACCAGATGAAAGTAAGCTCTAAAATTGTATTCCTAGGAATAAAAAATTATGGTAAAGGATGTCATAGTACCAGTGGACGCTCCAACTAATACAAAGCCAGATATTCTTAAAAAGGCTTAAAATAAGGGAGAAGAGTACAGGAACATGGATGAGCATAAGGTGGATGTAATGACTTTAGCGAACAGGTAATGTATGGACACCATAGTTTAGATTGGGAACAAGCAAAGACGAAGGTTTATCTGATGACTAAGCTGTGTAAAAGAATCAATAATATGGTGATAATAAATTATCAGAAAAAGCGAAGACTCCATGGTGGATCAAATTGATTAAAGAGATGATTTAACCATTTTCAATTTTGTTATGGATAGCATCCTTTGCATGTTTTGCTTTATATGGTGTGAATCCAGATGCCCTCGGAGCAAAGTCGAACTTGTGGTTGGGTATGAAAAAGCATCTAATTTTTAGCAATCATTTTAATTGCAATTATCTTACTAACAGGTTCTATTACCTACAATCAATCTGCTAAGGCCGACGCTTTGATGGAAGGCTTTAAGAATTTCTTGCCTTAAAATTGTATAGTAATTAGAGGAGGACAGAGGAAACAGGTCCCAGCAGAGAAGATAGTGCCAGGAGATATAGTGGAAGTGAAGATGGGAGACAAAATCCCAGCAGACATCAGAATTATACAATCTCGAGAGATGAAGGTGGATAACTCTGCATTGACAGGAGAATGTGATCCATTATTGAGAGTGACTGAATGCACAAGTGAGAATCCTTTGGAAACAAAGAACTTGGCCTTTTTTGGAACATTATGTAAAGAAGGATCCGGATTGGGAATGGTTATTTAAATAGGTGACAAGACTATCATGGGTCAGATTGCAGATTTAGCAACTGGAGGAGAAACACCAGAAACACCATTGAATATTGAGTTGAAGAGGTTCGTTATTTTGATTTCTTGTATTGCTGTTGGTTTGGGTGTCTTATTTTTGATTCTCTCATTGGTTGTCGAAAAGGCATCAGTAGATACTGCTGTTGGTTTAAGCTATTGGTATTATTGTTGCAAATGTACCTGAAGGATTATTGGGATGTATCACAGTTTCTTTGGCTATCACTGCAAAAAGATTGGCAGATAAATAGGTGTTGGTGAAGAATTTGGAAGCTGTTGAAACTCTTGGATCAACAAGTTGCATTTGTTCAGATAAAACAGGAACCTTGACTTAGAACAAGATGAGTGTTGAAAATGTATGGTATGATGGATTGAAGAGGAGAGCGTTGAATAGATTGATTGCAGGAAAGAATGCTGAATATGAATATGAAACTAGTGATCCAACATTTAGAGATTTACACGATTGTGCTATCATTACCAGTGAAGCTAAGTTTAATATTCAAGCTAAAGACAAACAAAATATCAATTGGTTAGACACTCCAACTATAGGAGATGCCTCTGAAACAGCTTTGATCAAGTTCTTTTAACCAATCGAAGACATTGAATTAACAAGACAAAGAAGATAATTTGCAGAATTGCCAGATAAATCATTGGCTAAAATGCCATTCAACTCAACCAACAAGTTCTCTCTTTGTATTGTCAATTGGGAAACTCATGATTCCTACTATTGTGTTTACATCAAGGGAGCACCTGAAAAATTGTGGACATTTTGCAGTTACCTTTTGGTCGAAGGTAGAAATCAACCTATTGATGAATAAATTACCTAGAAATTCAAATAAGTCAACTTAGCCTTCGGTAGAGGTGGAGAAAGAGTGCTAGGATTTGCTAAATTGCACTTACCAAGAGCTGAATATCATAAAGGATATTAATTCAATTTGAATTCAGTTGACACACTTAAATTTAAATTAGAAGGATTCACCTTCTTGGGTTTATTATCTTTGATGGATCCTCCTAAAGTTACTGTACCTCAAGCTATCAAAAAATGTTAATCAGCCGGTATTAAGGTTATTATGGTTACTGGAGATTAACCACCCACTGCAGGTGCTATTGCTAAATAAATTGGTATCATCACTGGTAAGACTGTTGATGATCTTTTGGATGAGAATCCTTCAATGTCATATGAAGATGCTTTTAGATAAGCTCCAGCCATCGTTATCCATGGTGATTTAATTGTTTAAGCACTTGAAGAAGAGGCTTCATAAGGTGAAAATTTACCTGAACATTTGAAGGATAGAAAACTAAGAAGTTGGTGCAGTAAACCTTAAGTTGTATTTGCTCGTACATCTCCAGCTTAAAAACTGATGATTGTTAGAGCTTGTTAATATTTGGGGTCACGTAGTCGGGAGTTACAGGAGACGGTGTCAATGATTCACCAGCTATCAAATAAGGTGACATTGGTATTTCAATGGGTATAAGTGGATCTGATGTTACTAAAGATGCTGCAGATATGATCTTATTGAATGATGACTTTGCTTCAATTGTTGACGGCGTAGAAGAAGGAAGAAAGATCTTCGATAATCTTAAAAAAACTATCGTCTATCTTCTTACATCTAATATTACTGAGGTGTTCCCATACGTAGGTGAAATCGCTATTGGATTACCACTTCCATTGAGTAATGCCTTTATTCTCACTATTTGTATTGGTACTGACATTCTACCTGCTATTTCCTTTGCTTACGAAGAAGCTGAAATTGATATCATGACTCGTAAACCAAGAAAGAAGGATGACCATTTAGTGTCTCTTAGATTGATCACTCATGCCTATCTATTATAAGGAGTCATAGCCACATCTGCAGGATTCTTTAGTTATTTCAGTACAATGAATGAATATGGATTTCCTCCAAAACTCATTCTTAGTTTTATGAACACACCATACTAGTAAATCCCCTGGGCTCCAATCACTCTTGCAAATGGGCAACCATATGCTCCACCTCCTACAAGTTGGGTTTGGGATATGCCTAATATGAACAAGTAATTTGTCATTCTATTTTATTTAGTCCATTCTTAACATAGCAGCCTTACAGTCCTAATTGGTAAATGGCACCAGTATTGGTTCCCCCATCAGAAAATCAGATTTAAGATACAGTTGGATTCTAAAACATTCCATTGAATTGGATTAATCCAGAACTCATCTATTATGATTTGAGATACATCTTCGTTACTTATAATTCCACATCCAATAGATGGTTCCCTGTGTTTGAGGAATGGAACAACCAATTTTCTGATCAATTGTGCAGATACTTTGATAGATCAGATTCACTTCTTGAAGGATCTGGATATCCAATCAATACAAATGCTTGCTTCAAAACTGCAGCCCTTAAATATGCCTAAACTTCCTATTTCGTTGCTGTTGTCTTGGTCTAATGGTCTAATGTGTTCTCATGCAAATGTAAATACTTATCTTATATCTCTTTAGAACGTAAAATGTCTTTGATTTATTCGCCAATCAATAATGTCATGTTCTACGGAGTCATCCTTGAGACCATCATTTTCCTTTGCATCGTGTACATTCCAGGAGTCAATACCTGGTTTGGTGCCAGACCAGTAGATATACTCAATTTGGGGTATTTAATTATGTATATATCATAGAATGCCTGGACTCCCATATTCCATGTGTCTATTTTGTTGGGAAGAAATGCGTAAATACTTCATTAGAAACCTTCCAAAAGACGAGCAAATACGAACCAAACTTCTTTGAAGCAAATTCACGGTATGGTGAGTGTACGGTAGTGACATTAATATAAATAATAAAATTTGTATAGAATTATTTTATAAATTAATTTACATGGCTTAACTCCATCTATTTCAATGTTCACTCGATAGTAAGTCATCGTATTCATAGGTGTAGATATCAAGATTAGACGAACATAGAGGTTCTGAGAATAGGATAAATTACACCACTATAAATTATAATAATGAGATTAACTTACATTTTGGGGATATATATAAACTCGAAACTAACAATCGAATATGATATTTTGTACTCTAATAAATCTTTAGTATTTTATGGGCCTAAAAGTTCCCATTGAATTCGATCATTATCTCCATCTCCTCCTTCAAATTTATCAGATTACATTAAATCAATTCTTTGTCACTATTCTCAAAAACACTCAATAATATCATGAATAGAGCATTTGGAATTGTAAACAGTGTCTCTATTTTGTTAGCATTTTGGAACTGTATGTTTTTATCAGGATACAGATTCTCTATTTATCTTATTACGAATTATAAATTGACCATGTTAAACTGATATTGATGATCGTATAACTCTTCTATCAATTTAACAAGGATTAATTTCCTTCTTGTTTCTTTAATAATAATAGAATTTTTAGTGTCTTATTCTACCTTTGATAGTAGATTTATCATTGTATTGTTGTATATTATGAATCTCTTTTTGTATTTCCTCAGTTACTTTATAGAATGCTTATTTATTGAATTGATCCTCAATAAAATCATTGGGTTTTTGGCTTAAAATATAGACATTTCAATTTATAAAAGCTATCTTTTAAATCGAACTCTCAGGATTTAATTGAAATGTTCATAGCAATTCATTTGGAATTTCTTAATACTGCCATATATGTGTTCTGACAAGGAGGTTTTACCTAAAGAGGCATTCTATAAGAAATGTCTTATAGTTCTTTCCTCCTGATCACTTTACGGTATGTCTTCGTCGAAGTCAAGGCAATTCTTAAACGGAAATCTGTTCTGCTTTTAAACAGTAAAGTTTAAGTTGGAATAAGAGAATTTCAGCAAGATATAAGGATCTTTAACCAATTCATAAAATATTTTATCCCAACCATTCTCCACCAAGCCTAATAAATATTGGGATCTCTTGGCTTTGTGATATGTGTAGGCGTAAAATAAAAACGATAAATTAGCTAATATAGTGCTCGTAAGGATCATATAATTTTAATTATTTGTAGTTATATATGGCAATGAAATTCTTAAAGTTGTTATTACAATTAATTAAATGACTGAATCAAAAAACTCCCCAGATAATACCAGCATAATATTAACAGTCATCAGATTTGCTCCTTTTAGATTTTGAATTTCTGGAGAACTCTCCTCTTCAATTACTAGACCCATAGTACAAATATTGGTTATAAGAAATGCCATCCTTGTTAACTATGGTTACCATTACACGATTATATATTGTACAATCACATATAGCAGCATAGCAAGCTTGTAATAAAACAGGAAATCGCTTTTCTCAATTAAACAATACATGACCCTAATTGTGTAAGTGATCATTAAACCAAAAGACATAAACCTAAATACTCCTGATCTTGAATTTGATTATTATTATTGCTAGTACAAATTCTCTATTTTAGGATCTATGAAGCCTAAATGATATTAATTCATTAATATGAATTTATTATATTGAAATATTATTAGAATTTGAGGTTTAATTTATAAACTATTGTATTTGAAAAGATAAAATCATAAATTAAGAATTATTTTATAACAAAATTTTATTGAAATGCTTAAAAATATTTTATGCTTAATAAAGTTTCAAATAACTATTTCTAAGAGAGAGGTTAGCCTAATCTTTATGTAGATAAAAAATAAAAGGTAGTCTCTCTATATCTTTCTATCTCCAAAACCCCTTAGATTTTTTATCCAAGAAAAAAATTATACTTCTAAAATTTCCATAGAGAATCAACAAAAAAGGTTAATATTATATTTGGATTTTTGTTCTTAAAAATATTATTAATTGTGTACAGTGCAGTTTGCAAGATCATAAGTAGTTCATAAATTATGATTTTTATTGGATTTCTTAAAGTTTAAAAAAGATTATGGTTCTAAAAATGATTAATAAATTGATTCAAAAATGTTTGGGGAATCTTGGAATTGAGGAAGTTTGAGATTAAATAATAAAATATAATATCTATGTTTTTGAGTTTATTAATTAGTTTAGTGTATGATAATTAATATGACATATAGTTTATAAAAATAAAATATAAATATCTAATAAAATTGATATGGCTTCTTCTAAAAAATAAAAGAAAAAGATAAATAATTAATTGAGTAAAAAAAAGACGATAAGGACTAATATCAGAAAAACAAAGTGTGATTAGTTGGCTCAATATGTGAAGAAATTCTAGAATTAATTTAAGTTAAATTAATTAGATTCAGACAAATAGGAGATCATTCCTTCATATTAGAGCATTCCTACAAGTTATTAGCTTAAAGGGAAAAAGAAGTTTCAAAAGAAGGAAGCAGTAAAAGGACTGGTGGGATTGAAAAACTTGGGAAATAAGTGTTATATGAATGCGTCGATATAATTACTTAGTAATCTGCAGCCATTATCAGATTATTTTATTGAAGTATATTTTGGATGAGCAAAACAAGGATTTCCAATTAACAGAGATTAATCGAAAGAATCCGATCTCCACGTAAGGTTTAGCAACTGTAGCATTTGCCAACCTAATAAAGAGTCTCTGGCAAATGGACATTCAGAAACTCACCGTCAAGGGAACACCAATTATTATACCTGAGGAATTCAACAAGATTATTGGGTATTGCAATAAGTCCTTTTCAGACAATACACAATAAGATGCTTAGGTATTGATAAGAATTAATTTATGAGGAATTTCTGATGTATTTGCTTGACATGATACATGAGGATCTGAACAGAGTAACATTTCCGATCAAGAGTGTGCAATTGAGAGAATACTCTGGAGATTGTAATTAGAGAGAGTTAGAGAAATAAGCAGCAGAAACTTGGGGTGATTATCTACAACGAAGCAAATCTATAATAGTAGATCTAATGCAAGGACAATTCAAGAACTCATTGAAATGTTTGAGTTGCGATAATTACACCTATAAATTTGAGCCTTTGATGTATTTGAGTGTTCCGATCCCAGAATCTGAGGAATGCTAATTAATCGAATGCATAAAGGAGTATGTCAAAGAGGAGTAGTTGACAAATGGGAATTAATGGTTTTGTGAGAATTGTCATAAGCTAGTGGATGCGATAAAGAAGATAGATTTGTGGAAATTACCTACTATTCTAATAATCCATCTTAAGAGATTTAAATTTATAGAGAATGGAATTAAGAAAATTGAATAGGCAATCAACTTCCCTATGGAGAGTTTGAACTTAAGTTAGTGCTTACCGAAACTGTAAAAAGAAAAGCCTATCTATGAATTATTAGGAGTTATTTGCCATACCGGAACAAGTGATAGAGGTCACTATTACACATACGCAAGAAGCAAAGAGAATTTTAATTGGTATCTATTTAACGACAGGTAAGTCAAGTAAGTGAATTTCACTGAGATACCTCAAGAAGATGCCTACCTATTGATGTATGGCAAAAGCACAATCCCATTGATCAAACGTCAAACTATTTCATTTCCTGAAAATTGGCCTCATGTAATAAAATGAAATCAATTCCATTATCTAATTATAATCAATAACTCATGAGTTCCACATCAAAGATATCTACATCTGTTTTGCTTTCGTGATTTATGACTCCGATTAAAATGTTAAACCTCCCATTTTATGGATTCTCTGTAACCCTTAAAATGTTAACCTTCGGTCCCACATCAAAGTATTTTAATGTTGTATACTCCTGACTTTCCGCAATCATTTTCCCTTTGATTATACTGTGATTAATCGGCTTTAAGAAATCTTCCAGATCTTTTTCCCATAATTTGATATTCTATTATTATTTCCTCATATGCTTACCTAACTCATAGCTCTTCTCACTTCCCACAATTACAATTTGTTGTTTTCCCCAACAGCCAACACCCAAATCTTACTCATCTTCTTCCTAGGCTCCAGAATAATCAGATCTTTGACTGAATTCTAAACACCCAAATCTCTAAAATTGGATATGCTACCTTCTTCAACCAAAGACAACTTGGAATCATCTTTCATCATCCTCATAAATCTCAATCCTTGCTCTTTCTAATCGCCTCCATGATATTCTTTTCTTAATATAATTCAATTTAATACTATTCCCCACAAACAAAATGAATTAACTTTAATGTACTCTTATCATCATTTAATGCATCTGTACTTATGATTTAAAATGTGTTGTTAGCCAACATCTTTACTTGTGACACATTATGCACAACTCTTTCTGAATTTATACTATTAATCATATGCATTCTGCTTTTATCTTATGAAAATGTCATGAACAGTTTCCCAGGTTCCACAATACTTATTCCTTGCACTGGCCTCTCATATAGAAAATTCAGAACTATTAAATTTATTCTAAATACCATGCAAAGCCTATGGATTCTATATATGATATATTGAAACACTACCAGTAGAGTATCCTGCTACGAAAAACTCACCTGAATATAATTCCGCAAAACAAGTTGCTGCAGATTATTGATCAGGTTTATGAAATTACCCTGCTGGCTAAGAATTAATTGTGTATCGACCTTCATTTCTGAAGATTTGCAACTAATAAGACAATAGCTATCCAGAGTCATAATATTAACCAACTACCAAAGTTATCTCGCTTTCAGCAGTTGTATTCGTGTATAACAATGGCTTACTCATTGCCAATAAACACTTCACTCCTTATTGGCTTTTAGTGTCAATCTTTTAGATTATCTTCTTATCTTATATCCGATAAACCTCGATATACGGATTAAATCGAGCTCTACAATTAATTATTATAATACGCTATCGCTATTAGCTCGGAATTCAATGGAACAAAACAACTCACTTCTGATTACTAGGATTTTACACTCCCTAATTTCAATATAGAACAATTGCTCAAAGTCTCAAACAACATCCCCAAAATACATTTTTGTCGAGAAGGATCTATTATGGTATTTTGAGTCTCCTTATGTAGATAATCATTTAATGTAGGAATGGCCGATGTGTTCATTTTCACAATTTGTTCTTGTTCCTTTTTTTAAGGAGCTGGAGGAGGTATTCCTTTGAAAATACTGAATGCTCCATCTACTTGGAATTGCTTTTTAAATCTTTAATCAAATTCCTAGAGTTATGCCAACTCAAATTTGGGTATTCGTGGAGACAATTTATTCAAATCAACTTCTACTGCCAAATAATCTTAAGACTTCTTTAATATTGTTTATAACTTTTAAGCAACATTTTACATGATATCAATGTAATCTGAAGTCATCTCAAAGGCTTTTTCCTATTCGTTGATTATAATGTTCCCGTACTCTTATTTCAGCTTTTCTTCTAATCTAGTGGGTTTACTTTGATTTAATATATAATAATCATTTGAAACTGTTTTCTTGGGTTCTTGGTTTTAAAAAGAGACTCCTTTTATTCCTTCTCTTACAAATTTTTCAAATTTATCTTTGGGTATGTGTTTCTTATAAATTAAGGAATGTGCTATTATGTGACTTTTTATTATTGTAGTTTCAAAGGCATTTTCGAAACTTGTAAAATATTTATGCAATGAAGCAACTATTATAGACATATGCTCAATGATATTGTTTAAGTAATCTCTCAATATTGAAATAACCACATCCCGATATAGGTTACATTTTTTTTTCTGCTCTTCCAAAATTATCTTCCTACTTGAAAGTTGATTGATCAATTATGAGACAAAGGTATGTAAAGGATAAACGGAATTGGGGTGAAACCTATGCTTCTGATACTGACATCTCACACAACAAAGTCCCTTGTACTTGCACTCGGAATCTAAACAAACCTAATCCAAAGCATTTCCCTGATGACCAGGTTCTTCACAATCAAAAAAAGGTAGCATCGATTAAATTTCATGATCGGATATTTTCTTACCCAAAAAAGCAAAGTAATCTGCAGCATAGAGTAAATTTTCTTCAGTCATAATATTTATAATTCGAATAATAATATAAGTCTAGAATTGATAAACTATAATTCTTTTTGAAATTTCCAATTAAATGGAGATTAGGAAACTCTTAAGGGAGGGTTAATACTTTAGAAATAACAAAGTTTAACCAAGATTCCATACTAAATTATGTTGTAGATCATTATGATTTCAAAGTGTATTTACTTATTTACTTCAATAATATATATTAAGATAATTAGAAATATGTTAATCTAGTCATTCTTATTATGAGATTACAAAATCCTATTTGTATTTATTATAATCTTATTAATTTTATTCTTATAAATCTTAATTCATAATATATACTATAATATGTTCCAATAATTTGTAAAAAACAATAATTGAGATTATAAAATATTATTAAATAATAATATTATCAATTATCTTAATTTAGTTTTTCTAAAAATAAAGATGGTCCTCCATATTTTTCTATTAGCTTTTCAAAAAATACAGCTCGTTCAGCTGACATCGATCTAATTCTGGATTTCTTAGTATTAGATTTGATTGAGTAATATTGAGTTCTAATACTTCGTTCTTAAGCTTATTGTTGTGAATTAAGAATATTATCAACTCTATCATTGTAATTTTTCATGATTTCATCAATGTTGAATTGAGTGAAGAAGGCAGTCATGATTTGCATCCTCTCAAATTCATCTTGCTGTTGATTTTTAATTTCTTTTTGATTCTCCATTACTTCGAAGCCTTCTTGTGTTGGTTCTTCTTCGTTACGTCTAATTTATATAAGTTAAATACTATTAAAGTTTAATCAGTCTATCTTCATCTCCCTCTTCTTATGCAGAATAAACTTGTTTGATTTCATTGGCAACTTCATTCGTTAAAGTGAAACAGCCTCTAGAATTGTACCTGATTTTTTCTAGTCTTTTAAATTCTTTGGTGAACTTCTTTTATTTTTACTATAATTCCTATATTAGCTCTTACTTCCTGTCATAATTGGAAACAAAATGTAACTTTGGACAAGTAGAAGAAAAATGATTGATTTGTTAACATCCAAAACAAGGTAAGCCAAGAGGAGAATAATCTTCACCTAATTCAATAATGTGTTTGTTCATTTGAAAGAATTGATTTTGAGTTTAGTACTTTTTTAAAATCTCTGTGAACTTCTTTTTTTTCAATTTCTAAACATAGACAAAATCAAGTGTGTAAGCAGATGCACTTCTTGATTTATTACTAAAGAAGCCAAGTTCTCCAAAAGTGGCTCCCTTATCTAATGTTTTTAGACAAGTGAAGGTCTTTTAAATACAAAGCATAACCTGTCCTTTATTGAGAAAATACAGGCATCTATCTTCAATATTTTATCCATTTTCTAATTCAATAGGATCATCACCCTCCAAAAATATGCATTCTTCAGGACCAAAGATTTGTTCTTCTAATTCAAATGGCAATTGCAAAAGCAGTTCCTTTTCGAACTTATTCTATTTGAACACTTTTGAGTTGTTGATCAAATCCGTGTTCACAGCAGCCAATACTTCGACTCTTAAAGAATAAGACAAGACATCCAAGGCCTCCTTTTCATTAACTTATGTAGATTCCTTTTCGTATTTGTATTCCAAGTATTTTCTTACTCTAGCTTATAAATCTTTAGGAATGTCATTCGATTTTAGAAATTAATTCGCTTAGCCCATCTTCTATCTAATCAACTTCTCATTGTAATCCATGGATACAAATATCCCACCAATACTGTTCATAATATATGCAAATATACAACAAGCCAACAACATGACTACTATACCAAATATCTTTTCAACCGATGTTACTGGAGTGATGTCTCCATAACCTACTGTAGTCATTGTTGCTGTTGCCCAATACACTGATGCTATATATTTCACATACCAATCACTATCCTATAGACCTTGAGCTCTAAGCCAACTGTAACTGTCTGATGAGTTCTCCTGATCTGCTATGAAATGCCAAATACAGGCCAACCAATGTGCTACAAAGAGCATTATAAATGTGAGTTTTAACACTTTATAGAGTGAAATCATGGAATTTGAAAAATCAACGTAATCTTCAAATTTAGAAAATATCTTCTTTAATTTTAATACTCTCAGTAATCTAACTACTTTTATAAATCTAAAAAATTTCAAAATTCTCAGCAATTTTAAGGTGTTAGCCAATTATTCTGATTAAGATTTATTATCCTAATTGCCGTTTACCTAGTTTTCATCAATCTCATCAGAATGTATGATTTCTTGTGTGGAGGCATTGATAATGATATCGAAAGGAAAGGTCGAAACTAACATTAAATTAAATATGTACCCAAGTCTATCCAAAACCAGGCCATCAAATAGTGTTTGGCTATGAGTTTACGATCGATTATGTATTAGCCCTTTTGTTGATAGGAGGTATTGAAATTGATGATGATGTCCAAACTAAATATTGCTATCGAGGCATAATTAAAGTTATCAAAAAATAAGGATTCAATTGTAAAACTAATATCGAGAGGTAAAATTAGGATTGCAAAAAATATGATCAACATGGTGAACAAATCCCAAAATATTCTAAACTTATCTTCAGGTTTGAAGACTTCCAAATGAAATCTAAATTTATTTTCAACAGGCTTTTTAATTATGTAAATCGAATGTCGTTTCATCCCATGTTCCATTACTGTTTACAATTTTTTATTAACTTCTTATCTCAATGTTGTAGCTTAATTTTATTCTTCATAATTTCCATTGTCATTAGCAAGATCATTCAAAATATTCAACTACCTTTCATCAAATAATTAATTTATATCCTCCAACTCTTCCTTCCTCTCATTTTACTAAAACTTCCTATAGATCAAAGCCTTCTTCAAATCACATGCCTTGGCAGTCAACATCCTCTCCTCTTCTTCTTATTACGCAGATTGATATTTATTCTCTTCCAATATGATAGATGATTAATTCATTATTTCAATAAAATAATAATAATTATTCTCAATCCTCCTTATTGTGTTTATTCTTAGCCTTTTTGTTTTTTTCTTATTTTTTGAACTCCTAATTCTTTAACACAATATTCCCTCTTCCATCCACTTGTTACTGAGGCAATGCTGTAGTGTTTTTCAAAAAGGTTTCTATGGCTTTTTCAGCAGTAATGGGATTCCTTCTATCGTAATCATCCCAAAACTTAAAGCATTGGGTCTCGTAGAACTCTTGAGTAGAAATGTCCTCTGTCTTCCAAAATAAATCAAATATGGTATCTATTGGCACCAAGAAATTCAAAACAGCTATAGCAAATTGAGCCCATGTCAAAGGAAATATGGCATCATTTAAAATTGATTCCCAAACCAGACAGCCAATCTAATGTTATTACTTAATTCAATACTGCATATATCAACAATGTGAATTCTCCAAAGAAGTCTATCATCTCTTCTGCCATCTCACTCCCTGTTGGTGCTGGCTTGGAATCTCTCCTGAGTAATAATATTTTTTCCACCCAATATATCACCAATAAGGAACCCAATGAAAGGACAGGTCCAAGGGGTAGTAGATATGCGTAAAAGAATGTAAATAACAAGGTTTTTCCCAATTACGCATACTTTTTCGATAAATCAATCATAGGACCAGCAAAATACTCATTTGCTTCTTATTAAGTAACATTACAGGCTTAACCCTATAATTGAATTTGGTATCTCATAAATAATCTGTACAAATAAAATGGATCCAGCAAAGCCATTAACCATGGCATGATTCCATTAGTAATAAAAATCAACATGACATCTTAATTTAAACCTCCCTGTTTGATCACTGCATAATAAGATTTTTCTCCTTCCTTTACAATTACCAAATTAACAATTAAAGTTATTATGGCAGTGTTAAGAAACTGAGCAAATCCTAATTTCTTTGCAGCACTAATATCGTATTCAGTCTTGGTTGTTGGAGCTTCTAATTCTGCAAATTTTCTAATAATAATTGCCAATATATTATTTATAATAGAAATCAGAACTGAAGCAACCACTCCCAAAATTGTAATAGCAATAAGTTCTGCTTAACTCAACTATTCGCCTTTTCCAGTATCAGTCAATGAAAATTAGCCATAAGATAATCCAAATAAAATCCCAAAACATATTCCCAACAAAAATATTGTTGCTAAATTTGTTATTAATTTTCTTTTGTATTATTCTAACAATGTGACTCCCAAGTTTCCCCATAAAATATCTCCTGGTTCAGGTGCTTTCGATACGAGGATAACATTATCTCCAAATCTTCTGATATCTTTCTTTCCTATTACTCTCAAAACTTAGGATAGGATAAGATGCAATCTAGTGGCCTTGAAAAACTTGCAAACAGCATTAGCTTCATCCTCGGTGTTATATGATATGATGGCAACACCACTAAATTAAAAGGAATTTTAAAAATTGTCCTCATATTAATCCAATTGATATGCTAACTAATCTAAAGTCTTAGTTAAATCAACTTTATTTGGTAGTCGAGGAGGAATTGGCTTACCCAATCTCTCACATTCTAAAATCTTAGTAAATGTCTTCTCTTACTCTTGCTTTGATTTCAGAATTCTCAAATACTCTTAGATCTAATATCCCATACAAATCTTTTGTATTTTGTATTCAACATTATTGATCTTACTAAAGAATTGTCTAATCTCTTCTTCCTTTGCATCTCTGGGGATATTTTCAATAATTATGGAATAATCTGATGCCAATATACTTTTTTCATCAATTTTGTTTGCCAAAAGATTAATTCTTTTTCTATATAAAAACAAAAGTATTATTAAGATTAATGTTGTGATAAAGTTTAACACACTCCCTGCTATATCTGGATGTTAATTGTCTTGATTTGCTTTTGCAAATTTGCTATAAAAATTGTCAACACATTCTAATTCTCCCATTGTATTCAATTTATGGCATGTGTCACCCAAAGTACTTGCTATTAAATCATATATTCCACAAACTATTCTAATAAAATTCTTATAATCTTTACATAAACGTTGAAATCAAGACGGAACTAAACATCAAGAAATCAAAATATAAAGAAACTCCAGGTCCGTTGAAACTGAAATCCAGGATAGATGCTGTCAATGGTAATTATGTAAGAATGATTGGTTAACCACAACAAGGACATAAGTTGTTTTTATTTAAATCAACTTTAGCATCTGCTATAGCAAATTAAGTTGCAGACTAAATTAATTAAATCTCTTACCTAATGCTTAAGGCATATCTCCAAAATGGGGGGCCTTCGAAATTCATCATAGTCTTCAATCATAGTCTCATTAGGCTAACTGGATGCATTAAGTTAATGTGCCTCTTGATCAAAAGGAACAACTGATGTCATTTAGTAATTTTAGTTAATTTATATATATATATTATAAATTGGAAAAATCATATGTTAAAATACTTAAAGATCTTCTAATAATTCAAAGCAAGTGAATAATATTATTTTATAAGAAACTTTAAATATAAATTGAATTAAGATGTGCTCATTGCATTTTTTCTTGCTGTTTTTATAAGAAGTTCTTCATTTATCTCCTAAATTATTCATCTTCGCAGTTTAACTAGAAGGAAATATTCGAAGATTAAGACTAGGAACTTCCAGGTTCTTTTTATTCTTTTTTCTCTTCTTTAATGTTCTATATAATATTTTTCCATTCAATTTTATCTACATTGTCCATAAAAATAGTTGAAGCGAATTTCATTTCAGTTAATTTTTATGAAAGGAATGGTTAATTTACATCTTCTCTTATGTATCCTTTGTTTTCATTCATACTAGGTTTACGAGATCCATCTCGAATAAATCCCTTTTTGATATGAGAAAAATTTGATTCGTGCGGTTGCTCGAATAATTCTGATTCCATGGCTTTTTCAAGATCGTTTTAATTATTTTCACTACAATATCTATGAATGAAACATAATTAACTAAATAATCCTTAAGGAATTAAACACATCTTTAAGTTGTTTAAATGTAGTAATTAATTCTCAATCGAATGTCTATTATATCCTTTATTTAGTTCATCCTGTGAATTTTACATTATCATGATATGTTTTTCCAATTTTATGGTATTCCTTATCATAAATTAAGGTATAATGTTTTAGAGTTTGAGTTACAAAAGTTCTGAGATTTAAGTATGACTTTTATCAATATTTGACAAACAATTAGAACAAAATTAATTCAAAGCACCAATTTATAATATAATCCTTTCTAATTTAAATATCTATTTTCCAGCAATCTATTGCATAATTGAAGATATTATCCAACTGTCTTCTTACAATAGATCCTGCACTATTGATAATAATAAAATGATTTCAGGGTGAGATGAAGTGATGTCTACGTATTGACTCCATTATTTAAATAAATCTTGGGCATCTCCTTGTTTTAAGAGTTTTTCCATATCTACATACAATTATTTATTCTTGTTTATTAACGGGAATCTAACATAAACCGATTAATTTTAGTACTATTTAATAGAATAATATTTACATTTAAAAACACAAGTTTCATAGAAGTTACTAATAGGTTTGATTTAGTTTGTTCTAATTGATTGGTTTTCTTGTGCAATTCATAATTTTGAGAAAGCTTAGAAAATTTAGTTTAATCACTTCGGATTAGATCCATATTTTTTTCATATTTGTTTCTCCTATTGATCTCATTAATTAAGTATTTGATAACCACTTCATCGGTTCCATCATCAGCAATTCTTTGCTGTGAGTTTCTTAGAATAGACATTTAAAGAGTTTCAGATATATTTTAAGTATAGTTGTTAAAGAATTCTATAAGAAATATTTAAATGTAATTACTTTCTTTGTTTAAACTCAAACAATTGAGATAGTTATTCATTAGAATAGGATTGCTGTGATCTGGAAAGTATTTATTATATTGGACAAATAAGTGTTCTAACTGAATTATATGTTCCAATAATTCTTTAGTTTCGTTTTCATCGAATCCAGGGGCATTTCTATTAAAGGTTTTGTAGACTGATGGATATTTTTTTTGGAGATCAGCTTTTAATACGCTCCTTGATTTTCTAAATTTAGATAATTTATCGTGATTTTTTCCAGTTGAACATTTTTAAAAGTTATAGATGGTTTTATTTAAGTTATATGCGAAGTCATCGAAATCAATTAGATTTAACTTATATTAAGAATGGGATCTGGTTGCTCTGTGCTCAGTTAATTCGACTAGTGATATCATAAGTAATTTAATAATTGAATTGATTATACGATAACTCTAAATATACTCTATTTAATACGCAATAATATTCAGTATTATAGAATTCAATATTTTATTTACTTGACTCACTAATTTTAGTTATATTAAAAGTTATTTTGATTATTAATTTCATTATAAAAATGGAAAGTCTTATATATTTAACTCATCATCCTTTGGTGAAGAAGGTTCTTCTAATTGCTGTTGCTTAAGATCTTATTATTATAAAATCTCTTTTTGATTTTCCAATTCAATCTACTTTTGCAGAAAATCCGGAGCAACGAATTCTCCAATTACTCTAGGTTGATCTGGTTCATAAAATATCAAACCATTCAATTCTTATCCCGATTCATTGAACAAATTAAGATAACTCTTCATTTAATTATTCAAGGGGATTCTCTTGGGTGGAACTAAACCTTTAATAGTATTGTCTTATTCATCATAAGGTGGAGTAGTGACTTCAAAATTATGAGGAATTTTAAGTTAATGATTTCCAAATATTTTCATTCTTTCGCGTTTCTCATTCAAGAACTCTTCATATTTATCTTTTTTCATTATCTATAACCTAAGTATATATATTATCAATACTCTTTCAATACAGGATTATATTCAAATAATTTTGGAATCTTATCCCAAATTGTCAATAATTTATAGGTAGTATGGACAATGGAAAGCCATTCAGAATCATAAAATAATTCTATTGGTTCTTCATTGTAAGCATACTACTCATATAAATCTTTCTTATCCTTAGTATATGTGAACACTTGTATGAAGTCTCTTCCTGCTATGCATTTATCCAAGGCTAAAAACCTATTAATTTTGATTAATAATCAATACTTGGTTTGCCTTCCGGTTTTATGTTTGACCAAGGCTTCAAACTTAACATGCATGTGTGCAGCAAACCAAAAGTCAGGTTGTAATCTTTCTAATGTGAATTTGTGAGGCTGACTACCTAGTCTGCCTGATTTTATGTCAGCTTCAAAATTCTATTTCTTCTTTAGCAGCTCTTTAGTTGATCCATGTTGATGTATCTCTATAAAATATTTGCGTTTTCTTACATTATGGCCAATCATGAGATAGAAACATATTTACTTCTCCTTCATATAGACTTAATTTAAAGAGGTCTATTTGTTTTGTATGATAAACGTTTCTCAGTTATTCACTTTTAAATGGAAATGGCTCTAGTTTAGGGTTGTTAAAATCAAAAATTTTAAATATTCCTGAAGTTCCTCCCAATCGAAAAGTCGTATTTCCTTTTTTAATTTAGATCACATTAGAATCTCCAAGATAATAAATGTTAGGAGCTACCCACCCTCCAAAATACCTAAAATTAATCTAAAATAAAAAAATTACATTTCTCTCAAATAATTTGAAGCTTCATGATTACCACCAATAAAAATTGTTAAACAAGGGGCTGCCTCTTTTCCTTCATAATATTTATAAAATGTCCCCATTGATAGATATTTTATTGGACAAGCCATATTAAACATGTCATGTTTATTCCTATGAGTTTGAACATCCCCACAAACTAAAAGCAAATCAATTTTTATTTTTTTCTATTTTTCAATTTCTCTGATTGTCCCAAATATTTCATCAAAATTTCCATGAAAGCATCCTTCCACCGCTATATTTATTCCTTCAATCTATTCAATCATATTAATGTAAATTTATATATATAAATAATATTTTCATAAAAATATGATAATTCTAATAATAATAATATGTTTATGTCTCAAATGCAAAACTCAAATATTAATAAAGCCCAGAATGCAAAGGCTAAGTTCTTATTCTTACCTAGTAAAAGGCCATAAGGTAAGAAATGAATCAATTCAAAATTGAGTCCTTTTGAAATCCCTAATCTTAAAATTTTCATCAATTGCATATTTTTATATTTAATTTATTAATAAAGGAAATAATTAAAATATTGTGCTATCATTTTAAAAAGAATATAAATATTAAATCCTTGTTTATCTTCAACAAGATTTAGAACACTAAAGTGGTCCACTAATATAATTTTGTCTCATCATAATCATCTTTAAAACCAAAATATCTTGTTATAGAACTTATTAAACTTTTGAAAGTCTTTACTCAACTAAGAACCTTGCAATAGATTGTTTATAAATTATTTACTATAGAATATCATATATTAAAATATGGTTTCTTGGGTTTCTTAGGCTCCCTACTTAGATATTTGAGTTTCTCATAGATATAATCATTTTTTTCATGTCGAGTTTCAAACTTTTCATATTCATGCTTATCCAATATTCTCAATTTATAATCATGCACTAAATTATCAATATATATATGTACATCTTAAGACCCTTTTTAGAATGCCTATTTCTATTAGGTTTAAATTAGTTCTTCCTAAATAAAATCTATCCGATAAACAAATAACAATAGCCCTATCTTATTCAAAAACATATAGAAACTTCCATATCAAGACTTATTTCATATATGTATAGTGGTATTCTTCCTTATCAAGAAATTTTTTAGTATCAGAAACAACAACTTCTGTTTCTTTTTGCAGATATAACCAATATTCATCAAATATTTGTTTATATCTATCAGGCAATTCTTACACCTAAATTGAAGGAAATTCTATACGCATCAACCTAAATAAGTAGACATAAATACTCGTAGGCTTGATAGAAGGCAATTTAATATTCTATCTTCAAATCTTCAATCTTATTCAGATTTTGATGTAGAATATCAACTAGCTAATTTGTAATAGCTTTATCTACATTAAGTGATATTTGATTATAGAATAACAGCTATATTGCACATTTTGTTAAATCTTCCAAATTTAATTATTGTAATTGGCTATAATCTATTGCATATTAATTAGACTCAATCATGAATATTTTATCGATTTTTGCCAAATAATAGAGAACGTCACATTGTTTAGAGAAATCAAGTTTTTAAAAATTAACAGCTAATTATTTGGCAATACAATAATGAAAATACATTCTCCCTTATTAGTTTTTATTAAAATAATCTCCTATTTAATATATAAGGTGTAGATTAACTGTATCTATGTCAGCAATAAGAATTGTCACTTAATTATCTTCTTCTTTCCATTTTCCTGATTTTTGCTTCTAAGTTTTGAGTAGTTCAATTGCAAATGGATCTTATGTGCCATCCAAATCAAGTTCATATTGATTTTTGCAAACAAAGGAGAACACTTCTTCTTCAATAATTTGATATATTTCATCAATTGGATTATTTTATTTCTTTTGCAATTTAAGTTTTTTAAATCCATCAATTGATGCTAAAAGTCTAATAAATTGATTTAATTTTTCAGTTTATGTCTATGTAGTCTCTTCTTTAAAGTAGATTAACTCCTCTTTTATTAGACCTAGCATTTCTAAATGATTATTTACTTAAGTAGTGATGAATAAAGGAATCGCTTGATGAATCAATATTTATTCTAATGATTTATCTATTTAAAGTAACAAAGTCATCTAAATTGCAATTTGTTAAAAGTGTTTCAATTTTTAAATCATTTAAATTTTCTAAGTTTCTTTGAATTTCTTCTAAGATTAAATTGATGTATATAATAGATTGTCTCTCTTTGTTGATGTATTAATGAGTTAAGTCCTTAGCAGTATCACTTGTAAGTAAATAATAGCGTTTCAAATGATCATAAACAAACTATTACTACGATAGATATGCTAAGTCCAACCTTAAAATTTCTTCTTAGTATAATTTCCATAGTGTGGATGATATATATTGATCTCCAACTGTTCTAATTATTATATTTAGATGAGTAATCTATACAGGAACTTATTTCTTTAAGACATTATGAATTTTATGAGATTTTAGAGTTTTTCGGATAAAGTTATCAAGATTTATTGATTCTGAGGCAATTAATATTTGATTGAATAAATGAAAATCTAGTTCATTTTCTTATGAATTAATTTGGTCGATGCTCTTTTTAATTTGATTAATATGGTCTTAATGAACTTGAGACCAGCAATTTCTATAATTGATGGATTATAACAATTCGAATAGATCCTCTTGATTCGGCGGATTCTAAAGAGCTTTTTCAATTATATTATTTAATTGTTCTTAATATTTTATGATAATTCCAAGTTATTTGGCATTTAATTGATCTAGATTATTGCTGTAGAAGAATGAAAAAAGCTTATAAACTTATTCCTATTCATCTGAAGATAAATAATAAAGCACTTTTTTCTCAATTTTCTCACTTAAGTTAACTAATTTTTTTTCTGTAAATTATTACATTTTGAGACTGTCCATTAATTATGAATAAATAACTGGGAACTACTATTATTATCTGGCCTAAGTATGGCTCATGTCTTTGAATTGTTTAAATTATTCAATAGACTTTTTTAATGCTTTAACTTAATTACCATACATAAATCTGATAATCATTTTTATGAGTAATTCAAAAAAAGAAATAATAAATTATTATATATATATATTTGGATTATCGTAATTTTATCACAATCCTAGTGGATCAGGTTTGCCTTAGACTAACCTGCATTTAAATCTCCAAATATCTAAGTAATTGACATGTCCAAATTTCTTTGAGGCATACGCAATGATGTCTTTAGCCAAATTTTCATGGAAAGTTCCTTTGATATCATGATACTGGCAATTGGCTGAAGCAAAGTGACAACAAATGGATTTCCTGAAACTACTTGACTAGAATATATTGTTTGATATAAATACTTTATTTTCTCCTGAACCATGAAATAGATACGGATGGAAGAAAACTATATCCCCTGCCTTCATTTCTAAATGGATTCTTGGAGCCGATTCAGGTGGCATATCTTTAACTCCCCAATAGGCTTTGTTCACTCCTTCCTTCCAATCGGGATAGCAATGCTCGACAGGACCAACTAGTAATAGTACAAAAGTATAACTACCTTTATGAGTTCCAGGATATACAACTAAACATCCATTTTCTCTATTGGCATCTTCAAGTGCAGCCCAACCAGCAGCTATTCTGTCAGCTGGTCCAAATGGAAAATACACTTGATCTTGATGGATGGGGTGTCTAGAAGTTTTGCCCATATTTGGTGGTTTGTTGATGAACATAGTGTGAACTGATTTTATATCAGGTCCACAGAAGCTAGACAGATATTTGATAACCTTGGGGTTTCTGCAAAATTTGAATAAAATTTCATCCTCTTACCAGTCCTGTATTTTTGTAATAGCTTCTTCTCCCAATTGTTTTCCTCCTCCTCTTTTCACCAATGAAATGTCTCTAACCACTTACATTCCGTATTTGCGTTCCAATTATCCATCTGCATACTCTCTGAATCTTTGAGTCCACTCTTTGATTTCTTCTGGAGAGAACATTTATCTCACCACTAGGAAACCGTTTTCTTCATAAAATTATCTCTCTTCCTTGGTTAAAATGCCTCCGTCAACTGTATATTAAAAAGAAGGCATCTACTTCTGGAGCAACTCAAGTCTTTGGCTCATTTTTATAATGAATCATTTCTAAATCATAATGATTTCAAAATGCAGATTAATTGATGCGTCATTCAACACAATCTTGCTTCATACGTAGCAAATGGAATTAGAATTCGAATATCATTCAATTAGATTAATATATTGACTTGATTTTGATCATAATTGTATAGCTATCTTACTCATATCCAAGAACCAATAGTTAAAATCATAATAATTATAAGATTGAGAATAACTCAATTGGTTTTTGATTCATTTTATTAACATACTAACAAGTTTTGTAAAATATTTGATTTCAATTGATTGTTCAGATATTTGTGATTGAGTATAGAAAATGGAACATTTCGATCGATTTATTGGCTTTAGCAATATTATTTGTATATATATTTCAAAGACACAAGAAATAAAACTTTTTATGTTAGAATAAAATTACATTACATCAATTTTTATTCTAATTTATTAATAATTAATATGGAAAACTAATTTATTTAGGAGAGTAGAAATTTAAATAAAAGTGGACCGTATATTTATAATTTAAAACTTGTAAGAGTAATGAATTTTAGGAATTTGAAGTAAATCGAAGGGGAAACATAGAAATTTATTTTTTTAATAAATTCTATATTTTCCCTCCTGATTTAACATTTGAGATTAATATAAATTTAAATCAGAAGTATTATTATTCTTCTTAAAATGAAGGGTAACTTTCCTGAAAAAATAGGAATTAAGATGCTGATTATATCTATTACTCTTCTGATTGGGTGTCATAGAAGATGTAATTGAATTCTGAATCATTTTGTGGCAATTTTGATGATTTGTAGTTGCGGATTGACTCAACCTTTTTTATGATTCCATTTAATAGCCTTTAGTGAGTTCTCTGAGAGAAATGAGAAAAAGGTTAAGGAAACTTGTCTTTTACAAGTTCGGAAACTTCTTTTCTCATTTAAGTTTAATCGGTGGAATATATAAAATGGTTATTATATTCTAGAATATAAGAAAGAATAGTTGATTTGGTAATTTGTCTATATTCTGCATATTTTGATTTTCTTTTGACTGTTTTGATGCTTTGTATTGTCTTTTCACTTATTTTTTTATTTGTTTTTTGACTCATAATTCTTGATATTTCTTTGTTAGATAAGCCTTGATTTCTATAATTGATTATCTCTTGTCTTATTTTAGACTTTTGTGTGATTCTTTAATATGAGTTCCTTTTCATCAAATTTATTAATGTTTTATTGAATAATTTTGGTTGTTATATTTGAAATGAAAACTTTGATTAATAGAAATTAATATTGGGAATTATAAGTAATTTATTAATTAATTAATGGATAAAAATTTAGAAGTTGCTGACATAAGTTCAATCAAACCTTTGAAACTGAGCAATAATAGTGATTTGATTTATTTCAACATTGCGAAAACAGTAAATGATTGTATCGAGCTAGATTGATATCAATATTCTTCAAGGACTAGAGATAGATTTACAAAATAAGGAAGTTCAAGTATTTCAGAATGGCGACGTTTCTTTTGGGGTTTAAGTGATAGAGGATATAACATGCAAACAAATAGTGCCATTATTCATAAATCACGGGAAATTCGAAAGTAAGTAAAGACTTGTGAGTGTTAGAGAAAGAAATCAGCAAGGTCGTGAACATCTTTGAGACGGTGCCGATGACTGGGATAAAGAGAAGGGCGATCAAAAAAATATAACCTGTAAAAAATACGATTTCAATTTTAGAGGAGTTTGATGAACAAGAATTGATTGATGGATTGGGGTGTTTCTATTTTGTTATTAAATTATATATAATACTTAATAATTAATTATCAAATATTAGAATAGAACCTTATGAATTTCATATTTCTCTTTGCAGGGTTATTATAAACTCTGGTGGCATATTATAAAGGAAATTACCTGTTTACTGAGACGATAAAAGGAACCTGCGATTTTACAAGAAACAGTCAATATATATTTGATTACAAGGTAGTTTAGTCTTATAAAGTAGGATCTAGGAGGCACAAAGATGGATGATGCCTTATCGATTGGATTCGGGTTTTGGTTGTATTTTGATACTTCAAGACAGGAACTGTTGTATAATGCAAGTAACCTATTTCATTTAAGTGACAATGATAACACCTACAATTATAGGATAGTATCGTTTGGCTTAAAGAAATATGGAGTAAATTCCACTTTGGAGTTGTTTTAATAAGATTAGCTTCTGAAATAAGGACCATCCATCAATGTGAATACGGAAAACCTGATGGACGATAAATGGTTATTTGTATATGTGTCCTACGACTTCCTGTTCTTGAAATACTCGTTGGGAGTATTTGATACGGATTACTCCGTCATTTACAATTCGACATACTCCTGTCCAAATCAATTGAAGTACTGCACTAATGAAACATTGCCTTAACCTTTCTTAAAAAGAGACAAGTTGAAATTATATATTGCTTAAAACGGTCCCTATAGAAACGACACTATCAAAGGCAGATCTTGGTGTGGGAGTGTATCTGGTTTTTAATACTATTTGGATGTGCAGATGGTGAGTAATTACAATTTACAATCTCTGATGTATGGCTATGATAAAATGGGAGTTTATTTGAATTACCCACTGACTTAAATGAGTGGAAACTAGCTCTATGATTTTAGTGGCGGTGAATAGGATGTTCAACATGACATAACCGTTGATTGGACAGATCAAGCTCTCACTATAGGACAGCCTCTCTCTATAAATATTCCGTTTAAAAGATTTCTATATGACAGATTTACTTTGGCTTTTTGGGTGAAGGCTGATGCTGGTATCAACTTTGCTATCCTGCAGAGAATGGTTGACAGTGTTGTTATGTTTGAATTGGACCTCACTTATTATGCAATAGACAATTATTATTTCTTCACTGTGATGAGGGAAAACCTTAAGTTTTCGATTAACGTATAGTTTAGTGTGAGTCAATGGAATTACTTTGTTCTAATCTTCAATTACGATAAAATGGCACCTGAGGATGGTACCTTGACTAAGTTGACAGTATACAAGAATAGCGAGGATCCACAAAGTTTTGATTTGACTATTCCTGTCTATTATCCTGTTTAAGATAGTGATATACTGATCTTCGGTAAAAGAGATGCAATTCCAGTTGGGAAGTCTCTAAAGATTGTCAATTTCTAATTGCATTAAGGAGCCAGAGTGTTTAACCATAAAAGCAAAGAAGTTGGAGATACTTCCTGTTTATTGTCTGCTCCAAAAGCATTTAAATACAATTGTTTACTTTGCGCAGATGGCTACTTCTTGTCTGGCACTAAGTGTATTACCAGTTCTGATTGCACAACTCTAAATGGCGTAACAGATGCAGTTAGGAAGATTTGTCTACCAGGTTGTGACATAAAGTGTAAGACTTGCAACAATCTAACGCCAACAGTTTGTTTGCAATGTATCAACAACTTATAACTTAGTGGTGGAGTTTGCAGTTGTCCAAACAATGGCTATATAGGAACAGGGAAACAAATTAAATGCAAGGAATTTGATGAAGTTGAAGGCACTGAAATTGGCATTTACTATGCAATACTCAATTATGTCAAAAGTGGATTCAGTTATAGAAAAGATGAACTTCAAATATCCTTCAAAGATATATTCTCCAGCATCCCTTCTGTCATCGTAGCCATGAAAGAGATAAAGTTCTCGAAAGGCGATTCATATAGATTGATGGCTACTCAGATCACTTAAGAAACATTTGTACTCTAAGTTGAAGTATGGGATCAAACCATCATTGAAAATTTAGTAATTAACTATTTTGCAACCACTCAAACTGATTTGTTTGTTTTAATGCAAGAAGAATATGATACAACTAGTACTTTTGGCACTGGAACTGGAAATAGAATACATTAGATCTAGATCCTATTGAATGAATGGAACATGAAATTATAGTATCCCTAAATCATTCCATTTTATAATGGGATGCAATTTAAATAAGGAGTTAGCAATGTTACACTTACTTATACTACTACTATTGATACCATAAATAAATATTTGCTTGTAGATTTTAAAATCAAAGATGATCTTCAAATCAACAAAATTTATTATAGTTTCCTTTTAATATCCGAAGAATTCGAAACTTTGACTCAATCATTCAATTCTCAAATTAATGTTTTGTGGATTACATAAAATGGAGAACATAAATAAAATTATACTCACTATTCTTTCAAAAATTATTAACCTAATCATTTTTATGGATTGTCCATTATGGGATACAAAAGTGCTGACATCAAAAATATTGCTATTCAAAGTGAATTCAATTCTCAAATTAATAAATATAAACTATATGCTACAACTAGTGATTATACTGTAGTAGACTAATTGTTAATATAAATCATTGGAATTGGAGTTAATTGTTAAACATATGGATGTTCTTAATGTTAAGCATCTCCAGTGGATTGTGTACATTGTAAAGATAATTTATTGGATCCTGCTAAATAATGTTTGAACTGTGCAGTTAATTAATATTTAGACAATGATTATGCATGTTAACCATGCAAATGGAATTGTCTAACATGTGGAGATGATAAGTAGTGTCTCACTTGTCCAAATGGTGTTAATAGATATGATGATCCTGCTAATAATTGTCCTTGTTAAAATGGCTATTATGATAACGGAGTTACTCTTTGCCTTTCATGTGATTGGAGATGTGAAATTTGTGACAAATCTGCTACTAGTTGTTCATAATGCAAAGGAGCTAATCGTAATGCGGATAAATCGTGTTAATGTGATGATTAATTTTATGAAGTTGGAACTGATTTGATTTGCAAAAGTACAATTATTACATCTATCTAGATTGTTAGGAACCTTGTGATTTATGTGATGTCCTCGGTTGTCTCACTTGTCTAGGTAATAGAGTAGTTGATAGCAGTAAAAAATGTGTTTGCCCATCGGATGGTACTCCAATACCGAAAAGTCAGTATTGTGAAACTTGTGACACTGCTGAAGTCCTTGTCACATTGGATGAAACAACTGAATCTTTAAGTATATTCTTTATCAAAGCAAACACATCATATGTATCTCAAGATTATTAAACTTTTACCCCATAAGAGTTATGTATCAAAATAATTGCCAGTTCTCAATATCCAAGATTTGGATTAAGTCCTAAATGTGTTTATAATGGTACCAATATTGATATAGAATTTGGAAATGAATCCTAAATCAATCTAATGGAGGAAATTTAATTGACAGACAAAATATTCATAAAAGATGGCTGTAAGACTCCAATCAAAAAATATGTTCTGAGTGTACTCCAATTACCTACTGTAGATATCTTCTAACCCCAATTTACTATTGATGGACCATTATATCCTGTTTATATTTGTAAGGCAGTTACTTTAAGTGTAACAAACATCAAATTTGCAGGCAAACGACAATTGTCAAAGATAGACTGGAAATTGAAAGAAAGTGATGCTAATTAAACCATTATTGATAGCATACAACTAATTTTGAGTGATGTCAATCATAACAATCAGGATACTTTAACTTTCAATTCTAAAGTATTCTAAAATTTCACCAATTATACCTTCGAAGTAACCGCATTATCATTTGCCACAAAAACAAACACCTAAACTTTTAAGTTATAAACTCTTGGATTGGTTCAACCAGTTATCTAAGCCAGCATAACTAATTTTAACCACTATTTTAAGTAGTCATTAATCATTCCTGTTACAGTATATTATTAAATTTGCCAATCATCTAAAATTGTAGAGTAATTTAGTAATCTAACTCTCTATTGGGTGCAAATTGAATCTACACCAGCAGATAACAAACCTCTGATTGGAGATACCATCACAGAGTAGATATCAAATAAATAACACTATTTCAAAATGCAACCCTAAGATGGATACCCAGATACAAGATATCTAATATAGGCATAATTAATGTATCAAGATACAATCGAAATTTTTGATTAGTAGGTGCCTGATCAAACAGATACAGGAACTGGTACAGATACTGGAACAGATACAGGAACAGGTACTGGAACAGATACAGGTACTGGAACAGATACAGGTACAGGAACAGATACAGGAACAGGTACAGGAACAGGTACTGGTACAGATTCAACAGGAACTGGAACTGATACAACAGGAACTGATGATCCAAATGCAGATGAAGGAGCAGTATAGGAAGAAGTTCATAATTATAAAACAGTTGATATTTATACTTACCTTAATTTTACAGTTGATATAGACTATGTAGGAGTTTCTGTGATTATATTGGGTGGGGATCGATTCATTTCAGAAGGCTAATCATTAACTCTAGAAGCTTAATATTGGGATGGTTTAGATGAAGGATCCTCTTATAATAGTGATTCGAATATTGGATTACTTTGGAAATGCATTTAAATAGCCACTAATAGTTCATGTGTGTTGAATGATGGAACAGCAGTAGTCTTCGAAGAAAATGCAACTAGTATCACTTTAGAAGGGGAAATATTCAAAATAGGTCAATAATACTAAGTCTCAGTAACTGCCTACAAGGATTTAATTAAAAGATATTTTACTTATGTAAGCAATGTGATTTGTTCATTTAAATCAGTAGATGAGTTGATTCCAGAATTTCCTATTGCTGCTTAGACTAGATATATTGATCTCAAATAACCTATCACTTTTACTTTCATTCCCAACTCAAATCTTATCCATTATTACAATTACACTCTAATAATCATTTATGATGATTAGGAAATCTCAAAGCAATTTCTAAAATATCCTCAAAAGACCTTGAAATTAAGTGATTACCTACCAACTGCATTGCCAGTATAGACGTGTACGATCTAAATTATCCAGCAATCTTTATCCTTTTACTAAATGGCAATCTTGCCCATCATGTTCAATTATCCTCCCTAAAATGCCAAAATAACAATATCTAGCTATACTGGAGTGGCAATTGAAACCGAATACAATATCACTATAGATGAAGCGGAGGATTTGGATCTGCCCCTACAATATAGATTGAGCATGTATACCTCGTAAGAGAGTTACCAACGAGATCTCATGTAATCCAATAACCTAAATCAAATTGTTTTAACTGATTATCAATTCTCTAATTCGTTCATATGCAGACTACCTTCTGGGTTTGATTCCTCCTAAACTTCCACACCATATATAGTGCTTATGGCTAGTATAAAGGACTCAAGAGGGGCAGTTAGTAATGTGACTGCAGTTTTAGGAAATTCACCATAATATAAATTATGGAAGGCCTACTTAATATCTGTCAATGATTTCAAGACTTCAGTTACTCAATATACTGGAAAACTGGAGGTTATAGCTTCAAGTTTAGAATTGCTTGCCTTCTATTATGAATTCTAAAATAATAACTTTAATTACACAGACATGGCCCCTACAATGAGGATCTTGTACGCCAAACTCAAATCTTAAGTAATAGAGGATTTGGAGGCCATTTATTCAAGAAATAAAATACTCAATCTTTATGATCGAACAATGTTTTAGATGTATTTATTAAATGAAACTGAAAAATAAAATCTCATTTAAACAAAATTGTAATCTATTATAGATGTTTCGTTCTAATTTAAAACTAAGTTATTGGCTGCTCTAGCCTTGTCATAATAAAGGGAATACTATGGCGATTTGTCAAGTTTAATTGATATTGATTATGCCCATTTTACATTGATTGAGCAATTGAATTAATTCAGTGCAGTCCTTTCCTTTAAATTGAATGTTACTGATATTGAATTCGCATATAACACGTTGATTAACACAACCCTAAAGATGTGGAGATTGAATCATACTGAACTAGCATTAGAAATGGATGCGTAAGAGGAAGAAGAAAAAACCAATGGTCTCACAATTGATTAGCAACTTACCAAATATAATGATGTATATAAATTTATCCAACCTTACACAGTAGAGGAATTATTTGGATTCTCCAACTTAACTATCTCGGAAACTTTGGCCAAATATAGAAGTCAATTTAACTTTACATAAAAGTAATTGATATCTATTACAGATTCATTACAAAAGTTGTGCAAAATCAATGAGTCTCCATTAGAGTACAATACACAGTTTGTATCTATTAAGTTATAACTGCTCTCTTATGCTTATTTCAAAGATTAATTCAATTTAAATGATAACTACAGATTGCTAGCCTAATTGAATTCAACATATCAATATCTAATTGTCGTACATAAATATGCAGTCAACCCTTACATGGTAGACGATGAATTCTTTAATTTCACTGGAACTTATGCTTTTGATTAAACATTCCCTCTTTACATACCCTTCATCTATGAGGTCTAAAATAAGACGATAATGAATTTAGTAGATGAGTTAGAAGCAAATTAATTTTCGGCTGATTTTATTGTTCCAAATTCAAGTTTAAGTATTCTCAACCAATATTAATGTGCACAAGTAAATTTCATAAGATATTTCAAACTAGAAAAAAACCAAGTGGATTAGTGATGACTCTAATTGCACTAGAAGAGTAGAATATCTAACAAAGACTTTCCAATTCAAAGTTTGGTGCATCTGTCCATATTTTAGTGAAACCACTTTGATTAGACCTTTCTACGTCGAGGAAATCGCTTTGCTAAAACCCTAACTCTTAAGTAAAAGCAGTCTTATAGATTTTAGCTTATTTTAACTTTATGGAGTTTATTATTGGAGAATACTTAGTTGCATTGACTGGAGGCCTGTTATTGTTGTCAATACTTGGAGTGATTATGGACAAATCAAATGCTGATAAAATTAAATTGGAGGAGGAAGAAATGGAGAAGGAGAGAATTCAAATTATATTTTCTTACAGAGTCAAAAAAAGAAGAGCCCAATAAGAGGAAGAAGCTTCTAAAACATTTCTTTCAGAATCGAAATCCTTTTAAAATAATACTACTTAAACAGAAGCATAACCTATATATGGAAATAGTGACATTGGGATTTAAGATTTAAGTATTAAATTCATCCTGGTTGGAATTTTGGTATGATTGTAATTAAGATATTTTAGAAACTGGAGGAATTGGTTTCAGTTTTCTTGTACTACGATGATTATGTTTTAAGACCTATCAGATTTCTTGCTATATATTTGAAACTAATTGTGATGATGTCAGTTTCTGGTGTTTTGATGAGCGAACCCAACATATATTATTAGTATGGGATCATCATTTTGGTTTCAGAGATATCTGCACTTGTAGTCAAGATTGTAAAGGCAATCTTTTCAGGAAAATTACTCTAAATTATTGTAGGAACAATAGCCTCGCTTTGTATATTAACGATATCCTTTTTCAGCATAATTGACAGAGTAAATTAAATATTTATGATTTAGGCAATTGGAAAGGAGAAGCAATATTTGGAAGATTGGATGCAATTCTACGGAATATGCATAGGCATTTACTTCATCATCTTGGACCCAATTCAAAGTATTGTGAAAATGTTATTGTATCCATGGTGCAGAAAATAAATTGAGACACAACAAGAAACTCCAATTTTACATTTAGTTTATTTCTTAATTACTTAGAACGATCTCAACACATATTTCAAAATAGGAAATGAATAGAAGGTGATTGAAGATTAGGAGATAGCGGAAGCAGAGAAGGATTAATTTTAAGAGAAAAAAGAGGAGCCTCTTCAAGACATATGATCATATCGAATAATTATTAAATAAAATAATTTTAAGTATTATTTTTTAAACGAAACAATTTCTAAATATTTAATACTATATTTCTTCATTAACATCTGAAACACAGAGACGCAAATATTGCTTCAATTATTATGATTTTATTCTAAACTATAATAATATTGGAAAACCAAACAGGATATTTTCAAAAGATGGGGATGAAACTTGCCATGATTTTAGGTATTTTTTGAAGGATACTTAAAATGCAAAGAAGGTAGACAGGTAATAAATAATTAAATTCTCAACTTCAATTAATCAATTATTCCTTTGTGAATTAAGTTTTCTAGTACTTTCTTTATTCTTTCTAGTTTCTTAATTATTCTATATATAATCAAATGAGTCAATACTCTTTGGGTGGCAATTTAATTTTATTATCCTTTGGCTATTAGTAGATCTTTTCCTACGTTTAGAGATTTGTTTTAGGAATGGGAAGGTAACTTGTAATTTTTCTTCTCTGGTCCTAACTTCTAAATAGTTCCATCTTCTAAATTTATCGAATAAAACCCTTTCTCGACCATGAAGATTTTCTTTGGTGTTATTGCTTTTGTAAATTGAGACATTTCTTGCTTATTTTAAGAAATTATTATTAATTGAAATGAACCCACAGCAGTAATCAAAAACCAAAGTGTTTAATAACTAGTATTCCATAGTCAAGAAGTTGTCTTCTGGATCATTTGGAGTAGTGTTTCTGGGTTAGGACATCGTTTCGAAATAAGATGTGGCTATAAAGGTGGAGAAGGAGGAGAATGAGGAGGTCAAATCTTTGGACCGGGAAGTGCAAATAATAAAGATTCTAGACGGAAGTGAGGGATTTCCAAAATACTATTGGTCAGGGGAAGACCTGGGTTACAACATACTTGTTATTTAATTGTTAGGAAAAGATTTGGCATTCCATTTCAAATAGCTCAAGAAATTCAATCTAAAATCAGTTTTAACTATTGGAATCCAGGGTGTTAATCTTTTAGAGAGAGCTCATTCAAAAGGAGTAATACACAGAGATTTGAAACCTGAAAATATGATGTTGGGAGTTGGCAATGAGATTTCTAAGTTATATCTGATCGATTTTGGAATCAGCAAAGTTTATAGAGACGCCAGTGGAAGACACATGTACCTATCCCAATCCAATATAGCATGTTTAAAGATCAAAAGTCCTTTTTAGGAACTACTCGATATGCCTCAATAGCAGCTCATTTGGGTCACGAATTAGGACGAAAAGATGATTTGGAGTCACTGATGTACATTTTACTGTATTTCTTGCGTGGGTATAGAACAATTATAAAAAAGGTAGTTACCTTGGTAGAACATGGTCAATGTAACAGACGAGGAAAGAACACAAAAGGTTGGAGAATTGAAGTTGTCTCTTGAAAATGAATTGTTTAAAGATCAAGTTCCAGAGTTTCAAAAGATTTATAGGTAGATTTAACCATATTTAAAAATAGTTCGATTCGAAGATTGTAATTTAAACAAGAACCTGATTACAAGATGATTGTGCAAGAGCTTAGAAAGGCAGCAGAAAACCTAAATATCGTTATTGATGGAAATTATGAATGGTCAGAAATCAAATAATCTACACATTATCAATCAGATACGAATTAAAATTTAAGTAAATAAAATATTTAGTTCAACAATTCAAATGAGATGAAAAAATCTATTGAAAAGTAATTATCCGGTGCTATTTAACATGGGTAAAAGGATTACTTAAATATGAGCTCTTAAAACTTTCTAGCACCACCTCCATTATCTTCTAGGAATAATACTTTTCAAAGGGATGATATTAGGAAGAATTCTAGCTTGACTTAGCAAAGCAGCATTGGAAATTACTGTTAATCATTGAATCCAAATTATTAGAAGTCCGTTTGCGATGATCCTATAGGGAGCAGACAGGATATTTTATAAAAAAAGGAAAGTTTTGATGATGAGAGGATTTCCAATTTTGAGGGTAAAGAAATTATTGAGAATGGTGAGGGATAGGAGTCCTTACTTTAAAAATATGAGAAAGTCAAAAAAGGAATCATAATGTATCTCTTTAATTTGTAATTTAGTAACCTTATTTAAAGTTTGAAAAAGAAAAAGAAATGATAATACTAATATCCAATATGGATTTATCTTTTTTTCTAATCTTCCTATAAATATTTTTTATTACATATTGCTTCATTATCGAAAATTATAAAAAATATCTCTAAGATTTAAATTAATTTATAAAGTATGTAAATCATAGATCAAAAAGATATATAGGACAGTGTGGAGAAATACATTTTGGACGCCGAGCAAGATTAAAGTGAAGTATTTGTTTTACCAAATCATTAAATGAATATCCTCTCTAGAAATGCTGTAGATAAATTGTAAGATAACATTTAAAGTTCCATTATGAAGTTAAATCAATTACTGATGAAAGCTTAGGATATAACATTAGAAAATCATAAGAACAAGGATTTATGCTCAAAGGCTGTATAAGTAGTTTAGGTGGCTTCAATTGGATTGATGTAAATTTTGAACATTAAATAATTGCTTGAAAACAAAGTTCTAGCTGTGGAACAAAGTGTCAGTAGTCTAAATATCACATGCACAACAAATCAATTAAATTAATACTCAACAAATTTAGTTCTTGATTATATGAATCACATAATTTTGGAAAAAATTCTAGAGCTAATTGATAATTTTTCATAGCTTCAGAAAGAACAGAAACGAGGTCTTGCCATCTATTTAGCCAAGTTATAATCATGTGTTGAAATCCTACCTGGTGCTACAACAGTTAAACATGATGATTTATATGCCATACCCTAGGATCATTAAGATTGGTAAATGATTAATCCTTTTATCGAAAAAAAACAATTGGCAAGTGATGAATAGATCAAGAAGTCTTATGAAAAAGCCTCGTTTGGAGTCCTACTTGGAACTGCTATGATTTCAAAAGGTTCTGAATATAGTGGGGAATTACAGAAATCCTTTATGGAGGGATTTGGAGCCTTATATTATGGATTAAATAAAAAAAAGATGAAAAGCAGAGCCGATCATTTTCTAGTAGAAGCTAAAAAGGAAGATGCTTTTAAGACCTGGAATTTACCTGAAACTGGAATAATAAAGAAATTCCTACCAGCCATTTTTCCTTCAATTTCTTTCAATAAGAAAATTTACATTCCTAAATTATTTAGAAAGATTACTAAAGAATATATCCTTGATTAATATAATAAAGGAACAATCAATAAAATAAATAATGATTGTGGAGTATTTTTCCCAGAATAAATGATTACAATTGATGAATTATTAAAAAACGATTTAAATTAAGATAGAGTTTAAGTTAGGCTTCTATGCCATGAATCCTTGAAATTTAAAGGATAAGATGGATTTATGTCAATGTTCAAAAGTACCAGGGGCAAAGAGTTTAATTTTGATAAGATAGTGATTCACATACGTAAATATTCATAAATTATATCCAATAGATGGTGGAGGTTTTGTGGCCATGTCATCAAGATCACATCAAACTTATACTAGAAAATGGGCTAATAACATGAAAGTCCCAATCTTTTCTATTGATTACAAAATGGCACCTGATAATCCCTATCCTGCAGGATTGGATGACTGTTGGCAAGCCTATATGTTTATAATTACTTTCATTTAGAAATATTTCAATATTGTCCCATCTAAAGTTGTATTAGTGGGAGATAGTGCTGGAGGTAATTTAGTAGCAGCTTTGACTATCTAAGCAATAAAGGCAGGAGTTAGAGTACCTGATGGTATCTTGTTAGCTTATCCTGCACTATCATTAGATATGAAGTCTTTTACTCCTAGTTTCTTAGTGTCTCTTGATGATTCCTGTAAGACTATTTGTAATACTTAGTGTTACACCATACGGTCTTAAAATTGTGCTTAGACTCCTATGTGATGAAAGAATTTAATCCAACAATTGATCCTATGCTATCACCTTCTGCAGTGAGTGAGGAAATCGTGAGACTGTTTCCAAAAACTAGAATTGTTGTAGGAACTTATGACCCACTTCATGATGAAAGTTTGAGATTATTACTTAAACTTGTCTAATAAAAAAAGGATGCCAAGTTGATTGAATACTAATCTATGCCACATGGATTTTTATCTTTTGATATTATCAATGGAATGAAAGAAGCTAAACAAACTGTAATAGATGCTTAAAATTGCTTGCTGGAAATGCTAAATTGAACAATTAAATTAAATTAATTATTATTATGAGTGCTAAAAATTATAGACTAATTCACAATAAAACCTTACCCACATTCTAATACCAAAATGAGCCTTTGCAAGTGAATGACCAATATCAAGTCTATATGTCTACGCAGCCTAATGCTGTTGAGTAACTAATCTTAAAAGATTAAGCAAAACCGAAAACTTCGATTTTAGATAAATTTATGGATACAGACAAAAGCAGAAGCAGAACAGCCTATAACCCAGGATTTCTCTAATAAAACTCCTTAAAAAATGAAAAGCCCAATCAATCTGTTTAATTTGCTGAGAATCTTCAGACCCCTTAATATAATTATTAGAATTAGAATTAAAACAATATAAACCAACTTAGCAAGAAAACTGTTACATTAAAAAACCTCCAATAAACATTGTTATTTGATGAAAGGACTAATTCCGTACCCAAGGCAGCTATCTAAAATCATATTATTGACGACATAGTAAAGAATGGAGATATAATCCTCAAGCAAAAGGGATTGTTGAATCAGGTTTAAAACTTAAAAAGGTTAAAGTTGCTTAAATAATATGAATTTAATCAGTAACTATCTTATCTATATTCAGTTATTGCTTGCCAGGAATTGGAAAATCACCTTATGTGTTTAATGATGCTCATTCAAAAAGCACAAATCCTGGTTATTCAAGAAACAAAGAAGGAGGAAAGTTTTTTACAAGATGATTTATTAAACAATACAATAACATTTTTATCTTTTCACATATAATAACTTAAGAAATAGAAAATGTCTTTTTTTATTTCATTTTCCTTCAAATTTATAAGATTCTTTAAAAATAAGCTTAATAAATATAATAATATCATCATGATCATACATTTAGTTATGACATAAAATGTGATAATTATATTGAAATACAAATTATTGAACAATTGAGCCTTTTTTAAAACAATAGAAAAATAAAAGTATTTTCATAAAAACAAAAAATTTAAGAATCAATTATGAATAGAATAGATTAGATTAATGAAATACATATTTTTGTTGAATATTTATTGAAAATCAAAACTATTTATGGTACTTCATTATTATTTATATCTGTAAGAAATCTTGTATATGTTGTCATCTCCTGCATCAGTTTTAATAGGATAAGAAATATCATATATTTTTTCTATTTTTGCTGTGCTTTTTGTACTGCTATTTAATGTACTTCTATGCGAATTCTATGTAAATTGATTCTATTGATCAGTCTTAGAATCTTCTATTCTTAATCTATAAGTTCTTGGTTCAAATATATTTATTTTTTTATTTGCGATTGGCAATTCGAGTTTAAAAGGGTTTTGATACATATTAGAATTTTTTATTTAGTTAATATATTGGGTTAAGGTGAGTTTATTGTTAAAGCTAGTTTAGATACTATTTTACATTTTAGGTTTACGAGACGATAAGAGGTTTTAGATCTACTATAATAGGGGAATAGATAATTACAAGAAACTAATACCTTTTGCAATTATTCACTGACTGTCGGTACAGAAGCAGCTAATTTTCTTCTATGCGAATTGGTAATGATTGCTCTTTGGATGATTTTTTATTTCAAAATAGCTGGGTTTATTTATTCTAATTTATTCGCTTTGGTTATGGTAACAGAAGTACTTTCTCTTCTTTAGCCATAAAACTGCCGACTCAATTATAAATTATAGTCCTGATCATTGTTTTACTTTAGTAAGGTTTCTTCAGGGTTAATTAGTTAAGAATCATCTTTTTCCAACATAAAACTCACAAAACCATCTTCTTATTCATCTTATTACTTTTGCATTATTAAATATTTATTACAAATAAATTTCTTGTTCATAATTAAAAAAGCGCTATTTAATTGAAAGATGCTAAATTCTTCCTATTAAAGTAATCAATTTACTCAGTTCTAAAATTTTCAAGTATACTTTTGCAGTTGAAAATATCTGTAAACTGTAAATTAAAATTTATCAATCTCCTTTGCAATAACAATTATATCTATGGACCTCTTACTCTTCTTTGAATGATTTAGAACAACTTATGAGTCATAGAATATCTTATATTCTTAAATAAAATATATTAAGTAGAAAACTTTAAACTTAGTTTTGATTGAATGAATACTTTTGCATCTTAATTAAATTAAAACTTATATTTTTATGTCAACAGAATTAGATGGTTTGAAATCAGAAGTCAATGAGTAAAATAATCCTATATCTATAGTCTAAAAGAAATGGTAGAGATGCTTGAAAGTGAAGTTTAGAGCAAAGAGGATGAAATAAAAGTGATTAAAACAAATCTCTAAAAAAAAGATTAAGAAATCGCATCTCTTAAAATTAAATTGGCAGGCATAGATTCCCAGACTAATGAAACAGATCATAATCAAAATCAATTAGATCAACTTTAAGGCTAAATTGTTTCACTTTAATAATAATTATCAGAATTAAAGTAAGAATATATAGAATAAAATAGACATCAAATAGATGACAAAAATTTGGAAATTGAAGTGTTAAAACATGATCATGATGAAGAATTGAACAATTTAATAAACTAGAAGAAAGAAACATAAGAACAAAGCCAAACTGATGGGGAGATTGAAAAACTCCAAAATATTATATCTCAACTGCAACAAGAAAAAAATGAATTGACAATTTAGTATAATTTATTAATATCAAAGACATAATATAGAAGTAGATTAGTTGAAAAAATAGATAGAAGAATATTCAAAGTAAAATTAATAGCTTTTATTAAATTCTTAAGTATTTTATTAATTTAACTTAATATAGAAAATTGAGTCTAAAAATAATGAAAACAGTGCAGATTTAATTTAGTAGCAATAAGATGAAGTAAAATATTAAATTAATAAGACTTCGCAATTAAAATTTAGTGTTGTATAGTTAGAAACCCATGAATAAGAAAACCATCAACTAGAAGGGGATGCTGTTTAATTGAAATTGAATCAAGCAAATTAATTGGATAATCTAGGAACACTTCTGAATCCGATGGAATCACCAAGATATGATTAAAATTCTCAAAATAATGAAGAACTTGAGCAATTGTAGAACACCATCACTGATTTATAAAAAGAAGATTAGGCAAGTAAAGCTAAAATTGAAGCATTATGCGAAGAAATTAAATAATTAAAATAATAATTACAATAATTAAGTCAACATAACTAAGAATTGTAATTAGATCTTGAATAAAAAAAAATTGAATTCAATGAAGAATCAGCAAAATTATCATCACTTGAAGATGAATTAATTGCATATGAGTAGAAATATGCAGATGCTATTTAAAATAAACAGAAGATATCCACTGAGTATTAATTAGCTTAATAATCTCTTCAGCAATTAGAAATGCTGTAATAAGATAATGTTCAACTGTAGTTGTTACTTAATTCAAAGAGTGAGGAATTGGAAGAATTGAAAATGCATAATAAATTTGAGACTCAGTATTTAGAACTAAAAGAGGATTTTGAATAGTTTAAGGAATTTGTGCAAGAATAATTCCATTAGAAAGATGAAACATTAACTCAATAAGCTCAATAATTGCTTGATTATGATACATGTAAAGAATAATTAATCATGCTAAATTAACAATGTGAATTGTTATAAGAACAATTGAATAGACAAAAGGAAAATAATGAATAGCTATAAGATCAATATCAAAATAGTTTACAATAAATTCAATAGTTCAATACGAATAACTTATAATTCTCTGACATTCAATCTTAGAATTAATTTTTAAAGCAAGAAATTGAAACTCTGAAATTGGATAACTTAGCAAAACTAGAAGTGATTGCTGATTTAGAAACATAACTCAAGATATAATAATAATTAGGAGAGGAATCACCATTGAAGTTGTAGAAATTACAATCTGAATTTTCTGAAAATCGAAGTGAATATCTAAGCCATAAAGAGTAGTGTTAAAGAGAAATTCATTAATATAAATAAGAAAAGGCTTTATTGTAATCGGATTTGCAAAATCTGAAAGAAATGATTGATGCATTATTATCTTAAAATACATAATATCAACCAAAAGGAAAGACAGTTGAAGAATATTACAAAAAATTGTTAGATTTTACATCTGATGATAAATAGGATCATTAAGAGTATGTATATTAGAAGTGATTATTATAGGGAAGAATTAGTTTAGTTAAAACAACAATTGCAATTATTCTTAGATAAGTCTTTTGCTGATTAACAATGCCAAATTAAGCCCGAAATAAATGAATAAGAAATCCTGACTGAATAAATTGAACTATAAGAAAAGAATACTTAGACTGAGTAAATAGAAAGCAGCCTATCGGGATCAATGTGGCTCAATAACGATACAATAAATTCAAAGGAGGACTAATATTAATAGATGAAGTACTTAGTTTATTAATGCAATTAGAAAAAAAAATGAGGATTTAGATTAACTTTTGAAAAATTATGAAAAAGAAGTATCAAGTTTAAAATAATAACATAAATTACTATAAAAAAAGTTAGAAACTAATTAAAAACCAAATCCTTAGGAAAGGTTGGGTAAAAGAGTTAGTTTATTTGAGTAATCCTAACCTCGAAAATCAAAATAATTGCAGTATTAGAATTATTGAGTATTAGTTTAAATTTATGTGAGTCATAGTAGATAGACGATCAATAGAGAGAAAATGTGTTTATGAAAGAATTAATAGAAAATTTAAAGAAGGATAATAAGTAGCTTTCACTACAGAATGAGGATCTTTAACAATAATTAAATGAGATAAAATAACTTTAGGAGAAGAATTAAGAAGAATAAAATCGATTAGAAGAATAGCTGCAATCTTAAATTCTACTAAACCAAACAAGAAATAAGAGCGTTGATAATAATCAAACAATAATCTCTCAAATCAATAATACTATGATTTAGCTGAATTAAATTGAAATCTTCTTGGTTGTAAAATCCTAGAAAAACTTTTAATTCCCTTATATTGAATTTAATAGAAAGTATTTATTTATGGAATTATAAGATAAATCAAATTTTATTCTTAAGGCAAAACCAGAATAGAGAAATAGATTTATGAAACATTTACATTTGATGATGTATTTTTAGACATACAAAAAGTGAGATAGTACTTTTAATTTTATGGCAAAATAAGTTTAGATTAAAGTAGAATGTTTCTTATTGTTGGCTAATAAAGTATTAATATAAATCTCAATTAGAAACGTAAAAGAAATTCTTATTATTAATGTTCCTTGATTTATACTATAACTCTATAAAAGAGTAGAAACTTAAGTAAAACTTAAAAATTAGATTATAAATTTAATACTAAGAAAGAATAGGAAATAATTGGTCGACTCTTGATTAGCTAAGTAGTGATTTATAAATATCAAATGAAAACGTAAATTCGAGCTTGTAATAACTGGACTTAACTATTTAAAATATTAAGTTTTATTTGTATGGCAAAAGCCAATAAGCAAAGATTTTAGGGAAAGAGAAAATTAGATAACTAACAATAACGTACAGCATAATTTTTAAGGAGTAAACATACACACAATAATTCATTATAACTACTATTCCTGTGGTTCCAAGATCCTAATTTGCATAATTTTTAAAAAGAATCTGTAATCATACAGCTACAACGTAATTTAAATATTATTGTTTATTAACTGTTAACCCAATCCTATTGCATTACAATCAGACAGTAGATATTATGTATTTGGCTAAAATGGTTTATGCTTAAAACAATTAGGAAGATCTCAATAAATAAATGAAGATAGATGATGAAAGTGTTAGACAAGTTAGATAAGCAAATGGGTAGGTTATACTTAAGAACCAAGAAATTGATATTTTAAAACGTCAAGCTGAACACTTTAAGAAATAATATAATGATGTATTAACCAAATAAGAAGCTAAGTAATAACTATATCAATAAATATAAATACAACTTCAAAATGTTGTTGTAGATATCAAATTAAAAATGAGTCAGTCGAGAAATCATAAAACTAATAAAACCCCTTGTCCAGAATCATAATTTTATGAAAAATTAATTGCCTAATTAGAAAATCTATCAAGAAAACTTTCTCCGATTTAATAGGTTTTAAACACTGATAGATCCATTAGCCCTTCAATATAAAATTAATGATATTTTATATATTGTATTTTAATGTCTGAGTAATGTAAAGTTTTAACTCCTTAGAAAATTAAAAAACTAAATGCTACATTATAAGATGAATGAATAGATTCATAAATTTCTAAACATACTCATTTTACTGGTTTGTGGAGAACATCCATAAGATTTGGGAACTAAAACATTTGCTCAGCATGTTGAGTATTTCCATAAAATATCCACTTATTAACTTCCTTAAATTCCCCTTTTATAACTCTTGTACCATCCTTTTGTTATTAAAATATGTATAATGGTTTTGGCGGTACAATAACATGTTTAGTTAATTCTCTTCCATGAATGACTACCTTGTCGTCTTAAGGTTTAAAATATTATTCGCTTGGACACTCTCCGCCTTTGCTAATTGTACAAGGAAGAAAGTTTATTCCGACTTTATCAAAACCATCGAATTATTAATAGTCCTTTACGAATTTTCTTTATTACATTTAATATATTAAAATTTAAAAATTATTCATCATTATTTATTTTACTATTTCAACTAGTTTACAATCAATGAATATTTAGAATGATATTTATAGAATATAGATTGAATTTCCTTCTATTCTAAAGTATTCATCTAATTATAATTAATCGATAGATATGGAAAAGGATTGTTAATGCAAGGTTCTCTCCACATTTAATTTTCCAATATACAATCAAAGATAGCATGTTTCTCTAATAATTGCTCATCTGTTTCTTATTTTTCTGGACTTGGATATTAAAATTCATAGAAATAACTGTTATCACATTCACTTACAAATTTGTTCTTTTACTATTGAATTGCAGTCTTCAAAGGGTCAAAGTGCAAAGAATCTACTACAACAGTAACTTCATCCTCCTCTTAATATTTGAGAAATCGATTAATACTATAAAGCATATAATATTCAATGGCTTTTTCAATCCATAACATTGTTGTAAATTCAAAAAAATAGTTCAAATTATTGTACTAGTTTAATAATGATTCTTCACAAAACTCTTTGAACATTTCTTGCACATCTGGTAATTACATAATTATTCCGATATATATTCTTTAATAGATTTCTGACAATCCAATCATATAAACCTTAGAGCCTTTTAAAGCTGACATATACAATGCCTGAAATAATCCAAATTGAGAAAAGTCTACATTACTCTTTTGGTTGGCATATAAGAGTGTAATTTCAAATAATTAGCCAAGCCTTTTCGACATTTCATTACTCTCCGATAGTAATTAAGGTGTCAATTCTTATTATTAGTTCTTTTGTTCTTGCAGAGTTTGGAATGTAGATTAAAAATACCCTAATTTTTCTCCATTCAAGAATCCCAATATATTTTATTTTTATTCTGGACTCAACGTAGGGTTTGCCCTTATTAAATGAATGGAATCAAATATTGGTAAATCTATTTTCAATTCATTTGTATCTATAGGTAAAGTTGGTAATTGTTCAAATAAATTCTTTCATAATCTCGATTCTTACATCATTTAATATAGGATCAACTTTTGAATGATATTATTTATAAAGCTATCTTTTGGCAAATAAATATGGAGATGGATCAATTTATATTAAAAAGTTTGTTTTATCCTTATCCTTCATTAAAATATTTGACATTTTCTGAGTTAACTCTTGTTAATCTCCTTGACGAGGAAGTCCTACTAATCTACATGTTTTGTTGCCAATTTCTAAATATTATTATTTATTAAAATTACTTAGGCTTTCTTCTTAAATACTCCTTTGGTTGAATGTATTTCCATAATTTTTTATGTAGTAATTTTGTCCTAACTTATTTAAAATAGATGTTGCTGATGTAGAAAATTAAAAACAATTAACTTTGCCTAAAGTTTTATAAATGTTCATAATTAATTATTGTAAAAATATAATTAAAAAAATAAAGCCAAAATATTTGATTAAATTTCTTTTAAATAGGTATTAACAAATATTCCGATTAACTATTATGTGGATCTAATATTAGATTTCATAGTGAATCATAAAATGTATTTAATATAATGGAAGCTATTGCAATTTTTATGATATACTAAAGTTGTTTATTAAAGATAATAATTTAAGTTTCATTAATTTGAATTCATACTCTTAAACAATTTTTATCAATGTTATTTCTTTTTTCCTTCTTATAAAATTCTTCTTCATTTTAATTGATTCTTTTATTTCTATTATCTGAGTCTGGTTAAGTCCCTTAGGCTTAACATTCTACTTTATGATATAATTCTGTTTTAACTGGTTTGAAATTTTCCATAATAATAGAAATTTTTTAAGGAGAGATTATTTTTATAATGCTTTCTGAATAAAAAAGTCATACAAATAACAATGTTAGACAATAAAGCATATATTTAATTGTTTTATACCACATTTATGTTCTAAGTTTAGTTAATTATGAGGAAGATGATATTGGAAAACTGATTAGAAGATGTGTTATATTTTTTGTCAATAAATTTTATATTGGTGTCGTGATGTAATCTAATATTAAGATTTATCCTTAAACCTACCATAAACTGACTATTTGCATGGGATATATTTTTTTCATATTTTTTTCCTGGAAATATTTTTCTATTAACATCAATAAATTAGATATTTACTAATAAAAATCTAGTCAACTTATTAAACAAATTTATTTCATATACAAGTTTAAATTATAGATTAAATAAATTTACTGATAATTTAGTCGAGGGATTGATGAGGAAATGGATGAGATTGGCAATTTTTCAACTTTATTCTTTAATTAAATAAATTATCCAATCAAATTCTGATAAAATAATAAATTTGATTCTTATTCTCAACATGTGATATGGTAAATAATAATAATAATAATTAAATGGGAAAACCAAAAGTTACTAAGAAGGCTGCTAAGATTGGTATTTTGTTAAGATGATAATGATATAGTTAAAAAGAAGATTGCAAAAAAGTCAACAGGTCCAAGACCCACAAGAACTATCCAAGCAACAGTTGCTTAAGCTTAGGCTACCACACAACCAAGTGCTGGTCAAAGAAAATTGCCCAGATAAAACAGAAGAAATAAATAAGCTAAAGGAAAATCAAATAAAAAAGCATAAAAAAAGTGAATGAAATATAATTAATAAATATTTAATAATATAATCTAATTCATAGATGTTTTTCAAGTAAAATTTGAAGTTATTGAAAGCTTTGGCCGATTTTTTGGATTTGGGTAGTAGCCAAAACTTGATAATTTGTTAAAGAAAGAGAATCTCACAATTGAGTGTATTTTTAATGAAGAGGATATTCTCCAAGAATTGAAAGGAACAAGTTCTTCTAAATTTGCTGATTTGTATTACATCTATGTAATTTTAGCTTAATTGAACATCCCTAAGAATATCTGAAGATGATCAATTATATAGTGGAAGAGATTCCTGATTCATGTACAGAAAAAAATAGATGTATAAAGTATGAATATATTTATATAATTTTAAGATACCCATTTTACGGAAGTGAGATATTGGGATCTGAAAATGAAAAATTAATAAACTTTTTATTTGAAAAACCAAGTGAATAGCCATCAGATGATGTAAGAAATCCAATTGAAGACGAAGAGACTGAATAAGTAGAGTAATTAGAATAGAATAACAATGCTCAAGAAAATGAGATAATAAGAGCAGGTTTGTTGGAGAATTTATTAAAATTGCTTGACAGTGATGCTATAATAGTAACAACAGCAGGTTATTTTGCAAAGGTCGTGAATGCAATTATCCATAAGAAGGGACATTGTGTAAATATTTATAAATAAAAATAAGTTTTGGGAACACCTGAAGCACTATCCAGATATCCTTTCAAATTTATTTAAACACTCATATTTAAAACACATCGTGGATATTTTTGAGAAGTTGATAATCTTGGAAGAAAACTATGAGCAATCAACTGAATATATGAATGAAAGGTCAGCTTTACTCTAAAGATTAGTCGTCTTCCTGAAAGGCAAATAGCATTCTTAACTGATAGTTGGAAACATTTGTGAATTATTTGTGGAATTATACAAAAAGTCTATCAATCAATTTGATACTCAGAATTAAGAATTAAAATCGATGCTAGCTCAATTTACAGTTACAACAACACCCTTATTTTTCATGAACTTAGCATTGGCTACATAATAGAGTGTAGTCTATAATGTGCTGAATGTGTAATTTGAATTTCTGAATAAGTATTACCTATCAGACTAATAACATGATGTTGTTATCAACTTAACCCAGCTTTATAAACCAGTAATTTAGTTATTTGAAAAAGCATTATAATAAGTAGATAGTTTTAAGATTCCATTCATATCTGCAGATGGAACTGAAATTACACCTTTAGGAGATGGAAAATTGCTAATAATCTAATTTATTGTTTCATTAGTGAATAAACCGGAATTCTATTCATATTTCACAGCAGAAGTATTTTCTTTGATAATTGATCTTGTCAAATAGCATTAAACTAACAATCAATTGCATCTGTTATTTGAAAGGTTGATCGTCGCTCTTGTTGAGACTAATGATGAATTTTTGCATAGGTTAATATTTGAAGATACCAACCTCTTGCTCTTTATTATATAAAATAATGAAGAAAAAGCCAGATAAAATAAGTTTGGATTTTAAGGAGTTTTGACAAGACTATCAAACTATTTGGATTGCAATAAAAATAAATCAGCATCATTCCAAGTCAGTTTATAATTATGTATTATAAATGATTATTATGAATTTTAGTATCAACCATTCAAGTGGATTGGGATGAATATATCAAAGGATTAACTAATGTCAATAAGGTTGAATAAGAATGGATTTTGGGGATAAATCCAAAGCAAAGAGAATAAAAATTTATAGAAGAGATCATAAGTCCAAATATTAAAGAGGATACTTCAGAATAGAATCGTGGAGTCTAAGGAATCAGAAAATGCATAAGTTCTGATAATAACGATGTTGTGCAACCAAAAGATGTTGATCCTGAAGGTGTTGAGATTGAGGAGGATATTGAATAAGACTCTGAAGAAAAGTAAAATGAAGATGGAACCACAGGAGAGTAGTAATAAGTATAGCAAGTAGAACCAGAGACATTAAAAGAGTTTGAAGAAGAGATTGTGACATAAATCATAGAAAACAATGAGGGTGGTTAAGAAATTAATTAGCCAGATGTTGAGACTTAAGAATAATAATAGGTAGAAACAAAAGAATAAGATGAAAAAAATGAAGATGAACAAATTTAAGAATAAGATTCAAATAACTAAATTGAAAATGTACCTGATCAAGAAGTTCAACATCAAGAATAATAAAATGAAGTATTAGTGGCTTAATCAGATCAATAGGAGGAGACATAGAAATTGGAATAATAATAAGAACCAGAGGAACCTTAGGAGATTATCTAAGATAATGCAGACTTAAAGGAAGACGAAGGGGAGAAGGAAGAAATTGAAGAGGAAATTGCTTGTTCATAGGATACCCTAGAAGATTAGACCATCAAGAATGAAGAAGTTTAACAAGTTCAGAAAATAGAATAGGAAAATGAAAATGAAAATAAAGAGGAACCTAAATAGATAGAATGATATAATATTATTTTTAATATTAATGTCAATGCCAAAACTAGCTATTAGTCCATAGTTATACATTTTCCTTATAATCCTTAAAACTCTGCTTATACTTTTCCATCTGATTTTATTTTTGAATTTATCTCAGCTAAAGCTTATCGTATTATTTCATTTCCTTCGAATTCAATCTTTAAAGTACAAATGCTCCAAAGCCTAAGGAACAAAATATTTCTAATTATGGTAATTATAATAGTGGTTATTTCTTAAGCTTTCTTTTGAGTAACACTCTTACAAGTCCTACTGATAAATATGTTATTCCTGATATCTTGAAAGAATAGAGAATGTTCGATTGATGTAAATCATTTCTAAATATGTTCATATTTTAAGAATTTATATGTATAAAATATAACAATAAATAAACCTAATCATCAAATTTGCTATTATTGTTAAGCCATAGTCATGCCAAAACCTTGCATATCATGAAAAGGAGGAGCTCCAGGTTTAATGCCTTACATTTCCATATAATTCACTAATTAGTCTGGCAATTCTTCGAGAACCTCTTTTGCCAATAACATTGAGTCTTTAAAATCTCTAAATGGCACAAATTGCACAAGATCTCTTTTGTATTGTGACTACATCATCTGTCCATCAACTATTGTTAAATAAAATGATACTTTGATCTCCATCCAATCTTTTCATTAAAGTAAAGTCATCGTCACCAACTCCAATAATAATAATAGAAATTGGCAAAAAGGCTGCCTATTCTAAATATTGTTCCACTTAATCCATATCATGAATAGCACCGTCAGTTAGGATCAGTAATATTAGATATTAATTGAGTTGCTATTATTTTATCATTGTAGCCTATTTCATGGCTTCAACAATCAAAGGACCAAAGTATGTAGGACCAGAAAATTATATGTAATTTAAGGCGTTTTAATACATCTGCATGATTCCATCAAGTCCTTGAGCATTTGTATAATTGGGATCTCCTGATAATGGGAAACAATGGCTAACAGTGTTTAGTTTTAAATTCGGAAAATTTAACTTGGCACCAAAACCATAACATGGTACTTATTTATCATAATCATATGCCAATAATATTTCTCCAATACTTGTGAGTGCCTAAGCATACTAATTCTAAGAATGGATTTTGTGTAAACTATTATACTAATCTTAGTCTCCATTACTTTAAGTGAAATCGATGGCGATACTGAGATTCAATTAAGTTCCCCCTTAGATATAATCCATAAAAGTGAATTTAAAAATTGTTTCAAATTGAGAAAATGTAATACCACCACCATTATTGTTTAATGTGTATTCTTTTTATTGCTTCTTTAATTGATCTATTTCTATGTAACTTGATCCTATAATGTTATGGATTGAATTATAAACTTCTAATTTAAACTTATTGCCAATCTTGAATTGTTTCATTTAAAAGGTTTTCCATTATGGATTTGATGTCTTATGTATATGTTCTGATTCATATGCGAAAAATTCGTTGTTGTTTGTGCATTTAAATAGTTTAAAACTTGGATTTGGAGCTGAACACCAAGATCCTTTTAATCTAGACCCTTGTATTTGCATTATATATAATTCATTTAAATCTTAATTTTTTTCGCACATTGTTATCAGTTTTCCTCCCAAACTCAAATCAAGTATACAAGTTTAATTTTTTGATCCGAATATTATTCCAACTGTAGACTCAACAAATCCAAGCTCATCAAATTGTTCTCCGTCAACATCTCTTACTTCAAATTTAAGCGGTTATTTAACTTCAAATATATAATCTAAAATTATGGCTGTTTAGAAGGTTGGATTAAGGTTGTTTTTAATTAATTCAGTCTTCCCCAAAAATGACCAATTATTATCAAGGCAATTGTTTCGAAACTGTTTTCCAAAAACCCAAACTTAAGGGTCTGATTTAGAAAAAGTGTCCTTGTCTTTTAGCTTTCTGCAAGCTAAGTGAAGAGTAATTTTGCATCCTGCCTACATTCGAGGATTAAAATAAATTAAATATTCACTTAAATGCTTAAGTTTAATTATAAAGCATCAATCGTAAAATAGTCTAACAATTTCTAATGGTTAATACATATTATTAGATATTTTTGTTTTTTTAGAGAACAGATAATGAAATATTGACAATTAATTTGTATTTTATCATAAAATGGGTTCAGCATGTTAAAAAGTACTCTCTGAAAAATCAGAAAAATCAGAAAATTAAGAAATTGACGATTTTGATTAGCGTGACTATTAAATAGAGAAAGAACAATATCCTTTAAAAGTTCATAAAGGAGGAAGAAAAGCCTTACATAAAAGTAAAAGACTGCCCAAGAATATCGAGTGCGATGAAGTAATTTAGGAATCTATGATTTATTCTTTTGATCAAATACACTAATAACAGAAGTCAGACCTATAAAAATCGACATATTCAAATTCAGAGAAAAATTTGTTTGTTTAAGAGGATAAAAAACAGTTAATAGGCATCATGAAATAACAAAGATCTTATTAATTAATTTAGTCATCCTTAAAAGGTTTCTCTACGTTGAACAGCAAACGATAATTATCTAGCCCAAAAATTAAAGACCATTAAGCAAGGCATGTCCGATTTAAATTACCAAAATCACACAAATAACAATAAAGAACTCATTCAAAAATAAGAAATAGAATAAATTCTTAACCTTCTTATAATCTATGAATAGCCTGTTATGAAAATTAGTTTATTTATACGTTTCATGATTTTTAATCCACCATATATTAATTAAAAATAAATGTGCCCCTTCTACAATAATTAATTTAATATAAATGATAGTTTTTTTAATAAATTATTACTGCTAGACCTAATTTAGTCTCAAAATTTTGTTTGATCAAGGTTTTATTTTTTTAATTCGGAAATAATACTACATTAAAATTATATTGATATTAAAAATATATTTCAATATTATCCGAAGGTAGTTATAAAAATTTTCACTATTATTATTAAAATATATATGAAGGAAATTATAGAACTGAATTTAATATTATATTTTAAATTTGAGCTTAGATAGAATTAGCTATTTCATTTTATTAGAAGAATATGAAGTCATAATGTCAAATTAAATCAAAGGATGAAACTAAATATTATTAATCATTATTATCGAATATGATTAAAAAAAATGATGAAAAAATTAGGGCCAATAGGAATAGAATGCCTCGATTAAGTACAATAATTGAAATTAAAGGCCTCAATAGAATAATTTACAAAATATAATTTATATGGCAGATTACATTAAAATCGAATTATTTATAAATATTCAATTTCCAGATTTAATGTATTAAGAAACATTTAATGGTTTGGTATAATACAAACTAATTCTTTATGCTAATAGGCCATCTTCTGTGTTTATAGGAATAGCTTCAGGATCATCTTGGTTAGAATTAAGATCAAGATTATCTTGTTTAGCAGAAGGATCAGGATCACCTTAAGCTTCTTATAGATCCAACGTCTAAAGCTTTTCCTTCTATTATTCAAATTCTTATGGTTATTGTTACTAATTAAATATGGATTTTTATTATTATAGTTTTGAATTATTTATTCTACTTTCCTATTGTTAAGTTTATTCGGTTTGATTTTAATTTAACATTTATATTTATTTTTATGACGTATCATTAATCGATACTCTACCATTTTATGGTGACACACTTTCTTCAGAATCTCTTTAAGGATTTCTTTCTGGTGATTGAAGGATACCTAATTTTGATTCTATTACTTTAGTGTCAATAAATCTTTGATTCACTTGATTTTATGCTTCCTTCTCATGTTCGTCTATGATTTTTTCTAAAACTCCTTTTTTCTTACTTTCTAAATCGTCATATTTCATCTATATTTAACTTAAACTTATTACTGTAATATATTTATCCACCTTTTATATCTCATTATATAAAGCATCTAGGAGTTTAATTTACGGATCTTCTTTAATTTTAAATCTTGAGAGTAAGATAAAATAGCATTCTAGAATATAAATATATATTATACTAGCTTTTTTATCATATTTTGCTTTATATTATCCAAAATTGCCTCTATAATCGAATAACTCAGGAGGTTCCTTTGGTTTTGCTTTCGGATCATTTGGATCTAACTATTTAGCTCTCAGTTAATTTTCTAATTTGACTCGCTCTTGACTCCAGATTTTATCAATTGGAAATCCTTTTCTAATGAACATAAAAAAGAATTGTCTATTGTAATCCCACATAAGAAAGCATCGAAATATTTTAATGAGTGTGTCAGAACTTAGATCTTTATCGGAGTTAATTCCTTAACTTTAATTGTAAATAGCAGATGCATTTTGAAGTTAAGAGGGTGGTCTTTGATTTTATTTTCCATTAATTTAAGATACCACTTTTGGTTATGATTATATCATACTCTAAACTTGATTAAGTTATAAATACTTTCTATTGATTCTAGCCATTGGCTTTAGATTCATTGGACTCTTCAAAGGGTTTCACTTTTCCATATTTTTTAATATATTCATTTTCTTTAGTTTCCAGCAGATTCTAGATTGTTTCACTCTCCTTTTATTCTAATTCCTCTTTTTTAATCTACTATTGCAATAATATTATACTTTTGAATAATTGGGTGCTTTTTCTATGATTTTATAAATTTCATCCAAAACTGAATTTTGAAAAACTTCTTAAACTTCATTGCTACTCAATAAAATGAAGTAACATTCTTGTTTATTCTAAATAAATTACTGTTCTTTTTGTCATATTTACATTTAAATACTCCATATGGCGAAGATTACTCAAAAGCGTCTTTAGGTTCTTTGACCATCTCTTGAAGTTTTGTTTCTAATCCTTTTCTACATTCATTCCACTTTGGAGAAACTTAGAAACCTCTTCTAATGAATAGGAAGAAAAAGCTTCTTTGGTAATCATAAATCATAAAAGCTCTGAACGCAGACATTTTTACTTAAAAAAATAATATTTTTTTGCCCTTGATTAATAATTATAAAATCGATTATTTACGTTATTTAAGGAAACAAAAACACGAATTCTAAGAATGCTTAAAATGATTTACATTTAGTAAAAATTGAGGAATTTACAATATCAGATTAATATTTGTATAGTTCTCTGAATTCTTTTGATTTTTAATATTGATTAACGAGAAATTGAGGTGTTATAAGGTGATAATTTAAAACAGTATATTTTAGAATTAGAATTACTATTTAATATTCATAAATGTATAATTATATAATTAGGAATTAATAAAATATATTGAAATAAATTTTGAAGAGCATTAAATAAAATTTAATTATGAGATAGCTATAATAAATTCCGAAAGTAACTAAAAAGGTTATTATTATAAATCAAAAGTAAGTTGTATGAAGTGATTACTTATAGGTCGAATATGATTAGTGAAAATAATAATCTTTAGAATATTCAAAATGTTTAAGTAAATAATACTGACAGAAAGAATGTTTCTGTTGAGGAACAACTTCCAAATTAATTTGAGGGTATTTGATTAAGTTAAATTAGATAACATGCAATTTGAAAGTCAATAATCCATTTAGGAAATGATGATTTTATATTAAAAAAATTGTGCCTAATTATAAGAATTCTAATCTTAAATACACGAGTTAAAACAGAGAGTCTAATTGATTGAGTAAAAATTTTAAGAAATCGAAGCAACCAATAAGAAAAAGAAGAAAAGGAGAACTGCAGCTGAAATTGATAAGAATTTTAAAGTGTGTATTGAATTTATTAATTTTGTAGTGCCCTTATAAAAATTGCGAGAAACTCTATGGGTCAGATGTTTCATTGAATCTACACATCAAATTCAAACATAATGGGGGTAATAAGAGTGAACGTCAGAAAATAATTGTAAAATTAGCTATTGTTATAATAGAAATAATTACAGGCTGGAGAAATATCTGAAAAGGATATTCAAAACATTAATTTACCACCTGCATGAAAAATACCATTTCAATCCAATAATAAATTTGATTTCAAATTAATTTATGTGTTTACAAAAATTTATATTCCGCCATTTTTTTGGAATTTAAACTAGGCATTTTTAACGAAATTTTAAATTTGAATGCCACATTATTTTTATTATTATTGTTTATAAGTACATTAATATGTCTAAATTATATGATACAAATAGAAAATTCAATAATACAAAATAAAGATGGGTATAATTATTATAATATAATTTTCTACAGGAAACATTAACAGCCAATATTGGAAATAAAGAAAATATCCAAGTCAATAACAAAATTGCAGCAACAAAAACCATCAAAAAGTGCACAACAGCCATTACTCTGGAGAAAAAGAAGCCATTGCCTTAAAGAACGATAACAAAATATTTCAAATTCACAAATCTAAAAAAATATCCAAACCTACAATTGTACGACTCAAAAGGCAATGTAAGAGAGTTCTTATGTTATGATGACAAGGTACTCAAAATACCTCCAGCCTATAACTAAACTATTTCACATGTACAGCTTTTATCATTATTATAGTCTATGGATAATGATTGTCAATCTGATAATGAACAAGTTGAATCTGCAGTAAGATAACTTACCTACTTTATCGAATCTACTTTAAATTAATACAAATAACACTCTTAATGAAGTCTATCATTGTGTACTTAGGTTTTAGATAATAATGATAATTTTATATTGCATTATTCTATTTTTCAATATACTTGTACAGCCTATGATGAATGCATGTCTAGTCTTGATGATAAACACAATTGTGATTTAAAATCTATATAACTTTCAACATACAAAAATAATTTGCCAATAATATAATATTTTATATCATTTAATAATGAATCCGTATAAAGAGAATGCTAAATTATCTTTGGATTAACTGATAGAAAAGAGAGTAAATCTATGATATTATTAAGTAAGTGTGGAACAGGGAAATATTAAATTTTGGCCTTATCTATTTTGGTTTTTATTGATTTAAATGATGGATGTGAATTGATATTGATGAGCTTTCTTATGCCCATCTTAAAAACTGAGTGGCAATTAACAAGCTTATAAATCTAAACCTTAACCAGCATTTTTTATTTGGGTAGAGTCTTCTATTTCAAAATAGTCAAGGAATGGTATTAGGTTCTTTATTGACTGGATTTGTTGCAGATCGAAAAGGCAGATTAAAATGTATTTACTTATCCTGCATCATATAATTTTTTATGGCAAACAGCTTTTTGCTTTGTACAAATTTTTATCATATGATTTTTGCAAGATTAGGATATGGTTTTGTTTATGGTATTTTGTACAATTAATTGACAAGGATTTTCAATTCCTTTAACTACAACTATGATATCTGAAATTACAGCACCTGATGTAAGAGGAAGATTTTTAATTGTTATAAATTTCTTTGTATCCGTTGGCAAAATTTATGCATTTTTATTGGCATTTTTATGTCTTGAGAATTTCAATAGAGGACACTGGAGATTAATGATGACTCTCAGTTCAACGACTTCTCTAATAGTAGGCATTTTGGCATGGATCTTTTTGATGGAGAGTCCTCGATATTTGATGGCTAGTGGTTAGGTAGTAGAGGGTTTAAATATCATCGAAGAAATTATCCACAAAAATGAAAACAATAAAGGTCTAATAAGTAGGATATTTAAAAGTGTATAACCAGAAGTATCATCGGATCCATTTAAAGGATCTAAGTAAAGTTATTATTTATAAGTTTTAGATATGGGTATATTTCAGCCAAAGAGAGAATAGCAATAGAAAAATGGGTAACTAAAGTATTTCGTTCTGAAAATAGAGGAACACTTAGAGAATTATTTAACAAAAATAATAAAAGCACAACCATTCGATTGTGGATAATATGGTTTTGTATTAATTTTGTAATTTGTGCTATAAATATTTTAGATGTATTTTGGATAGTTACTGATTTTACCATTCATTTTAGGATCTAAATAAAAAACATTTGTTGACTACCTAACAACCGTTTTAGGTGAAATTCCATCAATCATTTTATCATTGCTAATAGTAGAAATTCCTTTTTTAGGAAGAAGGAACACAATGGCAATCTCATTTTTTTTTGCAACAGTTATGCATGTTTGGTCTTATTATGCTTCTTGGCCATATTTTTTTGCCCGATTTTTTATGAAAGAATGTTGGGCTATGCTATATCCATACTCTACAGAGATATTTCACACTTCAAATAGGACTTTGGGATTTGGGAGCAGTGCTGCTGTTGGAAGAATAGGAGCTGCTATTTCTCCCTATATTCTCATACCCTTATTTGAATAGGAATTACATTTACCCTTTCTGGCTTTTGCTGTGAGTTCTGTTGTTTCTACATTCGCTACAATCACATTACCATATGATACAGTTGGTAAATCATTAGATTTTTAAAAGTAAATACATTTTTAGAGATATTTAGTTCGGATGGAGAGGTTGAGAGTAATAAAGAGGATGAAATTAAAGAAATTATGATGGTTTTAATTGAAAAGAAAAATTAGAACTGAAATAAAATTTATATTTATTTATTATTAAATGGATCCTAATGCTTAAATCAATGAGAGATACACAAAATTGCAAGAAAAATTGGGAGCTCTTCAATTCGAAGTTGACAACACAAAAGATGCAAAAATTGATGAAATTTATGACAGAATCAACAAAGCTTAGAGTGAATTGAAGGAAATTATCAATAATTACAGTGAATAACTTGTACTTAATTTTCATAAAATTAGGGATAATTGTCAGGTTAATTTCAAGAGCTTACAAAATAATTTGAAAAACAAAATGATTAATATAGTTCTTCGCATGAAAAAAAGTTAAAAGAAATCAAAAATTTAGAGAATAAACTCTAAAAAAAGTTAGATGATGACGTTAAAGCCAATAGAGAACAGAGTGAATAAGTATTGTCCAGCTATGATTAATAAGTAAATTTAAATTGAATAATCTCAAAGGTCTAAGACTTGCTTTAATAGATTGGATAAGAAATTAAAGTGAAAAACTAATAAGTTAACATTATTAACACAACTTTGCAAAATGACTTACCTGCATTATGGTAATATAATGTTTAAGAAAATTAAGAAAGAGTTTAAGAAGATCAATCTATTGTGAAAAAAGCAAGTTAGGAAATTTCCAAATTATTTGATTAAGCGAACCAAGGTAAATCATAAAGGTAATCATAATCTATATTTATTAACAGAGAAGATGCTGAAGTTGGTATATTCACTATGCTCAAAGAAGTTGTAATAAGAGTCAAAAGCGAATTAGAAGAAGAAAGATAATTAAGAATGGATGGCCATGAAGCCTTATTGTCAATCTTAGAAGAAGCCTATGATAAAATGGAAGAAACACATGCAAAAGTTTAAAAATAGAAGGCTGCCTTTTAAGAATCAAAATGATATATAATAGTCAGTTTAGTTTATCATTTTTCATAGAAATTGTTTTAATAATTAAGTTAATGATAATTTTAATATATAATAGCGATGTATTCAACCTCTTCGAACATAAACATTACGATCTAATCTTTTATTAGTTTGTTTTGCTTAATCCTATTTTTAGAAGCTTTCCAGAGTCTTCAAAAAGGCATCATCATTTATTTTTATTGTCTCTTAATTGTTTTAGTGATCTTTCTCACCAATAGTCATTCTTGTTTGACTTCCGTGAATGGCTCTACTGGCCTTTTTGTCATTGGTTTTATATAATTTTAATCTAAATGAGTCTTCTCCACTCTTTTACTTTAACAACTCATAATTGTATTAAAGATTTGAGTAATCTAACCAGAGTTCTTCAAAACCTTATTTTAACTTTTATTCTTATTCAGCAAAATTTTGAGCTTGGCTTTCGATAATAGTTTAAAGTTCGAATTCTTTATTTGATAATAATATATTAGCTTTTCTCTATTCATCAGCATGCTATTGAAAATGTTATTCAACAGATGAAACTTGGAGCCTCAAATCTTAAACTAATTCTTGTAATTATTAATTTTCCTATAATAAATGTGATATTTTTTAATCTTTCTGATTCAGTCTTTATTAAAGATTAGTAGTTAAATCGATATATTTTGTAGCTTCCCCCAATTAGATTTATAAAGCTTAGATTTCCCTAAAAATAAATTTTGTTTATTTACAATTTATAATTTCTCTCTAATATTTTCTTACTGTCTTCTACTTATTATAATTCTTTTCTTGTTTGATCATGTAATGACTCTGTATCTTGAAGCCTATCAATAATTGATAATAATTCTAAAATAATTAATAAGAGGTATACAATTGATTTTCACATTTGCTATTTCTGTTTCACATTTTAATTTTTAATTTTCATCTTAAATTTAAGAAAATCTATCTTTTTAATTAAGAATGTGATCTTATAATTGTTCGATAACTTCTTTTGAAGTTTTAACTTAATCCTCATAATTTGATGATATATTGTTTATTTAGGAAGAGTTTTACTTCTTTAGATGCTCAACTTATTTAATTAATTTAACTTCCTTTTCACTTTAATAATTTTCAAAGTAGTTTGATAATTACTCATTCTATTTAATATTTGAATTTATATTTACTTTTTCTAAGGCTTGCTTTAATTTAAATGTCAAGTCAGCCTCTCTTTTTTATAAGTCAAGAACCTTTTTATTAATAACTGCTTCTGTTTCATACATATTCCTGTCTTTTGAAATCGAATTTTTTCTAAGTTGATTAACCCTCTCTTCAGTGTCCTTAATTTACTATTTAAGTTGCTCTATTTCATGATCCTTTTTGTCATTTATGTCAAGCAAGGTCTTTATTTTATTATTACTTTCTAAGAATGTCTCTTCTAATTAATTTTGCAATCTAAAATAATTGATATTAAAGCATACAATTCATAATTTATATGAAGCTATTCAATCTTTTTTTATTACTCATTGTCTTTCAATAAAAATTAGATTATGTCTTATTTTAATCCGTCTTAGTCTCTTGCAACAGCTAATTAAAATGCATTCAATCTCTCTTAAAATTCTGTTTCCATATTTTTAATTTAAACATCTTTTTATTTAATCACTTTTTTTAAAGTTTCTAGATTATCAATCACTTCTATTGGGTCTAATTATTACAACTAGTTGGAATTATTAGCTTATTTCATAATAATAATAAAATTTATTTTTATTTAATAAGTTAAAATACAAAATAGTTTTTAATTATAAATTTTGTAAATAATCATCACATCTTTATACACATTAAGAAGATTTAAAAATTTACCTTATATTTTTAACTTTAAATGATCGAAATATGTTAAATTCATTAAATGCCCTTTCAAATTTGCATATTTTTTATGACGTTGATACTTGAATTTTAAGTAACATCTCTTATTCAAATACCATTAATTCCTCTCTTGTTTTTATTGTTCGTTGTTAAGTATAGTCAATTGACCTGGTTGTAGTGAAGAATTTCAAAAAAAATAAATGAAACAGTTCATATATAAACTTATTCTAAATAATCATAATCAGATTATTCAAGCCTTCCATAATAAGAAATACAATTCTTTGTGTTGATAAAAAATGTATTTTTTTGTTTAATGAATTACGTGACTTCCAAAGTTTCTACCAACAATGCAATTCCAACCAAATTAATCAAATTTATCAAATTCATACTTAATATGATGAGCAATTTGTTTCTCTGTTCTAAACTATTGCATAGCTGATTATGTAATATCTGTAACTTTTTTAATGAAATCTTCATCCATATCTGTGGCCTTTATTTAGAGCTTTATTTGTTCCATTCTTATTATTATATTAATATATATTAAATAAATAAATATTTTGAATAAATTAAAAAAAAGTGTTTTCAAAATTTGTATAAAATTTAGATTTCAAAAATAATAAATTACTTAAAATCCGTAAAAATATTTCAATTATCTTCAATTTGTACTTTTTATATTGCATATTTTCAATGAAATCAATATCATGCAGACCACCAAGTACATTCTATAATATCCATACTTTTATTGGCTTTATTGTAAAGTACTATTTAATAATAAGCTGAAATACAAATAAATAAATGTTTGTCTAATTATTAAATGGTCTTGTAATTTTTTATAAGTTATGAAAATTCAATGCTACTTACCAAAAGAAGAGCAAAAATTAAATCACAAACTCTTGATTATAATATTAATTATTCTTTATATGATTAATCAAAAATCTGTGATGAACTTTAAAATTGTTAGGATAATTTCCTTCTTAGAAATTTAGCCAAAGTATCTATTTATTTGGATGGGTATACATTTTACATTATTCCTGATCTTCAACCACAAATTTGATAAGCTTGTGAATGCTAAAATGGCGAAATTACCATTTGAAATGATATTTCCTTTCTTTTTTCAACTTAATAAATTCAATATTTTTGCATTTTTCAACATCCCATAATGTGTAGGATGATGATCATTACAAAATGATTGTATTTTAATAGGACAGAGAATTAAATTTTGAGAATATTGTGTATAACCAGTTTTTATTAGATATATTTTAGGTGATTTCTAAACGGGATAATAAAGAGAGGGCTCAAAAAAGGTTAAAGAGTTTAAGGGATTTGCTATTGATTGAAATTATATTAATGATATTATTAATTAATTTTGAAGATGCTTTGTGATTTTATAAGGACTTTTTAGAACTCTTACAACAAATTCATATCAGAATAATATTAATCATGGAAAAAGTAGGAATTCTAAATGGAGATGGACCTGATTCAAATTCCAACTCTTTTCATATCGTTTATAATAATCTTAATAAAATTGATCATTAACAAAAGTGATTCGGAACTTTATATTCAACTAAGTATTAACTGCTTTTCACATTTATTTTTGGGGATACTCATCAAAAAGAACCATTCTTGTAAGGCTATCATGACTCATATAATTAGAATTTGTTAAATAATTCTCATTAATTGGTATTGTCTATATTTTTATATGTCGAACCCTTCATTTTTATTGATTTACACCACATTTAATGTAATTTAGTTTAACATGGCTTATACAATATTAGTAAAATTGGTAACATTAGGAATATGCATGGGAGGGTATCTAGTATCAGTTGAAGATAAATCTTATGAATGTTTGGGATTATTTATTCTTATAATGATTATACACATGATACGAAGAGAAGGAAATCTAATGTCATTTTATTCAAAACTCTAAGCATTGTTTCTTATAATAGATACAATTCCATCGGCAATGTGTATTGTCTAGAAAAACAAAAGCTAGTTGCTTTATTCAAATAAAAGCTTTGAAAATCTATCGTTAACACTAGAGGGATCGAACAATTCTGATACTGATCAGTCACCTGACAGATTCATAAATTATTAAAAATTATAATTGCATTTCTTATCTAATCTCCAATTAACTGAATTGAATTAGTAAGGAATATCAATTATAGATTTTGACGATGAATTGCAGATTGATTAGTATAAGATAAGAAAAGTGAATTATAAAAAGGAAGCTCTAAGTCCAGAGTGTGGATCTAGGTAGTTGATTTTTAATTTGAGCGATAACCCTCCAATCAATAAAAAGATATAATATAAATAGGAATTCTTTTCGTCATTTAAAATGAAAGATGATGAATAGGTACTCAAAAAATAGTATACTGCTGATATATCCTTATAAGTAGAGCTTAGGCATCAACCCTATATGTGTACATTAAGTTCGAAAAAGAAACAGAGGAAGAGATCATCAAATAGACTCAGTATTAATAGGCCATCAACACCTACAAGTGGTAAGTTATCTTTTGAGTAGATGTTGAGGGACAATAATAATCAAAAGAATCAAAATTCATCACCATCAACAATGAATCATGATATGAAGTTCTTAATTCATGTGATAGAAAATTATAAATTATTTGATGAAGAGGACGATTTCCAAATATTTTTTGTTCATGAATTGAATCCAGTTCTTCTGAAAACTAGTTTAAAAAAATTAGAATCAGTCAAGAAGAATTTATTAAGATCAATATCTCATGAGATGCTAACAAATTTGAATGCAGCGTATGGTTACATAAAACAATGTTAGGATAGATTATTAAAAGGAGAAGAGATGTCAGAATTATTGGCTTGTGCATTAAGATACACAAAATTGCAATTATTCAAAGTGCAGGATTTTTTTGATTACAGATATTTATTAGACAATAAATTAAAATTGAGGGAAGACAAATTTGAATTGATTAATGCTATTACGGAATGTGTAGATTTAATTAAAGATTAGATATATAGAAAATAGTTGAGTTATTAATTAGATATCCCTGAGAATTGTGCATACATAGTGAAAGGAGATCGATAGAGGTTTTGTCAAGTTATATTGAATTTATTAACGAATGCTATAAAGTTTACTATTTAAGGTGGAATAACTGTAGAAGTGAAAAAAAAGAAAAATTCTCCGTCTTGCTTTGGAATTATTGATGAGGTCTAGTCTTAATTGTCGTAAGAAGATTCGAATATTTTGGAAATTTACATAAAAGATAGTGGTCTAGGTATGGATGAGGATGAATTGGTGACTCTGAGGAAGAAAGTAAGTTTAGTATAAATATAAATAGTTACATGTTGCAGATGAAGATGAAAAAGTATCAAAATATTCTGTTGGTGTTGGTTTAGGTTTATCAGTTTGTAAATCAATAATCCGATAATTAGCCCCAGAAAATTCTAATCTATTATTTGTTGATTCTGTGAAGGATAGTGGATCATCATTTTATTTTAGTCTAAGGTATATTGAAGAGAAATCCTCGATACAAAAATCGTAATAATTGACTATCCCATATTAAGATGCGTAAAGTGCGTCTGTGAAGGTCCTAAATTACAATAAAGGTCATCAATTGGCTGCAATAAATATATTTAAAAGGAGCAATTCTAATGATTTGTCAATTGAAATTCCTAAAAAGAGATAGGATCAATGTAATTGTGAGACCATTTTGATAGTCGATGATGAGCAATTTAACATTGATATTATTGCTCACATAATAAAAGAAATGGGATTCTATACAGAAACTGCCCTTAATGGTAAGTAAGCAATAGAAAAAATCTCTAAGAAATTATAGGATAAATGTAGTGGAAAATGCACTGGTTATCATTGTATATTGATGGACATAAACATGCCTTTGATGAGTGGATGGGAGGCTGTTTAAATCATTCGGTAAATGGAATGTGAATTATAATTGGTAAAGGCAATTCCTGTAGTAGCTGTAACTGCTTTTTGTAGCATATAGGACTAAGAAAAGAGTATTAATGAAGGTTTCGACGGAGTAATAATCAAGCCAGCTACTAAAGAGAAGATCAAAGGGTGCTTCGAAAATCTAAATTTATGACTATAGAAATTGTATATGAATACATAATAATATGATAATTAAGTTAGATGTTTCTTAATTCATTATTATACATATTTTTCAATATTCACAATTTATGCTAGGTAATCCTTCAACTGTATCAGATAGATCAATCGATAGCAAATCTAACCTTCTTGGTCAGTCTTCATATAGTCAGAAACCTATTGAGTTTATTTTGATCCTTCGCTCAGGAATCGAAATGAAACTACAGACTTTTCCAAGAAGACATAGTCCTCGAACTTTTAGAATATCAAATCATTCAGATCTGAAGTAGATTTCTATTGTTTAGAGTAGTGTTTACTTTTTGTGTTTGTTTTTGTTGGTCATTATCTTTAAAACATTTGGTAATGACGAGTAAGTAATCTAGATTGGTGAGGGGATTGGAAGGGTCTTCTTTTTATAACCAATTGATGTCTTCTTTCTAAAATGAAATAAGAAATTACTAATTGGTTGTGTAAAATGGGAACGAGTTGTGGAGCCAAATTAAGAATCCTCTCATTTATAAATAAACCTATTTTCTTGGGTGTTTAAAAGATGTGTTGTAGTTGTTGATGTTACTTATTGTATTGTTGTGATTTAGTATCGACATAATGCAGGATTTCACCAATGGCATTGCTCCTATTGATGATTAAATTCTAAATTACTTAATTTCACCAATATTTAATATTGTAGTAAAACCAAAAACATTGTCTTCGTCTTCTTGTCCGACCATGGTTCCCAATTCAACTTGATCACAAATGATGTTGGCCAACTCAGAGGATTTAAAGCTTATTCCCTCCAGATAGCCATTGATGAATGATTTGATAGAGTGAAATTATTTTTGATTTGGATCGAGGAATACAAAGTCCAGATTAATTTCCTCTTCCATATCTCCCTTATTATGCACATTTATTGGTTGTTCGATTTCCTCTTCCTCTGAATCCTCATCTTCATAATCCCTTTATTTTCTCTTGTCTTAATTACCTTAATTCATTAATTTTAATAGTGATCAATAAATGGATCAAACCAAGAAGAAGATAAAAACTAATACAATTACTCTCCTCCCCCCTGATACAAGAGTATTCGTGACTCTATTTAATCCTTATGGAGAGGAAGCCTAAAAATCCTTGGAACTCTCAGTGAACACAACCAAAGAAGAATTGCAATAAATTTTATAATCATTGGTCAAAACTGAGGAAGATCAAGTTTACACCTTTTTCCACAATAACATTGAATTGGTCGACACATTAAACTAGTTAATCGCTTCAGATCCTGAATACAAACTGGAAAATACCTTTTCTCTCACATACCATCCCTAATCACTCTTTCGAATTCAGCCTATCACCCGTCAAACAGCCGCTTTAGAAGGCCATGAACAACCTGTGCTATGTGTTCAATTCAGAACTCACGGAGATGTCTTGGCAACAGGTAGTGGTGACACAACCATAAGATTATGGGATATGTTGACAGAAACTCCAATTGCCACACTCAAAGGCCATAGGAATTGGGTATTGTGCTTAGCATGGAGTCCTGACTGCAAATACATAGCCTCTGGTAGTCATGATGGCTAAGTTTGCATATGGGATGTTGAAACCAATCAATTAAAAGGGTAACCATTAATAGGACATACCAAATGGGTAACTAGTATAGCCTGGTAGCCAATGCATCTGGATGAAGAATGCACCTTGGTGGCTTCCTCATCAAAAGATGGAAGTGTAAGAATCTGGAGCAGAACTTCATTGTCTTGTTTGATATCCATCAATGCTCATTAAAAAGCAATTACAAAGTACATCTCTTATTAAATCTAGAATGCTCTGGGGTGGTTAAGGATATATCTATACTGCATCAGAAGACACCACAATCGGTGTATGGAATAAATCAGGAAAAAGAGTCTAAGAACTCAAAGGTCATGGCCATTGGGTCAATTCTATTGCCCTGCATACTGATTACACTCTAAGATGTGCTTGTTTTAGTGAAGGAAACATTGAAATCAACAGGAAATAAGCTAAGGTGCTTTATGATAAGATGTTAAGTGGTAAAAACGAGAGACTTGTCAGTGCGAGTGATGATCAAACTTTGATGTTGTGGGAATATACATCATCGAAACCAAAGGTTAGAATGACTGGACATCAATAATAAGTGAATCATGTATAATTCTCACCAGATGGAAGATATATCGTTTCAGCTAGTTTTGATAAGAGCTTGAGAATTTGGGATGGGTACAATGGAAATTGGATTGCTACTCTGAGAGGTCATGTAGGCTCAGTTTATTAAGTTTCATGGTCTAGTGATTCTCGATATATGTTGTCAGCTTCCAAGGACTCTACCTTGAAATTATGGTCTTTGTAAAAAAAGAAGTTGGCCTTTGATTTGCCAGGACATGCTGATGAAGTCTATGCTGTTGATTGGGCTCCAATAGGAGGAGAGAAAGCTGGAAGTGGGGGCAAGGATAGAAGGGTTAAAATATGGAGACATTGAACTTCTTTTTTTCTTGTTAATATTATATTAATGTATATATATATGGATGATATTAAAATGAGTTTATAAATTCTTAAAAAACATAAATATCTTTATTATATAAATGAGTCATCATCCTAAGGCACACGATATAGCTAAAGTCGCAGCCGCTAGGTTGAATGCAGCTGCAGCTACAAGAAATTATAATGTGACTCCAAGAGTGGATTATAGAACAGTGGTGAAGGTGGATGGCCCACTAGTTATTTTGGACAATGTCAAGTTCCCAAGATATGCAGAAATTGTTAATGTTTGTTTGGGAGATGGATCAGTCAGAAAAGGGTATTGATCTATTTTAATACTTTTAGATAAGTGTTGGAAATAGCTGGTAAGAAAGCAGTCGTACAGATCTTTGAAGGCACTTCAGGTATCGATAATTTGTACACACATTGCGAATTCACTGGTTCAACACTTTAAATGCCAATTTCTGAAGAAATGCTTGGAAGAGCTTTCAACGGATCAGGAGTTCCAATTGATAAAGGCCCCCCTGTTTTGGCTGAGGAATTCTTAGATATTCAAGGATAACCAATTAATCCATTCTCTAGAGTTTATCCTCAAGAAATGATTCAAACAGGTATCTCAGCCATCGATTGTATGAACTCAATTGCCAGAGGATAGAAGATTCCATTGTTCTCTGCTAATGGTTTGCCTCATAATGAAATAGGAGCGTATGATTCTACATCTATAAATCTAGTTAAATTGTGCGTTAAGCTTCATTAGTCAAGGGTAAAGATGTTCTAGACCATTCTGATGAAAACTTTGCAGTTGTATTTGGTGCTATGGGTGTCAATATGGAAACAGCTAGATTTTTCTAAACAGATTTCGAATAAAATGGTTCAATGGAAAGAGTCGTCTTGTTCATGAACTTGGCTAATGATGCCAACAATTGAAAGAATTATTACTCCAAGATTGGCATTAACAACAGCAGAATATTTGGCTTACGAAAAGGAATTGCACGTGTTGGTTATCTTAACAGATATGTCAGCCTATGCAGATTCTTTAAGAGAAGTCTCTGCAGCCAGAGAAGAAGTGCCAGGAAGACGTTCCTTCCCTGGTTATTTATATACAGATCTTTCCACCATTTATGAGAGAGCAGGTAGAGTCTAAGGTAAAAATGGATCAATCACTCAAATCCCAATCTTGACAATGCCTAATGATGATATCACACATCCAATCCCAGATCTTACAGGATATATTACTGAAGGATAAATTTTCATTGACAGATAATTGAATAACAAGTAAGTTTACCCTCCTATCAATGTCTTGCCCTCATTATCAAGATTGATGAAATCTGCTATTGGTAAGGGTATGACCAGAGAAGATCATCCTGAAGTCTCAAATCAAGTATTTATCCATTTTAACATTAACTATAGTTATATGCCAATTATGCCATTGGTAAGGATACAGCAGCCATGAAGGCAGTCGTAGGAGAAGAAGCCTTGTCTGCTGAAGATCTTTTGTATTTAGAATTTTTGAAGAAATTTGAAAATAACTTCATCAGTTTAAGGAGCTTATGAGGTTCGATCAATTTTCAAATCCCTAGATTTAGCTTGGAGATTGTTAAGAATCTTTCCTCCTGAAAAATTAAAGAAAGTAACTATTTATTTTATTCTGATTAGATTAACAAAAGAAATCTTGAAACCTTTTATTACAGAAGAAAGGAAGATGAGGAAGACTTTGATGGACCCCAATAATAATAGTAAGAAAAATGAGTATGATATATAGTCGTATCAAATAAATATCAATTCTAATCTATATAAAAATTATTGTTACATAATTTTTATGAATATTTAACATTTGCAATTTATCTTAATTTATTAGAGGTTGTAGTATCTACAATATAATACTCTCTTTAAAAGAAGTTGAAAATAAGTAGAGTGCTGCTTTTTTAAAATAACTTTATGATTGCTTATACAAGTAATCTGGATTAAAATTTGAGTTTAAAATGTTTTGAAATGAGTTTAAATTTTACGTAAATTTCTATGGAATACATAATCCAGAATTGACGATAATTGACTTTAATAATAAAGTAAATTGGTATCAAGTAGAAATATGCATTAATCATTAATAAAACTATTTAATTTTATTAACATATTTTTTTGTAATATACTGATTTATTCGATCAAATAATTTCTACAAATGCCTTTGGATGTTAGAAAGTTGTTTATTTTGGAATAACAACTGCTGCACCTCTTGGTTGAACTGGTTATCGCTTTGTTGAAATGACTTGCTTATTCTTCTTTGCCTCAGTCTTTTTCTTATCGTTTTCTTAGACTCTCTTGACAAATTCTTATCTGCATTTTGATGGTCTCAAGTGATCAGCTCTAACATGAAAACGCTTTTCGACATATCTTCCTCTGACTCTTCTTTGTAATGAGACACCAATTCCTCTTGGATTGACATTGAATACTCTTGCAGTTCTGCCGTGATAATATTAAAATGGAACACCTTTGTGTTAAGCACCATCAACCAAAATATCAACAAAATCACCTTGAGATTATTAACTAAGACTTACCTCTTTTGAAAGTTTAAAGGGTTTTTCTTATTGATATGTTTCCATGTCCTCTGAAAGGTTTGGCAAACTTGCTTCTGGTACCCTTTTTCAAACCATAACTGTGAGTCATATTTGATAATTTAATTTATGGATTTGCTATCACATTTAAATATATATATTTAACATAATATATATATATAATCTATATGAATAAATCCATCTCATCCAATATTCATCTTTCTGACTTTTATTGCATCTTGTTTGTCTGCCAATTCTCTCAGTAAAGGCTTGTTATGCATCAATTCTTCATTATTCATTTTATTTCTGGGTCTCTACTAAGATTTTCTCTCATCTATTTATTATTTTAGGATATCTTAGTGCTTCAAATTTACATCCTTTATGTAATTATGTTTTTATTTTTCATGTGTTTAATACATCTATAAATCTTATTACCAAACCTAAGCCTATTTTCTATTTAAATCTTCCTCTTCCTTTATTTTCTATCTTAAATAATCATATTATATTTACTTTTTATCTTCCATTTGCTTGATTAAATACTATCTCATTTCCTATTGCTACTATTTAATTTGTCTCTTTTTGTAATCCTCATCATTTTATTCAATTTAATTTTACATAAGAATAGCTTTCATCATCTTATCATCTTCAGCCCTAATTCTAGATAAGATAATACTTAATTTGATCTTTCTGATTCTTTACTACAGTTTATGAAAAATCACTCATGATCTTCTTGATTTTATCTTCTCTCTCCTTCTTTTCTAATTCTCTCTCCTATTCTAATTTTTATTGTAAATCTATATATTTCCTTTGCATATCAATTTCTAATTATTTTTCAGCTATTTCATCATGAATTTACTTCTATCTATTTTTTTCATTTTCTTCCATCATCTCCATAAACTTTCTCTTCTCTATCTCCTTCTTTTAAAGTATTTCCCTCTACTCCTATTTCAATTCTTCTTAAATTCTTTAAACCAATACTGCATCTTATTCCGATTATCTCTTTTTCTCTAAGAATCTTCTCTTCTCCTCTTCCCTCACTTGTCTGTCTCTTTGCTCTTTCTCCATTTACTACTTTCTTTCCTTCTCTCTCTTCTTCTAGTCTTCTCTTTGATCGTACACATTCATTTAGTAATCCCTTAACTTAACATAGGCTTCTTCCTACTTCTTCTCCCCTTCTTGCCTTCTTCTTTTCTCCTCCAACTATCTATCAAGTTCTGACTTCATTTTCTTTTTAAACTCAGCTTACCTCTATGATTCTAGCTATCTTTCCTTGGTGTGTAGTTCTGTATCAAACTTGACCAAAGCAGCCCATTCATCCTCCTCATCAACCACATAAACTGATTTTGGTGGTTTTTCAAATTGTGAAGACGTTACAGAATATTAATCGGGATCTCTTTCAGATCTCACAGAATTCTTAACAGATTATGGTCTGAGGTTTTGTGATTTCTATTCACTTCTGTTGTCAAATTAAATATTTTAGGATGGGTTTTATTATGTTTAACTTTGTTGTTTTTATTTTTGAATAGCCTCCTACACTCTCGCTTTCAGTTATTTTAAGGAATTCTCTGTGACCTAATATTTTTTATGCTTGATACTTGCTCATTTGCGAAGTATTCATTAACTATTTACGAAATTAACACCTCTTTATTCTTGTTACCCTAAGCAAAATCTTTTGAAAATTTGCTAATCAACATTTCTCTCAATTGCTCCCTTTATTGGATCAACCCAGCCCTTTCAATAGCTGATTTGACTCTTGCTGAACCTGATCGAACTGTTTTGCTTTTCTGAGAGTTGTTCATTTTTATATTAAAATAATTTGTAAAATCATAGACTCTCAATAAATAAGTGTATGCATATCTCTCATCTCGTTTAATGCTGCATCATGATAATTGAAGAATTAGAATAAAAATTCAAAATTGTCTCCTTTCACTAAATAGCATCTATCAGTTACACTATCAATTTTATTGAATATTATTTACTTAAATTTTAAAAGATGTTAAAATGACATTATTATTACCCCTTGCTTAATCCTTCAATTCATTCTCTTCTAATTTTCTTGAATCATCTAAATAAGCTATGAGATAAACCATATCAGAATTAAGTATCTTTTAACTATAAATTTAGAGTTTTGAAGCCAGGAGATAGAGATCTCTATTTTTTAGTTTATCATCAATAGATTTAACATCAAAAGAATAATGATAGTAGTAAAAGTAAATCTAGGAAGAGAGTTATAGATTTATAAAACATAGAAGTAAAGATAGTTATTTAAGGTTATTTAATTTTGTGACAAAAAAAACTATTTTATCATAATTTTAGCATTTTCTTAAGATAATATACAAATAAATAATTCTATCATGAAGTCCCATTGACATCTTGATATAGTAGACTTTCATTATCTTTTACTTCAACCTTTTTTTGGCAGCACAAAGCAGAAAGCCAAATTTACTTTATGTTCAACACCTGGCTAAAAGCTAATATAAAATAATTTTACTTGTAATTGTAGAGAAAAAAACCTAAAACTATAATTAAATGCAATTCAAAAATTAAATTAAATAAGACATAAAAAGCGTAAGGCCAATCATTGAATACAATCCATTTAACAAAAACATCTATAATATCAGTATATCTATTTTAAAATAAATAATACCTTATGATTTAATTAACGAACCAAGCTAATCCATATATTATAGGAAATACTTAAAGATGTTAGATAATTTCAAATTCTTCATCTTAAAATGTGGATAGATGGATTGCAGCTAATTTTTGATTCTAAAGTAGTAATATAATAGAAAATTCTTACTTTTCTTGCTATGATGATTCCACTCACAAAAATAATTATTTAAGGAATTGTCCAGAATATTAAATAGATTTTCCAGCTTTTGCTAAACCCACAAAAAAAGTATTATATGCAATCCTTTTTAAAAGAGTTCCATCCTGTTGGAATAAATTCATCTTATAAAAATGGAAAAAGTAACCAAAGATACGAAGTAATCCAAAATAAAAATATTACTTTAAATAAATTTTTAGATAAAGTTTCGTACAAATTATCAACCTATATTTAAAATCATTATACCTTTAATAATAATCTCAACTAATAGATTATTAAGAGGCAGCAACAAAATGATGAGAGCCAACTTGAATGCATTATGTATCCGATTATATTGCATTATTTTTCTAAAGTCTCCTGTTACATAAAGAATCTATTATAAATAAATGCTAAGGCCAAATCTATGCATTCAAATAGGGATTAAAAAGAGATTAATCTAAAAGTCCAAAAACTTCTTTTGCTGCTCAATATGCATGTTAGTCCTATGAAGCTCGATGAAAGAAAGGACATTAAAATTATAATCATCCTAGAGTAGTATTAAAGTTTAAAATTGGCTGGGTTGCATATAGGTACCTCTTCATCTTAATTGTAAAAATCAATTGTAGAATAATAATTCATCATTGATTTCAATAAATTTTATTATTTAATCACATAAATTACAAACACAACACAATAGTTGTAATATTTGTTTAATTTAAATTATGGATTAAGATTAATCAATCAAATTGGAGGACATTCATTATACAAATTTCACAGACTATAGTTAAATACCCAAAATTATGCCTATGATTGATGCTGAATTATCTGAGCCCTATTCTATTTACACTTATAGATATTTTTTATATGGGTGGCCAGATCTGTCTATTTTTGCATATTATAACAATGAAATTATCGGGGTGAGTTGTTTAATCAAATCCTTAGGTTGTAATTGGAAAATTAGATAAGCATAGTAAATCTGGCAGAAACAGGGGTTACATAGCTATGATTGTGGTAGAAAAGAAGTATAGACGCCTTAGAATAGGAAGAATTTTGGCATAAAAATTTATTGACAAAATAAAAGAAAAAGGTTTGAATTGATATTTAATATTGTAATAAGGTGGTGATGAAATAGTGTTAGAGACCGAATAAACAAATCATGCAGCGTTGAGATTGTATGAGTCTCTGGGTTTTGCCAAAATGAAAAGAATGCAAAACTATTACATGTCAGGAAATGACGCATTTCGTTTGAAATTGTTCCTGGTGGATCCTCTAGATTCCCATTAAAAAAGTGAATGAGTATACAAGAAAATGTTAAAGTTTTATGAAGTAATCATATACTATATATATTATCAATGAGAACCCTGAAGAGAGATCATGTAAATCAATCTTCGTAATCTGAAGTACAGATTAGTATAGTTGTGTCTAAATCTTACTGCGCTTCCAAATTCTCTTTTTTACTTTAATTCAACAAGTCCTCCATAACCAAATGATCTTTGAGGTATTCCCAATTTTTCAGAACCGCAATTTGGTCAAGCATAATACTTTCTTTTTTATTGATGATCTCATTCATACTTTTTATATTATTATTTTAATCTAAAATCAGAACAATTTAATTACAGCATTTATCGATTTTAACAGTACTCATAAAATTAATTCAATCATATTATTTATAATCAATCATTTACCTTCATTTTATTACAATTAATTAGTAAAATATTTAAATTATTGAATATTTCTTATATTCTATTACTTAAGTCAAATTATGGATAAACAAAGCAGAGAAAAATCATATCCTGATAATACCCATTAATATATTTTATATACGATAAATATTGGGTATAATTTAATTTTGTCTTTTGAAAAAAACACTTATCTTTTATATTTCTATTACTTTTCAAACATCTTTAGTTTAGAAATAAATTAAGATTTTTACATTATAATTTGATTATCAAAGGATTAGATTAAATATATAAAATGACTAATCAATTAGCATACTTTTTAGTCCATTCCTTTGCTTTTTATAAATAAGCTGCTTTGTCATTCTTAAAAATGGTATTAACATCTTCAAGTAGTGGACTATTAGGATTTGGATCATAAAGCAATGCTAGAATACTTAAGAGTACTAAAATGTAGATTAAAACTTCATACACTTTCTAATAGTTAGGTTTGGAGACCAATTTTATCCCAAGATCTCTAGACAAATTTACCCTGTATTATAATCAATGTTTAAATGATAGATAGAAGTCAGAAATAATATTTTTGGAGATTTTAATGGATAATCTTCTGGAAACAATACATCTAGAGTAAAATTTCCATTTTCATAAGAGGATCCTTGGGGTCCAGAAAAACAAATTTTCCAATGAAATAAATTATTGTCGTCCAAAATGCTGATCAAGAACCCATTCAGAGGTTCATCTTGAAGATTTTACAGTTCTTTTTTAATTCTAGATATTGAACTCATTGTATATTATTAATAATAAAATAGTCTTGTACAATAATGTAGATGTATAATCTGTTTATATATAAATATTAATTGATAATTCTAGGAGGCTGATAAAAACTGATAAATAAAGAAGTCATAAATATAGGTCAGAGGAGAATAAGTCAAAATAAGTTAAATTTATATAATATACAATGTCAGAAATGGAAGAGAATTTGTAAAATGAAATGAATATAGTAATTAATATTAGTTAACTCGAAATAATTATTTAATATATATAGAATAAAACAAATGTTGAGATTGAATTTTTTACTCATATTAGCTAATCAATATTTAGCAGTTTTGATAAATGTGGAGGAATCTTGCACTTGTAGTTAAATAAAATCGAAGTCTGATTGCGCAAACATTGGGTGTCGATGGGATAATGATAAATGTGTCCAAAATGATTAAACAGAAAATGAGGATACCATAAGTGTATATTGCAGATCATTTGATTAAGCAACATGTCCAAAGATGAAAGGATGTGCTTTTGTTGATAATAAATGTGAATAATTTAGTGGTTGTTCTGCTTATATTGGCAGTACAAATGATTTTTGTCAAGAGATCTCATTATAATGTACATCAAATGGGAATGTGTGTTAGGATCCACAGAATTGTGGTGAATATAAGAATTAGATATTTTGTAATCAGAATATCAATATTTAAGGAGGTTAATGTAAATGGGAGAACAACTAATGCAGAGATTTAAGATGCATAGAAGCAAGTAGTGAATTGAAAACGGATTAAGATTGCAATAAATTTAAAATAGGATGTTTTACAAATGGCAAGGGATGTGTGGAGATTAGAAGCGAATGCTCTTCATATGGAATTACTGATTGTAATCAAATGATAGGAAGTGATGGTTATTGTGCGAGGACAGCAAGTGGTTGTGGTGCAAGATAGTGCTAGTCTGCTCCTAGTGATTATAATAGTGATGAGCAATGCGCAAGATATCAGTTTGGATGTATTACAACAGGTAAGGGATGTTGGTTGAAACCATTGCCAACTTGTGATAGTTATGTTGGAAATGATTGCAATAAGATGACAGGTTCTGAGGGATTATGTGACAATGGATCATCAAATAAATGTTAGTCAAGGAAATGTGAAAATGCACCTACTACCTATAATACAGATGAAAAATGCAAGGAATATTTGAGTTCATGTATAACCAAAGGAAGAGGATGTGATACTTCTTTGAAATTATGTAGTTTCTATACAGGAACAGCTGAGGAGTGTAATTAGTACATAGGAAGTGATGGTAGATGTACTTTAGGTACAAATGGGTGTAAAGCAAGAGTTTGTGAAGAAGCTTAATTAAAAACAGATCGAGAATGCAACGAATACTAAAAGGGTTGTGTAACTGATGGAGTGAATTGTTTAAGTAGTAGAAAATTATGTTCAACATATAATGGAACATCAACAACATGTTCTAAATACGAAGGGTCTGATGGAAGATGTTATTCTAAAAACACAGTTGAGGGAAATTGTTCAAATTTGGTATGTACTGATGCTCCTTCTGAATACAAGACACATGAATAGTGTATGTCATTCTAAGGTGATTGTTTGTCAAATGGCGAAGGGTGTGTGAAAAAAACAGATTGTGTATCTACTATTAAAGAGTTCACTTGTAAGGCTACTGCTTCATGTTAATGGAATCAAATTTGTGTTACCAAAACCAATTGCTCATATTTTAAAAGCATTAGTTTGTGTAATAATAATTTGGGAAATGGCTAACCTTGTTTTTGGGTTAATGGTGTTTGCAGAATTAGATTATGTACTGATGCTCCTTCATCATATACAACTAATGATTAGTGCAAGAAGTTTTTAGCAGGATGTGTTACAAATTCATAGGGATGTCTCCCATCCACAGTCCCTTGTAATTAGTATTAAGGAACAACAGAGACTTGTATCAATTTCTATGGGAATGGGTTGAAATGCACTAGCACTAGTAGTGTAAAGGGAGCTTGTGAAGTTCTGCTATGCACAAACAATACAACAGCAAACAATTAAAAATAATGCGATGACTTTTTGAGTGGATGCAAATTTTAGGGTAGCTCTGGTTGTATTGATAAATCTGCTGATTGTAATTAATATACTGGCAATTAAGAAGCATGTTCCCAGCATTCTGGAATAAATGGAACAATTAAATGCTATTAGGATACAGGAACCACTGGACCATGTAGACATTTAAAATGCGGAGATAACATAACAGCTACTACAAATGAATAATGCACATTATTCTTAAGTACATGCGTATCAAAAGGATTAGGGTGCATTGATCAAACAGAACCATGTACATCATATCCTGGAAGTAACACTACTGACTGCTCAAAATTCAAAGGCTTAAATAACACAAAATAATGTTGGTGGATAAGTGGAACTAGCTGTGTAAATAAGGAATGTGCATAAGATACTGCATCAACAAAGAATGAATAATGCGAATAGTTTTTATCTGGATGTGTTACAAAAGGTATTGGATGTATTGAAAACACAGAACCATGCACTTAATTTTAAGGAGATGAAGCTTAATGTTCAAACTTGATTGGCAATGGGTATCCTTGTGTTCGTAAAAGTACATGTATGGATAGGAGTTGCTCAGATGTAATTAATCCTGCAAACAATGATTAATGTACAGAATATTTGTCAACTTGTAGGTTTAATGGATTCGTGTGCATAGATGCTTAAATTTCATGTACATCATATATTGGTTTGAACTATTAAATTTGTTAATAGATAACGACAATCTCTGGTGGTAAGTGTTATTTAGCAAGTGGCACAGGTACATGCTAAACAAGAAGTTGTACACATTTAACATCAGCATCCAATTAAAGTGATTGTGATCAATTCTTATCTGGATGCATCTTTAGTGGTTCGAATTGTGTTGCAAAGTAGAATTTATGCAGTTCGTATTTAAACTTCTAGCCCAATGCTTGTGAGAAAGCAGTAAGTCTATCAACTGGATTATGTTGGAGATCATCAAATTCAATTGGAGCCTGCATGGCGAGAACATGTTCAAGTGTTACGAGTGTGTTAAACCCTTATTCATTCTCACAATAATTTTGTACTCAATACTCTGATGGCTGTGTTTATGATGGAGTAAAATGTGTGGACAAGTAATCTAGTTGTACTTCGTATACCAGTTTTGTTTAATCAGCTTGTAAAACAGCGATTAAACTTTCTGGCGAGAATTGTTGGTTGGAAAATAGTGCTTTGACAACATGTGAAAGTAGATTATGTAGTGATAAAGTAACTAGTTCAAACTCAATTACTTGCTAGGCTCACAAATCTTCTTGTAGATATAATGGTACTATTTGTGTTGATGCACATACAGCATGCAATTTATATACATCTTTCACTTAGTAGGCTTGTAAAGATGCGATATTGGCAGATGGGGTTACTAAGTGTTGGAGAACATCAAATTCAGTTGGAACATGTGAAGACAGGTAATGTACTAATGTGACAGTTGCAACCACTACTTAGAAATGTTTAGATCATATGAGTACATGCAGATTCAATGGTTCATCATGTGTTATTCAATAGACTAATTGTAATGGATATGTGGGATTCACATCTGAAGCATGTAAATAAGTAACAACGACTTCAGGAGGTCTATGTTGGATTCCAGCGACTGGATCTACATAATGCAGTGACAGAACTTGTAGCAATACAATAGATATTACAAGTGCTATTAGTTGTCCATAACATCTCGCTAGTTGTAGATATAATGGAGTGGACTGTGTAAATCAACAAGCTTCATGTAATTTATACACAGGATTCACCAAATTAGCATGTTAATCTACTACAACTATTGGTGGCACTCCTTGTTGGAAACAAACAAATGATATAGGAACATGTGAAGATAGGAGTTGTTCAAATACAATTGAGAATCCCAATTATGTAAATTGTGGAATTCATTTGTCTACATGTACTTATGATGGTTAGAATTGTTATGTAGTTTAAATTTCTTGTAATCTATATGTGGGAGTGAGTGAAACTTAATGTTAGAATTTAAGAACTACAGCTGGAGACAGGTGTTGGTTCGATTCAGGTAATTGCGTATAAAGAACATGTACTTAAAACTAAAGTGGAATGACAGATTTGGAATGTGATTCATTTTTACCAGGATGCAGAACCAATGGCAAGGGTTGTGTTGATGCTTCATAGACTTGTTCATAATACAGAGGAACTAGTTCTAGTTGTTTGACATTTGTGGGTAATTCAATCAAATGCAAAGGGTAAGATTCTTTTGGATATTGTGAATAGAAGTAATGTTATGATAATACCATCAGTGTTACTGATATTCAATGTGATGCATTCATGAAGGGATGTGTCACAAAGGGATTAGGATGTATTGATAAGAGTGACCCTTGCAATAATTATGTTGGAAATCAGTTGACTTGTTCTAAATTTGTTGGGAATGGTAAAAACTGTTGGAATGACAGCACCAGCACAATCTCATAGTGTAGAGTCAGATTATGCAGTGATAATTAGACTTACAATACAGATTCATAATGTTAAGACTTCTAAGCTGGATGTGTAACCAAAGGCAGAGGTTGTATAGTTTAGACTGCAAAATGTTCAGATTATCAAGGTACTCAACTAGAGTGCAGTTAACTAAAGGGATCTAATGGAACTAAACCTTGTTGGAATGATATTGCAGCCACTCCTTTGATGAATTGTGTCGTAAGAAATTGTTCGCATAACACTACAGCAAAGACTGATAAAGAATGCAGTCAATTCTTAAGCGGATGTGTAACGAAGGGAATTGGCTGTGTATTGCCTTAACCTTGTTCTTTATTCAGTGGAACCACCAAGTCTTGTCCTCTATTCTCAGCAACCGATAGACCCTGTAAAGGTCAAAGCAGTAACTCAGTTGCTCCTTGTGCTGCCCTAAAATGCAGTGAAGCACCAAACAACTATGACAGTGATGAACTATGTAATATCTTTAAGGAAGGGTGTGTAACTAATGGATATGGTTGTGTCAGTAGTGTTTCTTGCGAAGACATTTAAACGTAGTAAGCATGTTAAAAGAAATCGCAATGCTTATATACCGGAAATTGCACATAATTGTCAACTAAATGCAGTGTTTTTTCATCTCAATCAGTATGTGTAAATACTCCTGTCTACACTACTATAGGCAGGTGCTAATGGGAACTCAATAAGGCCTCAAATATTGGGTAGTGTAGAGATTGGAAATGCGAGGATGCATCTGAAAGCGTATTAACTCATGAGGATTGTCAACGACTGTCTAGTTAATGTACTTCAAAGGGGAAAGGGTGCATACCAATTGGAGCATGTTCATCCTACACTACTTCTACTTCTTGTTCTTCTGCCAAAACTACAGATGAGGGAGGTCTTTGCATTTGGGAGAAGACCTATTGCAGAAAATTAGATTGCAATGATGCAAGCAAGGAATTCACTACTGATGCGAAATGCCAAGAGTTTCTTAGCAAGTGTTTCTCCAATGGTAAAGGGTGTGTCAATCAGAACTATACTTGTAAGGACATTGTTGTCAAAGCAAAATGCACTAAAGATTATGCAGGAAATGTATGCTTATGGTTTTAATAATCATGCATTGCTTATTCATAATGCGCTGATATCTAAAGCTCATCTCGTACTTTATGCTAATAACACTCAAATAAATGTACTAGTAATGGTTAAACCTGTATTCCCATTTCCCAATGTTCCAAATACATTAATTAGACTAGTTGCTCACTTGGAATCGATGGAGAATGTGGATGGATTGATAACACTTGTGCTCCCTTTAAGAAGTGTTCTGATTTTAATGCTATTACTACAGAACTATGCTAATCATATTCTAGTCAATGTATTTCTGATGGCTAGGGCTGCATTTCAAAGACTGAGTGCAATTATTACTAGACTGAAACATCCTGTCTCTCTGGAGGTACTGATGGCTTTTGTATATGGGCTGAAGAATCTTGCAGATAAAGAAAATGCACAGATGCAACTGTAAACATGGGAATCGATATTACATCATATACCTCATGCAATAGTTTTGTTGCAACTACTAAATGTACAACTAATGGAACTAATTGTATCCCTATTGGATTGTGTTCATCATACAAAGAGGCAGGATGTCATCATGGAACTGATGGTAATTGTGTTTATGGTTTTTAAGATGGATAAACTTAAGGAATTAAATCCTGCAGGGTTAAATCTTGTTAAGATTACTAAGATACAACAACAGAATTGTGCAAATAACATAAAAAAGCATGCATTTCAAATGGCACCATTTGTATCATAAAAAATAAATGCTAAACATACAAAACTAAAACTGCATGCAATTCTGGCGGATTGGATGGCATCTGTGTTTTTACACCTTCAGTTGCAGATCCTTAGAAAGGGACATGTACTTTAATGACCACATGTGAGCAAGCTAAATCTGATTTGGTTGCCTGTAAATCCAAGCAAAACTCATGCCATTTTCAAGCCTCCCTTCAAAATGGAATCGAAGTTACTTCTTGCATTAATCACACTTGTGCCACTGTAGCAAATGGAAGCATCTGTAAACCAGTTTATTCGTTTGATGAAAAGAGTATCACTGTTTGTGTAATGACTTCATCTGGATGTTCTTCTGGAAGCCCTAATCAATTATCAGCCAGTAACTGTTTAGAATAAAGTTTAAATACTTATAGTTGGAATGCTGAAACTAATCTTTGCTAAAAATGTAACACTACGACCATAACCCCTCCACAACCCACCAACACTACAGACCCTAATACAGACACTTTTACTAGAATGCTGCTCTTTTCAATTTTTATATTTATGTAATGAAATTACGAATTTTAATCAGTTATATTACAAAATTTAATATTTATAGTAAAATCACATTCTGCTTTGCTTCTAAGCTTCCCTCTTTTATTTTTTAGATTTTCTTTTAATTTATATCTTTTCTTTAACATCATCAATTCTAAAATCGCCATTTATTTGGATTTTAAAATATGGATGATTAAGACATTCATCAGCACTGGGTCTTGAGTGTGGTTCCTTCTGGAGCATCTTAGTCAGTAAATCATAAGCAAGAGGATTATTAACATATGTTGATTCTAAATATGCCTAATTATAGTTGCCACTAATATTAGATTAGATCAGGTCAGAAATATTCTTAGAATTTCCAAAAGGATTTTTTGATGTTAAACTACGTATTAATTAAGGAATACATATTATAGAAAATGATACCTGCACTATAGATATCAACCTTTTCATCATAGCTACTCGATTAACTAAATACTTCAGGGGCTGTATATCCTGGAGTACCACAACTAAAATGATTGTATATACGAGAGTGTACATTGGATTAATAAATGAAATTTGAGATTTTAGACAAGAGAATCCAAAGTCAGCTATTTTCAGGGTGTCCATATTCTTGGAGTCTTTAAATAAAATATTCTATAACTTGATATCTCGATGAACTACTTCCAAATCATGGAGATGTTTTAAACCTAAAATATAATTAAATAAGTTTTTTTACCAGAAAGTAGATTTAACATTAACCTAGGAACATCAATATCAAAACTCTTCTGCTACAAGAGCTGCAGAAGGTCTCCACCTTGACAATACTCCAATACGATTGACACTGATCTACAATCTGTTATGATTTCCTCCAATAAAATTATATTTTTGTGACGGTAATCTTTTAACAGTCGTAACATCTTTGCCTCCTATCTTAGTTGTCCCTACCACTTTTATAATACACAATACCAATCTGCCCCTGGAAACTGAATCTTTCAATACAAGAGAAGCTTTCTTTTGCACTTAAATTCTGTTCCTTGCTTATATGAGTTCTAATGTTAAGTATCTTTAATTACATATATCAGAAGCTAGTTTTCCCAAGACAACATAATTTTAAGTATCCAAAAAAACTTGTTTCCCTCTCATTAGAACTCTTAATTATTCAATATCTTTTAAATTGAGAAGGAAGGAGACCCTAATTTGTGACTCTGGATGAAGTAGGTCAAAGGTCCCACTCTATTAACCTAAATAATGTGAACCCTAACTGTACTTTAATCCACTTCTCTTGCAAAGCAAAGAATTGTATCCATAGAATTGGAAGGTAAGTAAACCATCTATTCATTTCCACTTTTTGACTTAAATAATCACAAAAACATAAGTACCACTATCTGTAAATCGCCAGATTGAGTGATGATCATCACTTCTTAATGCTCTCCTTAATTGCTTGCATATAGACCTGAACAAGAAAATTTGGACATGTAAAATTAAAATTAATAAATTCTTAGAATACTAACGTGCATTATAAATGGTAGGATTTTATCCTAAAGGGGGTGGATTAGAAATTAATAATAAATTCTGGAAATCGAATTAAGTCATTTTTTAATTAATAATTATTATTTGGAAGTTTTTGATGGTTGAATTTGTTTTTCTAAGATTTGAAGTGCTTTTTACAAAATTTAACAAAATCTAAGTATCCATTATCACCTTAAATTTAACTTTTAAATCAGCTAATCTTGCGAAATAAATTATTATAAAATTAAAATAAAAACTATAATAAATGTATTTTCAAATATAAATCAAAATTAAAATTAAAGTTAATTTAAGGATTAAACTTTCAGCACATTCTACACATCGCGATTAAACCGAGTTCCAAACATAAGTATTTAATGTCATATTCAAACACTGCTCTGAAGGTAGTTCTGTTATATCAAAATCTAAGCATGATGTACCATTCCATAAACATCGTGTGACTTCGGATAAATCAAAGCTAAAGTATAAATTGCACTTATCCTCGCTTTTGAATAAATCACAAGATAAATCCATGCACTCATTATTGGACTCACTCCACTCACATGATGTGTCTCTACAATACTCTTAGGTTGTATTCGAAGCATCACCACAGCTTTCAATACCTATAGCATTGCAATTCTGAGCTGTAGAATCCCAAATACAATAATTGCCATCTTATTATAAACCAACACATTCCTCTTCTATTTTTACATCTTAACATATAATCTCCTGACCTTCATCTGTATCATCTGTATTTAAATCTGTACAAGCATAAAGTCCACTTGCTGTAAGGCCACCATCTGCACAGAACCATTTTTCAAAACATTCTTAAGGTTTGGAGACTATATAGTCTGAACAAGCAGTAAATGCATCGCACTTTCCCTAATTCCAAGCACATTTATATGAATTTGGCAATATTCGATCACACCATTCTTGATCAGTTGCATCGGTGCAATTCAGTTTTTAACATGATCCATCCTCCCATTTACAAACCTTCGTTTCAATACAGATATCTTCTTGTGGAATGTCTGGACATGTGCATGAAACTTAATCGACTTTGATAGTGAATTGTATGGCTAATACTATTAAGTGAAAGAATATAAACATAATAATTAATGTATAATTTTCACTTTCTAGTCAACCCAAAAGAGAATGTGCACTTTTCAAACCAAAAAGCACAAATTCAAATTCAGAACATCACTAGATCTCATCTGGCATTTAAAGTATACTCCTTTTTAATGATAGTTACTTAGATCAGAACAACTAACAATGTAGATTTTAAAGTGATTGGAAATAAAGGCATCCTCAATCCAATGACTACAAATATAATCCATATCATTACCAATAAAGAGGTTGGGTGTATTTAACTATATAGTAGAATATCATGAAAGCAAAGTTTTAGATTATGACAGTGATTGTCAGTCCTAATGATGACATCGATATTGCATTTCAAAGAGCAAATTCAGAATAAATTTAAATGGAGACCTTAAAAACCAAGCCTACAATTGAGTAAGATACCTAATCTTTAATTTCTGAAAAATCCCATTTCAAGTCTACAATTGCTCCTAAATAAATCATACCTATAGTTCCTATAAATCATATGGAAACTCCTCTAAATGAGAAGAAGGATTAATTCCAGCCCACTGTTTTACATTTATTAATAGTTGGTACAGTTTGCCTTTTGATTGGCTACTTTGCACATATGAATAGCATTAGAAATTGTTGATTAAAATAAATTTTTAACTATATCTGTAAGAATAGTGAATTCTTATTCCGAAATATGTAATAATATTATATATAAATTAAATGCAATAACGAAATGATTTATTAATTGAGCAATAAGTTTAACAAAATATGAATATCAATCCGACGATTGCATCTATCAGTATACCAGATGATAAACCACTAAGTCCAATCAGTGTTGTTAAACCGTAACAAAACATCCATATTTATAATAAGGATTATGAGTAAGGATATAATAACTTAACATTTTTAGAGGTAAGATTCTAATGCTGAAAAGACTAGCTAATTATCAGGAATAAGACTATCCAAATGGAACTTTTTATGGTTAAATGATGAATGGCAAAAAACATGGGCAGGGTAGGATAAAATATTTATTTTCTAAGGTCTAATGCTATTGCAGGGTAGAGTATGTGAGGGAATTTGGTAGAATGACCGAAAACATGGATATTGCAAAGAGATCTTCGATACAGGGGAGACATTTGAAGGCGAATATTAAAATGGAAAACCGTAGGGGAAAGGAGTCTATATTCGTAATAATGAAAGTTATGACGGACAATGGGTGAATGGATTTAAACATGGACATGGAATTTGGAAGATGGGAAATGACTTTTATGAAGGAGAATGGAAATTTGGAAAAATCGATGGATATGGAGTCTACATTTAGAATAATAATAAGTATACAGGTAGTTTTAGGAACAATTTGAAGCATGGACATGGGATAGAGAACTTTTCCAATGGGGATGTGTATAATGGACAATTTTGTAATGGGAAACCAGAAGGTTAAGGCACTTATATATGGAACAATGGGGCAGAATATAGAGGTTGAATATATAACTAAAGGTGTAGGTATGTTTAAAAACGGAGTAAGACATGGAAAGGGAGTGTGGAGTAAATGGGATCCTTTGAAGGAGGGTCATTATCGATATGAGGGGATGTTTGAGAATGATAAAAAGCATGGACAAGGAGTGTTTACATGGCCATCAGGAAATTACTATGTTGGTGCTTTTGTGAATGATTACAGACATGGTTATGGTGATATGTTTTGGAAGGATTAGTATTATAAGGGTTATTGGGAAAGGGGTATGTAACATGGAGATGGAGAATTGTGTAAGAATGGAGTGATAAAGAAGGGTCGATTTGAAAATAATGTATTAACAAATCATAGAAGTAATAGTATGTGGGAATCAGGGGAAAGTAATTTTAAATTAGCAGCTAATTTAAATCAAACCTTTTCTCATGGCATGTCTGGTTTATCTTAAAGAAATAGATATATGCCAGCAATTGGACGGAAACCCAAATTAATTATGAGGAAAGGGGATAAAACAATAATCTTGGATAATTTAATTATTAACGATATTCCAATAGAGAATGACCCTGATTTCTTAACTATATGTCCTGAGCCAGTCTAGCAGAAAAAGTTTAAGCCAAAAATGAATTGTAGCCAGATCCTGAAACAACATTTTAGTACTTTGAGAAAATGACTTTGATTTAAATTTTCATAATAAATCATGATTCGTTATATCTCACCCAGAATTATGACTTTTATTTGTGATTAGTAAAAGAAGAGAAACCAAATATATGCCTAGAACTAGGTAAGTCACAATCAAATAAAAGAGAACAAAGCTTCTCAATCCATTGCAATCTTCAAATTGTAAATAAGCATACTAGATAGATAAATACATTTAAAATTACACTTAATCCAATTAATACAATAATGCTTAAAACAAATTCCACCTTTTCCGTAATCTGAAATAGATGTTATTTCCATCTACCTTAGACTTTATAATATACTGGTAATTCAATAGCTCTATCTAGTAATAGTATCGTACAATTTGTAGATGGTTACTGAAAATAAAAAGATTTCTGTCAAGAGTGACCAAAGGTTTATTTATTTACATTCCTCATCATCTGTTGGTCATAATTTATAATTTACAATAGAGATGTCTAAATGAGCAAAATAGGATTCCCCAAATGCAATTGTAAATGATGGCAAAAACAATTGAGAATAATTAATTGCCTGTGTCCTCTAAGCTTTATTGGGATTGTCTTGACAATTCAACTTCTTATTATTAATATTCTGTATTCATATTATTATATAAATTATATATGATTAAAGTTAAAATAACAATTATATTTTTATGAATAATAATTATCAATTTGTGGGAATGTCTTATACTTAAGGGTCTTCATTGAACCAAACCTAATTAAGCCATTCATTTGCCAGATTTCCACTATAAAGTTCAATAATGAGCGTTGAAGAATAGAGTCCACAATTTGCTCAATTAGCTTAAAGCCAAATCTACATCCAAGAGAATTCGCGCTTTCTAGAGGAGGAGAGTCACAAACACTTAAATCAAATGATCCAATAACCATAAAAATAGTTAGAATAATAGGCAGGACACAAGAGGATGAGTTCATGGCAATAATAAAAATCACCTCAATAATAGTCCCAAAGTAAATCTCTATGCGCATCACCCTTAAGATAGCAATATCGATAAGAGGAACCTCAAATGTACTATCATTAACCCTATCAACCTTGTCCTTGTGAATTAGAATAATTATGGCAAGAATTCTTACAAATGAGAATGATGCAGAGATCTTTCAGAAGACCAACTTAGTAGTGTTGTCATCACCAAAGAGGCCATTTCATGCCTTATTGATAACCCTATTACTTTTCATATATATCTATCTATATGTCTATATATATTATTATTCACTCAATTATCGTAGCTTTTTATTGTTGTTGCAATTAATATTCGTTAATCCATTATTAGAATGTTGCTAGGATTTCTTGTCTAGCTTTAGTTAATTCGGGGGGATCTTCTGGACTGGATGCCCTAAGATCAATACAATGTGAACAGTCCTTGCATTTAATATATTTGACATCATATTCTTTTCCTTACTTCCATTTTGTTATTGAAGCATGTTACCAGGGGTCATCAGAGCCATTTGAAAATATGAGATGATCCACATTGATATCAAGACCACCGAAATAAGCATTTGTTCTATCTTCATCAGGGAATATGGGGATGTCATAGGAGTACTCACACAACTATCTGAAGAAATCAAGAACTAACTCTTATGATCTAGTAGATTGTTCTGCATTGGGCTTAATATGTATTATTGATTATTTACATTAGCAGTTTAGAAGTAGCCAACTTCAATGCAAGTTTGATATGTCCATTATCTTGAACTCTTTGAAAAGTCAATAGTGATATCCCTTAAAAATTCTGAACCGTAACTCTCCTAATCAACTGTTTCTCTAGCCATGTCCTTTACTTCTAAAAACCATTCCTCTACAGTAGATCCTTTTGCTAGTCTATCACACATCTTTGATCTCTTTCTTCCTTATACCATACCAGCATAGATATCAGCAATCATAGACAAGAATTCAATATCTTATAATTCTGAAGCACCAAATGCAGCCTTGATAGCATCAGGATCTCTAGCCAATTCATCCTCAATCTTTTGGTTTACTTGCTGAATTCTATCCGCACATCTAAAATTATGTTAAAATTTAGCTTACTCAGTTGAACTCTCTAAGGCAGAAAGATAAACTTGCATGTCGTATTCGTGATAACAAGCAACAGCCCTAACAACTGCAGAGGATGCCAAACCTCCAATAGTCAAATGAGGATATTTGTATCTAAACCAAGCACTCAGTGCTCCTGGGTATGAACCTCCAAGGTGGATCCATGGAGTGTCTGGCTTAATATTGTAGTTTCCATTAGCTTTAATGCTAGTGATAAAATAGGCTATGTCATCCAATGCTTAGTGGATATTGAGATACTTTAAATTTGGAGTACTCCAATCCTCAAATGGTTGTGATTAACCATAATATCTATGTTCCAAAACTAGTACAACAGCATTCAATTATTAGGCAGCATCAAATGTTAATCCCTTGCCAATTCCATCACCTATAAGATAAGTACTTCGTTATTACATGTCCATTCACCACAGATATATAAAATAACTGCTTCAGGCTAGTCATCTTTTACATATTCATTATAAATGTGAACTCTTTGTTTAAACACTTCTTGTGAAGTTGGATCATTGTGATCTAGTTTCTGTGTAAACCACTCTGTAATAGCGGCCTTGACTATCTGTTCTTTTCCAAACAGGTCATTTCTCTGTGTAAGCCTTCCTAACGATGACATCACTAAAACCAAAAGGATGACGATTTTCATTTATTATTTTATTTTATTACATAATATAGAAATTATTAAAGACAATTTAAGATATTAGTAATGATATAATCAATTACGAAATAGTTTATTAGTTCTTAGTTATTAATTATTAATTATGATTAGGAGATCTATAATAATAATTGCATATATGGATATAAAATAAATGTAATTGACCTTGATCAATTAAATTTATGGAGATTTATGATTTGGGATCGTAATAGTGACTGAAATTCTATTCAACATTTTTTAAGAAAATGTGATTTTCCTTTTGGATTATTAATAGTTTAATAAATTTTATTACTACAATGAGCTTGACACAAACTAATACTTAGAAAAAGCAAAAGCCTAAATTGCAGTTGGTTGTTAACGTCCCAGATGTTCAGCCTGAGAGTACTCATTCGACTGATGCTTGGAAACAGCAAACTGACATATTTTTCAATGAGCCTATGTATGTTATATTTGTTATAGCAAGTGATTAATCCTTATAATTTATGCATAATGGGAAAACAGTTGCAGATGTAGCCCAATTGAAATGTGGTCGGAAATATTAGGAGGATAGAGTACTTTATTCAATTAATTTAAGTTTGTCGCAATTCCTAATCTAAATAAAAATGAAGATCTGCAATTCTTTTACGCAATATATGATGGGCATGCAGGACATTCCGTATCAGCCATCCTAGAAAACAAACTTCATGATTATTTACAAAAGGATTGCAATTTTGAGGATAATCTGGAGAAGGCTATTTTAAATAGTTTTGAGAAGATGAATCAATACATATTGGATTGTCAGGATGAGAATCAACATTTGGGTGGATCAACAGCTCTCTGTGTGATCAACAGACAGAAAGACCTGTATGTTGTGAATCTAGGAGATTCGGCATGTGTCTTAATGACAGACCAATATGAGATCGAGAAATTGAATTAGGAACACAAATTGAATAGGGAAGACGAATTCAAAAGAGTAGAAAAAATGGCTACAATATTGGATAGACAGTAAGATTCATCATTAATGGTAGTTCGATTCCTCGTATAAATGGAGAGTTAGCAGTGACAAGGGCATTTGGGGATAAGAAACACCGTTAATCTGGGTTGATTGCTATTCCTGAGATAAAGTTGCACAAAATTAGGCCTTGTGATAAGTACTTGATTTTGGCATCGGATGGATTTTGGGATGTATTTGAGATTTGTATACTTTTTAGATGATGAAGAATGAGGAATTGCAGTAGTTGATTGAAAACTGGAAGAGACAGGAGGTCGATCAGTTGGCTCAATATCTTCTAGATAAGGCAGCATCGAAAAATACAAATTATAAAAAGGACAACATGACTTTAATAGTTGTAGATATTCAATCTTATTGGAAAAAATGATTATATTAATTAACTCTAATTTAGTTTAATTGAATAGATTTGAGTTTTCAACTTAATTCAATTGGTCTGTAGCTTGAAAAAAGATTATTTGAATATTGGGTTTTGGTGATGAATATTCTACTTTAGGAATAACAGATTATTCCTAAAGTTGAATACAAATGATAAGTACTATAATTGTTAGGGTAATAATTACAATTTTCACTGGTTATTTATTGTGAATTTCTATTTAATTAATTAATAAAAATTGATCATGAATCAAGACCAATTTGAGAACGAGGGAGATCCTTAACAGCAATTCTTGGAAGTACTTTATTGAATTAAGTTAAAATTAGGCTTTTAAGGAGCTGTTGGAGGTTTAAAATTAGAGGATGTATAATGGAAATGATATGTTAAATTAGTATTGTCCTCAATTGTAATACCCGGTGATCTTGCCCACGCAGATTCCAAACACTTTCATTGTATCTTAGCATTCAAATAGTTTAGATCAACATGGGTCCCTATTACCCTCACATTTAGTAGCCTCAATTACATCCATAACAGACTCTTTAAACAAGACTAGCACCCTAAATCTCTTAGAATTAGCAACATAACCATTAGAACATCAAAGAGGAAGAACATGATGACAATAAATAATCCAGGAATTGGCTATAATAGAGAAAATGATGAACTCTTATAAATATTATTTTTTTATATCAAATTAAATGGGCTAAGCTTAAACTCAATAATAATAAGATATGGTACTCGGAAATGAGCATGTCGTGTATTTGTAAAAGAGTAAGTTTAATGATATTCTCATCTAGCTGCCACTACTGCAGCTCATCGCATATAAGGCAATTAGGAGGAAGTTCAATTTCTGGTCAAATGTCCTAAGTGTAGCAGTTGCTAATTCGACGATTAATTGGGGAGGATTACCAATTGTTTTTAGTGCAAACTGGTCTTTTCTGTGAATGATGGTCAGATCTAAATAAGACCAGATTCTACATAGCTCGAAGACAAGAGAACATTTCAGCTTATCGAAACAACACTGCATAATTTAGAAAGTGTCACCTTCTATGTAAATAGGTTTCAATTTCTTCTAAAATAGAACCAAACTCGATCCAGCCTTAATTAAAGACAATGTAATAGACTTTTAAAGATTAATCAATAACGTACTTTTACCTTTCTTCTCTGTACGTCAAAGAGTCTTGGAATTAGGCATCAAGTTTTCAATAGGGGCATTCGAATTTCGAGTTGTAGGTGGATTTCCATCTAGAGGAATTATAACTAAATAAACTCAAATCTACTGTTATGGTTATTACATTCAGGACACCACAAGGAGAGTTAAGATTTTATCGAAGAAACCATCTCAATAATTAGATTTTGAAATAAAGTCCTACTTCAGTGTCAATCCCAAAGACAATCAGATTATATAAGATTCAACCATTAGAGTTAACTCACAAAAATTACTGATTTTGCAATGTGAAAACGCATCTGGCAAAATCGATAGAAACTCTGTAAACATTTACATTAACCTTTTAAGACTATAGAGAGCATCCCAAATGTGTAGAATTTAAGAGATGTTAAATTGTGCTGTATAAAATTTCCAGCATATTTTTCAACCTTTTAATCTCAAAAAGAGAGAATCAAAGAAGCCATAAGAAAAATTGTCATTAATCCCTACTTTGTGGGATTAAATAGATACCTAGAGAAGGGCTAAATCTTGAGAATTTGGGATTTCGAATTTCAAGTTTAGATGTTTGAAGAACAAGGATTGGTTGTTCCGAATCACACTCAAATTGATATCGACCTCTTTTCCCCTATACCCCAATAAAGAATTCAACACAATAGACAATTTGATCAGTTGTTTCCATAAAATCTAGTTCCCTATAGAAGAAATGATCTTCAACGACAACATGCTTAATAAATTGAAGCACTCCATCGATTGCTGAATACCTTCATTATCTTGAATGAGAATCAGCAATTGCTACTCTAACTCAGAAATAATCGAACTTCAGAAGATTAAATCAACCAATTGCCAATACGTCAGATTAGTATGGAGTTTATCAACTAACATCAAAATGATGACAATCATATCAAATGCATGATTTGCTTAGAGGATTATGAGGAGAATCAAATTGTTCGTACTATGCCATGCTGTAAAGATTGATATTCATTAATTTCTAGGGCATTACTTTCATCAAGAATGTATTGACAAATGGTTACACAAGAGTACTCTATGTCCCATATGTAAGACTGAAGTTGATACAGACTTATAAACCGAAGAAATTTCGATGCAAATGCAATAATGAAGCAATATAAAAAAATAGTTATTTAATCTATCAACGTTGCTTACAGATATTTTTCTTAATTATTTTATATTCCATATTTAATTAAATTTCGAGATCATCGAGTCAACTCTTTCGATTTAGTCTTCTTGTAATTTACCCTTAAAAATATATATCATGTAATCTAATAGATGAGATCAATATTGTTAAATCATCAAAAATACTTTATATGTTTATTTGCGTATCTGAATTTTTGATTTATTAATAAGTAGTTAATTTAAAATGGGTTCAACTTGCAAATGTGAGGTCAGGAAAACTGAAGCACCCGAAAGCGAAATAACTTATTTGTCGAAAAATAACCATTTCAAACAACAAAAGAAGTTAAATGATCAACCAACCATGGCATGCCTTATGTAGAATGTAAGGGCATTTTATATAATCTATCCTAAAAAAAATGAGAATCTTATCTAATTGCAATAGCATCTGCAAGAAATGAATAAACAGGATGAATATGAAATAGAAGAATGCTTTGAGTTAATTTCAGATAATTCCTATCATAATGTAGAAAGCTGCTTCAATATTAATGGAATCTCGTATGGATCATTTAAAATGATTAATCCCTAAAGCGAAAAAGAACTACGATGATCTCATATTTATATAGATTCTTTCAACCCTCTAAATTAATTAAAAATATGTACAAATATATATATCTGTTTCATATTGATTCTTTTGGTAACGGTCCAGGCAGAAAGTCTCCTATGGACTGGAATCCAAGTAATAAATATAGCCACCATATTAACTAAGAAATTATGAGACAAACCGCCGAATCTTTGGTCTCCATCTGATTGGCAGAAGTAGGATACACTTACTTAAATTTGGCTGATTGTTGCAATCAGCTAGAGATGCTATTACCAAAAAGATTATTGCTCATCCAACTCAATTCCTTTCTGATATTCATTTATTGATCTGATATGTACATTCATAAGGATTAAATTTGGATTGTATTCGGATGCTGTAATTTTAATTTTATACTAATGCAATTCAGGACATGCAAAAATGAGAAGACAAACCAGACTCTGTAGAATATAAAGAAATTGATGAGGAAACCTATTCTGAATGGATATCAACTACTTGAGATATGATAATTGGCATACTGATGGTACATTTCCAAAAATAACCTATTCTCCTATGTTTGATGAAAATACATTAAGAAGATCTCTTTTTAATTTGAGAATGGAGTTAGGAGAAACCCTGGCTGTGGGTTTCTTTGATTGCTAACTCATGAAGATCTACAGGTATTACTTCAGATCGTTGGTATTCTTCTATTGGTAATGATTAACTTTAATAATTAAGCTATTTTGGTGGGATAGGCTAATTTGGTCTAACTGTACCAGAATTGTGGAGTTATCCAGATATGTTAGAAGCGGGTATTGTTAAATGAGAACTCATAAGTATGAAGTTCATTTTGCTTTATGGGCTATTTTAAAGGCTCCTTTCCTTATCTGTTGTAATTTCCTAAATATGAGTTAAGATTCTAAGAAGATATTAATAGGTTATTGATATTAAATTATTAAAAATATTATAGGATATTTGGGTAAATAAGTTACTTGAGGAAAGTAGAAGTGTTGATAAGTTTAGTATGAGCTGCTTAAGTTGCTGATGATGGTGCTGGAGTAGCTTCTGTTCTTTTCAATTATGTCTCAATAACACATTCTATATCTTTTGTATTTGATAAATTAAGAATTAGTTGAATTCTCAGAAAGTGGGGGATCTTCATAAATCAAGTTGAATCAGATAAATCAACTACTAGCTATACTGCTCAATTCCGAGGTCACTCTTTAACTAAGGTCAATTCAGAGCATTAAATGTTGAATAATGATAAACACAAAAATTGAATTCTTGTTCATTAATATTCCTGCTTGAGTTATGTCTTATATTTCTTGACTATCTTTTCAATCTTAGGTGATATGACCATTTTACAATATCCCTCATTTTAGTTGATGTCATAATATCCTTGATGATAATCTTCAGCTTTATAAAATTCTTAAAATTTAATAAGCTAAGTCACTATTGGATTCTCATATTCTTTTTACAATTCCTTTATAACTTCATTGGCTAATGCTAATTACTCTTCACTATGATAAAAAATGACCGAACGATATTGTTCACCTTTATCTTCACCTTACCTATTCAAAGTGGTTGGATCATGTGAGGCAAAGAAGATATGCAGCAAGTCCTTATAATCAACTTTATTTTGATCGAAAATAACTTGCACAACTTCAGCATGGCCAGTATTCCCTTTGCACACATCCTTATAGTTGGCTGTGGTCTATTCTGCACCTCCACTATATCCAGAGTATGCTTCAGCTACTCCTTCAATTCTTCTGTAAACAGCTTCAATGCACCAAAAACAGCCCCCTCCAAATGTAGCTTTATTGAGTATGTTCATTAGGATTTATTAATAATTTAAAATGAAGATATTGAATCCCTATTAATTGTAAAGAATTCTCTCAATTCCTATAAACTAATTTAAAATATAATTTATATTGAGATAATATAGTCACATGCTTAATCTTTTCTATTGTCTTTTTTTTAGATATTTCGATTGTTCAATTTTCTGTATTTCACTATTTTCGATAGTCCTCAACCTTAGATTCCTCTTTGTAGATGGAATAACTTTGTCATTGTATTGTTTGTCATAAAATTATTATACAAAACACTTAACTGCATGGTCATTCTAGTCAATTTGGCTTGTTTATCTTGTGTGAGAACTAGATGGAGTGAATAAATATTAAGTTGAATTGAATTCTTCTGCCAATTCTAATTTATGAGGATTGAGTCTTAAAAGTGAGGATGCCACTTCAGTATTCGGAAAAGAGGATTTCGTATCTAATTCTTCATTAATAGGAGTTTAATTCTAAAAGGCCATAATAAGATTGGCTCCTTTTTCAATATTACTTATGGTTGCCTACCTTTTAAAGCATTTGGTTGGACTTAAGTATTAAGAATTTTCTGTTTTTAATTTTAGTTATGTGTTGGTAATGGGATCAAAATTGATTCTGAGATCATTTAATGACCCTGAGCGATTTGTAGTAATATAATCAGCGAGTGCATAAAATTTGATATCTCCTTATTAGTAGTATTTTTTAGGTTTTTATTGGTTTTCATGTAAGTCTTAAGATATCTTTCTTATCCTATCAATGCTGTCTTTAGTGAAGACATCTATCTTGGGAGGTTTGAGGGAATCGGCATAATTCTTAACAGCTAACATTTTCTATAAGAGTGCAGCACTCTTCTTTTTTTCATATTTATCATATTGCTTCAAAATGGCTTCTTCAGCTGGAGTTTATTCCTCTACTAGATCTAATGAGTGGATTATACAAGAATACCTTTGGAGTCTCTATAACCACTGCCAAGATCGTATTTCATCATGAATCCAGGTTGCCATCCTCGATCTCCTTGTAGACGGTTGGGTAGTAATTTGAGAACCTTGTGGCCTGCTGGTCCAATTGACTTTTGGGTTTAATCGATCTTGTTATATAACATTTGTTCTACTTGGCAAAAGTTCTTCCTGCAAAATAAGCGAGCTTAGGCTTTGTCACAACCGCCTTCTCTTAACTTCAAATAGAGCATTACATTTGAATTAGAGTTAGCTATATTCAATTTGGTGCACATAAAATAATAATAATAAAATTATAAATGGCAGAAGAAATAGAGCCACACATAGCTAGAAAATTCGAAATAATATAGAAATTAGGGAAGGGTGCCTATGGAATAGTGTGGAAGGCAGTTGATAAGAAGTTGAAGACTGTAACACCTTTATATTTAAATTCCACAAGGTTGTTGCATTGAAAAAAGTATTTGATGCTTTCCATAATGCTACAGATGCTCAAAGAACCTTCAGAGAGATTATGTTTTTGTAGGAGTTGAATGGCCATGAGAACATTGTTAGGCTGTTGAACATTATCAAAGCAGAAAACAATAAGGATATATATTTAGTTTTCGATTACATGGAAACAGATTTGCATGCGGTCATTGTATAATTGATTCCCTTAATTAGCGTGCTGGTATTCTTGAAGAAGTGCACAAGAAATTCATCATATATTAGATTTTGAAATCTCTGAAATACATACATTCAGGTGAATTGATTCATCGAGATCTCAAACCATCAAATATCTTATTAAATTCGGAATGCCATATGAAACTAGCAGATTTCGGATTAGCTAGAAGTATAGCAATAAATGAAGAAGATTGCAGTAAATCTCCAAATTCTAATCAATAGCCCCACCCATTCTGACTGAATATGTGGCCACCAGATGGTACAGAGCTCCTGAAATCCTTCTTGGATCCACCAATTACACTAAGGCTGTCGATATGTGGAGTATAGGATGCATCCTTGGAGAATTAGTTATTGGTAAGGCCATTTTCCCAGGGACTTCCACTGCAAATTAAATCGAGCGAATATTAGAATTAAATGGAAAGCCTACCGAACAAGATGTTGAATCATTAGAATCACCTCTTGCTGCTCATATCTTGTCATCTGTTACTGTTACAAAAAAGAAATCCTTTTAATAATTCTTTCAAGGTGCCAGTGATGATTGTTTAGATTTGTTGAGAAGGTAATTCTTCTATTAATCTTAGATTGTTGGTCTTCAATCCAAAAATGCGATTAACCGTTGATTAAGCCATTAGACACAAGTATATCAAAGAATTCTCCTCTCCTGAAGAAGAAATAGTCTGTCAGGAACCCATAAAAATACCTATGAATGATAATAAGAAGTTTTCAATTAAAGAATATCGAGAAGCCTTATACAATGATATCAACAGAAGAAAGAAGGAGTAAAGAAAGAAGTGGCAAGCCAAGTATTTATAGTAATTGGGTATGAATCCAGATGAATTGATTGATGGAAATCAATTTATCAATTAAACCGATTAACATCAACAATAATAGACAGGGTCCTTCTTTTAGAAATCAACTAAAATGGAAAGTCACAATAGTTCACAGGTTGTTTAGAAGTCTAATATTGAAGAAATTCAATAAATTATCAGATAATAACAAATTTAATCTTAACAATTAAAGAAATCGTAGAGTTAAGCTACAGTTTAACCTGCTCAAAAATTGACAAGCCAAAAAAGTGCATCCAACATTGTGGCATAAATTTATAATAATTTCTAAGCTCAAGATTCAAAGTTTCATTAACAGTAATAGTTTTTGCAACAATAATTATAACAACTCCAGCAGAAATCCCTAAAAAAAAAGACATGATATATTAATTTAATATTTATACACGTATATGACTGAGGAAAGAAAAGCCTTTGAGAAACAATTATATCCTCTTTATAACTTCTATCATAAACACAAAGATGCAATTCAGCTTAAAGATGCCAATTTCAAATATCAGAAGAAGATATAAATCTTCAAGGGTGAGGATTTCATTAAATTCACTACTACCTATTTCGAGGACATCAAGAATCTACTTCCTGATAAAAAGAAGGATGCCATATCGATCGCAAAATATCTCAATGAAAATCGCATTATTGTTAAAATCGACAGGCTTCCAGATGACCCAAAAAAGAAATGGCCTAGAAAGGTCTTTGACGCTAAGGTTATTGTATATAGTCATATTCAAAGGACTAAACCTTTACGAATGAAAGCTTTTATACCTGGAATTTGGTTGTAAAGAGCAAAATGAACAATCTCATCATGGCTGGCATCCTACTTGCAGTATTTGTTGCTTTCCTCTATCCAATATGGCCATTTGCATTTAAATTCGGTGTCTTTAAAGTTACATTGTACCTTCTAGTATTTCTGGTTGCCCTCCAAGTGGTAAGAATGGTTGTTTACATAATCTCACGATTAATGGGATATGCTTTTTGGATTCTCCCCAACTTAAACAATGATGTAACTTTCATATTAAGAAACTTAGTCATATGGAATCTTAGGATCATTCAAACCTCTATATTCAAATTACAAATACACAGATGGGAAGTTAGAAATTTCTTTCAGATTAATTGGCATAATTGCGTTCATTTTCCTGATCTACGTTATTGTCCAAGAGCCTTCATATATAACTGGATTTCAAGATGCTAGCTCATAAACAATAGATGACATTCTTGATTGGGGCAAAGATAAATTGGAGGGCAAATAAGTATTATGAAATACTTAAATTAGGAACCAATACATAAAAGAGCTATTCCAGATCTTAGTGAATTGATGAAATAAGCCGAGGAAGATCTAGCAAATCATCAAAAAAATAACACTTAGGATGGTTTAGACCAACAATAACATATTGATGATAATAATCATACTGGTGATTTAGGTGATGTGAATAATGATGACAATTTAGGTGATGTGAATAATAATCATCCCTTGGATAATGATATTCAATAGAATGAATCATAAACTGATTTGTGAATATTTTTTAATAATATATAATAATTATGTATATTAACTCATTTAGCAAGATTAATGATATTGAATAATATTTTCTTATTTATAATTATTATACGAAATTTTACTTTTAGAAGAAAATAAATGACACCAAAATCGTCAGTCTAGAAGTAATACTTCATCATAATCTTAATCAATATGAAGAACAGAATGATGGTTGAGATATAATAGAGTTTTAGATTATTGGAAAGGAATGCAATTTTTTTAACTAACAAAGTATTTTTACTAAAAATTCTTGAATTACATTCTAAAGTGTCGTTTTAATTAAATTAATTAAGATAAATAAAAAATAAAATTCGAAAAAATTGAGGTATATTCATATACCTCAACCTATAATAAGATAATTTTAAGAAAAACTTCTTTAACTATCCAAGAATATCTATAATTTTTTTTTTTTATTGAAAATTTCCAAAAAGGATGTGTTCAATTAAGTTCAATTATGTTAATAAATTCTTTATTTTTAAATTTAATATTAATATATAATTTGATATTTAATACGCCATGACACTTAGAGACAACAGCAATAATCCAAAAAATGAAGTTAGAGCCTCATCTATCAAAATATAATCCAAATATTTTCCTAAAATACGCCTCCATAGTTTAGGAGTGTAAGAAATGTTACAAATTGTATTATTTAGGGTAAATATAGTAGTTGTAAGGGGTTGAAAGAAAGCGTTTAAGATCATCATAGAAGTGACCTAAACCTTTAGGTTAAAGATTACTAAACAACTCTACCTAAAAATCTGTTACAATTCACAAATTTAGTTATACTTTATAATAAAAATTTAGATATTTTGAAAAAAAATCACTTTTCAAAAAAATTGAAAAAATACAAATGGGCTTGAATCAAACAAATTTTGAGTGGGGTGACAAATAAATATAAGTTAAACAAGAAATACATATGAAGAGAATCATAAAATTTAGAATTCAACCTAACATCTAAAGTTTTTGCTTAATTAATTCAAACATCAAAAAATATGTCACAAAATATATTTACTTTAAATTTCAAAAGACATTCTTAGAGTAGATTAAAAATTTGGATAATTTTGTTTATTTCATGTAGATAAACCATTTAGATTCAAAAACATAGCAAAAGGATTTAAAATATTAGTAGATTAACTCGTTGTAATTAAAAAAAAAGTGTTCACTATGTATTTGATTTATCAACCTTATTGTGTTAGAAGAAGTTATTTGCTCGTTATTTAAAAGTTTTTGTAGATCTATAAGAAAATTTTGTATAACTTTTTTCAGAGTATAATAAGTATTTTCCAAAAACTTTTTTATTTGAACGTCTTACAAATAATGTTGGTAATTAATCATTCTAATCAATACATATCTGAATAAGGCAATTAGCTAAATTTACAAGAATTACGAAATTGCTTAATAATAAGAAATAATAATATTCTCAATCAAGATTCAAATTATTTAGAGGAGAATATGTTACTCTTTTCTAAGTAAATTGTTGATAGTTATATTTTAATGTTTTAGATTGGATAAGACTTTCAATTCAGAAATTTTTTAGAGATTTTGTTATCAATAATAATGGAAGGATGTTGTTAAATTCTGAATTCTCAAATTTATTTATAATTTTGATGACGCATATAAAATTATAAGCGAAAAATCTTTTCTCTTTTCTCACCATGATCATATAAGCTATCAAAACCATTCTCAGGATTAGAGCAAACTTGCTTAATCTAGAAAGATACTCTATGGGACTACATGGCTAAATTTGATTTAAAATTATTAATAATAACAATACATATTATATGGGTCTTCAGTGTGCTAAACCAAAAGAGAAAAAAGCAATCAAAGTACTTGAGAGTAAACAAAACTAAAGCGGTCCTTCAACACTCAGCACCACGAAAGAGGCTATAGATTTTGTGGAAAGTTAATCTTTAGCCAATTTGATGAGAACAAAACCAGTCAAAGAATATTTAACAGAGTAAATTGCAAATAATCAACTCTATGTCGATTCTTGTGATATACTGGCAGAAAGAATTGAAGGAAAATCTTAATTAATACTCAGATCTTACAATAACTATACTGAGAAGGCCTTAAAAATTAAAGCCAAAGTTTTAGAATATTACCGAAATGAATATCTAAACTATATCAATTCTAAAAATGATACTCCTAAAAATAGAGAGTTTATCATAAAAGAAACCATTTAAGTAATCTTTATAATAATCTCTAATATAGTTATTTGTAGAAACAACAATCATTCTAAATTGTTTAATGGATAAAAACTTCGACGATGAGTCAGAATTATGGTGGGGAGGTGACTACTTTGGTGATCGTATGAAACAGCTCTCTCTTATTGCTGATACTTCAGAAAATACTGATTCTATCACTGCTCCCATCTTACAATATTTAGACGCTTTAAAATGCAGAATACTCTAGGTGATTCCCATTTTACCAAGTTAAACTAAGTCTATTACTAACAGTGTAGCCATTACCAATGTCCATCTGACCCAGTTTTATAAAGATTTGAAATTAGAGTTTGCAAGAGATGTAGAAGAAGAAGTTAATTGATTAATATTTGTTTTAGTTTCTACCTTTTATGCATTGTGAAGCAGTGCCCATATAAATTCGTAACAATCTCATAAACAGAATTAAATTATATTTTGTTCGTTTTAGTTTATTATTTTATCTCAATCAAAATAGAATTTTTTCAATATGAACAATTACGGAAATAGGCTAGAAACCAATAAGGAAGATGTTTTAAACTTTCCAGATAAGAATTCCTATTTTTTGTGTATGTTTTTTAAAAATATCAAATTTCTTTGAACCTAATTTTAGAAAACCCAAAAATTATCTAAATTAAATTAAAATTATTATTGTTATAATTTCAAAGGTTTATAGCTTTATTCATTACTGATTTAGTACTTTTCATCCTCCATATTATTACTAAATAATTCATATTAATATTAATAAAAAAATTGGGAGATTGAAACTTTATTTAAAGCCTATTTGAATTTTCAAAAAAACAATATTAATTTCTCATTTATTACCAAGGTATTAAAGAACAATTTATATTTTGGTTGACTTATATTAATTAATGAATTAATAGAATATGTTATCAATTTTATTTCTATCCTCCTTAATATATTCCTACAACTTCAACTAAACTTTCACGATTCTCAACTCCTTACACTAGTAATGTGTGAGTCACAGGTTTTCGACATAACATACAGTAATTACTTTTTGATAATAATTATTCTGAGCACTCTTAACAAAATCCTCCATGACCACAAGGTTAATTAATCATATTGCTTTCTTTTTCATAGCAAACGAGACATAGTGCATTTTATTTCTATTGACCTCTGCTTGATAATTCTGGAGCCATACTTTCACTGACTTCTAATTTTAGACGTGGAGATGATAGTAATTAATCAAATTTCTTAGATAAATCCCCATCTAAATCCGAAGATGGACTTTTCTTTATTTCATTTTATTTTTTTATTTCTGAAAAGCTAATTGATCGAAATTTCTTATCCTAAGATGAACCTAACTCATTCTAATTTTTTTGATTCTCATTTATTTCTTACTTTCTAAAATAAGTGGCTGACAATTTCACCATAAATTATGGAACTTTGCTAATGCTAATTCTATGAATCTATTTAATCCTGTCTTTTAATGTAACTTGTTCATTAGGCTATTCTGATGGCCGAGTTGGCTACTAGACTTCTGATAAATTTAAAAATTAGCTACAACTTATAGATGTTATTACATTAATTCTTCTTAATTTTTCAAATAGAAAAATATCTGAAATAAATAGTATACAATAGAAGCAATGAAACCATATAAATTTACTTATCCAACATTATAGTCCAATAACAAACCTAATCCTAAAAATGTTAATCCTGTATCGATAATAAATCCTAATATCACAATGTTCACCCAAGCACCTCCATAAACTAGGAATAAACATATTTATTACTTAATTGCTTTTTATTTTAAAGTTCATTATTGCAACACTTTAACATCAGATCTACAATTAAACATACCTCAATCAATGTCATAGTACCGATGCAAAACCAAACAATCACTAGAGTTTGCATCCAACCCCAATTGATTTATTGACTCCATTTCAAACTTAAGAATACAATCTGCAATGAACCTATGCTTTTTATTGCAGCAATTAACTTATATAGATATCTTAATTATATACTATTTCTTAGATTTGTTTAGATTGATCTTAAGCATCACTCTCGAAGCTTTATCTGCTTATTAATACTGTTATTGCCAATATTACGAATTATAGGATAAGAAGAGTATAGCTAATGAAATTAATGTTTATTGGGGAGACTTCTTTATTATAGACGATCCCCAATAAATAAGCTATTAAAATAGCACTTTCAAGTACAGCAAAACAACAATAAGAGTTGATGCTAATATAAAATTGTATAGCAAATACCCTTTACTGGAAAGCAATTTCGAAATCATAAATGCGAATTATGTTGTACATGCATATACAATAATTATTTTGTAATCCCATCCAAATGTTATATTCGAATTAAATAAAAAACAAAAGCCCATTATAATTGACACTAATAAAAAGATCTTGTTCACTGCATATATGTTACAGATTATAAGTCTGACTTGGCCTTTAATCTCTGTGCATCCTCATCATTTGGTTGCATTTTTCAAATTATTTTTTTTATTATAATTTTAATAAATGAAAATAATTTTAGAGAGTTGAACGAAAACTAAATAGAAAACAAAAGAAACAAATTCAAATCTATATCAATATGATATATCAAGGTAAGGATCTATTTAAATTTCTATATGATTTTGCATTAAATCTCTAATAATATAATATTGAATTCTTTAATATTAAGTTTAGAAATAAATAATAATATAACTTCTTTTAATATTAGAAGTGTGTTTTCAGATATAAAATATGAATTTCATTCGTAATCATATAATGCTCACATTACTGTGAGTTACATTTACTCGATTAACACTGAATTGCCTAATTCTAAAGCAAGGTTGAGCATATCGCCTATTGTTTGCTTTAATTTAGTTATCTCATCGTCTTTCTATTGAATCAGATTTTAAACATATTATTCCATTTGGTAATTCAAATATTTTGATATTTCTGCATCTTTGATCCCTTATTCATTTAAATTTTCCAAAGGTAATTATAATGTAAATTTAAATTATTCATCTGTGTTTCTAGAAATGGATGTTGTGTTTTAATTTAGGAATTTGATTCTATATTGATTTAGCAATTGCTCTAATTAAGTTACTTATAAATGAAAATCGTGAATATATTGTTCAATTTTGCATTGACATTCCTTAACTTATTTTGAATCTGAACTTGAGTTCTCTTTAGAAGTAAGAGATTTTACTAAGATGTTCAATTCACTTAGGGCATCTACTAATTGTTATTTTTCAGAAGATTCATTTTCAAATGATTTGAGTATAGATAGACTCCATTATTTTTATAGATTTATGATTTCTGTGAAATCAGAATTCATTTTTGAGTTTTATTTCTCCAATTCTAAATGTCGTTTATTTAATTAAATCATGATTTAAGTCTTAGTTGTGAGATCTTTATGTAACTATTAATTTTCTAGTTCTTATTAAGCTTAGAGTTTGAGGATGTCTTCGATTTACTTCTTCGACTTAGCCAAGGCTTGTCTTAGTTGAGATTGTTGTTGATTTAAGATTTTAATAGTGTTTTATAAGGTTTTCTATTCTTACTTCTCTACCTCTAATGATTTCATTAATTACATGTATTCTGTTTATTTTCTATTTAAATAAACTAAAAATTTACTTGTCTATTATTGAGGAGAGGTATTGAATTTTTTCTGACAGGCTCTAAGAACTATTTTTCAAAAAGGGTTCTGAACACTACATAATAATTTTTAAGATTGATACTTTGCAACATAATTTAGATCTGTAAGAATTGAGTTCTTTTTTCAATAAATATATTTGATCCACTTAATTATCGTGTATTTAGAGGAAATGCTGCAATTTAGATTTCATTATTTTTCTAAATATATTGATCTCCGTAGTTAAGTATGAATATAAGTTTCCTTTTTCTTTAATCGACAAAGCCAATAATTCATCTCCTAATGAATCTAATTCTTTCACAATATTGGTATATTTGGATTTCCAAAGTTCAATTTCTTCTCTCATCTGAGATAGAACTAGGTTTTGCTCATATTAATTTTCAGAAGATGCTGTATTAATGGTTGTTCTTTATGAAAATTCTTCATTTGGATTTAGGACTTTTAGTCTTAACTTAACTTTTAGATTGGATATTTGATTGTCATTTAAGAATACTTCTTCCTCAATCTCCGCTTATGGATCATTATCATATTGAAGCTCAAATTTAGAATTTATTAATCGGGTTAAATTAGATTATACTCTTCCTGCAACCTCATTGTTCAAAAGAAGGATGAGCTCCAATTTATTGTAGTTCAAGTCATTAGATCTATTTTCTAGAGAAATTAAATGGGATTCATTGATTGGATTCAACCCTTTGCATATTTCATATGAGGTTGTTGTAATTGTTGCATGGTCTAAACAATAGGATAATTTGATACTTGATTTAATCTGAAACCCTAACAATTGGGACAAAGTAGAATCAGATGATAATTCTACAATTGTGACTTCAAGTTGGAGTTGTTCTTCCTTGTTTTCCATTTAATAAATTATGAAATTTTGATAATTTAAAGGGATTTATGAATCAAATAACTGAATCTCAAGTATTAACTTAGATGATGAATTTTATGTTAAATAAAATGATATTTTAGGTCAAGACTCTAATTAGTTTTGGTTAAGTTTTCATATGGCAATTCAATTAGATTTATAAAGTTGAGGTGTAATTAAATGACTTAAATTTTATTTATTATTTAACAGTTAAAAACAGATTAATGGAACGCTATAGGAAGATAGAATTAAAGGGAAAAGGTAGTTATGGACAAGCTATATTGGTTTAAAATAAATAGGATAGAAAATTTTATATCATGAAGGTAATCTGAAGGCTATTATAGATAATAGATGCGTCTAAATTCGACATCAAAGAAAAAGAAAATGCACTTAATGAAATAGATGTGTTGAAGAATTTGCATCATCCCTGCATTATTGAATACAGAGAATCTTTTGTAGACAGAAAGTAAGTTAAATTATCTAACTTAGTAAATATTTGTGTATTGTCATGGATTATGCAGAAGAAGGAACATTACATCAAAGACTTGAATAACAAAAATAAAAATAGGAACATTTGAAAGAGTCATAAATTATAGATTGGTTCACATAAATTTGTCTGGCTGTCAAATACATCCACGATAGACGAATCATACATAGAGATATCAAAACTCAAAATATTTTCATTTCAAAAGGAGAAATAAAGCTAGGTGATTTTGGAATCGCTAAATCATTAATCAATTCTGAAGATCTTTGCTAAACTGCTATAGGAACTCCATACTATATCAGTCCAGAAGTATGTTAAAGAATACCTTATGACTTTAAATCAGACATTTGGAGTTTAGGTTGCATGCTATATGAAATGATGGCATTAAAACATGCATTTGATGCAAAAAGTATGATTATATTTAATATTTAAAGCTATGGAAGGTCTATTTTTGAAAATTATCAATGGAAAATATTAACCTGTGCCTACATTTTATTCCTAAGAACTGATTTAATTATTGAAGGATATATTAAATACAGATCCTTAGAAAAGACTTACTATCAATCAGATATTAGATTATAGAATAGTTAGAAAATCCAGGAATGAATTTTTGCAAAGAAAAACTTATAATTTACAAAAGATTCAATTTATTTCAGGATAAATCAATAAATATGAGAAGCACTCTGAAAAAATAAGACATTATTAGAGTGAATAAAAGTTTGTTGGTGAATCCCTAGCAGATTAAATTGAAAAAATGAGAATGGATCTTGAAGAATAATTGGGAGTTGAAAAATTTATCCTAATTTACAATTCACTAGTACTATATTTTATGATAATTAGATTAGAAAAATGAGGAAGATCCTCCAAAGTGTTGTGATGAGAATACATTAGATAAAATTAACTAACTACTTGGGTTAGAACAATTAATATTTTGATTTTTCTTTATATTAAATATACTTCCAATTTTATTTTAACCAATCAATTCTTAATTGGATTTATATCTTATATTATGTTGAGCAGATTCAAATTATTAAATATGTTATTTTAATTTTTAAAAAATAGATAAGTTTTAAAGATCATTCATTATTATTATTTGATTAACAGATTAAATTTCGATAGTTCATTAATAGTCATTGACTTTATATCCCTTCAAATTTTCAATTCTATTCGGTAATAGTAGTTCTCTCTTCTATAAAATAGAGTTGTGAAATCATAGTAAAAGAGATACATACTGATGAAAAAGTTGATAATTAAGAAATCGCCGAAATAATTGGGAATAAAAATCTAAATAATTCCTTTGATTCTTGAACATATATTATAAAATTTATAAATATATATTTAACGACTTTATGTCTCTCACCTACCTCCCATTTCATAATCTAGCTAGTTGTCCTAAGTAAGTCATACAATTTGTATAAAATCCAGACCTGAATCTTAATGATTTAAATACTATGATAGAATAATTGAAAATGCCAAAAAATTATTAAAAAGCAATACAAAGTATGCAGTTCTTAGTCTCAAAGTAAGAAAATTATTTATAGGATGATAATACAATTCAAAATCATGATGAAGAAATCCTTTCTCCAAAATTGCTTTTTAGGAAAGTTTCATACTGATCAATAATATCTATATTATGATATTTTAATTTGTAAATTCAGCATAATGTTCTAATGATATGTTCGTCTTCAATATAACACTTAATTTTTCATTTTCTAATCTTTAGACTGATATGATCTCTTTTTATCTAAGTTTTTATTTTTGATTCATAATCTAAAAAAGATATATTTATCTATAATAAAAATTGATTGCATTTATTTGTCATTAAAATAACAATTACAATATGAAAAATTGATGGAAACAAATTGACTCTGAAGATTTTTTACAAATTCATAAAATATAATCATATTTTTATTAATCCAATTTTTGAACGAAATTTATTCCAAAAGTAGGTAAAGGCTATCTAAGCCTACTAAAAGATTGTCGATAATTTTTAACTACGCTATCTACTTCTCTGTTATTTGATTTTGAAGTTATTTTTCGATATAACCTTTCTTGACTTTTTTAATCCTTAAAATAAACGTTTTCAATACATTAATCAATCGAGAATGTTATTTTTCATTATTATCATCGTTTTCTACAGGTTTCAATTTTTTTATGATCCATTTAGGCCTTTTTCTTTGAGTTATTTGAGATAAATGAACCCCGAATTATGTTTCTAGCACTTTATTTGCCCATTCAGATCCATACGGATTTTATTTTATTTCTCTGTTTACTATAAACTAGATTATTACGCTTAAGGTCTACTTTTAGTTAAATTTTCATTTTTGTTGCCTTTATTAGATAATTACTAATTTTCTGGTTGAAAAGATTGACTTATACTCAAATTAGCTTAATCATCTAAAAATTCTAAAACATTTAATGATTCACATAGTTCTTTTACATATAACTGGCTTTGACAAAAAAGACCATCCTTTTATTACCTCATTAATTAAAATAAATTAATCACAGATATTAATGTAATAAACTCATAATTGAATAAATAAATATCATTTTGAAATATGTTTAGGTTAAATTTAATATTATCATCAAATAATTCATTTACTCCATCTGTCAAATACCTTCTTTTTTTAAATAGCAGAATATCTCCTAAAATGCTTAAATTATATATAAATTTCATTAAACTATTATTTAGGTTTATTATGATTTCAAGAGGTAATCAAGATATCATCATCAATAATTGATCGAATAAGCAATTATGTACTTATTTAGTATAATAATTATTGTTTATTTATCTATTAGAAATAATTTATAACCAAGAAAGAAGTTAAATTATTAAATTTAAATTCAATATGAGAACCTCTTTTGGAAAGAAAGTTAAGATTAACAATTCAGTTGGTAAAATGATTGAACAGAAGACCTAAGAATTAAATTCACCTCCTCTTTCTACATAGTAATATTAGGTGTAATCAAAGTAGAGATCCTAATTTCTGGCTTGATGATAGTGATTTATCCTGGCTATCAAATGAAATAGAATAAGAGGTTGACAAAATTCTAAAAATCGCAAAGCCCTAACCTCTTAAAATAAAACAAAACCTAATATCAAGTGGAAATGATATAAGAGAGGAATTCTTTGTTAGTAATAATAATACTAAAAGAAACTCTTGGGGTCTTGATAACTAATAAGAACTTGAAAAGAATATCAATAAAGGGAATCATTGTTAGTTCTAATGTGAAATTCCAATTTAAAAAAAAGGATCTAAAAATTAAGTTTAATAGAGGGACAGCTTTGATTATAATTCAAATAAGTAATTCATTGAAATAAGCTTAGAAATGATAATCAAGATTTATAAGAGAGAAATTATTTATTTTAAGGGGAAATTAGTTTTGCTGAATGCAAGAATAACGAGAAAAAATAAAAATAAAAAAAAATTAAACAATTTTTAGATGCAAGCTTTTAATTTTAAGAATAATAAAACAATTCATTTGAGGAAGGGATTTTCAAATTTCATAAACAAAAGCCTAGTCAATTGAAAGACAGAATTTATGAAGATATACCATCTCCTTAATTTTATTAGGAAAAAACAAAATAAATCTAAATGTCTTAGGATTTGGAGAAACCTAACTTCAATGCTAACTTAAATTGGAAAAAAGGTAAGAATAGGAGAGAAGCGAAGAAATATACATAGTACCAAACCTAAGAATTCAAACACTTATCATTATCAATACCAGGTTTTTATGTTCATGAAAAGGAAGGAGAACTAAAAATTAATAAACTCTAGAAGATGTAAAACGAAAAAACAAAGTTTTTCCAACTATTTGAATTAACAATCAATCCAATAACTTTTATTGGTCCTCTGAAATTGAGGTCCAATTTGAAACTTGTAAATTTTTTAATAATTTTTTCAGTGTATTAGATTTAAAAAAGGTTATACTGGATAAGTCTTTTGCAATTAAGACTATACAGAAACCATTCCAACAAATTAGGAAGATGGAAAAGTATTAGAAAATGAAAAACAATTATTTTTGGCTAACAATAGTTCTCATATCACAAAATTAGTATGTTGTTTAATAAAGAAAATCTAGAATTACAGGAAATTAAATTTATGATCTGGTGGATATTTTAATATTGAAATAATTATTTTATTTATTTATTTTTTTCTTTATACAATTAATCTAAAAAGTAAAATTGTGAATTTTTGAATAAAAAATGAATTAAAAGATACAAGTAAACTTATAAGTTAATTTAGTTTAATTATTAATAAATAATATAAAAACTTTGAAGTGGATGAGTGTGAGATTGGGACTCCTAAGGTGGGTTAATGAGAAATGTCCACAAATGAAGGCAAGTAACATTGAAAGCATGTCAGATGGAAGACATTTCTTATGTCTACTCCGAAGATACTTTCCTGAAATAGAAATTCCATAATTTAAAAAAAACTCAACAGTCGTGTCTCGTTTAGAAACTTTAACTTAAGTTGCTCATTATTGTTCGAAATTAGACAATTCAATGAAGGTTGATATCTTAAAAATAGCAAATAAAGAGTCTAATATGATTTTAAATTTACTCAAATTTATAAAATCAATTCTAGATAAAACACCAATAAAAAAAAATATTAAAAAGGAAGAAATCCCAACTATTATGAAAGAACAGAAAAAGGAGTGCCAAAAAATCAGCGAGGAGATTGTAATTGTTCCATTTCCAAAAAAATAAACCATTGATTAAGGAATATAAACTATCCCAATTTAAGAAGTGTAACCTTTGCAAATTTTATAAGAAAAAATAAAGAAGATATTGTAATCTAAATTGTAGAGTCCTCATTTAGAATTAGAAATACTTTAATTATTAGAGAAAGATAAGGATGTTTTCAACCTTTAATTATTTTATCAAGTTAAGGCATCTAGAGCGAGTATGAAGCCATCAAAACTTACAGAATTCATGTCTATTCATAGTAGTTAGTTTTATAATAGAGGAGAATAGAATTTATTTGATCCTGAATATTCATTCGATTAGAATTTAGCTAGCAAAAAGAGTGTATTAGAGGATAGTTTATTTCAAGTTAGCGATGAAAAATAAAATTATTGATTAATTTATGTATTTAATACCGAATTTCTAATTTTTATTTGATATAAAGTCTAACATAAGGATTAGGTATGTAGAAGTACATTTAGTATAACCATTCCTTTTACTTTATACAACAAATCAAATTTTATAGATTTGGGACTATGAAAAAAAGACATGCTTGAGAGCAATAAATGTTTCATTAATTGAACCTGATAGAGTGTAGGAAGTTAAACAATTGAAATTTCACGACAATTAGATTATTTATAGACTTTTTAATGATTAATCCTTATATTTGTAGAATAGCATAATGATTCTGACATCTGATAAATTGTATTCCTACAAATATTGCTCTGATTATTCAGATCTAATAACAAATGGACCTATTGGTGTTTCAAATAAATGTTTAGAATTTATCGACTCATAATATATAGCAGTAGGAGGTGAGGGAGTAAAGATTATAGATTTGAAGCAGAATCTAATTGTAAAAACAATGAAGGGATATCATCAAAAAGGTATCAATTAGATGCTATCATATAAATAAAACTAATTTGACAGACCTCGTCTTGTGGCCAGCAGTTTAGATGGTACAATGGCATGTTGGAATGCAGACACAGCAAATGAATAACCAACATTTAAATTTTTAATGTCTAAAAAAGGAAAGCAATTAATGACTGCCAATAATGGATAAGAGATCTTATCAATAGCATATGACCCATACGACTTTTAAATAGTCACAGTTACGGAAAACTATATTACTTTATGGAGTTCTTTGAATGGAATGGAAATTAATAGATTCAAACCTCCTATTCCAATTAAAGAACTTGTTCATATAAGCCATTCTAATTTTCCTTCTTAAACATATATTGGTCATACAAGATCATCAGAAATTTATGCTTTATATCTGATAGGAAAGCAATAAAAGAAATTTGATTATGTGATACTTTTAGATTTGAAAAATGTGTCTGATGTTGATAAATAAATTAAGATCAATACAATAACAACCAATAGATTGAAGTCAAATCTTTTATGTGTTGCGACCACTCATGGCTTGTTTTTACTACAGGCTTCTGAAATCTTATAGAAATATTGCTTTCATCATACTTTTGTTTGTTCACTGACATTAAATTAAAGTAAAACTTTTGTAGATGACACTGGATTACTTAAGAAACTAACCAATATTTCTTAAGAGCAATTAAAATAATATGAAGTATTAAACAAATAAACTGATTAATCTAATTTGATGTATCTATCTACAAGTGGTAAAAATGTGATTTGTACATTGACTGAATTTACTTAAGAACTCACAAATAAAAAAGAAGAATGGACCGTTATGAGTAGACAACATAAAATATTTTCATTTTAAACGTCTTATGCTTGGGATGGTATCATTATTATTTTTTAATGTAGATTCTAAAATCTTGATTTCATTATCAGGTAGATATTTTGTGATCCATAACAATAATGGTCAATATGCTGTGCTTTCAATAAATAATAAAAATTTGAACTATGATATGATGGAAAGTGATCTCAAATTGACTTTGCATTTTTTGAGTGAATTAGAACAACTATCAACAGGAATAGGCAACTCCATAGCATGGCATCAATATAAGGAAGAGCTAATCGTTTCTGTTCCCTTGAATGAAAGAAACTAAAATGTCACAATAGAAGAAAAGGTTGAGTCTCAAACAAGTGGGTTCTTTAATTAGAAAACGTTTTCCAGAAATATTTACAACTATTCCTCAAACATTGTTAATTTTGTCATCCAAATCTATGGTTTTGATCACACAAAGAAATAGTCAATGTTTTTAAAAGCTTCAATAAATAACTTGCCATAGCCTGAAAGAGTATTTGGAGTGTAAAGTTATTATTTTATTGTTACAAATTCTGAATGCAACATTGAAGATTAGAAATTGAAAGCAGAAATTAAACAACTAAAATTGAAAAATGGTTAATTTTATTAATTTTAAAACAATTAATTGGTTCCATTTGGTAATTAGTTTATTTCTCCTTTGAATGTGACTAGCAACATAAATGAAACCTTTTTGTTATTTTAATATGAGAAGACCTTTTCTCTTCTCATGAAATAAAATGGATAGTTTATCCCCATTTTAACTGAATTTGAACAACTTACCGATAGCTATTTCTGGGAAGACTTATTATTTTATGTCACTTAAACTCAAATTAAGATGGTTATTGTTGTGAATTAAGTTGCTATTACAATTACTCTAGCCCAATTAGATCCACCATAAAACCAACTTTAAAGTTGTGAATTTTTAAAAGCTAATTAACTTGATGGGTAATATCCTGAAATACAGGTTAGACCAAATGGATAATTAAAAATTGTAATGAATTTGTAATTATATTATAGTTAATGATTCATGATAGTAAACTTATTGTCATTAATTAGGCATAAGAAATTTCATTTATCCATTTGAAACATGCATTACTAGAGTTTTGTGTATTAATATCTAATATAAAAAGATTAATTTATAAGTGGATGACTTTTCAAAGTGTGTTGATAATGCAAGTAAATTGGATTAGAAAATGCAAAAATTGATTGCTTAGATGTTTATTGCAAAAAATGCAATCGATCAGGTTTAATATTTAAATATGGATTTGCACGAACGCTTGACTTTAGAATTGGATCACAATTTAAATGAAACATAATTAACTGTACTAAGAGTGTTAATATTTAGTTAGATTTAATAGATCAAGTGATGTTAACAGTAGCTGATAATAAAGAAAAGTATATTAAAGATTTAGCTATTAAACTATCTCAACAAAAACGTGAAGAGGAATTAGATCTAGTCATTTAGTATGGATTATAAAACTAATTGTAAATACTAGATAATTCATTATAGATTCCCACTTTATGATATTATTCCTTTATTATCAGAAACCTAAAGAGAATATTATTTGGACTCCTAAGGGATTTTCCAAAATTTCTAATCTCTTAAGGAGATAAGTAAAGATAAAGAAGATTTGATGCTTTATAATTTATACAATATATTTTAATTATGAAATCAATATCATTCAATTATTAATTCTTCAAATGTTCCCAACTAATATTAATGATTATTTTAAATTGCTAAAATTATGTCTAAAGTTTATTCAACAACTGAAGGGATAATCTATTTAAGATTGGGATTTTCAGTAAAAAGTGCTGGATTTATATTAGCCTCTAAAAAGTAAACTTTAAGGTTTGCGTCTATGATAAAATCAAGCCCAAATAATTCAAATTCTCCTTTTTGTCCTCCAGCTTGGATCTTTTTCTATCCAGCATTAAAGATTCTATGAGAAATTTGTTTAATTTATTCTCTAATTGATTTAATCTGATCTACTTAATAATGATAAAAGTCTTGTAAATATTGCTCTAAATGATCCATAGTCCATATGGAACTTTCTTTTTTCTCTTTATATGTTGGATGAGTTTTTTAGATTGCATTATTGGTGAGATGTATAATTTTATTCTATTCATTTTCAATGTCATCCAATGTGTACTCAAAAATACTCAATCTAGCATATCCGTGATGAAAGAGTACTGTATATGGTTTCACTTAAGCTATCAGAGCATAACATCTAATATCAAATTTTCTACCATCCAACAAAAGGGGTTTTTCAATATATTTTTATATGATGGACATTGGATTAATATCATCATATTTTAATTATTGTTCTGGGTCAACATTTTCTTTGATTCCCAAATGATCTTGAATTTCTTATTTTAATTTATTCCTTTCGTTTTCAACATACACTTTATAATAGTCTCCGATCTGATATTATCTTTTCTGGTGTAGATCCTACTTAAATCTGGCAATATCACTTATGAATTTGATTCCTCTGCCACAGTTCAAATTATATGGTTTCAATATCCAAATACCTTCTTCATTGTCCTTCAGAAATTCAATAACTTCAGTGATTTGATTTAATCTAAAAGTCTTAGGCAAAACATCCTCACACTAATTTTCTCTCAACAATTCCAACATGGATATTTTGAGCCCTAAATTATGAGATGCTTTAGGTATATGATTGATCTATATTGATAGTAAAATAATTATACAATCTATTAGCCTGGTTTGAATTCATAATAATTTATGCTTTAAGGACATTAGACCCACTTGATAAAATAATCATTTTTAAACGCATCTTAAACAGTATCCATTAATTCATAATTCTAGTTTCTGAAATAGGATTTAATTAATTCTGCATTGTTACCTTATCCAACATACACCCTTTGCTTATGTACAAAATCAGCAGGCAATACTTATTGTAAATTCTTAGCAAATACTGAGTATTTATCACTAACCCATATATTTCTATCATCTCTCCAAGGATGTTCAGCACAAAAGCTTTCACATTTTCCCTCTAACCAAGGTTGTATGGATTTATAATGATATTTAATATCATAGTAATTTTGTGATTCAAATTTGTATGTTTCAAATTCTTGAATTGCACCTTTTTACCATCTTGCAGCAATAGTTCTTTCACCTCCTAGATAAATTTCAACATGAACAATATTATGTTGGAAAGCTCTGCAAGATTTGTCATAGTAAGTTCCAGAGAGAAATATTAGATCCCCAGGTTTCAAGTCTTAAAACTCAATCTCCTTATCAAGTAAATCATATTAGTATGCTTAATTCCATTTTCCTAAAGTGAATCCAAAGTATTCTCTTAGATCATAAATTACTTATCTGATCAGTCCAGAACAATCTAGATACAGAGGAGCATTGTAGTGTGGAGAAGTTTCATCATGATATCTACTATGATAGGGAACTCCAACGTATTTGAATGCTTGTGCTATGAATTTCTATCTTAATTCTTCGTCAGGCATTTTCTCTTTGTTTGTCTAATTTAATATTTCATCAGTACCTTGTTGACATACTTTTGATATAGAAAATTTTGATTTCTTTTCACTTGAAATTGTTAGAAGCATGATTATAAATTGCGGTCCATTTAAATTTCAAATTGCAATTTTTGTAAATATATGTATTATTCAGTAATATAAATATGAATTTATAGTTCATAAAAGTTGATAAAATATTTCGAAACATTGTCCTAATCCATTTAATGTGATCTTATAATAATCATATGTATAATCTATATATTTTTGATGGATTATTTTTTATTTTTATTAGAACCAAATATTCCTTGCTAGTTCCTTTTATTATATATCAAAAAAATAGTGTTATACTAATTATTTTATCACTTGATTATCAATATAAAATATTCTGCTATTTTTTAATACTAGTTCCTTATTATATAAGATAACCTTAATTATATATAACTAATACAAGAGTTGAATTTAATATTTAATAAATTTAAATAATATAAAATTCCTAAATTTTTACACCATTATTGTAATTTTTTGAAAAGAATAAATTAACTCTTTTTGGTAAATAGTTGAATTGTAAAATTATTAAGTATTTCAATAAATAACATAAGACAAATAATAGATGTAAATAATTATAAACTATAAGTAATTTATAATAAGAAAGTAATATTAAAATGTTTTATTATGTTTATCAATCGTTTCACATCTATTCAGATTTCAAGAATTCACCAGTTGTACCTCCAAGAGGAAACATTTCATGAATTGGTTTAATTCCAGTCTCATGCAAAATTCCAATAGCAAATAAGAGAGTCATTATAATAATAAATGGTATAAAACAAGGACTCTTTACCATAGCTCTTTTAAATATTGTAAACATAGCATCATTTAGAGTAATTTGTTTTCTTCTTTAATGTTATTCTAATTCTTGATAATTCATTAATTTAATTAATAAAAAAACGTAATTAATTCTAAAATAATATAAAAGATGAGAGATATGATTGATATGAGAAGACTTAATCATTCCTTATTCATAAAAATGTAATTGATTGAAAAATTATTAATCTATGAAAACATTAATTTCTTGATTGATTAAATAAATGTATAAGATTTTGATATTTAAAATTTATATTATAATCATGATTCTGAATCGCTGCTATTTATAATTTATTCCTAACTTTCAACAGGAGGAGGTATATTTTTTTCTTATTTATTGATAAAATAATACTACTATCGCTAAATTAATTAGATTGTAATTATCCCAAAGATAACTAACTAGAAACTAGTTAATTTGTGATCAATGTAATACTTTAGGAGGTCGAGGATTTATTTTAAAAATTGGGTGTTTTTGGCTAGAAAGCCTTTTCTTCTTATGAATCATTGTCTTCTTTTGAGTCATTATCTTCTTTAATTTCTTCTTATGAATTATTTATATAATTCAATTCATCATCATTATCAAACCCTGAAATTTTGCCTTATATTTTGACTATCTTTCTAATTGTATCACCAACCTCTTATTAAGATGCTTATCGAATTAGAAAGTTTTATTTTTGTTCTTGATATGCTTTTTTCATATCTGGAGTAGATGGCAAATATTTCTTTGTTCCCATATTCTATTATTGTGGCTTATTCTACTTTTTATTTTTGGATAACTTCTCATGTATTTGTTATACAACAATTCCTAAACCCATTCCAAGAATGGTGTAACATAATTCTTCCATTGAATAATATAAAAATAATTATAATCTAAAAAATATATATGTATTTGATGTTATATTGTAAGAATCACTTTTTACCTTTGTTGGCTTTTGCAGCACCTTTTTATGCTTTTTGTTGAGCTTTGACTTCAGCTTTTTATGCAACTTTTTATGCTGCAGCAGGTTTCTTCTTTTAAGCTTCAATTTGCTTTTGCTTTCTATCCTTAATTTCTCTTGCAGCTTGTTCAGCTTATGCCTTTCTAGTTTCTAAGGATTATGAGAATATGCATTACTGTCATCTTCCTTTCTTCTTCTTCTGATTTCTTCCAAAGAAATACCAACAATAGCTCTTTAGACTTTAAGATTTCTGATTCTTCTCTTTTTAGCTCCTTCATCTGTCTTAATCTTTTTGTTTAATCTTCTCCAAGCAACAGTCCATTAGATTTCTTGAGATTTAATCTATATGTTAAGAGATTCAATACTTTTCTTGCACTAAAAGCTCTGCTCTTTTAATTCAAGTAATAGAAGAGTCTGCCATCCTTGGCTACGAATCTTCTTCCATGTCCAGGATAGATTCTCCATTCACTAAAAGAGCACAAATCTGTCTTGATAACCATTATTTAAAAAATATTTAAATCTTAATATTCATTCCATCGCAGATATTCATTACTACTCTTATCATTGTTTTATGCATTTCATTCCTATAACAATTCATTGACTTATACTTCCTATGCAGTCTATACTTTGCTCAATCCTTCCAATCATCCTAATTAACATTGTTCTTACCATTTTATAAACTTAACCATTTCTTATATTGATTATTTTCATTTCTAAACAATATTTTCTATTTATTTGCTAAATTACTCCAAGAGTTTATTCTACTATAATATAGGATAAAGAACCAAAATCAGACCCTCTATTTCAATGTCTATATATCATTTTTCATAGTCCTATATAGGTAAAATGTGCAACGTATTTCTTCAAAATATTTATATTATCAATATTTCTGTGAGGTATAATCGTTCTAGGTATCCAAGATATCTTATTTAAGACATTAACGAAATAATTACGATTGCTTTAATTAAATATAGTTAATAACTCCATTCTTATTTTTATAATATCTTGAGTGGTTCTATTTTTTTAAAAAGCCAACTCAAGGATTGTTTCTTTATATTTTCATTCAAAAATCTGCTTACAATTAAAATCTAATAAATGGAGAAGCAGGTCAATTCTATTTATAAATCAAATTTACTTGCGAAATACCATATTTTATTCTTATGTTTAAAAGCAGTTATCTTTTAAAGTGTAAATCACTTTATAATTACGACCAAGTATATTTAAAGATTTTGATATCTTTTTCAGATACATCAAATTTGAAAACATGTAGACTTAATCATGTTAAAAATCTATTATTATATAATTCATTATATTTTAACACTTCTAAAAGAATTACAATATTTAAAGCCTATTAAATTTTAAATCTACTCAAATTTAGAGCGTAAGAAACATAGAATTCTTTTGAATAAGATATAAGTATATTGAAAAAAAATTATTATTATTAAATTTAATTCTTCAATCAAGCATTTTTTCTAATTATAATACATATGGAACTTTTAATCATCTAATACTTTCTCAATTAATTTTGTTAGGATATATTGGCTTTTATGTCAGATTTTATATTAAGAATTTATTGAAATTCATTGTAATTCTAATAAAAATATAATTAAATAGAATATATTAATAGGGTTATTCAAGATTAATAGAATAAAATTTAGTACTTATAAGCCAATATCAAGGACAAAACCAATAATTAAATGTCATAAACATTAGTAGCGACTTAATTGAGAAATCCTGAACATGCTTATTCGGGCTTGACTTATGGTTCAAAAGAACTAGTTGATAAATTAAAAAAAGAAAATAAATTAGGAGAAAGTGATTAGCTCTTTGTAATAATAAATGGTTACATATTCGTTTTCAAAGGGGTATTAGTTTATTTGTGATTATGATAGGATGCAGATTATAGAAAGAATGAGATTGGTGCGAACAAATATTAGAGGGAGCTATTAAAAATGACTATTAGTTAAGAAGTTGAATTTCAAGTATTCAAATTGCCAAAAGACAAAGAGTACCGGTTAAAAGTTTTGGATTTAGAGATTGATATTTAGTCACTTGGAAATGGGGGAAATTAAATTGAGTTAGATGATGATGAATTTGCAAAGCTGTTCAAAACTCAATTCAGGGGACAATTTTTTAAGACTGGGTAAGTGTAGCTATTCCAACACAATCAGAATCATTATTTAATAAAAGTAATTAAAATTTAAATTGTAGGTAACACGAACAGAAAATTTGAGTGTCGAAACAGATTAAAATCTAAAGAAGTTTGTAGGTGGAGGGATGTTGTTTGACAATACAGAAATAGAATTTAGTGTAAGATCTGGGATATCTCAATTGAAGATGAAAAATGTCTAGAAGAAGACAGCAACATTGTTTAAAGATGACTTTAATTTTGATCAATTAGGAGTAGGAGGTCTAGACAAGGAATTAGCAGATATTTTTAGAAGAGCATTCTCATCAAGAAGATTTTCATAACAATATTTAGAGAAATATGGGATTAAGCATATTAAAGGGTTGCTATTGTATGGTCCTCCAGGAACAGGAAAGACTCTGATAGCAAGATAGTTGGCAAACGTATTAAGGGCTAGACCTCCAAAGATTGTTAATGGCCCAGAAATATTTAGTAAGTATGTAGGAGAGGCTGAGGAGAATATTAGGAAGTTGTTTGCAGATGCAATTAAGGATTAGGAAACTTTAGGAGATGAAAGTGATTTGCATATAATTGTATTTGATGAAATGGATGCCATTTGCAAATAGAGAGGATCTGTTTCATCGGGCGTTGGAGCATATGATAATGTTGTTAATCAATTATTGTCAATGATAGATGGCGTTAATTCTTTAAATAATATTCTTGTGATTGGTATGACAAATAGAAAAGACTTAATTGATGAAGCAGTTTTAAGACCTGGAAGATTTGAAGTGCATATCGAGGTTGGATTGCCAGATGAAAAAGGTAGATAATAAATCTTTTAAATTCATACTGAAAATTTAAGAAAGAATTAAGCCTTGTATAAAGACGTAAATAATGAAGAGTTAGCAACATTAACGAAGAATTATACAGGAGCTGAGATTGAGGCAGTAGTTAAATCAGCATCATCATTTGCCTTTTAGAGAATTTAGAACATTTTTAATTTTTCATAAAGAGTGAATTAGTAGGATGATTTGAAAATAACAAGGGCAGACTTTTAGAATGCTTTAGAAGAAGTGAAACCATAATTTGGATTTGATTCAAATAAATTCGATTTGCTACTTAAAAATTAATTGATTGATTTTGGAGATGAATTCTAAAAATTATAAAAAATGTTAAGAGGTACAATCAATCAAACTCGTTTTGGAAAGAGTTCAAAATTGAATTCAATTCTTTTAGAAGGATACCAAGGATCAGGTAAAACAAGTGTGGCTGCTTATTTCGCTGTCGAGTGTGGATTCCCATATGTAAAATTGATTTCGCCAGAATGCTTTATTGGTATGACAGAGGATGCTATCATAAATAAAATTAGTAAGATATTCAATGATGCTTACAAATCCTCTCTGTCTTGTATTGTTATTGATAACATTGAGAGATTGATTGAATACGTTGATATTGGACCCAGATTCTCTAATTCGATTTTATAAGCACTCCTAGTCTTGATTAAAAGATTACCAGATAAGGTATTTAAATAGTTTATATGTAGACTTAAAATAAATTAATGATAGTAGGAACTACATCTTCTTATTAAATCCTAAAACAATTGGGTGTTGTTTCTTGCTTCAATCTAACTTTTAAGGTACCAAATCTTTCAAAGAAAGAGGAAATTAGGACTGTGATTTACAACTATATGAATATCCCAGACAAAGATGATAAATCTGAAAAGTAGAAAAAATAAAGAGCACAAATTGAGAAAATTTGCTCAACAATAGATAACATTCCAATCAAAAGATTGTTGATGTTACTAGACATGGTTTGTACAGATGAGAATGAGTTGAACTACGAAGAATTTAAGTCATGTTATTAGATGGCATAGATGAATCATTCATGATCTTATGTTTAAAATTAATTAAAATCTTATAAAAATATACTTAAATTTAAATTTCTTTAATTAATAATTTTAAATAAATAACATCTTATTTTAGTTTGAAATTTAAACTAGTTATTATATCAGAAATATAAAAATTTCTAAAGAGTGAGTCTACTATCTGATAAGGAATCTAATTGAAAAAATCCAATTAAATCATTATTAATAATAAACATATATATTTCACTATTCTAATATTTCAGGAGTGGTAATTTTAGAAGCCTTTCTCTTTTTGAGGTCAAATTATATTTACAGAAGCTTAAAAATATTAGGATCCATCAAAGAGATAAGTTTAATAGTAATAGGATCATCCAAATTTTCAAGTAGTTCATCCAGAACTAACTATGCTTCTTGAGCTTTCTATTTTTAGGATTTGTACGGTTGCAACAAAGACGAATACATTTATGATTCGTTATATTACAAGTTACTAGGGTTTAAAGAAATGAGAGGTTTTGGTAAAAAATCGAAAAGCTGCACCTGTTATTTGCTTAATAGAATCATTTTGAGTTTATCAATTTCTTACAACTTATCGATAATAAATAGTATGTCCAAGCATTTCTCCAATTTGTTTATCGAGTAGTGCAATTATTTAAACTTTCCTACCTTTTTTCTATTAATCAAAATAAATGATTACCCACACTTTAAATATTTAATATAATCAAGAGGACTTAGTCTTAATTTCAGTGTAGCTATATTAAATAATTTCCTTAATGCATATCGAATGCCTTTCTGAATTAATTTATCATTTTCTGGTGAATTAGTAACAATTTGGGAAGACTTCTCTGCCCACCCAAAATTGCCATTTTCTAATTTTGTTGTTTTATGTGTCAGTCTCCCTCTAGGAAATCGAATAGAGGTCTTCGACTTTTATTAATTTATCATATTAGAGGGATCATTTTCATGAGTTTAAACGCCATCTTAGATAATTGTCAGTCTCTTTAAGATTTATTTGCTTCCATCCTCGTCATTTGATAATTTTTATCCCTCAAAATTAAACAGATTATTAATAACATCTAACTTATAAGATAAAGATTGAATAGGTTTGACCAAAATGGTAAAAACAAGCATTAGAACCTCCCATAAACCACCAGCTTAAGCCAAAATGTCTTATAATTTAGGATAAATTCTGTAACTTATATTCTCTGTGTTTGCCAATCGAATCAAAACTGATGCTAAGGCTTCTTCGCTATTAAAGTCTATAACTTCTTAAGTCTTCAAGTATCTAATTGTTGAATCCCTACGTACTAATTCATTTAATAGTCCTTCTTCTGTCAATGTGGTTATTGGTTGCATGAATAAGGTGATATCTTTCATAACTTGACTTGAAATTGTTGTCTGAATTTCTTCAACTTTCGGAACATTTGGTTTGAGGTAGTTTCTTAAATCAATATTATAAGATGACAATTGGAATAAAATATAATTTCGATGTAATTTTTATTAAATTTCTTCTTTAGACTTACAAACTGTACTGTTGACTATTTAGTTTTTAAATATTACTATTTTAAGTGTCATTCACACATTATTGAAAGCTTATATATATATAAGTGTAGTTTTCCTATTCGGGAGTTCCAATTAAACTGAGATTAGAAATGTTATTCCAGTCTAGGCAATATGTATTTTCAGAATCAACATCATCAAGTTAATCTTCCAAATCTTCATAAGGTATTCCGATTTTTGCACATTTAGATAGGGGAATTTTCGTTCTAGTCGATGACACGCTAGGTTTTTGATCATTACTTTTATAAATCATTGAACTTACATAACCTATGCTCTATTAACCATTACAGCGTTGACTTAGTATATAGTTTCATCAATATAATTTTTTTAATTTTCAGTTTAAAACGCAAACTATAAAGTGAAATTCTTGGAATATAATGGGAATACTGGAATCTCTTCATAGTATACCTCTGAATATAAGGTTTAAAATTCCTTTCTTTATCCCAATTACACAAATTTATTGATTATGTACATTAAAACGCAAGTAAACATCAAAATTGTCATGGATGTTCCAAATAATGACTGATGTGATTTTTTCTTATGGATCATCAACTCAACTGGGGATTAAAAAAAATCTAGTTTTCTCCCTAATTTTTTCATTTTTTTTAAGTTAGTCTGAATTCATATGAGTTATATTTAATAAATTAATTTATCGTATATTTCAATACATAAATTTATTTAGTTTCCTTTTCTAAATTTAGATAGGTTTTTTCATAATTATGATTATAATAATAATTCAAAATCATTTTTACTGTTAAAATCATCAAGATTTGTTTTTTTAGCAGGAAAGAGTGGGTCGATAATGAATCTCAAAAAATGAAATAATTTTTTACCTAAATAAATTATCTAATAGTCCTGATATAATTTTGGCTAGAACTGGACATCCTGTTTCAATACAGGGATTTGTATTGAATTCTATTAGGATCGGTTTAAACTCATTAGTAATCATGAAATCTAGACCATACAATTCAAATCCAAAAACTTGATCAGTGTTATTGATCTAATTAATACTTGAGGCACAAGCTATCTTAGTTAATTACTAATAATGTGACTTTTATTGTAATTTACCTTCATATTTTTATAAAGCTCTTCGAAACTGTAATTTGTATTATTTTATTTATTCTGTTCTATTAAATAATTCTAGAATTGCTCATACGAAACCTTATTACCTGAAATAATTATGAAATCAAAACCTTTCTCAAATTTGCCATATCCATTCATTCTATTTTGAATTGCATCATTGGTAAGATGGATCTTTTGATTGTCTAGTGAATCCAAACTAAATAAACTGCTTGAAGTACGGAGGTATCCCTTTTTATACCAAAATACTATCTACTTATTAATATGATCACTACCTTTTTTCGCTCCATTAATTATTGTGATAAGGCAATATCCCCTTATATCAAATTTTCTCTTTTGGTAAAGAAATGGGTTTTCTATGTATTTTTATAGAATGAAAGTATGATTTTACTAAGAAATATGTTAATAGATTTCATTTAAATTATTGTAAACTAAGAAAATAAAATAAAAATACCTTTTATTCCTTGTCCTCGATTGCTGTCCTCTCCAGGTTTAATGATCCAAATATTTTTGAATGTTGGATCATCAGAAACCTCATCAAATTTTTTCTTAAAATGAGTAAAGGATTCATCATTTGGTCCTTATATATGGAAAGTCAAAGGAATCAGAGTCCATAAATCTATTTAGTTTTCTTTACAATGTTTGCTTAGATTTAGAAACAAAAATTTCTTATCTCCTAATTAATTTCCTTCCTTAAGATGATTATGAATTCTAATAGATTAATTTTAATGATTAATTGTGAGAAGTTCTTTGACATTACTTAACTATAAAATAGGATTATTTGCTTACATTATTAAGAAGAGGCTAACTTTCAAGATTGTAATCAGCTAGCTTCTTCTTTGATTTTCCTTCCACTCGATCCCAAGCCTATCTGATTAATGCTTAATCGTTCGAATCAATCCATCCTTCAATTGTTTCATTATTAATTGATCTCTGGATAGGTCTAATCTCAGATTAAGGAAAATCAATAAATTTTTGTGTCCAAATAAAGTTAAAATCATCCTCCTCCAAGTTTCCCCCTACAGTCCACTAGGCACGCATACTAAAAATACTTTTAACCATCATGTGATTATTCCCTCTACCAACATAAAGCTTATAGTATTTTTAGTGTTATGCTGGTAAAACTTGAAGAGCATTTGTAAAATTTATGATTTAATTTATTTCTTATACGCTGGGACATTATATAAATTTGATATAACCTAAATCCCAATACCTAGTATCATCGATGAATAACTTTTTTTTTGTTTAGGATTATGGAGCTTGAACCTTTTTAATAGGGGAAGTAGTCCTTTCTAATTTAATTATAGGTATTAATCTCTTCAACGGTTTTGGAGTTGTCTCTTTGGGTATGGGTTGAACTTAAACTTATTTCACTTAGATTAGTTGTCCTTTCATGCTGTCCAATTCAATGTCTTTTTAGGCAACAGATTGACAACGTTATGATCTTTTTTAGATGTTCTTACGATGAATGGTTTTAGGAAAGACAATAATTTCATTATTGGTTTTTCCAATAAGTTGTTCTATTAAGGATTGATTTCTTTATTTTCTGTTATGCAACTCATAAATCTGAGATAGAAATTCATAGCTTGTTATTTCCTTGACTTTTCTAATGAAAGGAGGAAATTGAGGATCAAGAGATTTGACGATACTATGATTTGGAGTCTCCAATAATTATTCTTATTCAGTAACTGCAGGTTTTTGTTTTTTGTCTATTTATTGAAAGCTGCCATTTCTTCTCATCTATGTTAGGAATTATCTCACTCCAGCTTCTGTACTGTTGAGGGCAATTGACATATACCCTTACCAAAATTAGACGTTATTGTCTTGTTTTCGTTTTTAAGTTGAGAAGTAATCCTTAACATTATCGTCATCCTTGCTTAGTACTCGATTGCGCATAAAATAAATAATTATTATAAGTATATAGTTAATCAGAATATGCATTCGCTAAGTTAACTAAGATCTTTTTTGTGAATCATAGACAAATCCTAGGCTTGTTATCCCTAATGTTGCTCTTTTAAGTGTTTTTTCTTTTTTGTCAATTTAATTTACCTAAACCTGGGAGGTTCTGACACACATCTCGATATCAATATTTTTCTGTTTTTGGAATATAATTCTCTATGTAACTACAATAAATAATTCTTGAATTCTTTCATTTCGGTTGATTCTGAATATTCTAATTATTTGCAGCTCTAACTCCTTTATAAGAGTAGTAGCTTTGATTCATCTGGATAGGTGATTGAATATTTAATAATTTAATTGGTTGTATTATTTAATGAAGCTTACCAAAATTATTCTAGATAAATTATTTCATTTTTTAGCTTTTCTAATTTTTTGTTTTAAGTTTAAGAATTCATACATAATCGTTCATTTGTTACTAATAATTATTAATTTTATTTATAAATTTTATTATATTCTCCTTAAAGAATGTGATTAGTTGTGACTTGTTATTCAAATAATTTTTTATATCTTTCTAATTCATGGCATTTTTGAGTGGATATACTAGTATTAATTTGTCTTGTTTCTGTTGTGGATTAGCCATTATTTGAAAAGGAAGATAATTCTGTATCGCTTAAATCCTGCTCATATTCATTCATCAAACTTTCTTTAACTTTTCTGAATGTAACTTAATTCCTTAAAGCTTTTCGAAACTTCAATAATTCGAATTTATAAGTGGAATTTTCATTATTTAATTATTTAATTTTAACTTAATAGTGTTAGATATATTAATTATGTTTTAGAAGTTCATTTTTTAAATGCTCAATTTCATTGTGTAATTTTAAAGATATTTCATTTAATTATAAGAGATCCTTACATTTAACAGCCACTCCATCATTCAATACTGTATTGTTCTTTTCCTATTGTTAAATAGTATATTCTTTATCATGAATGATGCGGCGTTATTCTAAAATTTTATCTTCTTGTTCATGAACCAAATCCAAATAGAAGGCTTCAATTTGTTAACTCAATTAAAGATTGAGGAAAGCTTACACCTGTGAATGAGTGAGTTATTCCTTCAATGATGTAACCTGCTAATTTAATTGTTGAATTTCGAAAGAAAATATTTCATTCAGTTGATTGGTTCTATACTTTTGGAGTGTCAAGAGCAATAGATCGTTCTCTTATTTTAGCGAACGATTTTCAGATAATAAGAAATCAAGTTTAGCTTATTGACGTCGTTAGATTAGTTCATGAGAACCTGGCTCTAAGAAATTCATTTATTTTAATTTATTAATATATATATTAAAATATACATATATCATACTTTCACTTTCTTAACAGACTCAGATCCATCTTGTACATCTTCCTCGTCATTTTTTGCTTTCTTCTTCTGAGATTCCTACAATACCTTAGGTTTTTCAATATAAGTGTTCTTGACTAGAGATCTTCCCATCGAATTATTCTCCTTCTCTTTATCCAGTACTTTGACAAGGGAAATAACTCTGTTTTTGAGTTCATTTTCACTTTTGCACTTAAAGGCATGATCAAATCGAAACATAGGTTCTTTTCTAATAGATTATTTAAGCTAGGCCCAATTGCCATATCCAACTTCATTAGTCATATAGATCAAGAATTTATCATTTTCTAAACTGAAATACTTACTTTTGAACTTATTATACAGTTATGGTGTAAAGACCAATTCATATTTTGGTTGATGAAAATGTTTGCATTTCTCTTCGATTAATTTTTATCCATTTGTTTTTTACTCAATTAGCTTTTGGCCTCTTTCAATTTACTTGACTATCTTATCTTTTTCACTCAACCCATCGATTCTCTCCCAAAAAGCTTGAGCATAGGCTTTTACTTCATCTTAGGATTTTGTTTTGATAACTTCTTGGATTTTTTCATAAGCATCCTTACCATATTTTTCATTTGCAGTAATGAAATCTTAAAATTCTTATTTATTCCAATTCTTAAAGCCAGTTTCCAATAATCTTTTCTATTCTTAACGTTCATCTTAGGTGAGACCCCCAAAATCAACATTTTCATCATTTTCATTAGCTTTTTTCTGTGTTTTCTGTTAGGCCAAAAAGTCTTCTTCTTTTTATAGCAAGTATTGTAATCTATCCTTATTTTCATAGAGATGGTGTTCAGATAATTTAATTTATTTGCCTTATATTTTTTTAGAATTGGTTCCAATCATCATTGCTCTTTTGTCTCGATTTCTAGTCTTATTATCTTACATAAGATGATTGACTAAGGCATCTTCAAGTGCATCTTCATCTTCTTTATTTCTTTTGGCTTCATCAAAATAATCAAAGATGTTGATCTGTCCCAGTCCTAAATCCAGAGATTAGACTTTGTCTTTGAAATTTTCAAACTTCTTTTCAATTCTTTCATTCATTTTCTTTAGTCAATTGCTCACCTCTTTTAAGTAAGATATCAATATCTTCATCCTTGATATCATCTCCATCCAATTTGAAAATCTGTGAAGCTCCATAAGTGGTTAATTCCTTTAAGTCTTCTTTGGATAATAATTTGCCATTCTGCTTCTACTGAAGTCTCCCTTACTAAACCATAAGTGAATCCCAACGTAATTTAATCTATTATCTTTCGATGATCTTTTCTTCAACAGTATGTTCACAAGCCATTCTATAGACCATGACTCTGCTCTTTTATCCAATTCTATGAGCTCTATCCATGGCCTACATATCCATCTAGGGATTGAAATCAGAGTCATAAATAATAACAGTATCTGCAGTAGCTAAATTGATACCAAGACCACCAGCTCTGGTTGACAATAAAAATATGAATTTCTTGCTGTCTGGAGCTGTAAACTCTGCAATCTAATCATCTCTTGATTGTATTTCAGTTTCTCCGTCAATTCTGCAATACTCGTAACCTCTAAAATTACAATAATCTTCTAGAATATTCAACATCATAGTAAATTATGAGAAGATGAGTATCTGATGTTAGCCCTCACTTAATTTCTGTAGAAACTTATCTAAGACTCTCATCTTACCACTCACATCGACTAAGTGTTCTCCCAAGGCTGGTAAACTCTTGTCTTCAACTTCAGGGAATAGATAAGGATGTAAACAGATTTTACGCAATTGCATTAGTTTATTCATGTAAAAGCCTTTGTCATCTCCTTCATGTGGGTTATTGTGAATCAAGATATTCTGATACATTGATTTTTGCAGATTAGACATTTTAATAAACAAATGGATTTCCTACTTCGGAGGAAGCATCCTTTCCACTTCAGCTTTGGTTCTCCTTAACATGAATGGTCTCAATATCTTCTAGAACTTCTAGACCATTTCCAAATTCCTTTATTCCAATTCATCTTGATGTATGGTTTCATTTCCTTCTTTCAACTTTGCTTCTGTGTTTACTTCAAACCATTTGTCAAACACTTCTGATGAATCAAATAGATCAGGCAGTAAGTAATTCAATAAACTCCATAATTCATGTGGAGTGTTCTATAGGGGTGTTCCAGTAAGTAATAATTTATAATTAGTTCTAATTTTACGTAAGTTTTGACTGATGATTGCATCTTCATTCTTTATCTTGTGTGCCTCATCTATTATGATGTATTTGTATTGAAATCTTCTTATATGCTTTAAACAAATGTTGACTCCCTCATAACTTGTTAAACAAACATCAAATTTTCCTGGTTAAAAATATCTGTTTAATATTTCGTCCCTCTCTTCTTTTATTGCTATCAATTTTACTACTCTCATGCAAGGCATCCATATTTTGAACTCTCTCATCCAATTACCCAAAGTAGACTTTGGAGCCACTATCAAATAAGGTCCGCTAATCTTTTTGTACTCTTTCAAAAAAGCCAAGAATCCAATTGTCTGTATTGTTTTGCCCAACCCCATTTCATCAGCCAATATTCCATTAATTCCTTCTTCAAACAAAGAAATCATCCAATTCAATCCAGTCAACTGATAGGACTTCAATTATCCTCCCTTTAAAATAGTAGGCTGCTTTTCCAATACTGTGGGAGTATCATCGAAATCTTCTTCTTCACTCCCATCTTCAACTATCTGTCTATGTTTTCCTCTCTACTGACCTTGAACCTTCTGCTTACTCTCCTAGGTTCTCTTGTGTCGGTGCAATAGAAACATGGCATATTTCTCAGCATTTTCTAGTAGTGTATTTATCTTCGACTCTATGTTATCAAATTTAATCTATCTTAATATATATGGTCTTTACATTGGTGTTCATTCTCCCAGTGGACTTTATTTAACTCATGAAGCTCTTTTTGTCTTGTTCTAATTTTTTTATTCTTTCATCTTCTTCCTCTGCTCTTTATTCTTCATCACTTGCCAATTCCACTTGCAATACCTCGTTCTCATCATCGCTTTAATTACTCATTAAAATTAATTATGTTTTTGAGAGCTTCCAATTTTTCAATTAATCATCAAATTATTTGAGCCAACTTTTTATAATTAAAATTATATATATTAAATTTTATATGCATAATACTACTACTAACTATACATTAAATCAAATTTATTAATGCTTTCTTATTTCCATTGCAAAAACACCCCTGGGTTGAATACTCTAAAAGATCCATATCTCCTCCTATCAATAGGATTCTACAAGTAGAATTCTAGTTCACTCGTGTCATCCTCGGTTTATTCACTTTGGAGAGTCTTGCTATCTTTAATCATAAACTTAAATTTGTTCCTGAACTCATGTTGTCCATTGCAAACTTAACATATATGCTTATTTTCATGTAAATATTCAAGTAACTTATCCATAGCCTCCTTGATTACGCAATAAACATTATTCAAGCTCATTATTATTTTATTTTATATAAAACTTATCATTCTCTTTAAATCAGACAGTTAGAGTCATCTTCCAAGAGAAAGCCCATCCAAAATTATCTGAATTATCCTCTATCACAACCCAATTCATTAGACATAATTTAAAAATTCATATAACAGTATTAGAGGGATCAAACAAAAATATCACTATAACATCACTAGTAATTCAATACTGGAGATGTTTATGCGATTATTTTATGCTTTTTAAGGCTAAAATTTATACACTGGTTACTTGCAATACCAATGGAATGTTAACTGTGTTATTTGGATAATCATATAGAATAAAATAGTGATCAATTATTTAGAATACGTATTAATAGTTTATGACATCAAAACATTTTTATTTATAAATGTAAATATTATTTAATTTTTCAAGAGCATAATATTTAAATATTTGATTGATTTTCGCACAATTGATTTACCAAATTCAACATCATATATTCAGAAAGACTTACCTAAGAATCGGTAAGGAATTCTAAACGTTGCATCAAATATCGCAACCCTTTTTGGGTCATTTTATATATAATTAAAACAATATTATTTGATAAACAACTTAATTAAAATATTTTACACAAATATATTAAAGGGAGGTTGGCGTTATGAAGAATGAAAACTCAAATTAAAGTTAAGAATTCTATATAATTATCAAATTGTTTCTTCTTTGACTTCGTTATGGAGTTTTTGATAGTAGTTGTAAGAGTTAACTATCTGATGATTGAGTTATATTTCAACAACAAGTTTGGCACCATCTTATTTAATTTACTTAATCGAGCAAAATGATGCCTATTTCTTCTAGCCGATCAACTTTTTCACTTAATCAGGTACTGGCCTTTTTTCGGTTTTATAGTAATGGATCAATGACTTAGCACTTGAGTAATTCATCTTCAATTCCTTAGCTGCCTTAAATTCAAAAACATAAGTACTTGTTTAATCTTTTTCCCGTTTTTAAATACCTATTCGAAAAGCATTTACTAAGTTCTTAGAGGTATTTTATGATAGCGTTTTACACTGATTGTCTAAGTGTAAATTGGTCTGTTTTTTCTTGTAGAAACCTTTCTATCTGAAGTTTCAGAAGAGTATTACTAATGCTCATCAATAATCACCCCTGTCTTGCTCATTTTTATTTTTTTCTAAATCAAAGAATCTTATTATATATTGTATATTAGAAATCCCTATTGCGTATTTGAATCGCAAATTGACATAATATATTGAAATTAAATTAATTAGAACAAGAAAATATTATGATAAATATCTTATTTTCAACTTTTTCAACTTTTACAACTCACATGCACAATGTCCAAAGCCACCATGGTGGGATATTCATAAAATAACTACTGTTATATCCCACTTTTCTTCGTAACTGATATAAACACCCCACTCAACTATTGTATATGCAGTATAAATCTTTTGATCTTTAATAAGCAATTTATTCTTTCAACTTTTAAATATTAAGCCTTTCCAAAATTGCCTTATTTTAATAAAAAAGTAAAATACTTCATAAACAAAGAGAGCCAAATCTCAGTTTGACTGAATTTCAATCATGAATTAGATTTTTACTTTAATTTTATCTCTTTAAAAAAATAAATAAATGAAATACAATCTCTTTAATTTTTCTATTACCAAAATCTCATAACCCTATCCATCATCTATCTAAATATTTATAAATTGAGCACTTCTAGAAAATTAAGTTATCTTTATATTTTTAATAATTTTATATACATAGATTGATCAATCACCTTAACTTTGTAAATATCAATCATAATTAAGTCTTATCAAGAATTATTTCAGATTAAACCTAATAAGAAATTTAGATGTCTGATCAGCATGATTTTTCAATGATTACAATTATTTTTTCATTAAGAGAACTACTTCTTTAATACATGTATATATTTAAAACTTATTTATAATATAATTCATCCCATTATGGCTTTGAAGTCTGCAAAATTGATGTCTTTTTCTATGATGTTCTTAACATTAACTTAATGATCATGGGTATTTTGATGATGATTAGATTTTGTATCAGAAATCGACGTCCATTTCTAGTCCAAATTAGAATTCTAATCAAATATAGATTTTATAGTTTTTTGTGTGATTTATTTCTCCTGTTGACTTAGAAAATCAAAAATTAATTGCAAATGATTAATATACTCTTGTGGGGTTAAAGTAATTGCAATAAACTCAAAGTAATCTAAATAACCGTTATTATTGCAATCTAAATAAGGCCAAACTTTTTGAATATCCTATTTGTTCACTTTTAAATATGATGCTAATTCTGCTTATGTAATCAACCCAGATTGAGACGTATTGATAAGGAAAAAGGCCATTTTCTATTATTTAAGATCTGATGAGTTGATTTAGGTTGCCAAATAATATAAACCCAATCTTTTCAAAGCGTGAAACTTTACCCATTGAGTTATCGTCAACATGGAAATCAACTTTTAATCTACCTAAAATTTCTGATTGAATTTTTCGACCAATTTGTTTGCTAACAAATCTTTTGGTGAAGATCTTTAAGCTGCAGGACATATCTAAACCTTTATAAAATCTTTAATTTCTTATGGTATTTATTACCATTCATCACCTTTATTATAATTATAAAAATAAAACCTTCGAATTATAATTGGGCATTTCTGATTTCTGTTAATATTTCCTTTTCGTTTTCTCCATAAAATGGAGGATACCCACATAAAATAACATATAAAATGACACCAGAAGACCAAATATCACATTTCGAATCATAAGAACCTTCTAATACTTCTGGAGCAACATAGTATGCCTATAGATTTAATGTAAAGTATACTGTGCCGCTTTTAGTTTTTAATTTATCGACTCCTCTTTTGGCAATTCCAAAATCGATAACAATTAAGGTGTTCAAGTCATCCTTTTTTTAAAATAAAAAGTTCTCAGGTTTCAAATCCCTAAAATCTCTATGATAAGTACCTGTGAACTATTTTGAATCCTTGATAATAATTGACAGCTCTCATGTATTGAATATACACTTTAAAAGCGTCATCAATTGATAGGTTACCTTTTTCCAAAACCTTACTCACATAAACATCACCACCTTAACAGATTCTAGCTCAAATTCAAATAATACTCTAAAACCATATATAAATTCTCGTTATCCTCAAATGTTTCAAATACTCTCAGTATATTGGGATGATCCTTAAATTGCTAATTTTATTTTCATACTAATAGCTCCATAATTGTTATCTCACTTAGTAACCTCTCTTTGTATTTAATGTTCAGTTTATTGATCACCTTCACAGCTCGTATTTATTTGGAAACCTTATGAATTGCCTTGAAAACACTTCCGTAAGCTCCTTGTCCAATTTTCTAAATTTATACATTTCCAATATATTTACATCTTTAAGATCATAAGAATACACCGAAGAAATGGACACTGAGTTACGTCTGATCAAAGTTTGTTTGTATATATGAAAAGCAGATGATTTTTAATCCATTATTTAAATTTAGCAAAAAAAATTTAGATTCGTTTAACACTATATTTATGTTATATAATTAATAATCCCAATTCATTATCAATAATTTTTCAATCTTCCGAAATGAAATATAAAATCATTTACAATAAAAATAAGTTGATAATCCATATACTAAGATATCAGTAAGCAAATAATTGGTTTTATATTTGTATTAGTTAAAATACTTATGTAAAATAATAATTGGTATATCCTAAAATTAAATTTGGGAAGAATAATAATGGAGACAAGGCTGAACTAATTTTGATTCTTGTTGAATTATATGAAATATCAGAAAACTGAAATACTTAGCCAAAATAATGTAAGTATATTTAATGATTATTTATCAAAACATTGATACCATGTTCCTTATGGTTTTATTAAAATTTATAGTGATCCAAACTATATATTTAAATATTTAAATTTGATCATTTCTATAAAACTCAAAAAATCAGATGAATTGTGAAAAATATAAACTATTATAATTATTTATTTCTATAATTCCAAAGCATCAATTGGATTGTAATAATAAATTTATTTTACACATAATTTTAAAATCATCCCTTGACGAATAATTGCTATAAAAATGCTCTGACTAAATGTTTGAGGTTTTCTATAATCATTAAAGGTGAAGTTGTTTTAAACGCAATAGTTAGACTCATGTACAAACCCAAAGCAAAAAGTATATAAAGAGAATATTTGACAATATTAATTAATTTAGCTGCTCTTCTATCCGATGTTGTAACCTCACCAGTTAAATATTGCTTTGCTTATTTTTTAAAATAATCTTCTACTAATTGTCTATCTTCAATTGAGAGATTCTTAAATATTTTATTTTTTCTTTCATCAGCTTCTATTTTTCTTTACCTCAGAGCCTCCATATCATCATTTGTAGTTTATGAGTCAAATTTATTTGATTATTCTTATTAATTTTATTATTTCAATTTAGTATGCTCTTCATCATCCTCACCTTCAACTTTTACTTTTTTTTATTAAGTTTCAGTCTTATTCAATACAGCCAAAGCTATAAAGCCAAGAATCATTCCTCCTGCAATCACATAATAGTGATACATATAGATATTATTATTTAACTTATTTTATATTTAATAAGTGTTTTACTTGATGAGTAAAATACTATTTTTAATGAAATGGAAATCTAATCCTTTCCATATATTAAAAATATAACAAACAATTTAAAATTCATTCGTGAGTTGTATAGGATCGTAGTTTAACGCTTTAGTTTATTTTTTAGTGTTTTTTTTCTTTTAGAATTGCATATTTTGATTATTTGTAATTCATTTATAAAAAAGGAAGATCTTATTTTAATAATTTAATAGTTTGATTTTTTTTTGTCTCTTAACTTTCAGAAATATTCCTAAAGTAGATTTCTGGAGTGTCATTTGACATAGAATCAGCAAGTCTTATATCATTCAATTTAATTTTTCCTTAATGAGGATTTTGTTAAATAAATGGCTTGTCAATTTCTTTATGTTCTTCTTGAATCAGCGGGGTGATACTTCTCGAATGCTACTATTAGATATATTATGCTCTCTATAATTGTATTTGAGTCATTCTTAAGAGTTTTTATTGTAAGACATCCCCAATATTGCTTTCTAAACCAACTAATTAAGAAAACTCTTTTTTTGTCAACTTCAAACTTTGATCATTTAATAATTATTTTAAAATAGATTTTGATTTCAAATCTTAATTATTTAAAGTTTTAAAAGATGTACTCACCCTAACAGGTTCTGTTTCCATGCGAATATCACTTTTAACATTATTGATTATTTTTGCTAACCTTTATTTCCTTTGGATTGAGGAGTTAACAATGTTTGTGACTTGGGTTTGGAGATTCAATTTTTATCCTTAATTTTTGAGATTTAAAGCGTGAATCTTTGTTTCTGGATGAACTTTAAGTTCATTGCTAGCTGCTTTTTGTTTGGTCAATATAATAGATCCATCATTATCAAATGTAAACACTCCATTTTTGCATTTTCTTTTTAGATCCAACAATTATTATTAAATTTACACTTTCTGTTACTCTGATACATGTTTATTGCTAACAAAGAGTATATATATTTTTTTACTATCTTATTTGTTCTTACTACTTTTTTTTCATTTCATATACACCTCTATAAAATCTATCCTCATCATCCTCTTCTTAATCCATCTACAACGGGATTGGAGAAAATGTTATATGCAATGAGCCTTACTGGGTTTGTTATCGTTCTTATTTATTCAATGAGGATTTCCTAAATGAGGTTACTGAGGATTTCATAGAGGATTTTTGCGATGCTTTTCTAAATTTTGTAACAGATGTTATAAATTATTACTATGGTTCTGGAAGAATTTCAACTTTAATAGCGCTTTATAAGTTATCTTTGATTGTATTTGCAGGTTCCAGATCTTCGCTGATGTCGTCTTGCAGAGGTAATTTACGAAAAAAGGATTTCATCAATTCCTAGATTAATGTGTTAGATTCATTATAAGCAACTAAGGGGAGCAACCTTTTGATGTTGTGATCAAGGATGAGCATTCCGCAGTTGTCCAACAAATCTTCTATGGAAGATTGGACTATGATGTATTTCTCAACCAAATGTTCAATTTTACGTATCGATAAATTTGACATTATTATATATATATTATATTATTAAATGTTTTTATAATACTGCATTAAAAAACAATAGTTTAAAACTATGTATATTGTGAGGATGTATTGAAACAATAAATATGAATACGGAAGTCTCTTTGCGTTGATTATGTTTTTCTTTATTTCTTATTTTAAATAAATCACTTTTTCCTTTTCAAGAACAAATTCCTATATTTTTAAGTCCATGAAGCTGAAAATGTGGGTTCTAATTTATTTGAACTGTTTTCTAATTTAGTTAATCGATCTTCAAATTCCTTAAATTCATTCCTCACATTAATAGGAGTCTGAGTAGGAGGTTTATCCTTTTATTTTTGAATAGTTTATGTGTTTTTTTGAAGAGGTTTAAATTAATTACATTCACTATTGTGCAGAGGTTTTTAATATAAACTTTAATCTTACAAAATCTTTACTAATGTTACCTTTTACTTCATGCGTTCTTTTGTATATTGTTGATGCACCTTTCTTGAATCCTGCAAATTCGGTCTCTTTTTTTTAGCAATATCGAAATGGATTTCAAAAAAATCTTAAGAATTATATAATCGATGTACCATAAGGACATGGCGTATTAATTTTAAATAAACTGTAATACATCTCATACAATTTTTCTGTTTTGAGACTAGTAGCTTAGAGACGATAATGAATTTCCCACAGATGTTCAACTTACTTGAAATTCTCTTGAGAGAACTCTTAAAGCAATTCCTATTAAATAATGCATTGTCAGAATACTGAAGCATAATCTCTCAAGCATATTTTAAATATTTCAATAATATCAGATTCTTGATCCGAGGCAATTTTATTTTCAAACATTTTCATCATCCTGGGTTGGATACTGCATAAATGCTTCTAATTAAAGGGTGCCAAGTAAAACTCCATAATTAATTAATTTAAGGTCTAAATATTGGAATCGCTTGAAACATCATTTGAGATAAGTGACATAATTATAAAATATTTTAATATATGCAACAATTATGAATTATTTATATATACGTACAAATCATAATATTTATTCTAAAAAGTAATTGCTGTCATTCTACTCCGTCAATAACTATTAATATTTGTTCAATACTTTATTCCACTCATCCTCAAACAATACATTCCCCTATTCCCCCAGTTGTCTCTCAGACCTTTGTCCAAACTTAATAATAATAAACTCCTCCTTGATTGGGATACCCTCAAACTTCCAACAAGCGAATACTATCACTTTCTTGTACCTCATAAAAGCAACTCCATCCTTGGTTAAATATCTATCATTCCCTATAGTAATTAAATTAGGATGAGCTTAATACTTATCAGCTATAGAGTTAATAAGATTAGAATTGCAAATTCCTTTTGGTTTTGGAATCAATTAGAAAATCTTATCAATGTAAGCCGCGTTGTCCACTTTCCCAATCAAAGGAGCAAATTCATGGTAGTCCTCTTTTAGAATTCCAAAACTCACCCTATCATTTGGCGAATTAATGTTCCTGATAATGTTGTGAAGTGTCCTACAAGCTCTGACAATAGCCAGATCCTACTTCATATTCTGGCTTCCATCCAAAATGAATATCCAATCCTTAGCGATTGGTTAATATTGGATTAAGAAGTCATTAATTTTCACAAGAGGTCTGCTGTAATGCTAAAATATAGCCTTCAACATCACTAACGCTTATAACCGATCTCTACTGCTAAATTTACCATTCACACATAGTGATTTCACCAGCAATTACGCTGCCTCTAACTTTAGATTTTTCTTATATAAAACCAATCCATGTGATAAGTATAGCTTCTATTCAAGAAGTGAAATATGTCCTAATTCTGTGTCCTCATTTTCTTGCTGAATTTTATTGTATTGCTCATAAGCAATTAAGATTAGATCTTCGCTTTTGCTCATTTGACCATATTATAAATAGCCGATAATTAATTTTTGAGTTATGTACAATTACTTTTACTTCTTCTTGTTCAAATGAAATTGCATTATATCTTAACAATACTCATAAGTTCTAATGGTGTCTCTCCATAATTATTGAATAAGGAACTCTATTTCCTTCTCTGTCACCTTTTCTATGTTATGGATTATGATGTTATTTTAAAAGTCATGAGTCCCCAAAAATTATGATCGAATAGTGAACATTATGTCATTCAATTTTTGAAGATCAAGTACATTTCTTTTGGCATTCCCTTTTATTTTGATAATCTTTTCAATTGATTCCTACTCCTCATCTTAATCTTAATTAAAAACTGAAACAGCCTTTTGTCTCGTGGCATGTGTGTTTTCAAGTTAAGCATACATCATATTTTCCATATTAAATAATGATTTTCGTTGAGTCTTATGAGAAAATAATAATTCTTGTAGTTCTAATATTTCAGATAATAGAAATTCACTGAGGGCTTCACAAAGATTAAAACAACGATTGAATACTATTTTACTTAAGTTCTGATATTCCTGATCTATGATTAGTTCGTCCTCATAAATTCCAACACTCTAATATTTGTGTTTGTATTTTTCCCATTCATTCTCAATGCAGATTATTGCTTCCTTGAAACAAAAGATTGCCTCTTAAAATCTTCTATTTCTTATGTGAATGACTCCCATATTATTCTGAATGACTCCTGCTCCCAATCTGTTGCCGTTCTCTAAATAAAATTGATTAGCTACTGCGTACCCAATAATTGCTTGACCATCATTACCTTATATAAATGCTTCATTTGCTATTTTGACAATGCCTATAAAATCATAGACACTTCTCAATAAGAGGATCATTTCATCTGGGATCAGTTTCGAAGATTCTCCTTAGAGTCTTTCGGAAAAGTATTCATCAATGTTGTTTTGATCTATGTTTCTCAGGGAATGGGTGAGTTCATCAATGGGGGAAGCCACAATCAAAGATATGGATTTTGCATAGTAATTGATTACGGCGATTATTAAAACAAATTCGATTGCTGCCAAAGATAATGTTATTTAAATTATTTTGCTATTATCTGAATTCAGTGTCGACTTCATGTAAGTGATATTTGCAATTATTGTTTATAGTGAAGACTCAAACTTATTCAGAATTCCGAGATTTTGTGATTAATGATATGTCATTGTGCAAACCAATTAATCATTCTGAAGGATGTAATATTAAGCACCGTCACCATATATCACGGTATTGGCAGCATTATAGTTGATCAAAGGACTATTGCAAAGCAGCGCTAGTCTAATGTATATAGAATCTACTATAATATGGAGGAGTTTATTCTGTTTATTCCGTTTATGTTCCCAAACTGCTTATGCATTCATTAACTTGATATAATTCTACAAACCAGGGATAGAAAGCCATAAAGAATATTAGTACTGTACAAATTATAAGAGGAGCAACAAAAAGTATGCGAATTTATTTCGTAAAAATCATTAAATAAAACATTGTATAATCATCAATCAATTCGTAATAATAATACAATGAATTTTTTTGTATACTTCATCCTATGATGAATGTAGGATCGTCCACATTTCGAAATATCTTCTCCCTTCAAATAATCAGTATTGTAATTTTATTAATTATTGCTTATTTTTTATTATGGATTACGATGACTTATACAAGGTCTTGCCTAAAGATCCTAAAAAGTGGAAACTCGACGATGTGACCATTTGGTTGAAATTCATAGGACTACAAGACTTGGATGTCAACTTTAGATAGAATTCCGTTGATGGAGCATTATTGAGTACATTGGATGATAATGATTTAAAAGAAATGGGAATAGCAGAATCCTCGTTGAAAATTAAAAAGTTAGTCTAATGTAATCAATATCTATAATCAAAGGGATTAAAATTGGTTTCAAAGAATATTCTGAATTTTTGAAATCATTAGAAAAAGGTCAAACTTTCGATTCTCAAAAATAGATTATCAATCAATAACAAGATGAAAATAATACATCCAACAACCTCGTTGTTTCCAATCAATTTAAAAGAAGTTCAATAAAAGCTGCAATCTTTGAAGATTAAGTCTAAAGTATTTAATCGTTCAAATAAACTGTACAAGAAGATAATAATGTACATGAAATTATCAGATCAACACATATGAAATAAGATAGTAGTCCTTATTTATCCAACATTACTAATGGCAATTAGAGAATCTTAGTCCCAAAGGAGGGTGTTTCAATTGGGAGAAATCCTGAGAACACATTAGTACTCAAAGAAGACTATGTTAGCAGATAGCATTGCAAGATCTTTCATAAAGAAACCAATGGGAGCTATTACCTTCAAGATTTAGGATCTTCATCTGGAACTTATGTCTAATTAACTAATCCCACTCTATTGAAAGAAGGATTGATTTTACATATGGGTTTGGGTTAGTTTTTGATATCCAAAATTAAAATCCAAGGGAGTAAATGTTCTGTCTTCATCAGAGTTTTGGAAGGTATAATGGAAAATAAGAATCTTGATTTTGAATTAACTCAAGATTAGACAGCTCTAATTTTTGGAAGGTAGATGTCAATGTTTGCAGATGACACAGTAAATATGCTCAAATTTATATCAATAGCATTTGAGTGGTCAGCATGCTTAGTTCACTTACATAGAGGAAGGCTTAGTTATTGAGGATTTAGATAGTAGAAATGGAACCTGGTTGAGATTGAGTCCTCCACACAAACAAAGTGAGCCTGTTAAATTAATTGATGGAAGACGATTTAGATTAGCATTTGAGTAGTTTTTTGAATTTCATTCAGATTGATTATGCATTCATATTTAAGCTATTAAAACAATATTGTTATATAGTCCCAATTGATAATAATATTCATTTATCTCTTAATAATATGATTTAAAATGAAATCGCAGAATGCATGAAGAAAATGACGACTTATCTTGATTTGAATGGATATAAGAAATTTAAGCTGTTTCAGGCTTAGCCTAATTATTTTGATTTGAATTATGAGGAGAGGAAAACATTATTATAAGCTCCTTCTGTTGATCACTTATGCAAATCTATCATAATGGAAAACACAAAGTACGATGATTCATATCCAGATCATGAAGTCAACCCTAAATTCATTTGCGTTGTAGTTCAATATATCACAAAACTTTAAGGGGAGAAGGTATAATAATTAAGAACAATATTAGATTAATAAATATTTTAAATAGTTATAGAATCAGAAGTACCCAAATAAATAAATATCTAGAAATAAATTACACTTCAGATTAACATCAGATGAAGTAAGTAATTTTTTATTATGTAAGATGTCATATCAATTAAGTGGGTATTAATTTAATGCTATAACACCTTTTAACATGATACAAAATATGCCATTGTTGATTTCTGATAGAATATTGAACTTAGAGTATATATGGTTTGGAGGTGGACATACGGATGTTAAATTAAGAATGGATATCAAAGAGATGTGCACTCTCTATCCAAATAAAGTCTTTTATTCAGACATAATTATGCAATAGCAAGAATAATGAAAACCTAAATAATCTTAATATTTGATAATTAATCAACCAATAACTAATCTATTAGCACCTGCCTTCATTTGTTGTTTCTAACCCTAATCATTCGATAACTATTAGAGTTTGACATTCAAAATCTTCTTCAAATCACTGAAATAATTCATCTATGAAATTCTAATATTATATTACTTGTCTCAATGAAGGTTCATAATTCTCTTTAACAGCTTCTCTTTGCTACTTAAGATTTTTGATATTCTCTTCTAATTTCAATATTCTCTATTGAAGCATTTCAGAATTGGATTTAAATTATGATGATAATTATTTCCCTCCTTTGCCATACTCAACCTAAAAGTATATTATGTATTTGTACTTCATCATTTAATCTTTAAATCTTGATTTCCAAAATCTCAGAACTGTATTTGTTAAGTTTGATTTTCCTATCCAAACCATAAACTTCATCTCTTAGTTTTTTCACATCATTCACTAAGGTGCTTTGATCGTTCTCAACTCCCAACATAATTCTGTCAAATTCTTATTTCTTCTACTTATGCACTTATTCTAAATCCTGCATATATGATAATATAATTTACAGAGTATTATTATCTGATCGTCTTGATTTCTGCCAATTGTTCTTATATTAAAGGTCTTTTCAATTGGATTTAGGCTTAAATTTCATTAACAATTTTTGAAATCTCCTCTAAAGTTTAGCCTTTTTTTAGATTCATTTATTGATTTTCTTCTGATAACTTCTCCAACCCTTCCTTTTTCTTGCTGTAACCAACAATTCCATGAGTCTTTTCTAATTCTTATTACTATTTAAGCAATTCATTCTTTTATTTCCTCAAGATCTATTCTGTTCTTTCCAATGTTGCTCTTTCAGCTTAGAGTGTTTTCAGTTCATCCTTTAGTTTTTGATATTGAAATTTCTTATCCTTTAATTAATTAGCATATTCCTTAAATTCTCCTTTAGACTTATAATTAGGTCCTCTTTCTTTTGCAATTTATTCTTCCTTTTTAAATACCTCCTTTTCAATTAATTACTATTCTTCCTCAACTTTTTTGATATCCTCAACAGCCCTTTCTTTCTTCTTGGCCACTAATTAGGCTTGTTATTTATAGATGGTTAATTTATCATCTTCAGGCTTGGCTTCTCTCTTCAATTTGTCCTCCATTTGATTAACTGCTCTTCTTAAGGCCATCAAAGTATTTTCCAAATTATTCAATTCATTCAAAGTAATGGGTGGTTCAGCAAGCAGTCTTTCAATTTGTTCTAATTTCTTCCTTCGTTCCTTTAAATCGAATCCCAATCTATCCTTACTGATTTCCCTATTTCTTTTCACTTCATTCCTCAGAGCCATCAACATCTATTCTGGTGAGTTATCGGGAGCCAAAGACTTTTAGGCATCAATCAACCTTTATTAGGCTTACAATAGCATTTAATCTGTTTGATCTAATTACATTCTTTGTTATCTTAACTTATCCTATAATCGGGCTTCTTCTTCTTATTCCCTTCTTAACATGTTTGTAACTTCCAACAATTCGTTGAAATTGGGCTTTGAAGAGACTTTGCTTTTGAAATTGCTTATTTTGTTTAATAATTATTCTCTCTCCTATTCAAATTAAGTAATGTCTTTTTTTAATTCTTCTGGATTCATCGATTATGATTAGACTTGCTCGAGTGACTGATGATGGACTTAGAATTAGGCTTGTAAATCTTTGATTTGATCTGCACAAGTCTTGATATCATTGTCCATTTGAAATTCATCAGGCACGAAGACTGGCACTAAATACTTGGCAAGGTAGGCTCTCTTTTCTAATTCTGGATATCTAGTTAATAAGTAATGAAAAATGGGATAGATGACTTTCTTGTCCGCAACCAAGACTGATTGGGACCATTTATCATCAAACTAGCCTGGGTAATTTAGAATTCGTAAATACTCAGTAATTTTGTAGATAATAGTTTCTTGATTATCTACTTTAATATCTATAGTCCATCTAGAGTCCAGATGTGTAAAGATTTTATTTAACAGTTCCAAGAATTCAAATCTAAAATAGATTTCAAGAATGATTACTAATTCTGTTCGTCGAAGGATACCAAACTATAATTCTCATTGAATTTATTATTTAGGATTGCCACTATATCTTTGATGTCATCTGTGTTGATGACAGTTTTGACTTATTGTTCTCCTGAATAAGATGCCATTTTTAATTATATTAATATATATTTAAATTCTCATACAGTGCATTATTTCTACTCTAGAATACTATTGCTCTAATAGTACAAATTCTACACAATTGTTTGTCTTCGAACAACCTCTAATTCTTTGGTGTACTTATCCATGACCTAATTTTTAAGATCAGGATTAATCTTCAATTCTCTGAAATCCTATTTAGCCCTCCTGATGACATATTCTCTAAAATTGTAATCTTTGAATTGATTTCCAGCTCTAAGAATTGATTTATATAATTTCAACACTGATTTATCCATTTAAAATAATTCACAAATAATAATAATGAAATTCGTTTTAATTGTGTTTTTAGCATTTGCATATGCTAAAGTTGGATGTGATACTGATAACAAGGAAAGAGTAAAGGAAAGAGGGATGTCTAAAAAGAAGGAGGATGAGTTAATGGAATTGCATAATGAACATAGAAATGATGTAGCTTTGGGGAAATAAAAAAATTGGTAAGGGAAATTTTAGACTGCTTCAAATATGAATTATGTGAAATGGGATAATCAATTGGCGAGATTTGCATAAGAATGTGCAGATAAATGTCCAGCCAATTTTAGAATTGATTGTTCTTTTCCTCCTCAATATGGTTCTGTGACATATTTAGGTGATGTTGAAAATGGTGGTGCTGATTGGACTGCTAAAAGAGTTTTCAAGAAATGGGCTCAACATGAAGATCATGCAAGACAAATTGAAATGGCTCAGGTCCAATTCTTTGGTTGTGGCAGATCATAAGTTAGTAGAAAGAATGGTATGAGTGATGAGATCGTCGTTTGTGTTTACAATAGGGTAATATATCACCATATCTTAGAAACCAAATTTACATGGAGATGTCTATAAAGCAGGAGTTTCAGGTTAAGAATGCTTACATGGACGCAAAAAGGGATTTCTAGGTTTGTGCAAACATAGTGCTACTGATATGAGTGTTTTAAATTTCAAACATTAAAAAAAGCACAATGAATATAAGTTTCATCAATAAGATGTTAAACATCACAAGGGTCATAAGCATCATAAGAATAATGAAGGACATAAAACATTTTATTGAACATCAAATCAAATTTTAACTATTATTATTCAATGACCAGCTAACTAACTATTTGAATTCTCATTCATATATCCAAATCTTCCATACTAATTCAATTTAATTTCCCATAATGATATATATTAATATAAATATTTATTAATTTAAAATGTACTTTTTGAATGACTCTAAAAGTATGTATTTGATAACAATAATAGGAATCTAGGAATTGGAATGGAATTTCTCACTTTTAGTCTTCTGCTCTTCCTTTTAAGCATAATCTTGTTCTTGGATAGAGCATTCATAGTCATGGGCAATTTATCATTTTAATAGGATTATGCTTGTTCATTGGAATTTAAAGCACATTGCATTTCTTCTTGAAAAAAGGTAAGAATATTAATAAACAAAGGCAAATTAAAAGGGAGTATTTTCTTCTTTTTAGGATTCTTTGTAACCATTGTATTTGAGCTTGCCATTATTGGATCTCCATTATAAATTATGGTCTGTTTCAATTGTTCAAATCATTTTTACCCTTTCTATCTGATAGTGCATACAAGTTACCTGTCATTCGTAGATAATTAAGTATTTTAATTTAATATGATAAAGAAAATCCTTAATTAAAAAAATGTTTGAGGAATTCTCAGCAAGGGTCCATCTGTCTGAAATTTATATTATTAAGTATTATTTATTCCTGATAATTCCCTAGACCTCTTTTTATTTAAATATTAATAAACAGCTGGTATCACAATTTATTAATTAATTGAAAGAAAAAATAAAATGATTAATTAAGAATGTGATACTAAAATTAAATAACAAGCAATTAAGAGTGCTTTAAAAAAGGAACTACATGTTGAAGATCAAAGTAATTTATATGCTGAACATTAAAGTGTTTCGACGTTACGATAGGAAAGGCAGATAAATTGCTTTCGGTTCTAAATATGAAGTTACAATTGATGAGCATGTTCAATTTTTGCAAGCAATCCCTCCAGCCTCGACTCCAAGAGATAGAACAAAGTCACCGATTGGTATGCCTTTGAGTGCTAGATCACCTAGGAGCAAGTCTCCACTTATGGACAAAGCTGAAACTGCCACTCCAATTTAAAATTCTCAAAAAAAATTGGAATTTACAAAAAAAGAAGAGGAATCTTTAAAAATATTAGAACTCAAATATTAAAAATAAAAAAAGCTTAGCAAACAACCCAAATAATGCTGTATTATCTGGTGATATATTTATGAATGAGTGTTATTATATTTATATGAAACTAATTATATATTGATTAAATACCATTTTAAATAGGCTTAGTTTCCAGAAAATCAATATTCCTAACCCTCATTAATATTCAAACCTGCATTCACTTAAATAAAGACTATCATTTATTTAGAGCATTTAAATGTTGAAAGTAGGTAAAAAAGGATTCAGTTTCAAAATATGTAATTATTATCAAGTGAAATTGTAATGGATAAAGTAATTTGAGCTTGCAATTTGAATTAGAATAAGATAGAATATATAAATTAGCAAAGATAGCCAAAAGGTTATAAATAATTTATAACCTTGTGTTATAAATTAGAAAAGATATAAATCAAGTAAAAGATTACAAATTATTATAAAAAAAACTTTCAAAAGCCATAAATGATTAATTAGTCATCCAAAAAGAGATACTAGTTCTTTAACATGTTAAAGGTCGTTAAAAAGTTACTCTATTAACAGTAATTAGGATAAACATTATTTTATTTCTTTTGAATTTTCAATAGGATTTTAGTCTCTTGGATTCTAAACAGAACTTCTTTTTCTTTTTCTTTTCTTCCTAAATAAGATATGCTTATAACTTAAATAATTCGCGTTTTTATTTAGATAGAAGTCGTACAAATCTGATCCAATTCTTGGCAAACTATACCAATCAAGGGTTCAAAATTAAGAGGCATCGATTTAGAATCTGCTATTTAATTTTCGTTCAACTCAACATTCATTTTCATTACCTTAAAAAAAATAATTGTCTGATTAGAATAATATTACTAAATATATTTTTGTAAAATTCCGTTTTAGAAATAATTATATAATTCATAGAACATTTATTTAAATTTACTCTATATTTACATCAGATTTTAATCTTATAAAATTAAATAGCAGAAATAGAGATAAGTAAATGAATAAAACATTAAAATTAAAAAGAATGAAAAGGTAAAGCAAAGTCTTTTTATATGAAAAATTCTAGTATATATTAAAATTATTCTTTGACTCAAATTAATTAAAAATAATTCTTAAGAACCTGAAAAACTTCATTAAAATTCCATATAAAATGAAAATTACCAAAATTCTAATATGCTATTTCCAAACTATAACAATATGTTTTAATATTCATAATTCTGATGGTGTCTAAGAATTTCTTGATTATTATGAAAGAAGAATAGATAATTCTGGAATTTAATTAGATAATCTAATATAATAAATAAACATTTTATATGCCTCCAAAAGCTCCACCTCCTAAAAAATTGACAAAGAAAGAATTAAAGGAAAAAGCTGAACAAGAAAAGAAAGAAAGAGAAGAGCAAGAGAGAATTCGAAAGGAAGCAGAAGAGAAATAAAGGCAAGAAGAGGAACGGTTACGAAAATAGGAAGAAGAAAGATTGGCTTAAGAAGAAAAGGCAAGACTTTAAGAAGAAGAGATTGAGAATGAAGTTTAGAGAAGTGTTTTTAAGGAAAATCTAGATAATGCAAAGAAAGTAATTTATCAATATAAATTCCAAAATTATAGGTAGCTAGAGCAAACGATGACTGGGATAAATTTTTGATATGCTCAATAAAACCTGACATCACGTAGGAGTCTTAATTGACAACATTCATCACTATGCTTAGAGAATAAAAGATAATTAATGAATTAAAGGTTCCAGAAGAACTCCAAAAATTATAACAAGCAGAGAATATTGAAAGAGACATTCATAGATTCTTAACATAACTAAAGGCTGAAAGGAAGTTATAATAAAACCAATAATAATTACAATAACAATAATAGCAATAAATCTTTTAAAATGACACTGTGGCTAGAAATAAATTATATATTACTCAAATTAGAGAGATAATTATTAAAAAGCTTGAAGAGATCAATACTTAAATGGTATTAAATGCCGAACTATTTATTGATGTAAAGCTATATATTATAATCAAAGGAAAAATTTGCAGAATTAACTAAAAAGGCAAATGAAGGAGCAAAGGGAACATTTAAGTTGGATGATAAAACTAAATAAGAAGTGATCAAGACTTTCCCACCCACTGAGGACTTTAAGTATGGTATATTCATTTACCCATCCAACAAACCATCTGGTTACAGACATAAACCTAATGAATATCCAGAATTATAATTAGCAGTTGATGTTCCAAGGTCAATCTCTGTATTCCTTCAAAAAATAATATGGACTTCCTTCGATAATTATTCTCCTGATACTTATAGCAAATATAGAATTGTTGGAGGTGTTTTAGATATAGAATATTTACAGATGTTGCCTCCCCCTAAGAAAGTCAATACATGGACATTGAAGTCCAATTATGAATTGAAGGAAACTGTAAAAAGATTAGCCTTTGAATTAAATGCAACATTTAAGGTTTCTTATTAACTTCCTTCTTATATTTGGATTCCAAACAAGGAGAATTAAAAAGTATGGAGAGTAGCATTCTTTGATCGTGTTAGTGAATAATGGATTACCGATGGAGTTGAGGATGCTAAGTTGGATAAAGGAACCAATATTGTGGCAAGTGTTCCTAAATTAGGTCCTATTGGATTATTGCAAGAGAGATGTCTGGATTATCCATACAAGAGTTTTAAATTAAGATGTGTTGGAAATGAAAAAGCTATTTTAGATATTTAGGGAGCAAGAGATTTATTCAAATTTGAAATTGGTCCAGGATATATTCAATTATTGAAGAAAGACACAGTATTATTTAAATTATATTGTAGGAATTCTAACACTTTGCATACAAAAAACTATTGGTGGGAGCCTTATTCTATGAATTATACAGAAGTGGCGTTAATTTTATTCCTGTGAATGAGGATGCCTAATCTGCTAATATTGTTTAAAAGGATGAGGGTGCAGAAGAGTTAGCCTTGAATGATTTATCTGAAGCAGTTAGAGGATTCTACATCGAGTCAAGCAGATGGAACAATAGTGATACAGGTCCATAAATAGTAGTGAAGCTTAAAGAAAACCCAGAATTTGATGAGGTTGTTATTACATTTATCTTAGGAATTTGCAGAGAATTAAGAAAAAGACTGGAAAACCATAAAATGGTGGAATAATAAATGTGCAATCATTCAAGCCAGAGATTCACATTAAAAGTGCAATTAGGCACTTTTGCAGGATACCGAAACACATTGCAACTTAGAGGTGTTACTGAAAATGCATTCATTGACTACTCAAGAGACTTTAGGAAGGATGAAAGTAATAAATATTATAAAGAATTTTAGGATTTGCATTACGTTATTTTTATTGAAACCATATAATAGGTATTAAGAATAACTAAATTATTATCGTTTACAGTTAGAGATTGAATTCTTATGTCTTTATTATATTTTATATTTGGATTATCAGTTTTTTAATATTATCTATTACAATATGATTGAAAAGGTTTATAATTAATGTAAATTTAATTTGAGTTGTTCATTTTTTAATTGTTGCAATTAGTTATTATAATTTTCTACTCAATTACACTTCATCATTCGTTTATTGAATGGGGTTTTTTGGAAAATTAACTAATTTATAATCTTCAACACAGTCTTATTTGAGTTGCTTATCCAATTTTTGTTTATGCTTTACAAATTTGACTTATATTTTAACCTCATAAACTTTGTTGCTTTCTTCAGTTCCTTCTAATTGTATTTCAGATTGAATGCTTCTTTTTGAAGTTTAATAGTTGTTGTTTCTATGGAGAAATGTGAGGTTGTTGATCTCTTAATTTGAAACTATCCTTACAGAATGTTATTATTTTTAATACAAATCAACACTCAAAAATAGTTTAGGTATAATATAATCCTTCTCTTGATAGGCTGACAATCTACGTGAACGAGGAGTTTATCGTATTTTATTCATAATATTTGCTAAATAAAGTATCAAGTATTAAATTAATATTATTCTCACTCATTCTACAACGTTTAGACTCTTTCCTTTACAATTTTCCCTCCTTTTACTTTCTTAAACCCATAGCGTTCACTTTCATAAATGTATAATTTTACAGCATTTTACTCCAAGTTGTATCAAGAGTGTCAGGCTTAGTCATCTTTTTAATATCTTCATTATTGTCTAAGATACGTTGATAATCTATATTACTCAGATATTAATACTTATTTTCCCATATTTTTATTATTGATATAGTAAATATTCAATTTCTTGTTCTATCTTCTTTTGATCATACGGTTATTCTTTTTGAAGTTTCTGTTATAAATATAAATTCTAATACCATATTCTCTTTCCTTTAGATTTCTATTTAAGCAAATATACTTCTCTAATAAGCCTTTTCTCGGCTAATAGTCCTCAAAAAGTCTGGAGTATTTTCATTCTTTTTTTGTAATTAAAAGTCATAAAAATCCTTTTGACAAGCAGGTGTTTATTACTTCAACGTTTAGGGACTTTTACTATATTCAATCGAGTGTCCAGGATCTGTCTACATCAATTTTCCAGAATATACACCTGGTCCTGGAATGAGACTCTATCATTTAGTTATGCTTCTCCTTACATCTTTGTAAAAATACTCTCTTTTGGGTGTTAAGAAGGCTCTAGTTTGGATTGTTGCTGGGGTGAATTATTTCTTATACTCTCCAAACTATTTTATAAACCCTTAATCTGCTTAGAGATTTATTTTGAAATACTTTAATCTCTATCTTAAAGAAACTGTTTAATCTTAAGTGGTGATATCCCTCTTTTGGAGTCCTAAAAGATTTGTAGTGCTCCATTTATAGATGGGGTGATTATTGCGAATCTTTCTCTTTGTTGTAGGCTGCACAACCACTTGCTAGCTTTTTAAAAATTGAAATCTAGATGTAGTTTCATTGCTTTTCGTTCTTTGAATTAATTTTCCAATTGAATTTCTTTCTTTTGCGAAGGGCTTAAACTTGTTCTTTAGATCATCCTTACTCAAAAAGGATTAGGTTTCATATTCCAAATCTAATTAACTAGCTCCATATGAAATGTTCCCTTCTAAAAATTATTCCAGAGTCCCTAATTCAATTGATGTTCGTTTTAATTGCATTATTATTTTAATTTATTAAATTTTAAAAACTAAATGATTTTTCCAACAATTCAATGTTTATTAAAGTATCTTTTTCATTGTAGATGAGAATTCATTTAAATAGAGTTTTATTCTATAATAATATCATATATATCTAAGGTTGGATTAAATAAGTAGATCTCTCTAAAATTAAATACATATTTAATAAATTTCACTACTTAAATCAATCGATGAAAAACTACAATCAAGATAGTTTCTCTTTCAATATCTTAAGCTGTCCAAGTACCGAGCGATAATCAAAAATTAAAGCGATTCCCAATACACTTATGACCTAAAGACTTAACATTCCATTAATATCATAAAATTCATAGTTTGAGAAAAGTTACGCAAACCGCCCCAAGATGTTTAAACAGATATTTGATTAACCACAGATATAGTCTTCTAATTAAAATACATAAGGATTTAAATTTAAAACTTCCGTTGAACCCTTTGAAAAAATTGAAAATAATAGAAAAAACTAGGGCATTATTGAGAAAGATTCTTAAAGGGATAGAGCACTAACAAATTAATAACTACATTATAAAAAACCAATAGACATACACAAATATCAGACCAACACTACCAATAGAGATTTAAAAACCTCTGTGCTTGTGTAGCCGATTGAATAAAATTTCCCAATTATTTAAAGTTCGGAATTTAATCCATATAGAGAAAATGTTTCATTTCCTTTTTATAATAATAAAAAAAACGCAGTATAGGTTACAAATAGCACTTCTAAACACAGGAGTTATACTTTAAATGGAATCCCTTAAAGAGGCAATCAGTAGTGCGAAATTATAAATAACCCAAGAGGAAAATATCGACTTGTGATTAAAAAACTAAGACTTAAAATTGTTGCCCTATTTGTTCGAGCCGCTCTCAGGTTTAGCAGAAAATACAAGTAATTTATTTTTCCTAAAATAGAATCACATTTTAAAAAAGAAATTAAGCTTTAGAACATTTTAGTAAATTGAAGTAGCCACATTTAATCCACTTTAAGACTATGGGAGAAAGGCATATTAAATTCTTTTATCGTACCTTCGTTGAATAGGTTTTCTCCAAAATTATTAAACTGTTAAAGACTGAAGAGTATATTAAAGATTATACTTATATCTTAAAATAAAAATAAGAAATGATATTGGATTTCCAGAAACAGAGGTTGTGCTTTTTCATAAAATTAATATTTTAAGATTTAGAATTGATAACAAGAAAAAATTTAATACCTGGATTTATGATGGATTGCCTAAATTTATGTCTTTTTTCTAAAAAAAATACATAAACAAGCTTGTTTGTTGCAAATAGGACTAAGTTTTATTCAAAGACAGTTCATTCTCTCAATTAATAGCAGAAAGTGTTAATTGCATTAGAATTCCTTATCTTCACTGTTATTATACCTAATGCATTGGATATTGCTAATTAATATGAATCCGTCAATGAAAATCAACAAGCAATAATTCAACTTTACTTCATTTCCATAGTTATGCTATTATCAGGATTCTTCACAAATTATTTCAAGGACTTGCCCAAAATCTAATCATCAAATGTTAAACCAGTCTAATTATAGTTGAAAGTCAGTGAAGATTAAGAGGACAATCCTGTCTAAACATAATTAATTATATCCCAAGATTTAGAATAAAATGATGAATTGGTACTCTCTGGAGACTTGAAAATTAATTTCATTAATAAAAACTTTAGTGACAAACCTAACTTCTAAAAAGATATGGGTAAACTCTTTTCAAAAATAGTTACGAATGTTGGAGCAATAATTGATATTTCAAATTTAGAATGAATATTCTAATTTTTATCCAAATATATTGATTTATATTAAGAAACAATATCATAAATTAATTAAAGTTTAATTGATAATATTTTGAATTAAACAATAAAAATTTTAACTAACTATTTTTAATTTTTATATTTTGAGTATTCTTGAATAAAATTATTTGCAATTAACTTATGGTAAATGAATACAATAGTTAAAATTCTAATTTATTTAGTTTATTTAAATATGATAATAAAAAATATAATATAAAATCATTATAATTCAACATATGCAATAATTCTTATTGTTATAATATTTCAATAATTTTCTTGTTCGTTTTAAGCTTATATCAATGATTAATTGAATTAAAATTGATAGTAGTCCTATTATCAAATATAGTATTTAGCGATAAAATATTTGGTAAAAATGGAGAAATTCATCTTATTTCAGTGAATTTCTATAAGCTAGCACGTTTTAAATTAATAAATTAGCCTAATTTCTATTAACATTTATAATAAAATTACTTCTTAAAAATTGTTAAAATCTCTATTAATGTTTAAACCCTTCACTAATTAGAGGTAAATCTCGTTTGAACATAAATTAATATAACGTTGAAGTCCAGACTAATGGAAATAATTAATAGAAATTAAAAAATGTTACAATAATTTCTATCAACAAATACTCATAGAATTTGAAAATTAAAACAATTTTCTTATTCAATCTAATAACTCTACAAAAACATGCACTTTACATAATAAAATACTATTACTATAAATTTTGCATATATATGCCATATTATTACATAAGAAGTAGATGTTTAAATGTAATGTAGAGTACTGAAGTTCTGTAAGAGAACATATAAAAGGGTGAAAAAAAGTAACAAAGTAGAAATAGAGAATACTTATAATTGTAAATTGACAGAAGAAGTAGTCATTAATTTATTTGAATCAAGTTTTAAATAAAAATAATCTATCTAAGTTAAATGCAATTGTAGATTTAGCTAAGTGAGAATTTAGAATTACAATAAACCAGATAATAAGATATCTAAATTAAAAGATGTTCTAGATAATTGTTTTATATCTACTATTTTAATATCCCAAATTTTATGATTCTCATTAATAATTTTGTTCATTTATGAAATCTGAAAGAGTAGAGTAACGAAAGAGAAGTTCAAGCAGGTAATCCCCTTTATCCTTTCCTCTAAAGCCTTAAGAAAGGATATGCAAGACGCTAATTGCTCATCACTTAAATCTTCCGTTGATATCTTCAAATTAAGTTGTTAGACAAGGAGGAGAGCGAAAATTTAGGCTTTTCCAACACGATGAAGAGTATAGTCATTTAAAGACTGTTTGTGAAGTCAACGAAAATCAAAGACATCAACAAATATTAAGTTTATACACAGATCCAGATGGAATAAGCAGTCCATAAGACAATAAATTGATAGAAAATTACATTAAATCAAAACAATAAAGATATGATCAACTTATTGAAAGTAATTTGGATACCCTTAGAAATTTGGAAGGAAATTCATAGAAAATAAGTAAAGATAAGGACTAATAACAAACCTCGAGATAAACCGATATAAACAATTAGTCATTTTACTCCAGATCATTCAGAACGCACACTGTAGAAGTGAAGTCAAAGATCACCCCTGAAAAATAAGAAAATAATTAGGTCTTTTTTTAAAAAAATTTTGAACGCAAAAGAAATCATATCAGATAAATCCAGAAAACTCTAAATATAGAAAGAAATCTCGATTTAAGCTTGAAGGACTCTGATTATGCCGATGGATAAACAATAATCCTTCGTAAATCAAAACCTTCAGTACCTAATTAAATTTGGGATAACTTAGATTTATTTAAAAAGGAAGAAGCTAAACCTTAGCTTAAAATAAGAAATAGAAGACTGAGAATTATTGTATTTGTAGTGATTGCCGTCTTAGGATTGTCTAAAAAATATAAGTATGTATATAATAATAAAATTAGAAAAATATTCCAAGAAAGACAAATAGCTAGAGAACATTTTCAAATGTAACAAGGACCACATTTAAAATATATTAATTTTTTTGGAATTAAACAGCACAAATTTCAATTTAGAAAATTTGTAGACTCCTTATTATAAAAAATAATAATGATACAAAAAGACTAGAAATACATTAAAGAATGTATAAATATTTAACGGGAAAAAGATATCATTAGAAAAGATGCTTAGAAATAGAAACTGTGTTTTTTCATAAAATTAATTCTTTAAGATTTAGAATTAATTACAAGAAAAAACATAGTGCCTGGATTTATCCACCATTTTTTAAATTTATGTCTTTTCTCTGGAAAAACGACATAAACAAGTTAATTTGTAGCGAATAGAACTAAATTTTACTCAAAAACAGTTCATTCTCTCACTTCAGAACAAAAATTGTTAATTGCATTAGAATTTCTTATTTTCACCATCATTATACCTAATTTATTAGATATTGCTAGTGAGTTAGATTAAACCAATAAGGAAAGTTTCTTAATCACTCTATTTCATTTCATTGGAATTATTGGTGTATTAATGGTTTTATTTACAAAACATTTCGAAAGAAAATTTGAAAAGATTGATGGATCAAATGTAAAACCTATATAGAGGGTGATTCATCTTAAAAAGAATGAATAGGGGTTGCCATGTGTAGCTACTTTCAGTATATCGGATACAATTGATTAAGATGAAAAGAAAATTATTTAAGGAGGATTTGAATATGCTGGTATTTTGGAACTCTTTGAATAAAAGCCATATTGGGGTGAAAAAATATCTAATCAATTTAATAAAATTGCCAAAAACATTGGAGAATTAATAGACATAACCAATGTTAGCTGATAATTTGTATATATTTTCTTTGTAAATTGAATTATAATCAACAATCTAATTTCTACAACCATTATTTATTTCTTAGACTTTATTTTGTTATACAATAGTCAATTTTGGCAGATTTTGTCAATTAAATTAAATTATATATATATATGAAATAATGAAAAATAAAAGTGATATTTTGTATATGTTAACTAATGTAATCAACCTGATTTTGATAATAATGATTTGCAACATTGCTATATATAATATACCTTAGCATAATAAAATGTAACTGTATCATTTATATATTGCGTCGTCTAAATGATTTTTAATATTTTAAATAAATTGACCATGAACAGCCAATTTTAATAAGGCCGATCCTAAAGCATCAAGTTCATATAAACTCAAACAGTATATGAGTAACCCTTCTTTACTCCTAATATTGATATTCTCTCCGTCTCTGAAAATCTTTATTTAGAAAAGATTTCAAAATAGGCAACATCTCGAGACTAATCTCCTCGAAAATGGCAAGAATCTCATAAAAAACCATTGGCATAGTAACCCAAATTTGTAACACCTTAAGAAGCTCCAAAAGAAGTAAAGATTATACAAGTTAATAATGACGAAAAAAAAATCTAAACTAAAGAAGTAATCTCAAAACCTACAACAGAACATAAGTAACTTATAGGAAGAGCTAAAGTCTTACTTTTATAATAAAGAACATTAAATATGAAAAAATACTTCAAAATAGCTTCACTTGCCATAATTGCTGCTATAAGGATCAAGAAATCTTTAAACTATTCACTTTGGAAGAAGTATTAGACCTAATTGAAGAATATCACTTTTTTTCTCAAATTAGAATTAGTACAGACTGAAAGAATTAATGCTTGGTGCAAGGCAGTCTGTGCTAAATCACTTACATCAGTAAATTAATAACTGCACAATTTTATTGAGTATCCGAATGATAAAGAATAAGTGGATCAGTCAATGATGAAATCCATAAACTCCTGCCAATTCTTATTAGAAAATTTGGCTTATTTCTCATAACCGAAGTATTTTTGTGAAGAGTTGAAATACTACTTATTAAGTTAAGTATTTTTAGATCACAAAGCTTACTTTTCAAAATTTGTGTCAAATAGAACATTATATTTGCATACCCGAAACAGGTAAATTAAACAAGAGGAGTTGACTATGATCTTAGTTGAATCTATCTTGATTGACTAAGTTTTAGTAAATATTTTCGACTCCAATTAAAAGTGCGTATTTTTACACAAAGTTTTAGCTAGTCTTCTCTAATATTTGTTTATAAAAAAGTTTGATAAACTCAAATAAAAAAGAAATAATATCTAAAAATTAAGTGCTCATTAAGTTATATCTACAGAAAACAGATTGAAATTGAATTAAATACCCAATCCTGAAAATAACGATCTCCTTATAATAGGGTTGTATAAAGATGAGGACATGCTTACTCTATTAAACTATAAGAAGACTGCATATAAAAAAATAGATTAGAACTTTGAGAGATTTTGTTGTAATCTATACACAACTATTTTGGCATGAAAAATGTAGGTATATAATAGCAACCTCATGTTTTAAATCAAAAGTGATCTTTATAAACTGTGGTAGAAATCTAATACAGGTTTGAATTGTATCTAAGATTTGATTTTAAAATACATGTAGGATTGGAAAAATATTATTACAAAATTCATAATTATTATTAAATTACGTTCTCCACCAATTCAATCAATTTGGAATCCCCCATTTATAGACATTCTTGCATAATCTATGCGACTATACGTTTTTATTTTAATAGCTCCTACTCTAATAAATCAACGCAAATATTACCTAAACTTTCGATGAAGGTCTTGAGTTCCCTCTCTATTTGATATTAGCACTTAATCTCATTTTCTAGCATCTGCAATTTGCTTATCTAAATGCTGTCTCTCTATGAAAGTGTGCTCCTTTAAGAATTCGATTAAATTGAGGTTTTTAATTCTTTTATCTATTCTTGTAATTTCAAACAATTATTGCATTTGTCCAACGTTGAAACTTCTTTAATATTTGGTATTTTAATGATGTTAGATTTAATTAGTGATTCAGGTTCCAATAATTTTTATTGGATATCTGGGATCAGTTTGCTTTTATTCAAAACTGCCTATTTAAATTTAAGCTAAAACTTGAGGGTTGCAGAAGAATCAGGACAATCAATGAGTAATTTTTCATCTTAGATCTATTGCATCTGTTAATTCATATATTCACTAATATCAAAGTTTATTTTGCCAGCCTTCTTGTAGCTGTTTTTATACTGTAAAATGACACGGACTTTTGCCTTATTATATTAAACTGTATACTTTCTTTTCTTGAAATTTACCCTTCTTTAAATTCATGGTTGTGACGATTTTAAGCTACTGATAATCAAAATTACATTCTCTTTATTAAAATAAACATCCATTTTAAGTAGTCAGAGAATGTGATCCACAAATAAAATTTAAGAAAACTTCAGCTTCTACTCCAAGATCCAACTATAGTTTGATGGGAATAAAAGTAATTTAAGTTTTGAGAGAGTTTGCATAGTTCATAATTTATAAATATATGAAATTAAATGAGTATTTATAGGCTAACATGGAACCCTACAAACCGCTATTGCTGAATGATAGAAATGAAAAAGGAATATCGAATGGAAATTACATGAAGCTTATGAAGATGAATGCATCCAGATTAATTTCTAAGTCTGTTGAGTCTCCACTCCATCCTTTAACAACAAGGCCAACCGTAGAAATTGTTAAGAATTCCTATAATCTTCCCCAAATCTAACATTTGGTTGTTGAGAATCAAGTTTTACAAGCAAAATTAAAAGAAGAACAAAATAAAGCTTAGCTTGCGACTAATAAATATCTGTATTTGTAAATGATGTACAAGAAAATGGAATATGAACAGCTTATCAAGAATGAGTAGTAGAAACCATAATTACCCATCATTGATACATAAAGAGAATTTAACATAAGCACCAAAAATAAGTACCCAAATCAAGAACAATTAACTGAAAGAATCGGGGAATCAAGAGGGTATATTAGAAATAGAATCAAATCTCTTGCTCAACAAGTAAAAGAAGAAACACCTAAAGTTTATAAAGTTAAATATTATTAAAATAAGAAAGTCTTGACACCGGAAGAAGTAGCAGCAGAAGTTTAAAAAATGAAGGAAAAGCAAAGGATTGAAGATGAAAAGGAAAAGAGAATGTAAAATTTATGGTAGAAATTCTTAAGATGTCATCTTATAATCAAAATTGTACTTAGATGGTCAGAAAATATTAGGTATATTACAATAATAAAATAAGAATCAAACGAAAGGAGAAGGAGACAAAAGTACAAGAATAAAATAAAAAAGCTAAAATGTTATTTAAAGAAATCAAGAAATACACTCAGCTCTAATCCTAAGATATAATCAAAAATTGGGTGAGCAAAATCACTCTTCGTATCTATCAAGGAATGATTGGAGAAGAAATGAAAAAAGTATTCTCTTAAAATTTTAATCCAAATTAAATAGAAAATTAAGAAATTTAAAAAAAATGGTTAATCTACTTTCTTATCTTATTTTTCAAAAATGTTGAATAGCATACAAGATAAGAATCAATGCCAGATTTCTTGTGTTTCATGATGACACTTCAATTATATTATTATTAGAATAAGACTGCCTCTTTATTTTTAGTTAAAAGAACTACTTATTTAAATGGGAATGTATTTTAATTATCAGAAAAGGAGATTCAAATGATTACAAGTGAATTTATACTATTCTCTGTAATAATTCCAGAAATTATAAATTAAGATCAAAAGCAAAAGTATTTTAATCAATAACATTAAATATAATGTAGATAAATATTTTTGCATATATTTAGTTTATTGTAAATACTTTTTATTAGTACATTCTGTGAATTGCCTGAAATTAAATAGACAAATAAAATAAAAATCTTGTAAAAACGAATCATTTAAAATTAATAAACCATGGAATTCAAGTTCGAATAAGATGATTAGATTGACTTAAGCTAAGCAATTGTAGTCGGATTAGAAAAAAAACAAAGATATGAGAAATTATATAAATAAAACACTGAAGCTTTAGATGATTTGAAAAGATTTTTAGAAATTATATTGGAAAATATAAGTGGAAATGCATATATTTGACTAGATTTTATTTATTATTTATGTTAAATCATAATTTGGGTCTACAATTCTTTAATTGATTAACTGCTTTCGAAAAATCAATCTTATTAATTGAGTTCTCATTAAGAGCCCAATCATATGTATAGTCATATGGTTTACCATCTGCTCTTCCAATGGTTGTTCTAAGACCTCCATCTGCTAAACAAAAAGACTCTACTAATGAGAGTGCCTTCAAATAGTAATTTATATTTACTTCAGGTTTGATTACGGTTAATAGATTCTCATACTCATCCCTCATTTACTTGATTGTTTGTTACGTAACAACTTCATTTTCCAAAAGGGCTATTGGATTTTGTAAAAGAATTGTGACACCAAATAGATTCAATAAATTTGTTAATACAACTTAAGTTTATTTATGAGTGACTTATAAGATTGTGTTTTGGAAACAAACAAACTTATAGTACTCTATAAACTAATTGGCTGATTCCCATAGTGATGTGCCTTAAATAATGATAATAGATATTACCTAGTTTATAATCCCAAACAGCTTTAGGATTTAAACCTCCCTGGATTTCTTACATCATCTTCATGCCAGTTTAGGTAATGAGATGAATGACTGAAGATTCCAAAAGTGATAAGATGTTTGATGTTTAGAATTGGTCACATTTGAATGATAGAATTTCATTGATCTAATATGATAGGAATAATCATTTACTCTTTTAAATAATGAAAACTATTCAGGAATTTTTTCTGGGTGTTTTTAAGAAGTTTATAAGAGTTTCAATAAAAAGCGAGCCAATTATAGAAACATAATTTGATTCTCTCCTTCCAAAGTTACATTTGGACTATGTTCTTAATAAATGCTAGGCAACCCTGAATAATGGGCATAACCATGTCCTCCACAAGATAATCTACACCATTCAGCACAATTCACTACAAAATGAGTGTAATTAGCTTTGGTTCCACAAAGTAATGAATGACATGCGTTTCATATGTGAGAAATTGCCTTTCTAAACTTCAGCGAAATTCAAATCTACAAATTTTGAAGTAACATTTCCTGAAAGAACAACTGCAAACAAATTGGCCAACAATGGCAATAATTTGTGTTATTGAGTTTAATATTCAATGACCGAATTCTCGACTCCTTTGTCATTTGTAAATTATTATCTTGTATAGGAGTATCTCAAAGCAATAGTCAATGATATTGCAGCTGCTTTGGGATAAACTGTGTTTAATAACTTTCTCATCATCATCATTGAAGCATAGGATATCTTTGGATCTCCCTCTTTTACTACCTTTCCTTATGGAGATATTGAGATATATTTAGCCAACATATTAAATTTAGGAATTCTAACGTTGTCAAATTTCAAAAATCCATTGTCTTTCACCTAATATCCCATCTTAGGTCCAATATCCCCAACTTCTATTCCTCTCAATGGCTTGTGTGTTTACTCATCTCGAATTTAGACCATAAATGATTATACTCCATAATTGGTTCCATCCACTACCAATTAAGCAAAAACCAATGCCCAATTAGCTAGAATACCTAGATCTCCTGGCCAAACTAATTTTACTTAAATTGTATACATTTTGCTGCTTAAATGGTAGGAGTATTAATCACAAATTCTTATGTCTGCTTATCATAAGTAGCAGTAGTTTGTAAACTCTAAATATCTGATCCATGACCTAATTCAGTTTGTGCATAACAAGCAGCTTTTCGAATGTGAATTAAATCATCTAGCCATCTAATTATTACATAGATTGATACGCATTTATTTGTGCATCTGTTCCCAAAATCTTCACTGCTGGCACAACCATTGCTAAATAGACTCCATAATGATTTGTTGTTGCACTGTATATCATAGGTCCTGTGTATTATTCCATATCATCAACCTAAGATTATTTTTTAATCTAATCTCATTACCTAATGATTAATCATCTTCATGAAACTAAACCCCTATTTATCTTTTGATAGGAATTGCTTTTTCCTATTCCAGTTATAAAAGTCAGCGTTGGTTTACACTTCAGGTATTTTTTCACAATCAGCTAAAAATTGCTTCACCTCTCTTTTATTTACTATTACATATACTTAGCTCTTTATTGAGACCCAAAGATTAAGCCTGCAACTTAGATTTGATCAATGGTGGATAATTATCGGACCTGTTCTAAGGAAGTCATCTGATTAAATAAATCAATTATTTTTCTAATTTGATTACATAATCAAATCTAGTATTTATATCTAAAAAGTTCAAAAAATGATCATCAAATTTGATCATTTGTAAATACTATGATTGTAAATTCAATTTGTAATATATTATTATTAAATTTTAATTTTCTTAAAAATATAAGAAAACCATAAGATTATAATTATATTCTAAATTTAATCAATTTTCGTTTTGGGGACATTAACTATTTTTCTTATTAAATATTACTTAATCCGCTGTTCTCTTGTTGATTTAAATAAACAAAAGAAACTTTCAATACAAATTAAAATATGATTATTAAGCTTTGTTAATAATTAAAATAAATAAGACTTTCAAACAACCCTGTCGTTTCATTTAATATTTATCGACATTCTAATGGAATTAAAAAATAGAAGCTAATGTATTATTTAAACTTGCATTTCCTTATAAGTTTTAGAGTAATAGATACTTTTTCTATTCATAAGAATGATTCATTCATCCTTTTATTGATTCTTATTCGACTATTATATATCTATATTAAAATTGATCCTAAAATACCCAAATAAGTTTCTCTATTTTGGTATTTAGCCTGAATATATATATTTTCCTTATTTATTTAATAACAATAATATAAATGTCAACAAATTCAACTAATCATGAGAATCATCATCAAGAATTGGTGTCAGATCAATAATAGGACAATTTACATTAAGCCAGATAAATATAATTTTAAAAGGCATTAGAATAAAGTTTAAGAAGCTATGTCCAATATTCTTAATAGCAAAATCAGCTTCGATTCGTTTATCACCTAATATTTGTGCTAGCTATATATTAAATGGCAGAACTCATTCTATGCGTAATCTCTCTTGGTTTCACCTAGAGAAATCACCCCTTATTCTATATTAGCATCATCTCAATATCAATTAATGTAATTTCCCTAATACCTTCTCTATATTATTTAAAACTTTTTCATCAAAATGAAATCGAATATTTAGAAGGATTGCTATGGTTTTAATATGATATAGAGTAAAGGCCTGATTATGAAATTAAATAGATATTGCAAAAATCTCATTGTTTTTGCTGTTACCTAACGATTCTAACTATATTCTTATAACTTTGTTTATTAGTAATGATTATTTTGGGATAATAAAAATTCCAAAGTTCAATTTCAGAATAACGTATTAAAATTATATATGACAGCTTTAATAATTGGGTTGTCTTTTCAATTTATGACCACAGCAAGAATCTTAGTTATATTTATAGGGACAATATTGACCATAGTTACTTTTATTTCAAAAAGATTATATAATCAGATCTACTTGTAAATAGCTAATCTTCAAGAATTAGAATATGAATAATTTTCACCTTTAAACAAATATGAAGTCTAATTGGTGGATGAGGATTCACTCTCTCAATTATCTTAAATTTAATGTACCATTTGTCTACATAATTTTGAAATCCACGAAGAGTACTATACGCTAAAATGTCATTCCCTTCACATTTTCCATAAGCCATGTTTAACTGAATGGGTAGTAGTCAATTAAACATGTCCAACTTGTAGGTCTGCTGTTTGATGTTATAATATTATATATTTTAAATCTAATATTTGTAAAAGCTTACATTGATTATTTTTCCTAATAAAATGGAGTATCAAACAAATAACAATGAAAAATTTAAACAAAAATTTCTTTAAGATTGTTATCAAAATAAGGATTATTATTTTTCTTGATATTTGACATCAAAGCTGCCCTACTCAAGAAACATTTTTACGTTTCTTTATTTTAAATTCAACAGATTCAGCCTACCTTTATAATGTCATGCTATTTTATTCATTATTTCATATCAATCTAAGTAAATTTTATTTTAGTTCTGTTTCTGCTTACTTATTTCTATAAAGATTAATGGCTATCAATCAAATTCTATTTATTGCATTATATGATCTTTCTTTAGTTTCTCTCCGATTGAGTGTCAATTACTAATTATTCATTAAATCAATTTTCTCCTACAAGGTGAAGTTCTGACGAAAGGATGACCCAAGTTTACGTTCTTCTAATATTTTATATTAATTTGTCATTAAATAAAATTCCAAAAGTAAATTCATGAATACAAATTGAAATTAATTTTATAAATTAATAGTTAATATCAAGTCATTATGAATCAATATTCGGAATTTAAGATAAATGGATTTTAACACTAGAGTAAAATCCATTAGGATTAAAGTATTTAATAAATGTTAAGCAATATTACTCAGTATTAATTACCATTAATAATTTAATGCAATAAATATTAAGAAATCTTTCATACAGTGCTTCATAATTGAAAAAATAGACTGAATTGAAGATAAAATTATGATGTTCACAGAAGTGTTTTGACGACTATACTATACAAAAAATGATACAATCTAAAACATATTTTCGAATTTCTTGTGATTCTGGTTCCGATTTTTTAATTTTTGATTTATTTCAAGTTCAAAATACTGGTTATTTAAATGCAACATAGTTATTCATTTTAATTTTATATTAATATTGCAATCATAAAATTAATAATATAATTTCAAGAGAAATCTATCAATAGACTATTAAAACAATAAAATGATAAATATCTAAAAGTGATTTATCTATAATCAATGAATTAATAAATTATATTTTCTACTATCTTTATTCTGTAATAGAGTTTCCACATAAAGAAAATCATCTGGTTTAAGGTATTTTAGAGTGTTTTTATATTATTAAGATTCCAACAATTTTATTTCACTAAGATAACATTATAAACTACCTTTTGAAGTAAGTCAGGAAATGGTTCCAAGATGACATTTATGAGATTTACTATTTAATGGATTTAACTTCATCCTATCTCAATTTAAATATAAGAAATAATATCAAAAATAATTATTTGATTATACAAGGGTGATCTTTGAAATAAGATAAAAAGTTGATTTTCAATAACACTCTTTTAAAAATGCTTAGATTTCCATATATGAAACTGATTGTAAGAATTCTTGTAAAATAGTTCATGAATACTGAGTTTTCATAATGAATAGAACAAGCTTCTACTAATAAATGCCAAAGTGATATTGAAATTAACTATAATAGACTTTACTTTGTTTTTTCTAGGATTAAAGTAAGACTTTCTAATAGAATGATAGTTCTGACTGATAGCTATTAGGATAGAAGTTAAGTTACTAGTATTTTTACAATCAATATCAGATGCTCTTAAAAATTAAAATATACTGTTTTTTCCATAGAATTAGTTAGCATAAGATTATAAATTCTACCCGCTATTAAGTATGTACATTAGTATTCTTCTCCATATTTTTATTTTAATAAATAATTTTTAGTAATTGTCTAAATAAACTTTTGTTTATTATCTCCAAGAATTATGTTAAGATAATACATGGGATTTTCTTTAGACAAATTATTAGATAAAATGAATTTCCTTGGTGTAAATATCATTAATAATATATCATAAATGCATTACAAAACACCTTTTGTATAGTGTTCATTTCTTAAACATAACTGTTAAAATTCTTCATCAAAAGCTAATCTTTCGAAATCAGTGATTTATTGATCTTTAAGTTCTGGAGGATAGATATTTATATCCTTTTCAGACTCATTTTATTTAACTGTTCCTACTAGATGATTAAATTTATTTAAAATTATTGAATTTTATAGTTTTGACTTGTTGATTGAATCAGTAATATTAATAATAGAGGATTGATGACTTATTCTCTTCATACTCAGTTATTTCTATTAACTATAAAGCATTATCATTTGAGTGGGTCGTTTTACAAGAATTCTCTAATACATTGGTTTTTATTTGATGTCTTGGTGTGATTCCTTAGCCTAAATTTAAATAGACTCTGTAATTACACCAAATAAATTATTAGGATTAGTAAGTGCTTATAATTGGCTTCTTGATGTATTATTTGATGAAATTTGTTGGGTTTCGAATTCTTGACTACACCTTTAAACTGAATATTTTGGATTGTCATCTAATAGTTTCATTAATCTTGGAGCAATTATTGTTTTTCTTCTAGTTGGGCTAAATGTAAATGGATCTGCTTCCTCAGTTTTTCCACTTTTCACAGTTTGGATTGACTTAGGCCCATAAGAAGTCATAGTCATTCTAGATTTGGTATTTGTTTTTTTTGTAGCTTATTGAAGCATTCTTTCAAACAACTTTTTAGTTTTTTAACATTTGCTTGGGAGATATTAGAAAATAAGATCATAATCTACGTTAATTTCATCAATCTCTTCAGCAACCTTCTTATGTTCTGGTTGAGTGATAAATTTTTCAATTTCTAGAGGTGAAAAATTAGGTTATTACAACAGTTCTTCTATCTTTGATGGCCTATACAATTCAGTTGATTTTTTGGCTATTATATTGTCTAACACTTTCGAATCAAATAATGTTGTATCTAACAAATCTGAAAAAAAATTAGTTAATTCAAAATACTTCCATAACAATTTTGTTGATTAAGGGATGATTTTATGATAAGGAGTCTAAATAAAGCTCATAAATTAGGTAAAATATTGAGATATTTCAGGGATGTCCAAAAATAGCATCAATCTAAAGGGTAAATGATAAGATATTAAGTAAAAAGTAGATATCTCAGGCTCTTGATAAAGTAGGAATGTGAGATATTGAACAATGATTTCAGGACAGATTATTATAGCCACTAAATCTTATTTAAGGCATTCATGGATCATTGAGTATGCTCTTTAATAGTAACCTGCATTAATTTTAGTTAATAGAAAATTATTTCTATTATCAGTTAATGCTTGCATAGTTCTAAATGCTCTAAATTAAATCATAGGCCTGCTCTCTTAGGAAACATTTACATTTAATTATCTAAAAGATGGAGGATCAGGACACTTTAGATCTACATAGATATTAGATAATTTCTAATGATGATTATAGGAAATGTATACATTCTATATTATTTAGGGATGCTTAGTTGGAAACAACATAAATGACAAGAACATTTCAAGTAATTTATTTGATTTAAACACATCACTCTACATTTAGTCTACAGTTGGTTGATTAGCTACAAGAAATGGAACTTCACTTGGTTGAAATAACCATTCTTCAAGCATTTATTATTGCATCTCAGCTTTATTTAAGCCACTATATGCTAGCCTTCTATTTTGTTGATGACCATTTTATATTTAGAAATCAAGAGTTTTTGAACTCATTACTTATCCTAATAATACTAGTTCTACTTGAATAACTAAAATTATTTACAATTTTCCACATCAATCTCAAATTGTTAATCTACTTCTTTAAGCAATTTCCACACATTCCGCTTTTCTAAGGCAAACAAAAAGCATTAATTAAGCATTTCAAAATCTGCATTGTATTTGATATAACTCTTAAAAAAGTTATTTATCATTAAACAGACACTTTCTTCATTAAAGAAACACTCTTAAATTTTATTGATTAAGTATTTAGAGTTTTCAAATAAAAACAATCTTAATTTTGTCTCATCCTTTCTCACACTTTAACTATAAACTAGCAAAGTTCATACTTTATAAATTACTCTCCTAATTTATTAAACATTTTATCACACATTCAAAATAGAGTTTCACGTATAACTTTTCATCGTAGTATCTCTCTTGTAATGCTTAAAACATCATTAGTGCCTATATAATTATTGATATTTAAAGTGAATACGCAATTTTCATTTAATTAACTAGCTATCAGTAGATATTTTAAAATATTAGGTTTTTATTATAAAATTGTGACTACAGAAGGAAATGGAAGTATTCTACTTAGCTTTCTACAAACATTGAACATCATAGCTTATCTTTTAGTATCATCCTCTTCTTAAAGCTTTAATAACAATATATCTTACAGTTTCCTTGAATAATTCGCAGATTTCCATTAGAATTTTTAATTAATAAAACAAAATAAAAAGTTTAATTAAAGTATTCTGATTAAAACTCTATTTATAGCATAATATTTTAAAATTTAGTTAATTATTCGAAACTCATTTTATTCCATTTGAATATAGACTATGGCATATGGCATGTTTAACAAATTCGATTCGTTTTTAGTAAACATTTTTCAGGCTTACTAAAATTTAGTTAATAATTAATTTATCTTGAGTGATATGGTCTTATTAATCATTATTTATATTAGATTATTACTCAAATGAATTGCTCTAATAGTCAGAATGAAATATAGATCTGAAGGTTCAAAAAAGAATTTGTATTCCTATATTATATTATTAAATTAACTTAGTATTATATCAATATATACTATAAACACAATCTTTTTTTGAAAAAAAACTTGACTAAAATGAGGGTATAATGTTCAATTACTAACACAAGATTTATTAGATCTCTAGTATAAATTATAAATCATTTATATATTTTAAATCAACAGATAATTCCTATTTCCTCACCTTAACCTATGGTTTCTGGATTTTTGATAGAATTTATTTGAAATTCAGAACTAGATAAGGTTTTCTTGATATTTAAATTAAGTAATTATATTTTTGAATATCCTTATAATTACTTTACCAAAATTGTCTTGAAAAATGAAATATAATATTAAATACTTTACCTTTGTTTTTTGCTTATAAAATGATGAAAGTAATACAAATTTTTTACTTTAAATTAATCAAAATTTATTTTCGATCTAAAAAATAGGTCTTATACTAGTTGTATATTTTGACGTTATGCCAACATTATATATTTTATATTAAATTGCTCTTATTTTGTATTATTTTATTTATACATGCTTATAATGAAATAATAGTTATTTTTCAAGGTGATTGCAAATATAAAGCTAGAAATAGGTTTTAAAAGAATTAAATTTATAAAATTTATTTAGTTTGAAAATTCCTCACTTTAATTTTTGTAATGAATTTATTATTATACTTGGTGCACAAATGATTATAGTCATTAAGTTATTTTGTAGAATTGAGATGTAATTCAAAGGATATCTTTGATGGAATTAATTTATTAGGTGAGATATCAAGAAAATGAATATGATTTTTTTTATAAAATATTAATGAAGAGTTCTTTATATTTTGTATCATCTGTTAAGCAATCTTTTTGGAACAAAAACTTGAAGTCTTTGGTTAATTATGATTTTCATAAATTGTCAGAAGATCAATAAACAGTAGTTTTATTTAAATAAGGATAATTATTTAAGAGAGCAACTCCAAGAAGATATAGGATTTATAACTAACACTTATTTTATTTTAGAGAGGTAGTGATCTATATTTTACTAGTTGACTATTACAGAACGGTGAAATAGGAGGCTTTCTAGTTCTTAAAAATGTATATTGTTCTTTTAGAAATAATGAAAACTTATTAATAATCACATTGTCTCATGATCAATCTCAACTGCAGATTTTTACAGGCAATAAAACAGAGGAGGTTTAAAACTTTGTTAATGAGTTGAAGCTAAATTGCATCTAAGAATAGATAATAGTAAATTTTTACACAATCAATCAAAAAATAGGAGAGGGAGTCACATGCGAGGTGTATTAAAATTTATTATTTATCAGGTCTTCCTTGGTAGTAATAAACAAAATTAGAAATTTGTTATAAAAAGAGTAGCAAAAGCACCACTTGGACATAAAATGAGAGATAGACAAGCCAAGAGTCTTGCGGAAGAAATCTTTATTATGAGAAGTCTGGATTATCCAAATATTCCAAAATTATATGAGGTGTTTGAATCCAATAGTATCTTTTTAATTATGAATAAATAAGATTACATTGAATTAGTAATGACTCATTATGAAGGTGGCAATTTATATGAAAAACTATTAAATTTTAGCCTATCAAAGAAACAACAATTAGTCAAAGATATACTAGAAACAATGAACTATGTTCACTCTTAATAGATTATGCATCGAGATTTGAAACCACAAAATATTATGTATAAAGATAAGGATCCAACAAGTACAGATATTGCCATTATTGATTTTGGGTTTGCAACAAACTTAGATTATTAGGAGCATATCCTGTACAATTGTGGTACTCTAGGTTATGCAGCTCCAGAAGTATAGGAATATAAGGAAAAATAAAAAATGTATACTACCTAATGCGATGTTTATAGTTTAGGAATTATCATTTATGAAATGTATCTGTAGATATTATTTAGATTTTTCGGAGTTCATCCCTTTAGAAACTCTAATCCTGGGATCCTTACTTTTAGTGAAAAAGTGAAGGTTCCACAATCTTTAAAGAATCTTTTAATTTAAATGACTAGATTCCAACCAAAATTTCGATTTACTTTAGAGGAATGTTTAGAATAAGATTTTTTTAGAGAGGATCTTGATTCTTTAGGGTTGGATGGCTTGTCAAAATACAGTTTGGTCAATTCGATTCATTAAAAATCACTTAATGTATCACGAAAAAATTCAATTGAGCCTTCTATATAATAAGAAAAAGTAAGTAAAAATGATTCTACTAAAACAAAAACAGCAAATTCTACTGCAGCAGAATCTAAGAATCTGTAAACAAGGAACTTAAATCTTTATGATGAAGAATATTAAGAGGATCTTTAATTTTTTGAACATCATAACTGCCCAAACGATTTTAATAAAATTATCCTAAAAAGAGTCTGAAGGAAATCTTTATGATAATCTTATTGTATTAATTGTTATTTTTACTTATAATTATATTATTAAATTATCAAAAATTATTAATTATTCCTTCCTATCTCATATCAGTGCTAAATTAATAATTATAACAATATATTTTCAAACTTATATGATACAGAGACATTCTAAAATTAAGAGTGACAGTTAACCAATATTGTCCACAGAGAAAGTTCATGCTAAATCATTTCATTCTTTAAAGGTATTACATAACACATTATTTTGAGAAACTGTTGTACTTTTAACAAAATAGTAAGGAATCCCCTGTTATTATTGATAATAAATACCTGCTTTTGAATGTTATCTATTAAGGCAAGAGTTCTACAATCTTTGAAGGTATTTTTTAATTAAAAAAGCCATCAATTTAAATAAATAATTATTTTTTTTTTTTATGATGACTATACTTTCCAAACCAGATAATAGTACTTAATATTATAAGGAGCTACAGAAATTTGAATTATTCATTTGATAATGATGTGAGTAATAATAAATTAGTCTCACATTTCTAAGATTGTCTTCTCAAGTTACTTGATCATGGGATTTTTTTAAATTAATATAGGTATTAAGTTCTCAATAAAACTGGACCCAGTATCAAATTCTGGTTTCAATTTTTTTAATACGATTTTTCTTATGATTGCATTATCTTGATAATTTTGAAAACAGTATTATTTTAAATATTTTAGGTAGATGCATTACAATTAATACATTCAGCTAACTTCTTACATATGAATCTTAATTTGGCAAGCCTATTGACATGTTTGGATAACTAAAAGAATCTACTTCTCACTAATTTTTAGTAATCGTACTAATATAAAACAAATTCAAAAATAACATAAAATTCATTAAAACTTTGTAAATATTCCAGTATAGGATAACATCTTGGTTAATGTAATTTTTTTCTTTTAAAAATAGAATTACATCCAAAGGATGATCTCGAGAGTCTTCTCTATATTGTTATTCAATTATTAACAAAAGGTGAATTCTTTGGCTAATCAAAATAATTTAGAAATAAATCAGATAAAATTCATTATTATTTTAATCTAAAAAATTCTCTATTACCAGAAATGATTTTGAAGAACTTCCCTATATGTTTAATAGAATTTGCAAATAGGATTAAATTTTTAAGTAATTTATTTTCAAAATTAGATCCCATTGAAATTCCAATTAATTATGAATATTTAAAGGCAGTATTCAAAGGATACAAAGACATTGAATATGATTGGGTATTTGAACAGGCTATTTTAGACACCAATAATCGCAGGCGTGAAAAGTTAATCTCAAAGTTAATCTCACTCTCTATAATAATTTGAAGATAATTTTAAGATTACATCTTTAATCACTATTCCAGAATCTAATTAAGAATCCATTCCAGATGGCCATAAGTAGTTAGTCAAAACTTAATAATCCATAGGTGATTCTATTGCTACTCATCCTGATACTTCAGAATCTGATGGAGAGTTATCATCAACAGATGAAACAACTGAAACAAAAAAAATACACTTTTTTGAATGATTAACAATCTTCCAGTTAAACTTATAGATATTTTATATTATACTTTAATGTTTATTATTTATTTTTTGATCAACTTTGGAATGAAATCTAATAAATGCTCCTATGTTACTTTCAATAAAATAAGTATTATGATATTAGTATTGTCATTGTGTAATAAAACAAATAAAGTAAGTAATACTAGTTATAGTTTAAGCATCTATTCTTCATTACTCTATGATCTATTAACTATTAATCTCATTATAATTTAATTGAATTAGTTTAATTGATTGATATACCTTTTTTGATTATCATTTTACATATTTTTATTATTATAAATCTTTAGTTTGTTAATAAGTATTGACTTTTTACTGTTGAATTCGATTTTATATTCGAGATAATGAAATAATTTTATCGATAGGAAGTATGTATAGGTACTTAACTTAGCTATAATTTTCTTACTGACTTGGTCATTTTAATCTTGAATTTAATTATTTAGATAATCTCTATTTATTGTAAACCTGTCTAACAATCAAATTTTAAAAATGTTTTCTATACAAATTTTGATAAAATATGACTTTAGTACTGAAAAATTAGAGAATAAGAAATTCAAATATTTCATCTACTTTTAAAAACATTAATAAATTTCAATTTCTCATATTTCAAAGTTACCCAAAGGTTTAAAAGACTGTCATTCCACAACAAAGTTTTTATAAAGATTCTAATAAATAATTTAGCATTTAGTATTTAAATAATGTGAAAATTATAAAAAATTATAAAATTCTGAATCCAATTATAAAAACAGATATATTTTCTTCTATTATAAAGTTGAGAATATCATAACCTGTTTTGGCTAATAACCCATTTAAACTAATCATAATTTATCATTTTTACTGAAATTACCATTATTATCTGACAAGGGAATAAAGTATTTTATTATAATTAATTACCTCTGACACACAATTTACTTATTGTTGTTTGCTAGCGTTGTTATGAAATAGCAGAATCTAAGTTTACTAAGAAAAAATAAGACTTTTTCTAATCTTAATAAAAAATTAATTAAGTTATGAAAAATAGGTTCCATTTATTAGCATGTTTGAATTTAAAACAAATATTCATGCTTCTTTTCATTCGAACTTGCTTTGTTAAAAAGCTTATTGAATTTATGAGTCTTTCAATAAAGAATTATATATATATAATAAATCTTTCTAGAAAATATCATTTCAAAGGAACTATCCTATTAATTAATTTTTCTTAGAATCGTTTTCCATAAATATCCGGTTCTTGTGCTGAAGTATCAAGTTGGATATTCATTTTAATAATCTTTTTTGTTTTTCTCTCTAAAGATTTATTGACATTCCATTGTTACAAGTAATCAATAATGGCAATATGATAATATATCTAATTAACGATAAATAGTACTCCTTTTTCTTTGATAGATGGGATAATATTCATTTTTTGGCCATCTAAATGCTTTTGCAAATCCTCTTCTTTCTAATTCCAATCGATAATCATAACAAGAAGGGAGTAATCAATCAATTTTTACTTTTCTAAAAATATAGAGTCGCTAATTAGATATTGATTTAGTTCTAATAATAAAATTAAACAAAACTTTTGTAAATTGATTCATCAATCCATAATTATTGTTCAATCTTAAAGAAATCGATATCCTTTAATGTCATCTATGAGAGATCACTTGAAGGTTTCTTAATTAGTACTTCTCTATCATATTCAGATCCTTTCATATCGTATGTTCTCAAAATTTAGCTTCTTGGAATGCCTAATGAAATATTTTTCATGATCAGAAAATGTACTCTTGAATTAGATTATTCTTCTCGTTCAAAAGTATACATTCCATAAATTTTATTGAGTAGAGACAAAGGGTTGTTAACTTGATATGTAGCGAAATTGTAGAGTCTCTTTTTATAGGTGTTCACTTCACTTTATCTCATAGTTTTGATGATCAGTTGATTATTATAAGAGAAGAAGAAGAATTCACCACTTTTGCCTCCATCTGGTCCAGTAAATTGATCTATTTTAGAAGAGTTCTTGATTAAATCAAAGCAATCATCAATATCTATATTATCTATAGTAATGAAATAGTTGAATATCTTGGGTGCATAAAGTATGCATCGCATAGAGAACACTTCAATTTCTTGATCAATATTCAATTTCTCTTTTAATACTTAATTATTTAAGTTGGTGACTAAACATTCTTCAATTTCTTCAATTGTAAAGGGTTATGACATGGCTTCCATAAGTTCACTTAAGTCTCCTTGACTGGAATTGCTGCCACTCCCATCTTGATCTTCAGTAATAACCAGATCTCTGTATTAGATTACATCTTCTTATTTCTGTCTTCTAAGTATTTGAACTCCAGCCAACATTGAAGTTACTTAAGTTTTTTTCATTTCTTTATGCAATTATTCTAGAACATTGAATTCTACATTAATAAATCAAAGTTACGTTATAAAGAGATTTCTTAATTATCATTGACTGTGTTGTTATCTGATGTTTAAGAATGACTGGGTAGCAAATTAAATGATGGATCTTTAAAAATTATGATAGTTTAACCAAGTATGCACAATGCTTGGGTGAAGTTTTGTAAGGTTCCAAAAACTTATAACTAAGCTGAAAGAAATATGTAACAATTCAATAAATTAATTCCACTAAAGATTCCAAGAAGTAATTTCATAGTTATACTAAACCCTATGAACATTTAGTAATATCTGAGATATTAGCCTCTGGCTTGTCGCATTGTTGAGAACTTGGGAATCAATTTTTTAAAGGTTATAGCGTATAGAACGGACATGGTTGCAAACAAAAGGAAAACAAATAAATAGCTGAGTGAGATTATGAGATCCCAAGTTATACTATCAGTAGCCGATATTGCACATATTCTAAATTAAATTTATGATACCCATTTAAAGTAGTGGACACTATTTTTTCCCCTAATATAACAATCAAGAGAATTAAGGCAAGAAGAGAATAGTTGAAAATTCTCAAGATTCTGGCTGTTGATTCCAGTGCATTGTAAATTAAGGCTAAAGGATAGGCAGCATAAACAAATATGTTAAGATTTGAAATCATAAAAACAATTGAAGTTGCAAGTCCTGTAATCTATTTTACATTTGCATTTACCTCGCAAAATGCATTATGCATCGGAGCTTCATCAGTTACAAGCACATAGATGGCTGTTGAAAACTAAACAGCACTTTCAATGCCATTGGTTATAGTAATAACGAAAACACTATCTCCAGGTATTCCAAACAGTTTAGTGTTCTTTAGGAATTGGTATATTATCCTTGAGGATCCAAAAAATGTTAAGGGAGCTTTGATTATGCATTTATTTTATACATAGTAAAATGAAAATCCAACAATCTATTGGTTGTAATTTAAGTTTTTCATCTTCATATTTCTATTTTTAAAGAGGGATTTAGCAATTATAAAGTTATTCATCAGTGTACATTTTGGCGATAGCATGACTAATGAGCAGAAGAAATAATATCGAATTTATATTCATAATAATTATAATCAATTTTTATCATAATCTTTTTCTATATTATGGAAGAATGAGCTGTTATTGCTATTAGATGATTTGTTGGATAAGTTTATTTTTTGGAGATATCGTAGAGGAATTTAAAGAGTTGGCTTTTTGCATTATTCGATGGCTATAATTCTTTTAATCATAGGTTTCCATCCTTTATCTGATGGTTGTCTTTTATTCGCATATTTCATTGGCTTGTTGAATCTTTCTTAAGCAAATCTGCAAAGTAGACTAGGATTTCCTCATTACAAGGGTTTTTGATTCCTTCTTTACGAGTTTATCCGGACTTATAGAACTTTGTGTAGATTCTGATAGTTGAGGCAGTATCAATCTTTAAAAAGACTAAGATTTTCTAAATGACTTTTTGGGTGATTCTATTTTGCTATGTTCAGAGTCACCTTTCATAGGAGAGACCGATGATACCAATTAAATCATCTGATGATCATTTCCACAATCAACACTAAACTTGTGTTTTTCATGATATTTCTTTTTAGGAGAATCCAATGCTGGTTATGAAGATATTTTATTGATAATCTATTATTGTATCTATTACTGGTACTAGAACTACTCTTCACTTTTTTATTGGGTAAGCAATGCTGTTAATTAAGAGAATCTAATCTTCCCTTTGATTTCTTCATGCTTCTATTCAAATTTTGTTTGGCTCTTCAAGACTAAAGGTCTTAATAGTTTGCTCTTATGTTGTATCTATTTATGAATAGACGTTTCAGAGAAGGTTTGACTTTCCGGATGACTTTCTGATCGATTACGATGTTCAGTCAATTCGCCACTCCTTCTTAGATATTGGAAGAACATGATCATTTTGATATACTGGATCATCTTCTCCTGTAATTGTTTACAAATGCCGAATTCTCTCAAACCCATAGGGATGCTATCCTGATGGCGTCTTGTGATCCATGGATGTGAAAGAGCTTGCAAGGCTGTATAGCGACGATGAGGATCATAGCACAATAGACGTCTCAGGAAATCCCTAGTTAATGATGACGCATTATTGGGTTCATCGTATTAAATGTTGGGAAAACTCTATATAAATTAATTCTTTGTAGAAAATTTAGGATAATATGGGTGTTTCTTTTGTAAGAGCATGTAAAGAACAATTCCGCAAGACCAAGTATCGACAGTTTTGTTATATGACATATTGAGGATCTGTTCAGGTGCCATGAAAATGAAGGTACCACATTGATGAGAGACTGTCTAATAATACTGGATCTCGGCGTCATATTAGAAGCTTAGCCCGAAATCAGCTAATTTAATGGAAGATAAGTCATTTTTATTTTTGATTAAAATGTTATCTATTAATTAATTACCATATTTAGATACCAGGTTTGATGTCTCGATGAATGATCCCTTGGCCATGCAAATACTCCACTGCTGATAACAAGGATCTCATAATCCCGATTATTTCGTCTTCTGTAAGCTTCTTCTAAATGTAATCCTTGAGTGTTCCACCTGAACAATACTCCATAACCAAGTAAGACATGTTCCCGAATTTGTATTCCTAATTTCAGCACTATTTTACCTTTAGTAGTCTTATGATGTTGGGATGATCTATTTTTTCCAGGATCGATATCTCAGAAAGGAAGGAATTTTGAATTATCTGGTGCTATCACTATACAATCCTTACTTTAACTGCTACTTCCTACCCATTGAAGTTCCCTTTATACACTTACCCGAATGAACCCTCTCCTATCTTGACTGGATCTTTCACTCCTATCTCTTCTAAGTGTTAGGTTTGCATTATTATTTTATATAATTATTATTTTCAGCATAATTCATATAAACCAATATCTTTCTATGTTTCACTTAGTAAGTATATTCCGTTTTTGCTTTTTACTACTGTTTATTACACCACATTCCTTCCATACTTACTCGCACAATCAAGCAGTTCTCCATACTTGTCCAATTGTAGTACCTTATTTTTTTAAATCAAAATCCCTTTTATTTATTTTGAATTTTCAGCAATAACTACCAAAACAAATTAATTCTCTTGTTTTAAAATAATCATTTCCTTGATCCTACTATTAAATAACTATAATATCTATGACCTTAAATACCTAATACTCTCCAAGCAAACTGTTCTTAAACACATTGTACAATCTTACTTATCCATCCCAGCATCCATAACAAATAATTACTTCACTTTGAAAATCAACTCCAATACAAGTGCTAATGTTAGAAATAGGAATAGCAGGTTGAATTGATTCTAATTAACAATTTACCAATTAAGTAGCATTTTGTTGATTCCCACTCAATTTCAAACTATATATTGACACAATATTTCCTTAAGAAATCGTAGCGAATCTCTCAAATTTACTTAAATATAGAAACTCTACTAATTGACCTTTAAAGTCAAAGTCACAAAGTATTCTATTATCATGATAATTTATAATCTATAAATTTGTATCACTTTAGCAGAGTAAATGAGACTAGTCAGCTAAATCCATGATATGATTTAGCTTTTATTTAAATCCAACCAATTTTCTTTCAGGATAAGGTACATAATTTTCACCTAATGTCCAAACTATTGCAAAATTTTCATCGCTCAATGATGCCAATCTAATTCCTTTATCTTACTTAAGTACAACTATTTAATTGATGGGTTTTGAGTGTTGAATGTAAGTGTTTGGATAAAAACTCACTTTACTCGTATTCATATCTAACAATTTCACAGTTCCATCTACTAATCCCAGAGCTACATGAGAATAATTAACTAGGGCCATAGTTTAAACCAGGAATTCTATACTCAACTTTTTCTTAATCCTGAATTTAGCGCTTAGATGATTCTAGGAATTGATTTATCAAATTCATTACTTTTGTTTAGTTCTATTCTTATATGATTCTCTAATCCAGTACTTATGCATTAAACTTTGGAATTTCCAAAGTAGGTTGTAGGTTTGAAATGGGTATTTTAGAGTCAATAGATTTGATTGTAGCTTTGTTATCATCAATTGGGACTGGCCTGTCGGAATAGCACAATTCTAAGGACTTACTTTTGATAGGTGTAAGAGTTTAATTGTTATATGATGGAGGGATTTCCAAGAGTGTTGATGTTGGAATGGATAGATTCTTATTAAAATACTCGGTGATTGAATTTTGGGTTTCATTTAATAATTGATTTAAACTAGAGGTGTTTGGTTTCATCTCTTATGATTTTTTGAATATCTCAAAGTTTAATTTCAACATTGATGGCTATTTTTATTAGAGTTATTTGATAGAAATCTTGACTTGCGATCCTAAATCTGGCTTAGTGTGTAATTTTTACTAGATATTGAACATAAGTTACTTTCAGGTTATTCTCATTAGTATAATATTTACACTTAGTCAATAGAAAATGAATGGGTTCTATTTGTTCTTTGAGGATGAATAAGTTACTTTTGTAGATTTAAAGATAAGAGTCTAGTTTATTAAATAATTCTGCTTTTTGTATGTCAAACACTTTGCTAAGTGAGTTCAATGTTAATTTGATATCAGAATCAATCTGATGCTTTAATGAAGATATCTATGCCTCAATATTACTGAGATGTTCATCAGATGATAGCAGTTGTTATAAGACCTAAGATTCTTGTTTAAAGAGATCATTGAATTAATGGGCTTCATTGATGTTGCTTTGAATGTTCTTACTCATCTAGGTTATGTATTGTGGATATGGGATTAGGAATTGATTATGTTTGGTGTGTTGTGAGATGGTTGACTAATCACTCAAACAAATTTAACACATAAATGGGAATGCTTAGCATTCTAAATCAAGACAAGCTTAGGTTACATGTTATTTGTGTTGAGGACATATTAAATTAACATTCATTTTAAAATTAAATATTTATAATTTGGTTGTTCACACTCATGCATTCTAAAATACTTAAATGATTATGATATTTTAATATTAAACCATCTGTGATGGATTGAAATATTAAATGAATTAAATTAAATAATAATAGCACTTCTTGAACATCTTAAAATAATATCAGGAAAGATTGGTTGAATTGACTAATAAAAATGAAAACAAAACTCTTATGATTATAGAATTGTTGAATAAGGAAGAATAATTGCAATAGCAAATATAATAGATGCAGATAACTATAGATAAACTGACAGAAGAAAATAATCAATTAAGGGCAGATATTTTGCCTTATGGGTCTATCAGCGAGGTTAAATAATTAGTGGAATAATTTAAATAAATACATGCTGAATTGTCTCAGTGAAAATTAAACCCATATTATATTAAATTGTTAATGTTGATTATTTTCATTTATCGTAATGTTAATGCTTCGTTATAGGCACAAACTTAAAGCTTTTTAAACCTTGTATTTCGAAAGACCCATTGATGATCACATTGTCATTACCCCATTCAAACATATCCCATTTCAATTTCTCAAAAATCACCTTCTTCTATTCTTTTGGCAGAGGAACCTAAAATATCAATAGAACATATGTACTCCAAATTTTTAGAGCATCTCAATGTCTGATTGTTGAGGATACAAAACTTCTTGTATTGTGAATACATGAGAGTCTAGAAATACTTCTTCAGCAATTTTGAAAGAATCCATAGATATTTCATATCTTCATAAGAGAATTAAAATACTTTTTGTTATGTGTTTCAATATATAAACAATGGGTTTTTAATTTATACGAAGTTCTGCTGGGCAGTCCTTGGGCTGTTTATCTATCCATGAAAGTAAGTAAATTGTATTTTTAGCTTGGCTCATTGCACATATCCCACACAATCCAACCTTCATTTAATGGAGGCAAATTATTAACTAATAGATTTTCAGGATATGAAATCTGAGGAGGTTCATGCAAATATACAGTTGAATGACTTCTCTTAGTTAATCTTCTATTTTAAGGCAAAGACATTTTCTTAGCCCAACTTATTAATTATTCAGGTGAACCCAATTGAGGTAACCAAGTGACCTTTTCTGGCTTCAAACAATGAGCACAAGGAGTCTTCAAGGATCTAGACAACAAAGGCACTTTCATTTATCCATTTAATGATTTCTTCCCTTTAATAACTTTACAAGATAAACTCACTCCCTAATAAAAAGCACTTGTTAATTTCAAGTCTCCTAAAGCTAATAATCCAGCATGGATTCCAATACAAACTGCATCGCTATGACTAGCATAAGCTCCATTGGAACCCCATATTTGACGTAATATAAGTGCAGGATTATTTTTATTAACATATTCACAGGCTATCTTAATATCGATTATTGAATTAATGTAGTTTGATAGATTCGGTAGTTCAGCGCCAGGCTTATATAAAAATGTTGCAGTAGCAGGAGTCTAAGTAGAGATGGGTTTTCTGAGTTTGGCTTCTCGTTTGTTGAATCCCTTGGGTCCCAAGATGGGTTGCTATTTATTCTTCACTCTCATGCCTGAAATGCTAATATCTATTACCATCATATTATGATAAGTCATCATCGTCTATTGGACTATCGTAGTCTTCTGAATTGTTTTTCTTCCTCTTCTCTCTTTAAGGTCTTTTAGTGTTTCTCTTTTAAGAAGAACTTCTTGATGACTAGCTGCTATGGGATAAGTTTGACATTTTAATTATAATATATTTATCACGCTTTATTTAAAATCAATAGTTTTTCCTAAATATGAACAGAATTCCTTCTACTCATACCTTCTTCTTTACGCATGAATCTTGAATCTACTTTCTTATTGTTATCAATATTGTTCTGAATCCGTTCCTTAAAGAGAGTTTCAATATCTCCAAAATTCAAAATGGCGCGAACAAACATTATTTTATAACTTGAATTATTCATCTAGCCTAAAATGAATGAAATCAATCGCATTGCCTCAATCTTTTATTAATTTTATTCATTCTTCTCTAACAATTGATCTGCCTGATCAATTATTAAATATCTTAAATTCGAAACATTCTATGAAGGATTCTTCAAACCAAAAAAAATTGTGCTAGGATGATAAATATAAACTTAACAATCAGCTACTCTATACAATTTTTTTCACATAATTAAATTCTAAAACTTATACACCCTTATTTCATATATTATCCTTTGTTTATGCAAAATAAGTTAAGAATTTCAAATTCTATTCCTTCAATCTATCAGTCATATATTTTCGATAGTTCTCTTTGTGCTTTGCTTCAAATAGATTGTTTATCCTATACTATTCTGTAAGGATAAAGCATTTAAGTTTCCTTTATTGTATTACCATTTTACTTATTTACTTCATGTTAAATTCTTGTTATGCTTTTCTTGGAATGATCAATAAATAAGAGATTTAAAGCAAGGAGTTTTATGATCTGTTTAGCTTCGTAATTCTATTCATTATTGACATTCTAGCCTAAACAATATTTAATAAACTCATATTAACGAGAGTTAACTTTAGGTTCAATCTCTTTAAATTTATCAATTATTTCAACCTACAAAATGCCTTTTAAATCAGCTCAATCTCTATCCTGCTAATCTAAATTTTGATCCATAAATTAATTAATGCAAAATATTAAAAATGTTATCCTTCAGTTGATCAAATACAGCATTGTAGATGAACAAATTTAAGAAATACTCATTTAATGTAAGTGAACTCAATATCCAATTAGAGCTCCACGAATAGTAGGATTAACTAGATATTGCTGTTTTGGCAGAACAAATTGAAAATACTGTTAGTCATTCAGATATCAATTTGATTCTAAAGCCAATCTAAGATGAGATTAATCAATAAAAATTGGCATCAGATAAATTTGATAAATAACTAAAATAAGTTAAATTACTTATGAGTCAACTTGATTATCAATGTCTTGGCAAAGCTAATAAGATGGATATCGAAATATAATAGCAAAATAATATTAAATTACAATCTTAGATCCAGGATTGCAATTCTAAAATTGCTCAAATTTTATAATAATAAGATATAATTACATAAAATAATCATTAACTTATTCAAGATCAATTTTTGGAATAAATAGAAACATTAGAATAGAATATTAAAAAAAGTGTGCTAGTAACATTGGATTCTATATATTAATGCAACTTTTAGAAATACGATAAGTTGCTCTAAAACTATGAAAAAATGACATTCATTTTAGAAACAAAAGCAGATCAATCTCAATTCGCTGAAATTATGCAATCAAAAGTCAGTATGTAGTAGTATCTCTAAACAAAAACCAAATTGTTCGACACTCTGAATCATCTAAAGTACATGATGGAAGCTGTATTGTAGTTTTTTGAAGCATCGATATCAGAATAGGATTCAATAAATATGAGAAAATCAGATTAAATTAAATCAATCAATTTAATAAAAAGTATTATTATTAAGTTGATTCCAAATGAGGAATAAAAATAAATTCTTTAAAAATTTAATGTTAAATTGAAACCAACTATTTTTAAAACCATTCAACATCAAAGAAGAATTAAAACAGAAATAAATGATTGAATATAATATTTATTAGAACTTAGAATAAATCAAACTAAAATTATAACATTGTTTTAATTATCATAAAACTATATCTTGGCATTAAGAAAAGTCATCTGCCTTGACAAATGCATTCTCATTTTTTTCATTATTATTAGTAAATTAACAAGAAAGTTAAAGTGTGTGTTCATTTTGAATGTTGCTCATTTTAATTTAATGATTAGATTAGGAAAGTTTACTTGAGTGGGTTTTAAGTTGTTTTAAATTGGAAAATGCTGATAAAAATCTCTGCTATATCTAATTTCTCTGATTCTTCTTACTATTTAAGAATTTTGAGATTATTGATTTTTTTTGAGTTAATCCAGGGAATTAATACTATAAAAATCGTTTGATATTATCAAATCTCTCAATATATTTATAATAGTAAATTATAGTTAGTTTTATACTTACTTTTAGAAGTAAAAACATAAAAAATATGATAAAGATTATCTCCAATAAAAAGTCTATACTTGTTATCTAGTTAATCTATGTTTAGTATTTTAAACAACTAATTACTATTATAATTTCGCATAAACAGATGCTATCTAATTCAAATCCATTTAAAGATTTAACATTATACGGTTTTTGTATAAAAACAGCTGTAAAATAAAATAATAAGATTATAAACATTATGCATCCTTTGGTAATGATTTATTCTTCGTTAAAATTCAAGGTCAATATAATTATTAATCTTTAAAATATTCTAAGTATTTCCCAATAATAACATGACTCCTAATAGTCATTAAAAATATATCCCCATATTTTACGAAATCTATCTGAATTGAAATGCTTTCTAATTTTGATTAATTTAAGTAGAATAATAAGAGGAAGAATACCTCCTTCAAAAACCAACAATGGAATTATACAAAATGTCATCCAATTATTATGCGTTGAGGTTGAGTATAAATATTAAACATTTTTATTTATATAAGTAATTCCCGAAATTTGTCTTTTAGCCGCTAAACTACCTAATTCATTTATTATTTAAGGTTAGGTATAAAATAGCAAATAGAGTATTGCAGTGAAATATATTGTTATTGATAATTTGGCTTTTTTGAATAATATTACAATCAAATAGATGGTGATAAAAAGCAAGTAATAAAATATTGGTATTAATAGATTAATCATTAGATTTATGTAGATAACTGGAACATTAGATTGCTAGCTATAAAAACAATCATATGAATATAGAGAACTACCAACTGGATTGCTAAAAGGATTCAAGAAATCAATAATATTTGAATACATCTAAATTTGGAATGATTTTATTCCAATCAAAATTTAAAAATAGTTTACAATCATTTTAATTAAGGCAGCTGATTAATCTAAAATATAGTAATACATTATACCTTATCCTTGTCTAAATATGATTTTATAATGAACTGTAGTATATTTCAGTCGTTTAAAATTCATAAAGAGTAACTAGGCACTATTAACAGTTAAATATGTTGATAGTAATGTCCTATAGATTTAATTATAAAAATTACAAAATTGTTATTACAATTGAAATGGCAGCTTTCCCAATAAAATTCTAACAATACTGGCATTTAAAATTGCTGTTTTGGTAATATTATCCAAATCCTCTTATATTATATATATCACATTCTTCACACAATCCTCCTATAGATCCTAACTAACATGAATCATCTCCTGTTTCCCAACCTCCTAAACAATTTTCAGGCTTTCTATTGCAAACAGAAATAAGTGAACTTTTAGAAGACGGTCTCCAATATCTTGGATATAATTCTATTTGATTTATTGTATTTTTTTAAATCATCTTTGGATCTATTTTTAAACAATAAGATGCTTTTGGCTCAAGGGAATAATACCCTCTCTTAGCCTCGCATAATAGACATTAAGATTCATAATAGTATTCTCCTACTTAGCATGGAAATGTCTTAACATTTAATTAAAATTTGATCACTTCCTTTAATTAGTTTATGCAAGTCATTTGTAAATTTAAATAACTATCCTTCTTGGAATATGGATCAAATATGATGGTTAAGTTTTCAAAATTGAATGATTGATCTTCTTTATCATACTCAACTACGTAATCATTATATTTTCCATTTTGCTATTATTCTCCAATAAATTATTGTTAATTAACTGTGCAACTTGAGGTTTCATTTTCAAATAGTAATATTTTTTCCTCTAGATTATTCACAAAATAAAATCTTAATTGAATATTATAATTTTGATAATTTTACTACTCCTAAGAATATATTTGATATTATCCTATTTTTTAACCGCTTGGCAAATAAATGAAATTTTCATTTAGGAATTTTTTAAGATTGGGTAGATATTTGCCTCCTACATATATATTTTCAATATCTGTTTGGAAAATCGATAACATAATCTAGAGGGGCAATTCTTAAAGATTATCTATAGCAACCTTGCCTTTGTTGTCAATCAAGTAAATTTAGGAAAAGCAAGAAGTTTACAATTTTGTGCTTTTTAAGAAAATGGCACCCCCAATATTTGCCTTATTTGCAATGAAATAAAGATTTTTTGTTTAAAGTTCCTGATAATATTGGGAATAATATCCTCCACCTTTAGATGCTGTATTTTGAATAAATTTTAAGTTCCGTAAATCTAGATTTGATGCCTATAAATTAAGTGTTCCATTCATTAAACCTTTATTTTAGATGAATAGGCCATGATCTACTTTTATTGAAGTTGTTTGATAAGTTCCTATAGGAGTTGCAGACAGACAAGATTAAAAACCACAATCATTTTTAAAGAATAATAGTTAATTAAAGTTTATTGATTTTGTATATTCTGTAAATTGTAGATTGATTAAACCATTTTAACAATTAGAACAATTATTCTGAATAATTTAGAGATTATGGAACTATATTTTTGATGTTATTTAGGCATTCAGAAGAATATCCAAAAATGAACCTTTTGTTTATTAATTGACATTTTAACAATTATTTATGTCTATTTCACTTAAAAACAATTAGTTTTAAGTCTTATAAGCTAATTAGTATTTTTATTCATTGCTAATCGATATAAAGGCAGCCCCAAAAGATTTAGCCTGAATTATTTTTACATTAGTTAAACGAAGATAATGGATAAAGGATAAACTAAATATAGAAACTGAGTACGAACCTGTAATTGACACAGAATCAATATTAATCTTGCTTTTAAATAATTAATTAAGGTTACCTATTAGATACAGCAATCAGACTACTCTAACTTGATTAAGGACTCTAAAAGTTCATTCCTAGAAAATCATTGTAAAAGCTTTCTTCAATATTTATGGTGTTATTTTTAAATTCAAATGTATTATTACTAAGAAAGAAATCACATACAAAAGAAACCAAGCTTTATTCTTAAGAAAATGTATTAATAAAGTTTGAATTAAGAATTTTCAATTTATTGGATATTTATGAAGGAAGTAAATATATGAATCCCCCTGAATCTTTGCTAATTGATAATGTCACTGAGATATTTCTTATAAGCAAGTCCAATTCTGAATTTGTTGCGTCAATATAAAAGCTTCCACCAAAAGAATTTATGCTCATGTTGTTCCAACTGATGGCATTTTAAATAACAACATTCTCTATTAAAACTCTGCTTTTTTCAAGTAAGACCATTAATAAACAGCCACCTTGATGAGCCATCATATTTTAAAATTTCACATCAAAAATTACAATATTTTTTCCAATCAATTATCCCAATCCTCCTTATGAATAGATTTAAATATTAGAGAAATTCAAGTCTTAATTCTAATAATCTATATTGATATCAGAAACAATTAACGATTGCAATGTGATAGTTTCTGAGTTCAGATAAATGTGAGAATTTCTTGAATTTATAATTTTATTTTGTTTAAATTGTCCAGAGTTCAAAGATATTTTGCTTTATTTTACGAAAATATAAAGTAAAGAAGGAGCTATAATTTATGAATCCTCAATCTAATACTTAATTAGGTTATGCTCGTAGTTGATCTTAGATAATTCAACATTGCAATAATATTCTGATTATATATACAAAAGAGATGGCACGGTAAATAATTAACTTTTAACAAGCACATTGTTGGTGACGTTAAAATCATGTACTACAACACTTTAGTTAAAAGTAACATCTTATTTGGATTATATATAAATTAAGGATGAATCAACCACGTATAAGTTGCTTATCTATATGTTTGATAAATAGATTTCAATAAAATCCTTAATAAACAAAAATCCCTTATTATTTACTTATTTATTTGCATCATAATTAAATAAACCTTACTCTTTTTATTTGATTATACAATCCTTGATAATAATTTAGTCGAAGTTATTCAAACAAAATATTTAAATATTAAGAATATTTAATCCTGTAAAGTTTGTGATTGATATGGATTGACTCTGAAAATCAAAAAAACAATTTGATGCATTAAAATCATATAATCTATCATCTTGAATGATAGAACCTTATTCTAACATTATATCTTACATTTTTATTTAACCTTTATAATCACTTCTATATATAATTTTAAATGGACTTTGCCCCTGGAATGAAATTTTCTTTATTTGTATTTTTTAAAATAAATGATCAAAATTGGTTTCACTCAGATATCCCTTAAGAAGTAGAAGAGTGCTGTTTGATAAATTCACATTTTCGAAGAATAGCTCTTAAAATATTGTAGATTAAGTAGATTATATTAAAATTCCTTAAGTAATTGTAGAATTGATTAATTCTAGTTAATACATTTATATTTAATTGCCTAGTGGTATTTTAGCAAATTCTGAATTGATAAATTTAGAATTGCTTATACTTATGTTCTTGATTATTATCTTATTAAAATTAGACTATTAGGTGAAGGTAAAAAGGGAAGAATTTTCAAAAGTGCAATTAATGATTCTTAAATTATTGATCACAAATTTATCAACATAACTTTGATGATTATTGATAAGTATAAACACACTATTTATAAATATGCAATTCAATAAAGTGATCTCATAAAATAATAGGTTCGTATTTTAGAAAACCTATTAATAAAAATTGTTGATAGAAATCAATGATGATTAATAATTGATTTATTCATTAATTTAAATATAAGACATACTTAAATTAGTACTATTAGTTATTTCAATTAAAGTTCTATAATTAGTAATAGATGGAAGAGTTATATTGTTAATAAACACTTCGACTCCATATTTTGAAGTGATATTCAGAATATTTTTTTCATTAAAAAAGTAAAGGTTATCAATGGTTACTTTGGATTAATTAAAAATTTGAATAATTTTTTCATGATAATTTTCATTTTATCCATCATAATAAAGATCTTAATTTTATAAAGAAAAAATATAATTTCTAAGATTAATAATTTACTCATCAGGTAAAAATGAATATTGAGCTTAGTATGTGTAAATATTTCTTTGAATTAAATATTACATCTCCAACTCTTTAAGTTCTTGAGAGGAGGAGAATTCATTTTAATTTAAGATCTTTGTTATTTTATTAACGTATCTGGCTCCATTTTAGGTTTATGGTTAAATCATTCCTAATTTCTGATGTATGTATGTTTCCTGATTTCCATAATTTTTGATACAATAATATGTTTAGCTTTTAGTCTGTTCATCAACAATAAAATAAGGATTGATGAGGTTTATCTCTTCTAATGTTCTTTCTTAGCATATAATACATGGATATGGGCACATTTGACATTTTTCATTGAAGAAAGAGGATGATTGATAAAATTTTGATTAAGATTTACATGTCTTACAAATTACTCCATTTATATCATTATGCCAATTTAAACAGTTTTTATCATTGGCAATTTTACATTCATCATAAAAATATATATAGCCCTCTTCACATTCATCTATAAGGTAATAGACAATAAAATATTATCCTGAAAGCAATATCGGAATTTTATCAGGCAAAAATTTATTATAGAAACTCATAACGTCATATTTCCAAGAATCTTAAGAAGAAGTGAGCATTTTACATTTGATTGAATGTTCAATTATCTCAGAGCAAGGCTTGCAAATTCCATTTTTAAAATTGAGATAGTATCCATCCTCACATTTTGTACATTGTACCATCTTATAATTATCAGAAACACATTTCACACAGAACTAGAAATATGTTTAGCATCCAATTGTTTCTAATGGTTCTTCAGTTATTCGAGCTGTTAATGATGAACTAGTGCAAATTAATTCATTATCTTGATTGATGAAAGCATTTAAGCATGGAAATTCCAAACTCTTTTTTACGCATTCATTGATAGTAAAATCAAATATATACCCTGAATAACAAAGCGAACACCCTATTATGTAATCTTCTTCCAAATTAGATGGGAGTTTAAAATAAGGAACTTTTCTTGCAGATACTTAATTCAAGTCATATTAGTTGTATGAAAAACAATATTTACAGTGTTCAATATTACAAACTCTACATATTCCTTACCAGTCACTAAAGTAAAGAGTAGTATCCTTGCAGTAATAACACATTCTTAAACTACAGTAACCACAAAACTCATTACATGTACCTTTGTAGGATCCATAATTTTGTCTTTCTATCACTTCTTGCGGTTAGCATTTAAAAGTTTCATAGTCTAAATTTCCATATATACACATTATGTAAGTATCTTAATTCATATGTTTTAAAGGATATAAAATGCAATAGCTAATTCCCATTTCTTATTCTTCCAAATATTCTTCTTTTGAACAAAATACACAATCTTCACAAGTAAATAACTCTTCATCAATTAGTAAATAAAAATTTGATTATGGTGAAGCAGCATCGGCAATATGTCTATAAGTATTTTATTCATCCATATCAAATTATTAATATTATTGATAGCACATGCCATTTTAAACCCATGTATCTGGATATAGAATACAATCTAGACATTATATGGCTCCCTTCTATGATGCAGATGGACTTATTAATCATTAAATTATACCACTAAATGCATGAATCTAAATATCGAAAGTACCCATAAGCACATTAAACTATAGGTTAAATTTCATCGTACCTTGTATCTTCAGGTAAATAAATTTTAGTTTCTATTAAATTAAACTCAGATTATCCATGACATTAAACTTCATCTAAGTCTAAATACCATAATTTGCATTTGCATGTATTAACTTTTGGATTAAATATTCTATTTTTTCTTACATCACATGACCAACAATGATTGCTGTTTGGCCCAAAACAAGTTTGACAAGAGTAATGGCAATGGTCAAACTAAATACTGTTATCACTAGAAGGACAGGTTGAATATTTTAAATTTTAAATTTGGCCACTCAGTAAATTTTCACCACTATTTTATCCTAAAACAATTGTAAATTTAGAGCAAGAAAACTAATTTACATTTTCAAATTGTTTCAGCAACTATTTATTTAATAGATAGTTTCTCATTCCGTAATTGATTTATTTATTTTTGTAGCTAACTTATATTAAATGCCATGAGGTAAGAAATTCGCTACCAATTTCATATTGATAGTTCTTTGTAAAATCCTAAATTTAAGTTTTTGAAAAAATGAATGGATAAATATAGGAATAAAATTAAAGACAATAATACCATTTGGAATTCTCACTTATATAAGTAATTTAAAAACTCGTCAAATCTATATGGTTCTCTTCATCTAATTGATATTTGAGGTTCAATCTAATCACTTAAATTGTTTAAAATTCACTCAAAACATCATCAATTTGAACCCAAACCTATATCAAATATTGTGTGTCATATTCTTAATCAACCTGTAATTATAGTAATTGGGTCTTATAATCATAATATTCGTTAATTAATGCTTAAAAATTGAATTCGCAGTCTTTCAGATTGGAAATATAAAATTCCCTTTTCTCATTCTATTCTAAAAATATTAATTTCATTTTTCCTGGAAAACTGCTCAATAAATATTCCTCCTAAAAACTGTTTTTAACGCTCTTTACATAATAAAAAATTTTACATTTAAACTCCCTCCTATGATCAACTTAAACTCTTTGTCGAAAAAGCTCTAAGAAATAAGGCTTTTTTCCATTTACCATTCTTTTGACATAAAACCCAATATAATTTTTCTCTAATTTGTATTATAATACATATACTGCATATACCATTTACCTTCATAATCATTGGAATCGAATTCAAACTCTTCTTCCATAATTTCATTTTTAATGTTAAATTTAACAATATGTATTATTTTCCTCTCTTCTGGAAGAAATTTTACGTAATGAAGGAAAAGTAACATCTCTGTGAGTCTTTCATATCCTAAATATAATAGATAGGAGTTAGTTTAGCTTCGTTGAACAGGTCCTATATGAGAAATAACACTCAAAGGACAATATTTAAAAAGTGTTCCAATATATGAATCAACTGGATACCATATACTGTTTAAGGATATCTATTATGCATTCTAATCTATTTCATAAAGCTATTAACTAGTTTACAATATTAGTATTAGTATGGTAAAACCAGTATATAATTCATTAAATGAATACATGATTTATTAATTAACAATAAGGGAATAATAAAATATTTTAAATAAAGTAAATACAATCATTCTTAGTTAATAAAAACTTAAACTTCAGATGGGAAAGATCGTCAAAGGTTAAAAATTACGTGAGTTATGCTAATTTCGATTTTTATAAATTAAATATTACTTAAAACAATTTTTTTATTTTAAATTAGTACTAAAAGGATGCTTAAAACTTTGTAAATTCAAGACATATATTAGAATAATATTTTCATATTGATTTTTTAGAAATATATGAAATGGTTGTATATTATAAAATGATGATAAATGAATCAAGAGGGTTTGTAGTTAGGTTTGGATGCTTATACTTGAAACATCATTTATTATTAGCAAGCATTAGAGTATGCAGCTGGTTGAACTTATTATAATTATGCTCCTGTGGCAGAGAATAAAGAGTTGACTCCTCCCTATTGATAGTTATTACTGACCATTTGACACATTTATTTTTGGCCAAATAAATTATAGGTATTTCTTGAAGATGCTTATTTTGCTTATTATAAATCTTAAATAATTCCAGTACATTAAGCAGCAACATTTTGATTCTTTTAAATTTGTATCAACATATTATCAATCAACTTTTAAGCATCTTCATTCTTATTTTATTCACAAGCTTTTCTTGCATCATCAATTACTTCTGTTCCTTTTACTCTATAATATTATGCATAAACATCAATATCTGATTCATTTTAATTAATTTATTCATCTTAATTAAAGAATGTTAATGTAAGACTAGTTTATTTAGTTATAATTGCTCCATTAATTGGATCTTTTATTTTTAATACTGCCTCTATAACTTTCACATTTCTATGATTATCTTCGATTTTCCCTTCAAATTTTGGAAGAGCCAATTCAAAAACGTAATCTTTTCTTGATCCAGATGCAATTTAAGGTTGAGTAATATAATATTGATTTCCTTTCTTTTACCACATATTTCCATAAGTTTTAGATATTTGAATATCTTAATAAGGAGGAGGTGCTGAAGATGAAAGTGTTATTTCTAATTATTCACCTACGACAGAGATTAGTCCTCCCAAAGCATCTGCAAAGAATTCATCCAATAATGTTACATCCTATACAAAATAAAAACTTCCACTCTTTAAATTACATAACTAAGTCATCATCTAAGCATCATGATCCTCTCCAAAACCAAATGTATGCAAAGTAAACACTTCATTCACTGTCTTTATTTGCTCCTAAATCCTTTAATTTGCTTGACCATCTTGGCCATCTGAAAGTAGGAATATAGACGTGACATTGTTTCTATATTTTCTTTCTTATAATTATTTAAAAGCTATTTCTGTAGCTGTTCCAATAGTTGTTCCACCACCAGAATTTATTTGTTATATAACTTATTTAAAGTATTATTTATTTCCATCTGTTACCCTTTTTAATGGTGTTAATCTTTAAGCTTAAGACTCAAAAGTGATAAGTTAATATCGATCATTTTCATTTAGAAAATCAAGCAATAATGCTAATGTTTGCTTAACCATTTCTATCTTTTACCCATTCATACTTCCACTTTTATCAATTAAACATATCAAATCTACCCCGACTCGTTAATTTTCTTGATTCTAAATGACAGCTTAATCTTAAGCTTTTATACTTACGATTCCAGGTAAGTATTAAGTTCTACTGTTAAGCAATTTTCCCATTTTGTATAAAGCTTTGACTTCGAATGAAAGTTTTTCATTTAAATTATACTTATTTGCATTTTATTTTGCCTCTTCTTTTTTAGGCTCTATCTTTTCATCATCATTAAAATTAGTATGAATATCTTAATTTTTTACAGTATTCATTCCAAAAAGACTGGGTTAATAGGGTTGAGCTTAAAACATTTGTTATGGATATTATTGAGGTTGTCTTCCAAATATATTGTTATGAGAATGAGGAGGGTTTGATTATAATGGGAAATTTGGTAAAGCTTAGAAGGGTATTTGGGAAAATTGTTGAAAATTCTATTATTGTTGTTAATTGTAAATTGATTATTATTAGTATTGTTAGTTTGATTAATTGCCAAAGAGGGATTAAGGTACCTGTTATTGATTCATGTTTAAAAGGAAATAAAATATTTAAATAATTTAAAAAAATTTATTTTCCTAAGGCTTTAATCATATAAATTTGATTAAATCTGATGATTTTAATATCATTAATAATACTAATAGAATTCCCTAAAATATAAAATATTAAAATTAAAGGACTCGATTGAGCAGTAATAAATATTGAATAAATTGAATTCATTGATTCAATTTGAAAAAGTCAAAGAGTTCATTAATTTAAGTTCTTATTTATAAAAAAGAAAATCCTTTTTTATAAATTAAATTCATAAAAAAACAAATGATTGATCATTTTAATGAAAGTTAGAAAAATAATAATGAAGAACTTCAAAAATGCTGAGATACATTTATAGAAGTCCAATTATTAGATTCATCAGAAATTCACAGAAAAGCAATTTATAAGCGAATAATTTTTGCGTTTAAATATTAAATAAAATCTCAGTCATGATTAGTATCAATAGTTAATAATATCCGAGCAAGGTAATATTTGCACTACAATTTTTAGATTTAAGTCAAAACAAGACCTTAAAGTTAAATGTATAAGAATCCTTCTTAATTACATTAACAACAACATTTAAATTGTTTTTAGTAATACAAGATTGCATAATAACCACCGATAGCAAGTGTACAATATGTGATGAATCCTTCTAGTAATTAATTGCTATTTAAAAATAATGGTCCTATTTAGCAAGTATAATTAAGACAATACAAAGTTTACTAACCTGATTAATATGTTAAATAAAGTGGTAATGCAATTTAAAAGATCACTTATAATGATGATGATATGATTCAACCTAAAAAATATACTCCTAATAAATATAATTTAAATGAATAACTTTCATTCGAAGTTAAAGCCTTATACAAGAAGGGAAAATTACCATAAACTAGACCATAATACTTACCTGGAATTGTAAGTCTAAAAGCATAGGATTAAAATATCTTTTAAAAATAAGAAAGTCAACGAGTCGGAGTAGATTTAGTAATTATTATGAAATATTGTTTTAGATATGCTTAATTGACATTAGTGGAAGTATGATAGGAGTTAAAATTGAAATGGTTAAGGCATCCTTAATTGTTCTTCTCTAATTTCTTGGAGATAATGATAGACTATAATTAATAACTTTCGATAATGATGCACATAGATTAACTCCTTTAAAAACTGTAACCAACCAAAATAAAAGTTATTTTACTTAAATCATCAAATAAATTTAAGCAGATGGAGGTAATCGTATTTCAGAAGCTACTAAAATGACATTTTACTAATTAAAAGGTAGAAAATATATAAATAATGTGACATCGGTTTTCTTACTTTCTGATGGTGTTGATGTTACTTATCCAGAGGTAAAGAAGCAAATAAAGACAGTGAATGAAGTGTTTACTTTGCATACATTTGGTTTTGGAGAGGATCATGATGCTTAGATGATGACTTAGTTATGTAATTTAAAGAGTGGAAGTTTTTATTTTGTATAGGATGTAACATTATTGGATGAATTCTTTGCAGATGCTTTGGGAGGACTAATCTCTGTCGTAGGTGAATAATTAGAAATAACACTTTCATCTTCAGCACCTCCTCCTTATTAAGATATTCAAATATCTAAAACTTATGGAAATATGTGGTAAAAGAAAGGAAATCAATATTATATTACTCAACCTTAAATTGCATCTGGATCAAGAAAAGATTACGTTTTTGAATTGGCTCTTCCAAAATTTGAAGGGAAAATCGAAGATAATCATAGAAATGTGAAAGTTATAGAGGCAGTATTAAAAATAAAAGATCCAATTAATGGAGCAATTATAACTAAATAAACTAGTCTTACATTAACATTCTTTAATTAAGATGAATAAATTAATTAAAATGAATCAGATATTGATGTTTATGCATAATATTATAGAGTAAAAGGAACAGAAGTAATTGATGATGCAAGAAAAGCTTGTGAATAAAATAAGAATGAAGATGCTTAAAAGTTGATTGATAATATGTTGATACAAATTTAAAAGAATCAAAATGTTGCTGCTTAATGTACTGGAATTATTTAAGATTTATAATAAGCAAAATAAGCATCTTCAAGAAATACCTATAATTTATTTGGCCAAAAATAAATGTGTCAAATGGTCAGTAATAACTATCAATAGGGAGGAGTCAACTCTTTATTCTCTGCCACAGGAGCATAATTATAATAAGTTCAACCAGCTGCATACTCTAATGCTTGCTAATAATAAATGATGTTTCAAGTATAAGCATCCAAACCTAACTACAAACCCTCTTGATTCATTTATCATCATTTTATAATATACAACCATTTCATATATTTCTATGCTTTGAATATGTTAATTTTCATATAAAATCTTAATTTCATTTACGAAATTTTTATAATTTAGAAAATTTAAAAAATACTTACCAAAAATTGAAGGGATAGAAATTAGATATTATGATATATATATCAATATTGTTAAAGAAAACAAAAATTTTCTTTATTACATTACAAAATCACCAAAACCAAAGAAATTTATACCGAATCTTTGAACACAAATTCTGATTTAAGGCGCAAATCAGAATTTAAAATATAGGTTCTGTTTTAAATGATATAAAGTCTTTAAGATACGTTTATTATGAAATGATATTATAAGGGTTCTATGTTGCAATAGAAGCCACTTCTAGTATTAAAAATATATTCCTTCAAAATATGTTTGCAAAATAGGTATTCAGAACAAATGTGAAGTTATTGCAGCTCGTATTATTTACAAATATATCATTACAGTAAAGATAGAATTTAATATAGATTTAGATTTCAAACATATTCATTTCATGCTATAATTATATTTAATAAAGAAAATGTAAAATAATGTAATTGAATTTTAAGGATAAAAAAAGAGAATGGAATTTTCTCCTTTCTATTTTGGTGATTAAAATGATTTACAATTTGGAATGCCTCCATGAACAACTAGTTAAAATATTTCGGCTTAATCTCTAAGGGAGAACGACTTAATCCTGTTATCACCTTTAAACCAAATAGAAATTCTTGAAATTCAAAAAGAATATCGTAAAACAAAGCAGCGGCATTTATCTTAGATAAACTAAAAAATATTCAAACTTTGAATAATATTTAGGACTATTGAAATCAATCATATTTGCTGTAGAGCTAGAATCATTCCTTAAATAGAGTTTAATCTAATGTCCTTATTAAAATGCAGTTCAAACCTAATTCAATATTCAGTCTACTCTTTTAATTGTTGGGATTAAGATTACCAAAAAAAATGTAACCTATTTGACATTAGAATTATCCAAAGAATATGGTTATCTTCCGTTCTCTTCAACATAAATTAATATTACCAATTTACTATCACTTTACAAATGGGGTCACATAAGGCTCTCCACTCTCACACTGACCTTGTTGGAAAATTTACATAGAAAATTTATTTTTAGAGCTTAAATCTCAAGATGAATATAAAAGTAATTAATTTTCTGATGATTTAGTTTCTTATGATACAAAATTATTATTTAGGATAATCTTTAAATAATAAATCAAAGAGTAGTATCTTTTTTATATAAAATCATTCAAAATCAAAAAAAATACGAAATAGATATATGATTTCTTATTCTAAAACCAATACTTTGGAATTACTATATGTAACTAAAGTAAAAATAGTCTCCATTTGTATAGGATTTAAAAATATTAATTGTATGTCTATATAAGATATGATGGATCTCATAATCTTAAAATCGAAATAAAGGCATTAACTATTTTGAAATATTATATTAAATATCTGTAATAACTCTTGTGGAAGAAATAAGCGATAAAGGTGTAAATAATATAATTTGTAAAAGGAAAGATAGAGGTAATTAATAATAAATTCATAATATAATGAATCAATGTTACTTGTTACTAGGTTTGGATGCTTATACTTGAAACATCATTTATTATTAGCAAGCATTAGAGTATGCAGCTGGTAGAACTTATTATATATTATGCTCCTGTGGCAGAGAATAAAGAGTTGACTCCTCCCTATTGATAGTTATTACTGACCATTTGACACATTTATTTTTGGCCAAATAAATTATAGGTATTTCTTGAAGATGCTTATTTTGCTTATTATAAATCTTAAATAATTCCAGTACATTAAGCAGCAACATTTTGATTCTTTTAAATTTGTATCAACATATTATCAATCAACTTTTAAGCATCTTCATTCTTATTTTATTCACAAGCTTTTCTTGCATCATCAATTACTTCTGTTCCTTTTACTCTATAATATTATGCATAAACATCAATATCTGATTCATTTTAATTAATTTATTCATCTTAATTAAAGAATGTTAATGTAAGACTAGTTTATTTAGTTATAATTGCTCCATTAATTGGATCTTTTATTTTTAATACTGCCTCTATAACTTTCACATTTCTATGATTATCTTCGATTTTCCCTTCAAATTTTGGAAGAGCCAATTCAAAAACGTAATCTTTTCTTGATCCAGATGCAATTTAAGGTTGAGTAATATAATATTGATTTCCTTTCTTTTACCACATATTTCCATAAGTTTTAGATATTTGAATATCTTAATAAGGAGGAGGTGCTGAAGATGAAAGTGTTATTTCTAATTATTCACCTACGACAGAGATTAGTCCTCCCAAAGCATCTGCAAAGAATTCATCCAATAATGTTACATCCTATACAAAATAAAAACTTCCACTCTTTAAATTACATAACTAAGTCATCATCTAAGCATCATGATCCTCTCCAAAACCAAATGTATGCAAAGTAAACACTTCATTCACTGTCTATATTTGATTCTTTACCTCTGGATAAGTATAATCAACACCATCAGAAAGTAAGAAAACCGATGTCACATTATTTATATATTTTCTACTTTTTAATTAGTAAAATGCCATTTTAGTAGCTTCTGAAATACGATTACCTCCATTTGCTTTAATTTATTTGATGATTTAAGTAAAATAACTTTTATTTTGGTTGGTTACAGTTTTTAAGGGAGTTAATCTATGTGCATCATTATCGAAAGTTATTAATTATAGTCTATCATTATCTCCAAGAAATTAGAGAAGAACAATTAAGGATGCCTTAACCATTTCAATTTTAACTCCTATCATACTTCCACTAATGTCAATTAAGCATATCTAAAACAATATTTAATAATAATTACCAAATCTACCCCAACTCGCTAATTTTTTTGATTCTACGTGACAGCTTAATCTAAAGCTTTTATACTTACGATTCCAGGTAAATATTATGTCCTACTGTTAAGCAATTTTCCCATTTTGTATAAGGATCTAACCTCAAAGTAAAGTTTTTCATTTAAATCATATTTATTTGTATTTTATTTGGCATCTTCTTTTTTAGGCTCTATCTTTTCATCATCATCAAAATTAATATTAATAAACTATGTAGGTTGTATCACTGAATATTGTTGGAATAGTGGTTATTAAATTTGGTAAGCATTGTTGATTTGTGCTCCAAATAAATTGGAATTACTATGAGGAATTACAGGACTCGGGAAAATATTTCCTGTGGGTTACTAGGCAATTCCGAAATTTGCGTTGAAAGATTACTATTATTATTAGAAAAGTCCTTGGTTTTATGTCTATTTAGATGAATTAGAAAACAGTGATTATGGTTACTAATTATTCATGAGTTGAGAAATATTTATTTAAATTTTTAAATCTCCTTGGATTTATAAATCTATAAAATATGAGTAATTCTGATAAAATAAGATATGATTTAATTAAATAATACTTTGTAAATATAATTATAATTATATGATTTGTTTTCAATAATATGATTTTATTTAATTATGTTATTTATTTTCCATTTATTATAAATCTGCATCTCTAGCTTTAGCTATATCAATGATTAGACTCGATACTCAGTTGATAGCGAATGGGACAACCCATTTTATAGTTATGGGGTTGTTTCAAAATTATGCCCATTAGGAGCAAAATACTACATGTATGAATCGATGAATACTGATATTTACTACTTTTTGTCGAGCGCAAAATTATTGGAAGGAGGTTTATTCTATCTTCATTATGTCGAATTATCAAATTCAAGAGAAAAAATAATTCACCATCTGTATTATTACTAAGAAAACTAATGGTTATCGAATGAGTTTATTTTTAATTTAGAAGAGTATGAAGGTTTGTGGTATTAACAATATATCAATTACGATGTTAACTCAAAATTATTAAATTTAGAGATGAGGTGGGGAGACCATAAAAAATCATTAAAATCATATTCATTTTAAGAATTTAAGTACTCAAATATCAATTTCGTTATAGGAGGTTCTTATTAAGTACTTTGTCATTATCAATTATAGGTTGTGCATCCAATTACAAAGTATATGCTAAATTTAAAAACATTCCCAGGTCAATTATTAGCAGCTGTTAGTGTTTATGAAAGAGATAGGGAAGACGCTTGGGATATATTCTCTGAGATCAAATGTTCAGATAATACAGTTTTGCTATTAGGATAATTAGACATGAAAGAATTTAACTAGCACCAAATTTATATGATAGAAAATTAGAATTAAAAATATTATAAAGTAACATTTTGGGCTAAGATTTAAAATGACTTTGATCCTGAAGTTGATCATAAAATACATGTTTTACGAATAGTTGCTAACCGATTTACTACTGATTTTTAAGCTACAGGATCTAATTCTTTTATTTTATCTTATATGTATTATTCAGAATAAAAATAATGGATGATTAGAATCTAATATTATTCTTATGTGTTACCAATCATAGTATAATTTACAAATAATAATGATCCATTTTAAAAAGAAGACCTTATTTTTGTTTAAAATCATTCTCTATTAAGTACATGGCATTTTATTCAAGTTGAATATGATCCAGATACTTTAAATTTTCATTTAATTAATAAAAAGTAAGACAAGAAAATAGAAAAGAGGTATACAAATGTGAATTAATTTTCAAATATATATTATCGTTTATTTTTTGGTGGATCAAGAGAGGATTTTAGTACTTTAGGTAGATCTTTTGGATTGATTTTGTTTTATGATTGTAATAATGAAAATATCTAATGTCATTATTCATGCTAAACTTGCATAGGGCCATCTTAAAATTAATGTTTAAGTTGTCCAGAGTAAAAAAATAGAATTTACAATGAAGTTGAATAAACTTGTAGATGCAAGGTTTGGTATTCAGAAAAATCAGATTTTACTTGCTAATTTGTTACTTAAAATCAAGTTACTGTGAGTCTAATAGACGAATAAGAAGAATAAGATTAGGAATTCTGTAAATTTGGAGAATTTAGTTTTGATTAAATGTGTTTTTAGTGGTATTTTAATATTTAAATTAGTCCTTCAGCAAGTTAACACAATTAGGTCATCTGCGCAGAATGTTTAATGAGACCCATTGACTGGGTTCTAAAAAGTACTAATTGCAAAAATACATATTATTTGTTTGAATCTTCTAATAATTTTCTTAAAAAACGTAATGATCCTGAAATAACAAATATATAATTTTTATTTGAAAATGAATAATTGATTCCATGCAAAGGATGCTTGCTATGTAATTAATTTCAAGATTAAGATTGCTATTTATCTAATTATAAACATTTGAATTAATAAACCTATATAAAATGCATAGATAATTACATGTTTGAGAATGGTGAATGCTTTTAGATAAGAGTACTTAAGATTAAAAATACGGCTTGCTAAAATAATTGTAAATATTGTAATGAAGAACTTTGTTATGTGTGTTCCAGTTAAACTTAATATTTTATAAATTCTAAGGGATAATGTTAATAATGCTCAATTTTACATTGCAAATATTGTTTTTAATATAATTAATACAATATTAAAGAAAATTCAATCCTTAATGATGCATAAAACGAAGGTTAGGTTAATGATGATTATGTAATTGGATGCGCACTATGTTAACAAGGATATTCTTTCTCATTCAAAACGAATTTATGCATTAAAAATAAAATTGACAATAATTGTTTATATTATATAGACAGCGATGGAGATACTATTTGTTATGCTACACAATTTGAATTATTGGAGAACAAATTTCAATAAATAACTAATTGCTAAGACAAGATTCCTAATTGTGAATAATGTATTTATAACTTATTTGATTTAATGGTGTGCTTATAATGTAAGGTTGGATATTATAACAACAATCTAAATGGGTTATGCATTTCTTGTAATGAGAAATTTGAGAATGTTTAAGAATGTGAGTTAAATAATAAAATGCTCTAAAGGTATAAATTAGAAACTATAGGATACTTATAATAATTAACTTAAGATTTTTATGGTTTGAGCCAATTATTTAGAAACTATGACCAAGTCTTAATCACCTAATGCTCAAATAATCTAGTTTTAGATATTTAATCCAATAAATGCATATCCCCTTGTTCGAATTGTGATATATGTGAATAAATTGATGGAGAATAATAATGCCTTAAGTGTACTACTACTTCAGATGAATATATTGACTTTTATTCGTAAATTTCTGGTAGATGTTATCAATGCCCTTATCCATGTAGATTTTGCCTGCCACTTGACAGCGATTTGGTTCATGTAAGTATTTAAATAATATTAGAAATATAATCCATACTTTCTACTTAATTCAACAAGCATTAAATAAACTCATAAATGTCTATTAAACTTTAATAATAATTTAACTTATATTGATCAAAGAAGTGGATTAATATAGCCATATAACAACGAAACAAAATTGAAATAAAAATTTATAAGTAACAGCCAACAAAAATCTAGTTCCATATTCGATGGTAACTTTATTTTATAAAAAAGCATATCAAACTATTATTATATTATAGAAAACATGATTCCACATTAAGAAAATCTTTTAAATGATTATTATGCCTTAAAAAATTACACAGCCACAATTATTGTTGAGGCTGATATGACAGGATAGGGATTTGTTGAACTCTTCAACATAACTAACTTTCACATATTCAATAGTCTTTATAAGCTTAAGGGTTCTCATATTGCAGTGACAACTGTTTATGGTGTTGATGTGATTGTTTAGAATCTAACAATACGAAATGAAATAGCTAAAAATTTCTTAACTATTAATTTCTCATCTGATTTTTAAATTAGTGTGCTATCAGTGAAAAATGTATATTTATATGAATCAACCATCATAACAATAAATAATTTCGTTAAAAATGCCTCGATTTAAATGAACGATTTGTAATTTAAAAATTGTACCTTCTAAGATAGTTAGTTTTTTTATTTTGCATCTGATAAATTTAATAAAATATTGATTAAATCTGTTAAGATCTAGAATTGCACTTTTAGAAATAGTCTATTCATAAATTAATTATTATAAAATCGTAATTAACAATATGTGATTGAAGAATTTTTAATTGAAGATAGTTTTTTGGATAATAGTTCAATTTTCTTTATATCAAAATCTTAAGATATGGTTTTAATTCGTAGTGTAAAATTATTGAATACATTCTTAAATAATTCAACAATAATATCTACTTTTTCTTCTGTAAACTTAGAGACTGTTCAAATAGTAGATACAATTGCAATTAAGAGCAGGATCTTTTATCACTAATTTGAATCAACCTAAACTTTTTTTTTAGTTAATCAATTATAATGCTAAAATTTACAATTAAATGGAACCAATATTCTATAACTAATATCTTTAACTCAAAATATTAATATAGACGTAATTATTAAGTATTCTAAATTTGAGAAGATTGATTAAATATATTCTAAAGGAAAAATAAGTGATAATTTTTTCTTTTATATTCAAAGTGCAACTTATATGCAAATCATCTCGTAATCTAAAATGATGTGATATTTCAGTTCTTAGGTTTAGAGGACTGTGCTAATATTGTTGTAGATGATTTATTAGTTGAAAATAAGGAATAATTATAAGGAAGTTATTAATCTACAATGAATTTAAATAAAATTTATTAGAATTAACTAATTTATATTTCAAACTTTGACAGATTAGAATTACTATCAGTGAAAATTGTAGATATGATTTAAATTGTTGATCCTTTAATTTAAATTAGATCTGATGAGTCAGGAAAAAAGTATGTAAGTATCTCAAATTTATTAATTCAAAATTATTAAAGTTTAAATTTAATAAAGTCTATTCACTCAGTAATTCACATTTAAATCGATTCTGAGTCTATGATTGAATTAAGAAGTTGCATCTTTTAGTCTAATTACTTTTGGTATTAATAGCCAAACCAAGATTTATTTTAATCTTCTTTAATATAAATAAAATCACCAAAATCGTCGATAATTTTAGATAACTTAATGTTTCAAGATATTATTGTTTATAATTCTTCAGAAACTATAATTCTTTTTGAAGCTAATTCAATATTAGCGTAAAATTTGAATGTTAAAAATATTAATGTTGAGTTATAAGATTTAATCAAGTCATTGTGTGGCTTTGCTATTTTTTAAGCAGAATTTATTAATTTTACTAATTCTAATTTTTTTGATGTGAATAGTATTTTCTATGGATTTATTTACATTTAATTAAAATAAGAAGGTAAAGTAATACTCAAAAATTGCATTTTCGATAATACAATTCTAGCATCTCATTAGGATTATTTAGCCTAATTAGGGGGAGTATTAACTATTGATGCTTAATAATCTACAATATAGTTAAATGTCACTGATTTTTAAGCCAAGAATATTTTTACATAATAGAAGTGTGCCTTTTTACATTTGATACCATCTTCTTTAAACAATTATATCTTTATGAAGAGTCTATAATTTATAAACTTATACTCTTAAGAAAATGCATTTGGTAAATTTGACTTTTCTTCCAATAGTAATAATAATAAAATCTTTCTTTAATATATTACTTTCAACAATACTGATGAATAAGTTAAAAATAAGTTGGCCAAATATACCAATTATTAGAATTCAAGTAATTTAGATGGCATAATTACATCAAGTTTTAGGTAATTTATTCAATAATCCTAGTCCTGTGATAATATTTCATTTTCATTATACTGGTTATTTAAATTAACCCATTTGTAGACTAAGAAATGGCGATTTAAGATTAAAGTAATTTTTCTTAACATCTATTATGATAATAAATGAACTTTCTCATATAGTTAGTGTTGAAACTAGTTTAATGAAAAACATCTTTATTGAAGATTTTATTCTTCTTAACATTGAATCTTAAAAGTAATTGGGTTACTTCTTCAAATTAAATTAAACTTAATAGTCTTAGTATTTAAGATTTAGGAATCTTAAACTTATCAATATTAAATGCCCATTTTGTTAGAATGGATTAACAATGTTCTTAAGTGATTCAAATCATTAAAATATCTTATTTTCTAACATTAACTTTGTAGATAATAATTGTGGATATAATAGTTGTTTTATAGTCAAAAGTAAATCAATCAAATTTTATAAATCTAAGTTTGTGAGTAATTTAGCATAATCAAATGGAATACTGTAATTTTAAAATAGTTCAATCAATTTAAATTAAATTGTTTTGAAAAATAATGTTGTATCAAATATTGCTGGTGCAATTTATTTGTCCAATTCTTCAATAATTGCAAAAGATATCAGTATAATAAATAATAGTGCAAAAATTGGTGGAGCAATGTTTATTGAATAAAATAAATTGTAAAAGAATACAATAATTAATTTGATGTTGTATGAAAATAAGGCTGTAGATGGATTAAACAACATAAAGGAAGAAGCAGATTTTTTGAAATTGTCAATTTATGGAGTTGTTCTAAAGACTAAGAGATAAGAGATGGGATATTTAGTAGTTGATAGTCCAGAGTATTTAGTAAATTATAAGAAATAACGGATTAATGATACCTATATTAAAGTTGCAAGTGGATAAATGCTAAAAGATTTCTAAATTTTTGACAAGTCTTAAATGTAATATGTAAAAAACAATATCTCATTAAGAATAGAAATTTATACTTAACTTGGAGAAAAATTAATCGATAACTAAAATAATAAATGCTATTTTGAATAATTGTACGTTGATTAAGAAAAAGATTATTAATTATAGGAGATTTTGATAAGCTCTCAATTAGAGAATGTAACAATTTCATCCTTTAATACTGAAACACAATCTTATAATTTAGATAATATGATGTTTAATTTAGATCCTTATTCTACTCAGGAGATTTATTTATTAGTAAAATCATATTGTGAAGGCATGAAAGAAAATCATTTATTCATTTTTAATGTAAGGACATTAAAATGTGAAATTGGTGAATATTATAGTAATCAATAATGTTTAAAATGTGATTTTGATAAAGGTTATTATTCAGTGGAAAAGGATTCAATCGAATGTTAAAGATTAGATCCCAAGAAAATTAAAGCTGTAACATCTTAGTCAATTGAACTATTGCCAGGTTTTTGGAGATATTCCTATTATTCCCATTATATAGAAGAATGCGAAAGCATTGAATAGTGTATTGGAGGTTGGAAAGTAAATTACGAGTCATGTAAAACAGGTTCGATTGGAGCAATTTGCAAAGAATGTGATCTATATAATATTAGGGGAGATTCCACATATTTAAAATCACTTCTTGGAGAATGTGAAAGAAGGGAATTGAAGCCAATAATCATCATAATTACTTTGATCTTAATGATATTGTAATATAATGATATTATTAGATTAGAACCTTTGGGGTTACATACAAAATCTCAGGATGTAAATATGAGATGAATTTACTCTATAGAAGTCTAAAATTAAAGACAAAACACTTCAAGTTGTTATTTCGATGCCAAATAGGTATACTCTTAGTTTTATAATTTAAGATCAATTCTCCACATTGATAAGATTACTTGTACATTAAATGTAAATATTATATCCTTTACTTCCTCCCCTAAGTTTTGAATCTTACTTTTCTTAAATTATTTGGCCTATTGGAAAATCTTCGAAATCTTTATTGTTTTTAGTCCATTTTGTAGCTGATTAATTTTAGATATCTATCATTTACTTAAAAGTAATTTGGGCAATTTTGATACCTATTGGATAAATATTATTGCTTGGACTCTTATATTCAATGTGTTCAAAATTATTTATAGATAGAAATAGAAGTTACAAATACACTCTAACATCATTTCTCTTCCTATTATTTTATTCGATGCCAAACATTATGGAAGAGTATTAATATTTGTGATCATTTAGGTTATCATCTCTGACATCCTCCAGAAGAGTTGTAAATATAGAGTGGATAGAAGCTAATATGGCATATATATTTGAAACAGATCAGCATTATTCATGGATTTTTTACTTTATTCTACCTATAATGTTAACTCTTTTTTTCACTATTCCATTCAGCACTTTAATTTTGATAAGGAAAACACATAGGACTATTCATAAAATTGATCCTACGATCGGAATTTATGGATTTCTTTGTAATGATTACAAGGAATAATTGTACTATTGGGAATTAGTCAACTTAGAAATGAGATAAATAGTAATCGTAATATATGCATATGTGAATGATTTGAGAATGATATTCAAGAACTTGATGGTCATTTTAATCTTATTTATATACTTTGTTGCAATATCCCTAAAAAAACCGTATGAGAAATCAAATATCAATAAAATAGAATAAGTGGGATTGTTTTTATGCTCAATATTTGTGTGTTTCAGTAGTTTATCTTATGAAACTAAAGTTGAAGGGTTAATGGAGGTTTAATTTATTGCAGAACTAATAATGATTATAATCCTGTTATTCTTGATGATTTACATCTTCTACCATATCATCTAAACCTTCATCCGGAAAAATGATGAATATTTTGATAGATTGAGGAAGATTATTTTATTAAAATTGCCCAAAATCATTTATTGTTTCCCTTTTATTAGAAAGTGTCTAATTTCTAAGGCAGAAACCCGTCGAAATGTAACAAAACGATTTCTTTTGATTAAGCAATATTTAAAGATTCATAGATAGAATAACCCAAGGAGTCTCCGATAGACAATTAATTTCAATAGTGAGGATACACATGTTATAATGTCCTAAATTTAGAGATCAGATCATCGTAATTTAATAATGTCATCTTTTTTATACTGAGAAGTGTTAAAAGTTTAGAGAGTCTTAGAAACTCGAATCTGATAAATATATATATATAAATTTAATTTGTGATGTAAGAAGGCAAAAAGTCGAAATAATTCTTTGGGAAGGACATCATGAATCTTCTAAAATTAATGGTTCCTGAGAAAAGATTTTGTATAATAGGAATGAGTGTAGTCGGCTTGAATAGTGCATTACTTCTCTATTTGCCTTAAGTGACAACTGATATAGCAAAATTGCAAGAATTAAAGTATGATCAAGAAAACAAAGAAAAAAGTAAATAGACCAATTTATATTATCATATAAAATGGGGAGGTGTATGTCTGCTTGGGATGTTTTTAGGCGGGGCTCGTAGATTCTTAAATACATAAATAAGCAATAGAGTAGGAATGCGAATGAGATATTCCATGTTTTAGAAATTAATGAGTACTAGAGAAACTCAATAGTTACACTCACAATAATTAGTTCATAAATTATCAAATGATGTAAGTCTGGTGTCAACTGGATTATCATAAGACATCTTTGTAATGATTAGAGGATTCATTACAACAATAGGAGGAGCAGCCTATTTATCATATTATGCATTTCCTTTGTTGGCATCTGCAAGTGCTGCTGCAGCTGTAATGGGTGGATCAGCAGTTTTATTAGGAAAATATATGTCATAATTTAAAGTCAAGGAAACATAAGAATTAGGGTCTCTAAGTGAGGTATCACAAGAAATGCTACAAGCGCATAGATTAATCAAATTGTCTGACATGGAATAGAAAGAAAATTAAAGATATTCTGCATAATTATTTAGATGGTATGAATAAGCAACCTAATTTTCTAAAATGTAAGCATTAAATATGGGATTGATGGAAGGAGGAGGCTTGTATGCACTGATTTTGATCTTATTCTAAGGCTGCTATCTAGTTGCCACTGGACATTTAGATCCAGAGTTAGCCAAATATTTTATCTAAGCAGTTTATATGGCATCAGGAACTAGAGCAATGATAGCTATATATAATGAATTGGTTAAGACTGCTGCTATTTATAAAACTATACTTGATATACATCCAAATCTTCATGAATCTGAATTGTATAATCAACCAGATCTAACAAAGAATTATAGAGAATATATCAGATTAGATGATATTTTAAAGGCTAGATTGCTTAATCCACCTTAAAGTGCTGAAAATACTAAAGAATGGTAAGAATTATATGAACATTCGACAATTCCACCACCAAGTATTTCATTTAAAAATGTTCAGTATTCTTATCCAAATCATGAAAACTCTACATTAACATTCAATTTGAAAATCAACTCAGGTGAGATTGTACTATTATAAGGACCAAGTGGATCAGGCAAAACTACTGCCTTGAATTTATTGACGAAATTGTTAACTCCATCATCAGGTGAAATATTAATTGATGGAGAATCTCTATCAAAGAAAGATTTTAAGTGGATACAATAACACGTTTCTTATGTTCAATAAGATGGAATCATATTTAATGCTACTGTCTATGAGAATATCATTTATGGCAATCATGGGTATGATCAGAGCATGGAAAGGGTTATTTTGGCAGCTAAATTAGCAAGAGCACATGACTTCATTGAGAATATGCAAAACAAATATTAGACTAAATTAAAATCTGATGGAACCACTTCCTTATCAGGAGGATAGAAATAAAGAATTGTATTAGCAAGAGCAATTTTAAAGAATCCAAGAATTCTCATTCTAGATGAAGCAACATCTAATATTGATAGTCTATCTGAAACAGATATCATTTAAGCTTTAATGTAGATTTGCTAAGACAAAACAGTCATTATTCGTTTCGCACAAAGTTGAAAATTATAAACCATTATTAACAAGAGTAATTAATTTGGTTGGATGATATTATATGTTATCATAAATTATTTTACACAATTTTATGAACTATGTTTCTAATAGAATGCTTAATTATCTTGAACCTCAGATGTACGCCAGGTTTACAATATTGGCTAATCAGAAAGGATGTATCAACTTAGGTCAAGGATTTCCCAATTTCCCTCCACCTTAATTTTTGAGAGAAGCTCTTTCTCAGGAAGCCTTGACTGAATAGTTGTAATATACTTAGACTGCTGGCCATCCTAAATTGCTTAATTCTGCCGCATACTTCTTAGAACAAAGAATGGGATTAAAGATTAACATAGACAAGGAGATAGTTGTGAGTTCAGGTGCCTAATCAGTACTCTGTTGTTTGATGTAAGGTATTCTAAATCCAAACGACGAAGTAAATTGTATTTGATCCAGCCTTTGGTATTTCTTTAAAAAAAACAATAGATTTGTATCGACCTTTTGATTGAATTCTCAGGGGGAAAACATATTGGTGTTCCAATAAAGCCAAAAGTTTTTAATACTAAAGAAGTGATGAAGAAAAAGATATTAGAATGGCCAATTCATTTATTCTGATGAGGATAAGTGGGAATTAGATTTTGTATAATTGGAATAATCAATTAATTAAAAAACGAAGTTGATCATTTTAAACTCACCGATGAATCCCATTGGAAAGTATATATTTACATTTATAATTGAATATTTTAACAAAGATGAATATGATAAATTAGCAGAAATCTTAGAGAAACACCCGAATATCATTGTATGTGAAGATGCTGCATATCATCATATAACATTTGGAAACAACTAACCTTTCATATATCCTAGGTGTATCACTCACCCAAAATTAAAAGACAAATCTATTTGTGTAATGAGTGCTGGCAAGATGTTTTCAGCTACTGGACTAAGAGTGGGATTTGCTATAGGAAATGAAAATATCATTAAAGGAATGAAGGCAGCATAAACCTATCATATCTTTTGTTTGAATCCTGTGAATCAAACTGCCACAGCAAGATGTTTAGATTAAACTGCGGATGGTATTTATTTTGATTCTATTCGACATTTATATGAATAGTAAGCTACAAAATTGTTAAAAGGATTAGTAGAAAGTAGATTGAATCTCAATTATTGGGTTCCTTCAGGTGGATATTTCATTGTAACTGATATATCCAATGTTGAAATACCTAATAAATATTTTACTTAGAACGATGTGAAGGTCACTAGAGATTTTGCATTTGCACATTATTTAATAAATGAATTTGGAGTAGTCTGTATTCCTTGTTCTCCTTACTATGAAAATAAAGAGACAGGCTAAAATTTAGTAAGATGGGCATTTTGCAAGACTGATGAGACCATATCAGAAGCAATCAATCGTTTAAAATGATTATTTAAATCTTAAATTATAATTAATGCTTTCGTCAAAAAAATATAAAGAATATGACCAAAACTTTTAAGGATATTTCAAAGGAAACTATGATGAAGACAGTGATGATTAGTCTAAAAAAAAACCAACCTTGATTATGAACGTTTAAGGTAATTCTAAAAATTTATTGAGAGATACTAGATATAATGTTGTAAAATTGGTTGGCGAAAAAATATTTAAATGGAAATTATAATATGAGATTGATGAAAATTAATGGGACATCTTTTGGACAGATGCTTCTGTGTAATCGGAAACTTTGGGAAAAATGCAACGTTTAAATTATAATTATATTTCTATAGCTCATCAAAAAATAAATCATTTTCCAGGCATGTTCTCGCTTTCTAGAAAAAATCATTTGGGAAAGAATCTCATGAAAATGAAGAAACAATTTCCTTATGAGTATAAATTTTTTCCAAAAACATGGTTACTGCCAACAGATTATGGAGAGTTCAGAAATTAGTTTGTAAAAGGAAAAGCCAAAACCTTTATCATTAAACCAGAAGCGAGTTGTCAAGGCAGAGGGATTTTTCTAACTAAAGACATTGATGACATTGATCCAAATGATCATTATGTAGCTTAACGATACTTGGATAAACCTTTCTTAATAGAAGGATTAAAGTTTGATTTAAGAGTATATGTACTATTAGCTGGGACAGACCCTATGAGAATTTATGTGTATCAAGATGGTTTGGTGAGATTTGCTACTGAACCATATGTGGCACCTTCATTTAATAATATTGATGATGTTTGTATGCACTTGACTAATTATGCTATAAATAAAGGAAATCCAAATTTTATATTTAACAATGATGCATCTAAAATGGATGTTGGACATAAAAGATCAATTAAGTCAGTTTTTGGTAAATTAGAAGAGGAAGGATATAACATTTAAAAGTTATGGTAAGACATATATAAATTAATTATTAAAACCTTTTGTTCAGTTCAACCTATCTTAAATCATCACTATAAATCCTGCCAACCAGATAATTATGCTAATAACATGTGCTTTGAAATATTAGGTTTTGATATTTTTGTAAATCAAAAGTTCTAGCCTTATTTATTGGAAGTTAATCACACTCCAAGTTTTACTACTGACACACCTTTGGATTTACTAATAAAAAAGAATCTCATTAGGGACACCTTAATATTGATGAATGTAAATCTAAAAGCAAAAGAATAAATCATTATATCAAGAAAAGAATAATTAAAATAAAGAGTTTTAACTAAGAAATAATAGAAGATTACTCCTGGAGAAAGATAAGCATTAATTTAAAAATTCTAAAAATTTAGGGATGAGTATGAAGATAACAATCTAGGAGATTTCGTTAAAATATATCCATTGTCCGATTCTGGAGAATATACTCGATTTATAGAATTTGCAGCTTTAATGTAGGACTATTGGACAGGAGCAAGTAATTATAAAATCAATTATTCAAGAAGTAAGTAGAAATCTAAAAGTGGATGTTAATAACGCTAATAAAAATACTGTTCATTCAGGCAATAATTTTCGGAAACAATAGAGAAATTTATAAATGAAACAACAGTTCCTTAGGATTAATTAACCTGGGTTTTTAAATGAAGAACCAGAGACTTAAAATTAGTAAAAATAAGCAAATACTTAAAATTAATTTAAAAAATAGGTATAGTGATTATGATATTTAGTAATAATTAAATATGATGGAAACCTAATAATAATAATTAACCTCGCCTTATTTACATTAAAAAATATTAGAGTAAGATGTCATTAACAATTAATATCAGCCTTTTTTATCCAACAAGTAATTAAATTTTTAAAATCTTCAGTAAATATGAATATATATAAACATATTTTATAATAAGTTCTGCTGTTGTGATTTATCTTTATGATTTCAAAATTTGAAGACCACAAAGAAGAGCATCCATTCCTCCTTTTATTAGAACAATGGTTTATCTTCTAAATTTTATTTTACCTTGAATATGTCAGGATTGAGATGAAGAAAGAGTAATAGAATTATATTATATACAAACAATTAGGTATTTGAAAGATCTTTGATCCCCATATGGCAAAGTTCTTATGGATTCATCATACGGTATATTTAAGTCAAAATAAGATTTCAAAGATGTCATAGAGATAAATAAGGAATGATTGAAGACATCTCAAAAATGAAGGGCCATTTTCGTTACTGAAGGGGTATCTACAAGAGCCTTATCCTTCAATTCACCTGATTCTCAAAGGATGGAAAAGGCACAAAAGAAACATTGTGAACCCTTTATCACTGAATTTGTATTTATTAGATATAATGTAATTGGAACATATATTAGTTTAAGCCAAATTGTTAGTATTAGTCTACTTCTATTTGGAATATATATGTTTATGGTCATCCATTTGTTTGCATTCACTTAACTAAGAAGGAATGGGAATGGCATTAATGGAAATGATTAAAGTAGCCAATTTTCATAAACCGGATCAAATAATCAATGGGAGGAGAATAAAAGTCATCCATCTCCTTTTGTGTTTATCAGTTTTGGTTTTATTGAAATGTCTGATGCTCCAATACTTACATGAAATTGATCTTCCATTAATTAATTATAGGCTAGTTCATTATTAATTGGAAGAATATTTGCAACCGATACTTGATATTGGCCATATCTGGATATTGCATAGTATCATTTAATACATTCTATTAGTATAGAATATCTTTAATATATTTCCCTTAACTATTGAAGTCTGTTACTATTGTTTAAATATTTTAGGACCCTTGTAACGTTCGTTTCTGCTCCAGTAGTATTGGTTGATGACATATTAAAAGTACTTTCATGAATGATAAAATTAATCATTAGAACAACTGAAAGATACTTATTGATATAATTGACGTTTATTTATAAAATAAATAGCAAATATTATAAATATTATCATTATAATCAATATAATCAGGATTATGTTATTCTTCTTTTCAAAAATCCATCCTTCTTCATTTACATAACAGTTACTTTATCATCCAGAAAAGGATTTCGAATATTATTATTATATACATCCCTTTGGATAGTTGCTTCGTCAATTTCTCCAAGAAATGCTCGATACTCTTCTGACTCATCACTAAGACTTTTCTTTCTTTCCTCAATTTAATTTAAAAATATTCTATCATTCTTTCCAGAATTATATACTTTCAAATATCCATTATAGATCTTGTCTTTTTGGATGCTAGTATTTTGATTCAAACATAGTTAAGAGAATGATTTATAATTTTTGAACATAGAATCCAGTTCATAATTGATTTCCTTTTACTTTTTTGGTATTCTTCTTTTTAGTTCCTCCTTCATCACATCCTGTATGACATTAGATTTCTTATTTATAATATCTCTGTTTAATTTATCAATCAAAGTAGGAACAGTTGATAAATCAGAAGCTCCTTTAAATGTCTTCTTTAATGAGTATTTCTAAGCAGCTATTTCAAGTGCAGTTTGACTTTTACAGTATTGTTGGAGTTAATTGATTCTTCTTATGGTTTCTTTCTTATGATCAATTTAATTTATATTAGTATGGGGCTCTTGAGAGGGATTGGAAATTCGATTATGCTTTTATTCTAACTTGATTTGAAAGTATGACTAGTTTTTAGGAACCTGGGCATAAAATGATATTAATACTTATGCATTGCTTATTGAACTGATTCCCATAATTGCAACTCTATTTTCCTATTTGATTCTGGAAATGGCTTTTCGAAGACTAACAGACCTTATTTAAGTGCTAGAACCTGTTTGTTAAATTTAACGATTACTGTTTCCTGATTAAATAGAAGTACTTAAATCAGCAAAAGTAAATGTTTTTTTCATAAATTATTAGATAATAAATTTAATGCGAAATAAAATAAAGTAATCGTCAATAATGACCATACTAAAATGAGATGTTATTAATGAATTCAAAACTTGTCCTTCCAATTCCATTTAAATTATATAATTGTAAACACTCAAATGAGTAGTATTATCTAGTTAAATTCTGTTTCAATCAAGAATGAAACTAATTGCGGTTATTGTAATGGTGCAAAATCTAACAAGCTATGGGTTACTTCTGGCTTCTATTGTTACAAAATGAAGTTGGATGAATATTAACAACTAATGGATAGGGGCTGGAGAAGATGTGGTGTTTATTATTATAGGCCTGCTCTAGCCCAGAGTTGTTGTCAAGCCTATGCATTGAGAGTTGATACACAAAATTTTAAACTCAGAGTCACTCATGAGAAGGTCCTTAAGAAAATTAAAAGAATCTAACCTCTCCAGAATGATCTTAACGATCTTCATCAAAAGGTTTAACTAAAATCAGAAATCAAAGAAGATTAATTTACTTAATCTATCTTATCTCAAATGTAGACTGACATCGATACCAAGGATTTAGTCATTCTTTCAAAAGTTGGATAACATTTTACATTTAAAAGTATTTAATACAAAGAAGAAGAACATATCAAATAATTCAAATAAATTATTATAAATAATTTATCAAAAATTACTATTCAAGAATTATCGTAAGTGTTTTTAATTACCAATGAAGATCATTAAGATATCCTTCTTCATTTATTTAGAACCAGCTTATAAGAATTCTCGATCTATGAAATCACTGTATTTAGAGGCCAACTTAATCGGATTGAAAATGAATGGGGATTTGGATGTAACCTGATTCCATATTTTTATTCAAAATTGCACGCCAAATTTAAACCTTTATATCCAGAATTTCAAACCTTAGATGAAAATAAACAATACATTTCGTTGATTTCCAAATATTTATCAAACCTAGAATTTAAATTCAAAGTATCCTAATGGGATAATCAAATCTTAATCAAAACTCCTTAAACAATTAAAGAAAAGACATTTAAATCAATGGTGTTGTACTATTTGTAAAAGGCAGATTTATCAAATACTCAAAATTTCGCTAAGGAAAAGAAGCATCATCAAATTGAAATTAAATGGGTCAAAGCATAATTTTAAGAAGACAGTTTTGAAGTCTATAAAAGATATTAAAAAGCTATTCATGATAAAGAAAGAGTTAGTAGATAAAGTTATTTAAATTTTGTATGTGTGGATGCTTTGGATAGTAAAGAATTGGGATGTTGGCATATGAAATATTATTTAGATAATTAACTTATAGCAGTTGGAGTAGTGGACCTATTACCATAATCATTATCCTCAGTGTACTTTTTCTATGATCCTGCCTATAAAAAGTATTCGTTAGGAGTTTATGGTGTCCTTTAAGAAATAGAGTACATAAAGTAACATCAGAAGGAGAATCCGTAATTGAAATATTATTATATGGGATTCTATATAATGGATAGTAAAAAGATGGCATACAAGGCTGATTATTCTCCATGTGAATTGTTATGTCCATAAACTTATAGATGGATTGCGTTAACCAAACCAATAAAAGAGAAGATTAAAAAGATCACAGAGTATGCTTAAGATGTGAGATTGGCAGAAGAAAAAGTGGCATAGTTAGGCTATAGTATCAACTTAGATGGTAGTACAATAAATGATATGGACTTTTCAGATGTAGACATTCAGAATTTCATATTATCACATATCAAAATATCTTAAGCTGGAAAGCAGTATTCAATTTCATAGCTCAAAAAAAACTATTAACAATACTTTATGAACTTATTTGAAAATCTTCTTGGAAAAATAGGTAAATAATTGATGACCGAGTTTTTGTTTGCTGTGAACTGAAAATTATATTTAAAGTTAATACTTCTAAGTATATAAATATATATATAACAAATAAAATCAAATAATATTTCAGAGCAGTTTATTTTATGACTGAAGAAATCTTCTCATTAATATTATTGATTTATTATGAAATCTGTGTTATGCTTTTACAACATCAAGGTAAACCAAGATTCAAAATAATAATAGCATTTCATAAATGGGAATCATTAACTATCAAAATTATAGATTTGGCAACTATGATAATAACTACCAGAGTTTTGTTTTATTTAAAAAGCACAAAGAAGACTACCATTATCCTTACAATTTTAGGTGGCTTTCGAATATCTGTACAAATAACACTAAGTTATTTTTGTTAAGAAGAGATATTTTTAGTCTTTTTAAACCTTCTATTTATCTATTCTCACTATTAGGATTAATCACAAAACAAATTGTTATCTAAACTTCCATAATTATTTTTAATTGGAAATGTATTTTTCGTTTAAAACTTTTAAGACAATTTAAAGAACATTGCAATTGCTTTTACTTGCATTTCAATTATTTACACTTTTAGATCTACAAAAACAATTTAAAATTCACCTGAGAATCCTAAGGTTACATTTAACAAAGATTTTGGCATTTGTATTTCAGCACTTCCATAGAAAGAATTGGAACTTTAAAAATCTTGTGATTTCAATGGATCAAATTCGAAAAGTATTGTATATGGTGGATTTTCTCCTTTAAAAGAATTGTCAAGATCTATGGATACAATACTATTTGAAGAGTAGTAATAATTTATTTCAAAATATTTTAAGTGCTTGGATTAAGGGATAATAGTTCATAGTCTTGGATGAATAAGAAAATGTAATCATTCAAACTTTTAATGTTGCTGATATTTCCAAAAACTCATTAAGTAACTCCGTCGATAACGAAAGTGTTTCTGCAATCTTAAATCTTGGTATAATCTAAGGTAACAGAGATTTTTAAGATATTGTGGCAAGCAGTGGTACTATCAATCAATCAAAATTTTTAATAAAAGATTTAATTTTTAAACTCTTAGGGGACTATGAATTATATAAGAACAACCTATTTATAATAAATAAAGTGGATGCATAATGGATGCAAGATAGGATTATCAAAATATTTTTGGTATAAAAAAATAAAAAAATCTTCGCTTTTGTTTAAACTGAGTAAAGAGAGATATAGTATTAAACTTCTTATCAAGCCTTTAATTTGTTTAGTTCCTACATCACACCTAGTCTTAACTCAATTATGACTATATCTGTGTTGGCAGAATCAGATACTATAGTAAATGATTTAGTATTGGAGAAATATCTTTATCCAATAAGAGTGGCAAGTGTTATTGTTTATTTATAATTGGCAAATATGAGGGATTACAATTTACATAATTAGAAGAGATTTTTATTAAAAGTATCTACCCTAGAAATAAGTACCATTTGTGAAGATCTGATTATCATGGTGTAGGATTCAGCCAGAGCAAAGGGAATTGAGATTAAAATAGATTAAGAATGTATCGAAACCATCGAATCGGACGCAGAAAGAGTATTGTAAATTTATTAGATATTTAGTTAAAACAACTGATGTTACCCCTCCTCAGATATTTTATCATACAAACTAAAGATGAAAATATTACCATTTCTTGGAAAACTTTTGCTTCCAAAAATTATTAAGTTGTTATTTACACTCCTATTAACATAGATGAGAAGGAAATGCGTTTGATCAAACTAAATCTAAAAAAGCCAACACTTTCTTTTTCAGAATTCAATATTTGTCATATATTAGCTCAATATTTATCTGGAACTGCAAGGAAAGGAATAGATATCTCATTGGTAGAACCACAAGGGACAGTAATAACCTTTATAATTTAATCATTTAATTTAAATAATGAAGAAATGAAAGCAATCAAATTGATAGGAGGGACTCACTATCAAGAAACATCTCTTAGCTAAATCTTAGCCATGTAAGATACCTTAAAATAGAATGATAAGACTTATACCTTATTTAGAGAAGAATCGAATAAAATATCAATGGATCATTCTCTTCACTTTTCGTAATCAAGAATTTCTAAGTAATTTAGTTAAAAATATTCAGAATATCATAGTAATTACTATTCTCAAATATCAAAACATAAACCAGATTAAACATCATACATTTTTCATTAAGATGAAGAGACTAAGCATCTTTAAAGATTAAATTATTAAACGACCCCTTCTTAATCCAAATATTAATTGCCTTATTTTCCTGATGCCACTATAAATAATAGTTTCAATAATAATAGTGGACCTTATGGGAATACATTAAATATTGATGGAAGAGAATAAACATTCATAAGTTAATAATAATAAAGTGAATTGAAATAAGCAACTTCTTCGAACTTATAAATTGATTTTGGTGTTGATTTACCTTCATAAATACAAATACCTGTTTCAAGACCTGTAAAAATGTAAGGAGAAATTATAAAATTTTCTACTACAGGAAAGTGTTGTTCTAGAGTACTAATAGCAGATTATGAATTCTAAAATATCTAGATTTTAGAAATGATTTTAGCAAAGTTTAAAATACTATCATCTAGGGCTTTTAGCACAGATGAAGTAATAAAGATGATAGAAACTAAAAAGTAGTGCAAATGTGGAAATTCTAGCTTTGTTATATTTTTTATAAATGTTGATTTGCCAAAAAAAGGAGGATTGTGGTTGAGTAAATAAATTAAAGAGAAAATTAATTAAAAAGCCCATATTATAGGTACTACAGGATTAGTCGAATACCACTCAAAAATTGAATTTTATAAACATGGAATAGATCAATATATCAGTTTACCATTCGATTTAGGCGAGGTGAGTAAAATTTTATAAATTTCATAAAACTATTGATAATTAAATATATAAATAAATGACTGATGAATTATTTTATATATTTCTAACGAAATCATATTTTCTTCAACAAATTGAATAGGTTCTAAGGCTTTTAACTTATGAGTCTTAAATTAACATTATAAAAATGAAATATTATCATTGATTATATATATATTAAAAATAAATGAACGTTTGCAGTTCACGATATTGCCAATATAACTTAAGTATTGGTCAGATGGTTCCTATCCCTAAGAACAGGATTTATTGTCCATTTTGTAAAACGACTTATTATTGTTCTCAGCGATGCAGAGATATAGACTGGTATCAATAAAAATAAAATGTTTAGGACTTCGGGACATAAATAATAATGCATACCAGAGAAAATGATAAATTCTCAAGAGATATCTAATAGTGATAAGGTTTCAACTTTAAGACAAATGAAGAGAACATCAGAAGAATTTGAGTTAATTTATGATTATCCATAACTAGGAAAGGGAAGTTTTGGAGCAGTTAAATTAGTAAAAGACAAAACTAATCAATAATTGTACGCAATGAAGATTGTACATATTTCAATAAAAACTAAAAGATTAACAAGAAAGATATATTTGAGTATTGCTCTATAGAAAATTTAAAGAGAGAGATAAGAATTCAACGCAAATTGTATCACCCCAATATCACTTAACTTTATCATTATTTTGAGGATAAAGATCGTGTTTATTTGATATTAGAATATGCTGAACATGGTTCTTTGTTTTAATACTTGAGAAGGAGAGGAAGACTTAGCGAAGATGAAGCTATGAAATTTTTCAAGCAAACCTGTTAAGGAATATAATACTTACATCAATAAGACATAATTCATAGAGATTTAAAAGTATTATAATTTTCATTATTATAAAGCCTGAAAATATTTTGTTGGACATCTAAGATAATGTTAAAATATGCGATTTTGGTTGGTCAGCTGAAAATCTAGGATCAGTTAAAAGAAATACTTTTTGCGGAACAATAGATTATATGGCTCCAGAAATGATAGAAGATAAGCCTCATGATTACACTCTTGACATTTGGTGTTTAGGTGTTTTGTTATATGAATTATTACATGGACATGCTCCCTTTGATGGTAAGAATGATATTGAGAAGTGTTAGAATATAGTCAAAGTTCATTATTAAATAGATGGTTCATTAACAAAAGAAGCTAAAGATTTAATAAAGAGTCTAATAACATATAACTAGCAAGATAGGCTCAGCTTATCATTAATCTTAAATCATAAATGGTTTAAACTTTATTCATAGAATCATTCAAATTAAATGAAACATGGTCGAAATAAAACATATAATGCCTATTCAATCCATTCACAACCTTAATTCATCAATAAATCAACTGCATCTTCCCAATCCTCAGTAATTAGGAATCATGTAACGACTAACGAAACCTAGAATGATACATCAATTGAAATGAATTTTTAGAGATTTAGTAGAAGCTCTGAATTGCAAAGAAAATAAATTAGATCATAGACTTCCTAATCAATCGAAAGCGAATCATTTATGCATAAAATTTTGGTAGCTTTGGGGTGTGTTAAAAGAGATTAACCATAAAATAGAAATTATTGAATGTACTTATATCTATTATTGTAATATCAAAATATCGACAAAATTATTGAAGCTCTTATTTATATTAAATGTTTGCTATCTATTTGACAAAATATTCTTGATTAATTTTGTATAGTTCTCTTAGATGTTAAATATGGAGGTTAAAAATGAAAAGATTATTTATACCTCATTCATATGTAGAATATCTTAAATCAATCTGACCGTATCTCAATTAATTCGATTACACAAGTATTTTAAGTTTTACTTATTTTACTAATTGATGCAAAAATTTGGTAAAACCAGATGGTTTTAAAATGAGGACCTCCATACATATGTTTTTTCACTCCCAATAGCTATCTAGTTGGCCTTATAATATAAATAGATTATTATTAATATTCTTATGCAATTTTATGGTTTACTTCCAGCTCCAAATCCTTTAGTTTAAGCTGCTGATCCTGACAATAAATAAAAGATGTATAAATGTAAATGAATAAGTGGATAGATAAAGAAGAAAGATGTTTATGATGAAAATGATTCAGCATTTAACATGTGGGATTACTTTAGCCATAATAAAGTAAATTTGATTTATCAGCGCTTTGACAATTATCCGTGGTCTATGATTCCCCTAAATAATCATCGATTTGCTGCATCTTGCTTCTTTGATTGCAAAAAACTACTTGCTTTAAATAGAGAAATAAGATTATCGGAATTTACATCTATATTAAATAACAACCTGTATCCCTCTACAATGAAATAAAAAGAATAAAAATAATTATATCTTGAATAAGATAGTAAGAAATATAATGGTCTCAAATTTGATTCAAATTTTGAAAGTGGGAACTTATTTACGTCATACAGAGTTAGTTTAAATGAATACGATTTGATGATGTAAAATGACACAAATACTAAAGGAAACACCTAATGGTTTTATTTTTCAGTTTAAAACACTGTGAAAAACAGTGTGGTTACTTTTAATATCATAAACTTTGTAACATATAAATTTTTATCAAGCCTTGTAGATAAAATGCGATTCATTATTCAATATGGGGTAAAGACCTGTAGTTTTTTCTACAAAAAACAATCGATCAAAAGGAACTGGATGGGTGAAAGCTGGATACAATATAATTTACTTTAGGAATAAATTTAAGAGAGAAAATAGCTCTCTTAATACTTATTACACTCTTTCATTTAGTTATAAATTTGAACACTCAAACGATAAAGTTTATTTCGCTTAATGCTATCCTTATACTCATTCCTAATTGAATAACTTTATAGAATCTATTAGAACAAACAAGGTAAATAATAATAAATATTTTAGTTTGCAGTTGTAAAAGAGCTTTGTAAGACGATATCAAAATTATCATGTCCCTTAATTATTATAGGAAATGGTAAGAAGGCAATTATCTTTTTGGCTAGACAACACCCAGGAGAAACCCCTAGTTCATTTACTATTGAAGGAGTAATAGAATTTTTGATCAGCAATTGCATGGAATCAGAAATCTTGAGGAATAATTTTACTTTTTATATAATTCCTATGATAAATCCTGATGGTGTTGTTTTTGGAAATTATAGATGCAACCTTTATGGGACTGATCTCAATAGAATATGGATTAGTCCTCATAAAGAATTGCATGATTCTATATGGTATGTAAGAGAATTGATCAGATAAATTAATCAACAAGCAGATTTAAGCTTAATTATTGATTTTCATGGGCATTCTAAAAAGTAATCTACCTATAAATTTGTTTAGATTAAATAGTTTTTACTATGCTAACAGCCTTTGTGATGAATAAAAATTGTTACCTTTGATAAGTAGTAACCTCTCAAAAATGATGAATTTGCGAGATTGCTCTTTTAGTATTCATGAAAGCAAAAAAAAGACTGCAAGAGTAGCATTATTACAAGAAGTCAAAAATGGTTTCACTTACACTTTGGAAATCTCTTTTCATGCATTTCGTAAATCGGGTCCTCAGGATTTTACTGAAAGTTATTATAAATAATTAGGTGAAGATGTTGGATTATCAATATTTAAATTATTCGAATCTTCAATGGTAAAATCTAGTAAATTGCCAAGGTCCTTAAATCAATAATTAAATGATGAATTAGATAATCTTATTAAATATTGTGATTTAAGCAAACTGTAGATAGGTGAAGATGATTCAGGAAGTGATTCCAATCCAGAGGAGGATGTTCTTCAGGAATAAGAACTCCTTTCATTTAATGAATAAAAAAAAAAACAAAAATTAGTTTTACAGGCAAAGAAAAAGCTAAACAAATTTGATAAAGCATCTTAGACTGATATTTAACATTATTAAAATCTGATGTTAGATGAGAAAGTGTTGGAAAAAATCGCAGAATAAGTTAGATCAATTAGAAAACCTAATTTTGAGATCCCTGGATTTCGAAACAATTAAGAAACAATTCAGCATCAAGATGTTCCGCTATAGGAAGGATATTAGAATTCATTTCAATAAACTGACATTTCTCTTTAACAAATTTTAGGTAAAATGTAAGTGTATCATGTAAGAGTTTCTAACAAGTATTTTATTAAATTATTTAGAAATTCCATTTTTTAAAACTAATTTACCACTTAATCAAGCAAACCTATAGTGATAGTTCTAAAAAATCCATATTCAAAACGATAAATGCAGTCACCACAATAGAAAACACCATAAGTCTAAGAATCATTGTCTACCAAAAATAGAAGGAGAATAACTTCTTTAGCAGGAAGATCCACCATAGATTATAAAGGATTATCTCGTGATAGAAAATACAGCATCTAATAACCTTAGTAAGATCGAAATCAAGCTATCAGCTTCATCTAATCATAAGTTACACCTTAAAATTTTTTAACCCAAGAGGCAAATTTTGAGAAAATAGCAAATATAAGTAAAACAAAGGTATATGATAAATAAATGCTTAAGAATTTGTTTTGAATTATATTAATTTTATTTCAAATGGGATTAATATCATACTATTGTCTTATCGTCGTTGTCTTTATAGCTCTAATCATTTATGATTTATTGTTTTACACCACTTATACATATGACATTTGCCCACCGATCGAATATACAAATGCACGGATACTTTTTTATGATCCTGATTAATCACTAGATTAAATAAATTTTTTAGTAGCATAATAAACTACTACAGATAACACTACTACTACTGATAACACTACTACTACCGATAATACTACTACAACTGATAATACTACTGCGTCTGATTCCAATGTCAGTGATACTTCCATGGCAAATGCATTAGTAATCTAATTAAAATAAGCAAGGTTACACTACCATTCATAATTATTTTACTTTATTGTGGTGTGATAGGTTTAATTTTCTTAGCAATGCTTGGCATTTATTGTTTTGGGAAAATGCCTAGCGAAAAATTTGGAAATCTAAGTAGTTTTATTTATTTATTCTTAAGATATATGCTGGGCTTGTTTAGGTATTTATGTTAGAAATTTTGCCGTATTGACTAGGCTTCTTTCTTGGGTTGGTTTATTATTGATGGCGATTTAAGCCATCATTACAATTACAAACGAAGAATGCCAAACTGCTGTTCATGAATACAAACAAAATAGAAAAATATATTAAGTGGTAATTCAAAATTTATTTTAAGGAAGGAGCAATGTACGATTCTTCAATTTTATTAATTATTGTCAATTTATGTTTTTGGGGAGCAACTCACTGCCTTTTACCCTCCTTAAAGCTTTTTTTAGATTCAGAATCCTTTTTATATGAACCATTTGACAGAAGTAAAGGTTTGGCATATTGGTTTTGTTGTATAATGCTAGGACCTTGAATTTTCTTTAAATTTTTATATGAATTATCATTTATATTATTAAACTGTTTACTTAAATTAGTCTATTTTTGAATGGAAAATAATTTTACTTGGCATGTTCATTTTTAGAATTATCAAATAAATTCAAATAAAAGTAGATTAACATTCATTTTAGCAGCGTATAGTTGCACTCTTTCGATAAAAATTCAATTAAGTTGTCTATTTTAAGCAGAATTTATCTAAATACTGTTATTCAATGATAACTACTTTGTTTATTTATGTGAACGTTTTAGTATACCATATTGAATTATTTTGAACAAATTAAATATAAGTCCATTTATTAAATGATATTCTCCAAACAATTTGATAATAATTATACTATATTATGAGTGATGAGATCAGAGATAGGTATAGTAATAAGTTTATTGGCAAGGAATCCTTCAAAGTTAAGAACCGTTACGACCATCTAGTATAAATGAAGAAAGTGAACTTAAAATTTAAGTTAAAGAAAATTGTCATATGAAGATAACTTCAAATTTGGGAGACTATCTGTTTAAATAATATCCAACATAAAAATTTTTGAAATTTTTCCAATCCAATTATAGTAGACATTAAAAATTTCTTCAACAAATATATAATTTGATTTCTTTTCAGATTACTATTCAAGATTTATTAGTGTAAAAGTTTTTTAAGGATAAACAAAGACTAAGTAGTTTATGAAGCTCATTGTTATCATTCCAATCAACATAATTAGAATACTTCTATGAGTACCAAATAGTATTTTTATTATATAAATTAGCACTACTATGTTACATATTATCATCAAATTTAACAATTATAAAAAAATCTTAAAATATGCCTACTTCTCAAAATTTCTTCCTATTACGATTTCATCCTATAAATATAAAATAAATAATATGATCATTCGATTCACCGAATGCAATTATTGAAGTAGAATTATTTGATAATATAGAGGTATATTGGCAAAATATTTTCTTTTTATCTTTAACAATTCCTCCACAAAAGTATTTATCTTAAAGCTACATAAACTTTAATATATCTAAAATTTGAAATTGAAATTTGTTTATTTATTGAATGTTATTATTAATTAATTAATGAATTAAAAAAATCCAATTCAGGGAAACATTTTATTGCATTACTTCCTACTTATTTGAATATTAAAGAGGAAACAAAATATATTGCAAAATAACAAAAAGATAAGTAAATAATTTTTTATATTTATTAGTATCTAAGTTCTAAAAACATACACAAGCAAAAATAAATTAAAAGCATCAGACTCCGATTTGTATCAATAAATTATCGAAAAAGTGAAATATTCAAAAAAAGAATTAGACCCTATTGAGTATGAATAGATTTTAGAGTTGTTAGAATAAATTCAACCAAAATATGAAATTGGGGATAACATTAAGAAAGTTTCAGGTATCGAACTAGTCATAAGGTAAAATGACAATATGATTATAATGCCAGGATAAGAATAATTAGAAATACAAAATGAGTATATATATATAATAAATATTTGGGTAATAGTATTTAGTTATAATAGGATAACATTGTTTTAGAAAATAGTGGTCCTATCGATGAATTGATTGTATAGTATCAGAAGAGAAACGAATGGCATGATAAGGTAAAACTTGTGGCAATTTCATTGAAAGCTTCTTCAGAGGAGATTATTTAACTAGTTACTAAAAAGAAATGGGAATGTATGAATCATTACAAATTAATAAAGAATAAAAACGGAAATCATTAATTTCTAGATATGCTAAATATAGAGGGGCTTCCAATTGCTATCATAATTGGCAAAAATGGTCAAATAGTTCATTTAGGTTATCACTTTGAAGCAGATTTAGACAAATTAATTACAATAGAAATGTCAAAAGAAGATGTAGATGGTTCAATTTTAGGAGAATCATCTTTATAAGCAAATCTCAAATTAGAGGATTAGAAATAAAATGGGGAAGGCAAAATTCAATAATCATAGAATGTGAATAACATGATAAAAGAGGAAGTAAAAGTGCTTAAATAATATCTCTAAATTATACATGGGGCTCTATAAAAATTCACATTTCAATTTAAATTCTAGATTAAATTAAGGAGATGCAGAATATAACAAGCTGATGGGAGTTATATGATTTCAGAGATATCTCAACTTTAATTAAAATATAAAATAACTGAAAAAGAGATGGAAACTGTAGATTATTTTATGGAATTGGTTTGGAATTAAATACCTGAACATTTACGAATTGTACTGAAATCTGAAGTTGTGTGTTAAAGCAAATTTATTCAAAATATTATTCAAATGGCCTTTGCTAGATAAGGTGTAAAAATTACATACAAACCTACTATGAGAAAATCTATAAACTGGGATTCTAATCTCTAAAAAATTTTGATAAACGATACTGAAATCTTGAAAGCTGTATCTAGTTAACTCAATCTTGAAAAATTTTATGACGGATTAGAGGAATCAAAACCAAACATAGATTTTTATAGTAAGCGATTTGATTTAGGAGAAGAGATTAATGAAATAGTTGAAGAGTTACGTTCTCAAGTAACTCTCGGTCCAGGGAGGAGATTTGCACCTATTCTAAATTACAAGAAATTTAATTCTTAAGAAATAGAAAACATTTTTCATTCTAAAGGATAAGTATTGATAATAATTTATTGGAAATGCAATTAGGATAGCATAGCTTAACTTAGAAATATTGATAAACTGATTGAAAAAAATAGTTAGTCTTGGAGTAAAATTGTTAAATTTGTAGCACTTAATATAGGGGATGAAAAAGAATTTGTAGAATTTTTAGAATAATACTAAGACCTCCAAGGGCGTCTATTAATACTCTATAAGAAAAGGGCTCTTCTAACTGACACATCTTTATATGCCGTTAAGGAGGTTCCATATTTCATAGTCATTGATAAATCTGGGTTTATTAAATACATAAACAGCCCAATGAATTTAGAAAGGTCAATTTAATAATTAGTAAACGAAAACGAAAACGATAAAAATTGGAAACCGGTTAAAATACCAATCAAAGAACAAAGCGTGAATTAGATTAAGCAAATATTATTAAAGGATGATTTTAAAGAATATCTATTATCAATTGATAAACAAAAAGTTATTCAGCTTAAACTTGATTTCGAAGTCTAGAAAATTGGAAACGATATTTTCTTTGACAACATCTATTTAAATTACTTTATTAGAGATAAGCAGGAGGAAGATTTTAATAAATTATTAGATAGAATCTTTTCAATCATTCCAGAGGATTGTTGGATTATAAAAAAATAAATCTAATAAACAATTTCTATCCCATATCCAGGAGATAAATGTGCAGTTTGTTAGAAAGATATTTCAAAAGTTCATCAATAATATTACTGTTATTTTAAGAATGAACATGTTTGTCAAGAATGTGCTGAATTTACTGATGTGGAAAAATAAGGGATGGATATGTATAAATATCAAGATACATTAATATTTATAAATGGTCCTCTTCAAGATAAATCTGTCTTACATGATATAGATTTACACAAAATTGGAAAAAATAGAAAACTTTTCGAAGGGCAAAAACCCTCCCAAAAGCACTCATTCGAGTGTAACGGATGTTCTATCAATTATGAAGGACCTCGATATATAGCGGTAAATGCACGACCAGGAAATTACAGAAAGGATGTAATTTAATTACATTATTTAGGGTTATGTTGATTATTGTAAAAATTGTTTCTTGATTTTGAAAAATAAAGAATCGATTGATGCAAAAAAAATTATTGAAAGCAATTCTGATGAAGGTATGACAGCTGATATCATTTTTACAAGAGTATTGTTTAATTATGGTAACTATAGAGAGTTTTGAAGATGAATAAATTATTAATTCAATTATTGTACTTAAAAAATCTTAATTTACTCATTTTTTTTTGTTCGAATTTTCCATAATGAAGACTAAAATAAAATAAACTTCTTATATTAGCTTTTAAGTTATCTACTTCTCTATTATTAATATTGATATTTTTTAGTAGATTGTAAAAAAACTGAATTTTAAGGGTAGGGTGATTTTTAGTGAATTATTTTGTTTATATTTTAAATAAATTCACATTCGATAAACGAAATCATTATAAACAAAAGATGAGGCTTTGGTTATCAAAATCTTATTTGCATATTATGTTTATCATAATTATCGTAAATTAATTTATTAAATAATTATTTTAATATAGCATTCAAATTTTAAGCATAATTCTTAGATACTAAAGATAATTGTATAAATCAGTCATTTTTTTAATGCTAATTAAACAACAAAAATATAATCAGTATCTATTTTATAAAAAAAAATCCATACAGCATTTGTCATAATTTAAGTGTAAATTGTTGTAATTTGAAAATTGCTTTCTTACTTTTAGTAGAATCTGTTTCATTCCGATTTCTTTTTTCAATTACATAATGAGCTTAATAAATTCAATTATTAATTACTATCTAAGAGGCAAATGCTAATATCTGCCTCAGAAAGCCTTATAATTACATGAATTTTAAAGAATCTCTCTCGAATTGATTACGGATTAGAAGGGATTAATTTTTATTGAATTTATTTAATAAATGTTGCTCTCGGTCGAATTATACGGAATTTCATTAGGTTTTCATTAAGACAACTAATGTCCAAATGCCAGGTTAAGGTAATAAAAATAAAAGGATGATCTGATGATGAATCTAATAGTAATCAAAAATATCATCTATTCAATAATAAATAGTATATATTTACATAAATTTTCTTGAGTTGCATATATGTCTAAAATAAACTTTACTATTCCAAGAGTGAAATTCATACAAAGTTCACAAAGCACTCATGCAGAAAGGTAATTATTATTTTGATATAATAGCTAAACACACAAATTTTCTTCATCACTTCTCATTTGATTTGTTTGGAGTGTGACTTCATTGAGGACTGAAGACTGAATAATTAATAATTATACAGAATGGAAATCATACAAAACTAACTATGCAATGATTAACCCTCCATTTATATTCAAAATAATAGATAGTATTCAAATGTTTTTGAAATAGAGAGTCGATTTGTCAAAAGCGAAAATTCATTTAAAAAATAAATATGTTTGGTTAATTATTCAAAAAACACTCGAAACATACATACTATAACGTTTAGTTTGATTCTTTTATTTGACAATATTCTTTTAGAGACATTTACAATAAGCTCTTATTTAAATACGTTATGTTTAGTTCAAAGAAAAGTGAATTAGAAATGATAGAAGATAAATGATTATTATTTAAACATCCTTATTTATATTAGATTACTATTTTAACTCTTGAGATCGCTAAATTTTGGTTAACTGAAAAGTCAACGAAAAAACTGCAAATCGTATAAAAAAGAAGATTAAATAGAAAGTAGATTGAAGATTTTATCTAAAACAAATTATTTAAAAATCATATGTTTAATAATTTGTTTTCAGTTTAAATTAAATAATTAAATTTCAAAATGGGAAATACCATTATTTTAGAAATTGAAAACTCTGTCACATCAAATCTATTACGAGACTAACTAAAATATCTAGGCATTAAGAAACATAACTATTTGGGATAGATTCAATTATGGAAAAATAAACAAAATCAACATGAATTGATATTTTCAAAAGTATTTGATTTCATATAAAATCAGATTTCTTTAGTAGATGTTGATGAAAATTTCATAAATAATTAACATACAAAAAGGAAGTCAATGTAACATGAAAATTTATTATAATATTATGGTTGTACTATTAAAGAGCAGAAATTTTAAGGAGCAATAAAGGATTTTCGAATTTATTATGAATTTCTACCAACCAATTTATAAATGGTCCTTAAAGATCACTAATTCAATGGACAATTTGTTAAAGAGTCTTTTATCTGGAAAGTAATTAAAATATTTCAACAAGTTAATAACTTAAATTTCTACTGTGTTTGCTTATCTAGATAGTAAGAATAAATTTCATTCCAATATTAACTTTGACAGCCTCTTTTTTGATAAAGCCTATAATGTGAAAGTTTTGGTATGAAATAATTTAAACATAGTACCATGGAGCTGTTCCAAATTTATTATCGAGTTATGCCTAAACTTTAGGAAATTATAATTCGAACAAATCATTGAGTCCTTAATAGATGAAGGATTATTAAAATCATTTAACTTAGTTAAAAATAAACCCTTTCAAATAGGATTCATATTCACTTGGAATACTTTTAGTATCAATAATGAGTGGTAAAGGTAATAATTATTTGGAAAAATAATTTAAGATGTAACGAAGCAGACAGACTTTTATAAGGAAGTTGTTCATTATAAGCAAATTTTAAATATCTTGGGATCTGCCTATCATTATTATTCTTAATCTTTGATGAACATAGTAGTTAGTTTATTACAATATGACGATGTAAAAAGACCAAATATTTCTTAATTATTTAAAGTAAAAATTTTCAAGTCACCCACTATCCAATAACGACCATAATTATAGGTGGTTTAATAGCATTAAACTATTAATATTTATAGAATAGATACAACTCAATCTTATTCTTCTCAAAATCATTATCAGAGTTAATACCATTTGATCACGCCAACTAAAAAAGCTCTTTCTATAACAAATAACACGAAATTATACTCGTCACCAAGAAAAGCATCAAAAAGCTCATCATATGAATATCCAAAACTTTTCTAATTAGCTAATGGATTTTTCACTCCAAAGGCAAAATTATCAAGAAGTATTTCGTATAGATTTCTTTCAAGTAGAACCTTTAGTAAAGTTTAATCACCTTATATAAAATGATGATTTGATAAAAATAATATACTGAATATTTAATATTCTTCAATATTTTTAATATTTATTGTTGGTTTTGGTAACGGTTGTGGTTTTATATTCTGTTACAGGCTTAGTTTCAATTTTACTTTTGAGATCATTGAAATCTTTTTGGTATGCTTCAGGCAAAAATTTAGATCCTCTTTGCAATTAAGAACTCGATGTGTTATTTTACAATTATGAATTTCTCACTTCATAAGTCTGGTTAACTTTCTAATTAATCTAATCCAATTTAGAACTTATTGACTCTCTAGGATTTAGAGGGTCTTATGCAGAAGAGTATTCATAAACATCTGTTTTTCCGTTGACTGTGGAAACTACTTGCTTCCTTACTTCTGTTGGTTTGTTAGTTCCTTTACTTTCAACAGTATATGTAGTTGTTTTTTAATAGTTTGAGGTTTGAGGTAGAATCTGCTATTAATATTACATTTAGGGCAGCTAATATGAGGTAGGTCCTGAAGGGGGTTATTTTGAGGGCTGAAATGATTATTGAGTGAGTTAATCTTCCAGAATTGCAATTTGTTGTTGTTGTTACTAAACTTTGTTTGAGAGGCTGTTCATCTTTGATCTTAATTCCTCATTTTCATGTTGTAAATCATCAATATGTCCATGCAGTTAATCAATTTCTTATGGATTCACAGCATATTAATTTGCTTTTTCCAGTTCCTTTTACAATCTCACTACTTCATCGCATTATTTTTAATAACGATTAACATAATCAAGCTTTTATAATCTTTCATCCTTCAATTCTTTGTGCACCGTATTTAGTTCTACCTCTAGTTCGCCTAATTGTTAATCCTTCATTTATTTGAATTAATCTAACTTCTACCTTTCTAATTGCAATTTTTAGATTAAGTCTTCGTTGCCTTGATTATTTTACTAAATAATAATTCAAGCTAATACCTAATTTTATTTAGCATATTAGATTTCTTTTTACAAATATATCACATCTTCATTTTTTTATCTTAATGCTTCTGTCATTCTTTACAATTCTTGAGTAAGTACTCTCATCCTCTCAATGCAGCCAGTATGTCGTTCATTACTTTAGATAATCTCCTATTTTTGAGGGGATTACATTAGTTAAGTTAAAGAGGCTCTCACATTATCTTATCTTATTACTGAATTTCTTTTTTCTTGTTGATAATTCATTTAATAAAATAATATAAAATAGAAAGTTTCAAATACAAATTAAATCCTATTTGGATTGCTACAAAATAAAAGTAAAATAACCATTAATTTCTTTTACCCAAATTTTACTCCTACATTTGTCTAATGCTAATTTTCATCATTGGATCATTTTTATCTGACTTTGCTTTATTTTATAGATATATTGTCACAACTCACGCCTTTCATTAGAATTAGCTATTAAAGCTCCAAAAGTTTCTTAAATATGTTTAGTTGTTATGATTAAAAACAATTTTAATCTAAAGTTTTCAATAATATAATACCTAATATTCACATAAAATGATTATTGTATTCTTTTCTAATTTCTTCAAATTCCTTACTTTGCCAGGTGAAGAATTTTTACATTTTGCACAATGTATTTTTAGCTAAGAATGTATTGTACGATGAAAATATATTTATAGATACAATAATTCTAATAAAATACATAATTAAATTGATTCTAATTCATACATTTATGAATAAAAAAACATATAAAATAATTGTAATAAAATATTGATTAATAAGACATTGATGCTATATAATCAGAAAATATTACAACAGTGATTTCTGTTTTTGCCAATGGTATCATTATCTATCATACCCTAATATCTTAAATATTTGAATCCATTATTAGAAAATGGTTCCAACATTCTATTTATAATCTCTATCATATCTAAAATTTTAGAATCTATTTCTTAAACCTCTTCTTTCAAAGATTTGATCATTTTTTTTTTCAATTCACTTTTCATAGAAAAGAATATTTAAATCCTATAAATAAATTTTATATTACTAGAAATCGTATATAATTGGAACATTAGAATCCTCTAGAAATTTTATTTGGATAGTCTGATTATATTCGTTTTATTTAAAATTATAACAATTATTGCCTATTTACTAAGGATTAACTTTATTATAATACATAGATCATATCAAATGAAATAGTTTCGAGTACTTAATTATTTGCAAATAATATAAAATTTAGCATATCTTTGAAATCAAAAGGTTAGGTATGGAGTTAATTTTGGTATAATTTTTAATCATTCAAATACAATTAGTAAGTTTCATCGTTAGGAGAATTAATCATTAGGATTTGGTAAAGTTCTTTGTCCTTTTAGCTGTCCTATTTAATTTCAAATTATTGAATCATTTCGATGTTTTGCATTAAATTATTTATTAGTCCCTCCAATTATAATATTTTTATATGCTTTAATTTTACACTGTCCAATATTTCTTCAACAAACATATTGGCTGTAAATTCAATAGACATGGAGGACCTCTGAAATTATGTTTAATAATACATTCGTTAATGGAGTTAAGAAGCCCTCTCTTACATTATTCTAACATTCTTTTATAATTTCTTTTAATGGATGATCACTTGTAAGTTTTTTAATGAATTAGATGTTATCATCAATTAGATCATTCTATTCAATATTCTGATTTTTCAATGAATACAATAGACTCAACCTTTTTTTGTTCATTTCCCTTGCTTTGAGTGATAGAAAATCAAACTCCATTAAATATATAATAATATTAAAGTGATAAATAATTTTCATCTTCTTTAATTTAAATAATCTCTCGCACTTTTATCTCTGCCATGATATCCCCTACTCTTCATAGTCTGCGACTATCCATAACCTCCATAACCTTATCTACTATCATAATAACCTCCTTAATTTCCTTATTATGATCCAAATTTCTATTAAAATTTACTAAAATTGAAGTCATCTTCATCATCAGAACTTAATCCTTGTCTATGTCTTCTTCTTCTCCTCCTTTATTTAATTTCCTCAATAATTCTGGTATATTTTTCGATTCAGCTCATCATCATCATCATCAGTATTATCATCTTCATCGTCATCATTTTCATCTGATATCTTTTATTAATAACTCGTAATTGTTGTTGGAGGCAACTTATTTTTAGAAAATTCATCAGGATTATTTAGTGGATTTCCCATGTCATCTGTTAAAAATTAATTTTATGGATTAGGGTATTTAATTTCTTATTAATATGGCTTTGGAATCATTATTTCATATGGGATTTCTACTGGAATTGGTACTTTCTCTAAAATTCACATAAATTTTTCATACCTATAATTGTTTAGACAGGAATATATTCTATAATTGTTCTCTCTACTGGAACTATTTCTTCTATTTCTTACTCTTCCATTTTCACTATTTATTTTTTCTAAGGAATATAATTCACCTTTCTTTCTATTTAAGCTGCCTATGTGATTTGTAAAGGAGGAGCTTGAACAAGCTACTATTGATATTAGATTTATGGTTGAGGTTAAATTAAATTTTAAACAATTAATGGCTGTTATTAATAATTGATCAAGTGCTGAGGTAATTAGCCCTAATTCACCCCCTAAATTGGCATTGAATATTATAAAGGCATCGATCCTTTTAATTACCCAACACCAGGGTATGGCAATGGAGTACTTAAAGGCATAAAAGTTTATTAGGAATTTTATGATTAAAGTCCAAAATTGGGTTGAATTACCCCATATCCCATTTGCAAATTTTAACCAACTCCTGCACTTAATCTTGGGCCTTAAAATTAACCCTGAACACTTTATGTTAACATTATATTCAATTAATAAATAAATTATTGAGTTTTGACGGTTAAATTATATTCACAATCAACCTAAAATTACAAGTTGAATTGGCTGAGTGGTCTAAAGCGCTGGATTAAGGATCCAGTCCGATAAGGGCGCGAGTTGAAACCTCGCCGTCAACATTTTTTTATTGAATACTTCAATTCTAAGCAAATAATTGAATTTAAGGTTCAATCCTAGATTATAAATTAAAACTTTATTATAATCATTCTCTAAATGTTGGATGTTTATCTACTCATCGTTTTTAAGGCTATCGACCAGAAATGCATTAAATAACCTGAGAAAAAAAGGAAAAAAAGTTCTTTTAGATGACAATTATAGATATAAAAAGGCGTTTAAGGAAAAATGAAATCTGAACAACATAAAATAAATTTGTATTCTGTGAGTAATATTCAAAAATGCATTACATTGCTACTGTAATGAAAAATACAAAATGTAAATAAAACAGTAAAAGTCGAACTTCCAAGTTAAGACAGAAGATTTAATTAAATAAAAAGAATAGTCTTAACTATAACTTATAAATTGACCCACAGATAATTTATTCTAGAAAATAATTCAAGAATTTTAATAAAAATATTTTACTTGAATTAGATTATTTAATTTAACTTAACAAGGGTGGTTTTCAAATTACTATAATAGAATTAATTGAAATAAATATAGATCTTAAACAATAATATCAAATTTACATATATTTCAGAATAATAATTGTCATGGTTTTAGCAGGAACTGAATTAGGTTGGTATATTAATTATTCAGTCCAAACAGTGGAGTATTTTTTGGAGATGTCCATTACAAAAACCAAAAACTTAACGTTTTAAACATAAATAAACTTTTGACTTGAAATCATGATAGAGGAACTCTAAACCAAGTTATTAACATAAGTATAAAATAATGCAGTAGAATTAAACAATAGTTAAAGAATAAAATGATATTTCTGTTGCAATCTACAAAGTATTTATATTGATTTTTAATGTACATATTTTATAATGATCATGCCTCCTGATTGATTTGGAGTCTTTCGCACAAATCCTTAAGGTATGTGATATTTTAATTAATTCTTGAGTTTTTATCCTTGATAATTGAGCATGCAACAACATTTCTACTAGTACCACACATTCTACCCAAATCTACCTTGCTCTTGACAAAAACATAAGGGACATTCTATTATGGGTCAAAATTTTGAATACCTTATCTTCGCATAATAATGGTAAATGAAGAACAATCTCTAATGGAGTTGTATCAGCAGCAATAATGACTAATTCTGCAATACCTCTATTTAATGTTTTGGTGGTTTCATTGGCTCCTTTTTTTAACTATTAATTGTGAAGAATATTACTTATTTTAAGGCAGCTGCTTATTATGCAAGTTCTAGAATTTAAGGTTCTACTTCTTCATTAGCTAAGGGCTGGGCTCTCTCAGGGAATTCACTTTGCTAATTATATAGACATTCAAATTACCATTAGTTATTATGTTAACAAAATATTAAATGTTAATTAAAAGTTAAATTTATATTTGGTATATATAATCAATAGTTTGTGAATCTAATATAAGCATTCTAATAAATAGTTTTGGAGTGCTTGTTTGTAATTATTATTCAGAAATATTATTAAAATATATAATGAATTCTATAATTTTAATATTAGCTAGCAGGTAAGAATATATATTTCACCTTTAAATTTTGGAGGCACAGATAAACTCAATGTCTAGTAATGACCGATTGAATTTAGAGTAAAAATTATAGTGCAGGATATTGAGAGTGGAGTAGAGGAGAATTTAAATAGAATCACAAACATTATTAAATTATTCTGAGCCCAGAAAATTCTTAATGAAAATAGTGAAAAAATATATAAAAATTCAAGGTTATTATTACTAAAAATTGCAAGTATTAAGACATGTAAATAGTTATACTTTCCAATATTCAGTTAAAGAAAATAATTTTTACCAATGCAAAGGAACTAATTATTTAAAATAGCTGGCAATACTGCAATGAGTTCAACTGAAATCATACAAATAATTATCAATTTGTAGAAAGAAAGGCTTGTTCATTAGATTAATTCTTTAGTTAAATCCATAAATAGAAATGAAGCATTATAGTATTCTAATTTATATTATTTAGAACCGATTTAATAACAAATAGAAACGAGAAGTTTTGTTAAGATCCAATCTAGAGTTTGGAATACTTAAATCATATACACTTAACTTATTATTTGTAAAATAAGCCTTCCTAAAAAAATGATCCATATGATATCATGAATTTAGATGAATAAACAAAAGAGTATTTAACATCAGGTTTTAAAAGCTACGTTTGTTGTTTAACAAAAACCAAAAATGTGTTTATTCCAATTGAAAGCACTCAAGAAATTACTTTATTTAGATATGAAAAAATTTGGAAAATCTTAAATGACCAAAATTATGCTCTTTACAAAAGAATTGCAAAATTCTACTTCAAAAATTACTAATAGCTATCATCTACTTTTGAGAAGCAAATAATATGTTCGGTACATCGTTTACCCTCGAGAAAACAATCGAAGAAAAGCAAAAGAAATATATTTCATAAAATCAGATTTAGCAAATAAGAAAATGAAGGTAGAAATTCAAGAACATTTTAAGATGGATTTCAAACTGACAAAGAGCCTTACATAGGTAATTCAATTGGTATGGAATCTTAAGGCGAAATCTTAAATCATCTTAAAAACATTGTACTAACCTCATCAAAAACAAGGGAATAAAAAATTAGAGAAAGTTAAATTAGAAATGAACACGACATGTTTTAAAGTCAATTAGTCTTATGTGGTAAATCAATGAAATTCCCTTTTAACGATATAGAGAAGAAAAGAATTTTTAGTAATATATTTGAAAATAAAGATCAAACTAGTAATGCCTCTAAAGACAAATCTGTTGAATAAATTTCACTTTCCTTAACGAAAACTCTGAAATTCTAAAAATTAGGTTTAAGCAATAAATACCACCTGATAAAAATCTAATAAAACTTTAGTCAGCTTAAATTGCAAAAATTATAGATATAAAATTGAATTAAATATTTTAAAACTTATCACAACTATTAGTATTTATTTATTAATAATATTTTTTATAGTTAAATTGTCATAGATTGTATTTTTAAGAAATAAAGTATATGAAAATTTTAATAATTGATTATGTAAAACATAGAAAAGTTTTTAAAAGCCCCAAAACAGTATAGATTGTACTTGATATATCATCATAGTTTAAATTTAACGCATGGATTATGCATTTGCTTTTATTATGTTTATAACACGATAAATGGAAATTTACTATTTACATTTGCATGTTTTCCAAGCTCATATTTATTTTTGATTTTTATTCTAAGTTTAGTTGTATCGATTCTTTATGCTATCATTATACCTTAAGTGATAGTTTTAAATAAAAATAGCAGCAGGAAAGATTGTAAAAATTAATTGAAATCATTTTAAAAATAAAAATTGAATGCCTATCTAAACTCAACACAATAATTTATCAATATGCTATAAGTTTTAGGAATTTGGTTAGTAGTTTGGAACTCCTTTACTAGTTCTAATTAAGAATTTCATGCTGTTATGTATAATAAATATTGTATTTTTAAATAGAAATTCATTAAATATTTCGTTTTCCATTCACTTTTTTAAAATGATTATAAAATTATATTTAGATAATTGGCTAAAGAAATGTATCAAAGAGGAGGAATAATTTCAATCGCTATAAATTTATTAATGCAAGGAGCAGACTGAAATTACCAAAGTGTAATGTTTAATATGTTCTGATTCATTCAAATTCAAAGATCACATAGGTTAGTATTTTTGTGCAGGATAACATCAATTTCATAAAAAATGCTTAAATTAATGGTTAGAATTGTCAAATGACAACAAACAGATTTGTCCTTATTGCAACCAAAGGTCTCGAATGAAACCTTATCAATGAATAATTTATTTTAGCTTTAATATAAAAATTTTTGAGTTAAAATTGAAATTGATCTTCAAGTATTCTAATTTTCCCAAAGATTCTCGTCACAAGAAGTCCTATTTTCAATAATTCATTTTGATAACAAAAATATGCTATTATTAACTGTTAATTAATAGTCTATTCTAGATATAGTTTAATAATGTTATATGTATTTAAATAAATTAGGTTTCGTCGATTTCAATGCAACACAAATATTATTGATAAAATTTGTAGAGAGATCATATAGATAATTGTTAAAACGTGATTTGTGGATATTTTAAAGTTTTAAATTTACTATTTTTTCAGTCAACATGTAGTATATTTACATTTCATTTAAAAATGCATTTCATTCTTGTTTTATATATTTTGCTTGACTTTTACTTATTTGAATATCAATATAGGCGCATGAGAGTTTTAGTGCTCATCATTTTATTTGATCTGTCCTAAAAAGGACTATTCATAAATAATAAAAATATTTAAGCACAAAATTTATTCATTCAAACTTTCGTGATCCCTTTCTCTCAATTCCTCTTTCAACAAAACTTATAAAAGTAAATTATATATTCTCGCTTTATGTTCTTTACCTTGCCTTTTTCATTGGGCTCGGAGTAAGTTATTAATCTACCCAAACTACAGGTGTTTTGCCATCTTCCTCAACTTCTTAAATAACAGTATTAGGGTCGCAGTATATTTTATTTTTGATTTGAGGCTAAAAGCTTATAGAGCTTTTACTTACTATATCAGTTTAGGCATCACTAAGCAAATCTAGATCCTCCATTCCAACATCTGGTTCTTATTTTGGCTTCAAACAAGGTTTTTTTGGTGCCTTATCAAAGGTGCTAACATATTCTTCATAAGTCATTGAAGAGTTTAATCTCTTGCGTTATTCTTCCATAATTTTATTTATTATTTATAAAGATCTTATTTTATTTATTATTTTACATTCATACTTTGTTCCTTCATTTTATACCCCTTTAAATATAATGCATATAAATTTTATATAGGAATCACTTGATAATATTCAAGTAGGATTGATGAATTGAAAAGTAATTCTCAATTTAAAAATGTATATCCTAAACTAAAAATGCAAGTTTAAATGAAAAAGAATTCAAACTTATTAAACAAATAATGTATCTACCTTTTTAAATGCAGATGTGCAGAGTATTATTGTAATAAATAATTATTAAAAATGAAAAAAATTATGAGTGCAATGCTGCTTGCCCATTCGTTTGGAAAAATAAGTAATTTTGACAACGTGATAATTGATTCATACAAAGGATGTCATATGTAAATAAGCAAATCATATCAGAAAGAGCAATTTAAATTAATACATAAATAATCCAACTTTGTTTAAATAGCATCTAATCGACTTTATAAAAAAGAGCAAATCTAATAATAACACAGCAATTTGGGTTGACCTTTAAAAGGATTAATTGCGATTAGCTCCTGTATAAAATACATATTCAATAGACTTTAATTGAATAAGGATTTAAGATGCACAGAGTATCTGCAAATATCTTGCAATTTTCAAAATGGCTGCCAGATTGCAAAAGCAGATTGCCTGACTAATCAACCCATTATGTTGGAGTTGGTGGAATAGTTGTAAAGGGTGATAGCATATTACTTGTTCAAGAAAAGAATGGGTAAAGAAAGGGTGCTTGGGGAACTCCAGGAGGATTAGTGGACCAAAAGGAATCAATAATTTAGGCAGTGTTAAGAGAAGTCAAAGAGGAAACTAATTTAGATGTATGAATTAATATATATAATATTAGTGTAAAGTGGAGGATGTATTGTATTTTAGAGAGATGCATGATGCAAGATACGGGAAGACTGACCTATACTTTGCATTTAGATTGAAATGTTTAGACGAGTAATAGATAAAGATATGTGATTAAGAGTTGATGGATTATAGATGGGTGCCCATTAATGGGATTTTAGATGTAATTGTTGGTATATGATCTTTTAGTTTATGAAGAAGGAGAATCAGAAACCACATGTGATAAACTTCTATAAATCGGTTTAGGAGAGACTAACAGGAGATGAATGCAAATATATGAATATAGAAGAGAAGGAGGAAATGTATTATGGTGAACAGAAATATTATGCTATTTTCAAGCCTAGATTTTGAATTTTTTAAATGCACATTATAATTTTCACTATTTGTTGGGTCTTGTGGAAGAGATATTAAAATAAGATATTAAAATAATCTTATGAGTTAGTCGAGAATTGGAGTAAATCAAAGTGAAAACAGTGATTATGCTTAACAGTTCACTAAAAAAGAGAAAAAAGAAGCAAAAGAAAAGAGCAGTGTGCAATGCTTGGTTTAAAAAGGTATGACCAAAAATAAGAGTACATTTTTATATAATTATTAATCAAAGGTTTATAAGAGGACTCGCTAACGATAAATAGCATAGAATAATTTGAAAATTATAAAAAGATGGTAAAGCTAGAATAAAAGAGAGAATCGGCTATTGCAATTTCAAGAATACTATTTAAAGGACCTTTGAGATAAAGATTTGAGAGACTTGATAGTATTAAATCCATTTAATAATTGCTGACCATTTCCAAATACCAATTATTATGCAAGATGTTCCTGAATTTAAATAAAATATTAATCAATTAAACTTTAGCCTTTTAAGAAATAGTTATTTAATTTAAATAGGATTATCAAATAGAATTTAAAGTCCAATTTTTACAGCAACTTTTAACAATTTGGAACGATGCTTTTTTTTTATCTTGGAAACATAGCAAGAATGATAAAGTTAGTTTAGAAGTGGGAATTAATGATTAGTAATTTGATTAAAATGAAGACAAGAATATCACATTTCAACAGAAATTGCTGAATTATATATAAAAAAAAGGAGAGTGTATTGAGTTATTTCCTCTGCCCAATATTTAGAATATCTAGTAAAGTACAAAACTCTAAGGATAGGATCAGTAGGAATGCTAAAAAAGCAATAGTTTAAGATAGATTGCTAAATAATTATAGCAATATTTTCAACTTAGAGATGTATCAAATATGTATTTGATGAATGTGGAAAAGTACTTGATCAAACAAAAATTTGATTTGAATTCCAATAATGGAATTTTGAGTATCGTAAATGAGTTAATGTTCATATATCCTGAGTGGATCAACCTAATTCAAGGAGAAAAAGAGCAAATTGTTAGAATCAATCGATCCATTGATATTCAATAGTTAATGCAGGAATAGGAATGCTTAGATTGCAATTGAAAATTATATCAAAATAGAAAAACACCCATAAATTTATTATAATATTTGTCTTATATTAATCTCAGAATCCTATTTATGTCAACCATTTCCTTACACTTATTGTATGACTTCCATTTACTTCAACTCTTCCAACCTAATCTAATGTTTCATCTTATACCTTCTCAATTACATCGGCATTTGAACACACTTTTCTTAATTCTTTGATGAATTCATTCACATCTCCTTCAATGTGTCTTACTACTGTTCTCGGTACTTCACTTCTCGCAAAATATTTTTTGTATACTGGAAGATTTCCATTTTAAGATCTCAATACTCTGAATGGAGACTCTTCCCTAGTTTTATATTGCAATGGTTCTGGGACTTAAGAGTATTGCTCTCTCTTTTATTATGCCACTGGATGCAGTCTTTTCAAATTTTCTTTTGGTTGTCTTAACACAAGAGATTTTAATACTTAAGTTTTATTCATATATTAATATTAATAAAAGCTGCAACTCCACTCAATATCCATTCTCTGCTTGTGTCACAAGGCATCGGAATGAATGCGATCAACTCTTTCCTGTCTATCAATCTATACAATGGACATGAATAGAATAATTAATATTCATCATCCTCTTTGTAATTCAAATAACAAATGGGAAACTCATTTAACATTGAATTAGATTCTACTAATATGTGTTGTTTTTAATTCCATTTTGCTCCTTGTAAAGTTAATCCATAGAGATAATAACCATTAGATGGACAGTTGGTTATATGGTCTAATTGTATACTATCCAAAATAGTATATATTGATTTTTTGTTTAAACATTCCTCACTATATTTTGCATACATTAAAAAACTATTAGGTTTCATCAATCCTCCCAACCATATTGCATTTGGTATTCCTTAATCATTCCAATTATTAATAAAGTTCACTCTCTTCAAAAATTCTTAAAACCATTAACCAAGTTTCTTATCACTTCTGAATCCAATATCCATCCACTCTTATGGTACTCTCTAAAACTTTATGTCTTCAGCTATCATTGTATTAGGGGACGAATCTCCTGCTAAAATTCTCTAGATCAAAGCGATAGATTCCTATATCATCTCAATCAGCTAATTTATGAGTAAAATCTCTTAAACTAAAAATGGATCTAGTTTATGATTCCTAGAATTTTCAAAGATAATCTATTTTGGTAAATTTGAGTTTAAATATTAAATAGTTTTGTTGATTTCATCATTTATTTGATCTATTTGTCCATACTCTTTGTAGAGGAGATCATTCACAAATTCTTGACACATTTATTCTCCAACATATATTTATATAAGATTGCTATTTACTGGGCTGACTTTATCTATTAGATAATAGCATGATAATTTATTGAGAATAATTTAATCTTATTCATCTACAATATGACCTCCGTAATGTAATTATGATGTTATGTAACTCAAAGCTATTGGCTTTAATTAATCACTTACATCTATCTTATTGCTTTATTCTTAAGTGATATTTAAATCATATTAAGTAAATTAATATTTTTTATTAAAACCCAACAATCCCAGTTTGCAAAAATTTAATAATCCAAAATGAAATTTAGCAATATCTGTCATTTCTATTTACTTCTCGTCATTCGTATTATATGTTAATTTCACACTTTTTTGTAAGATTCTTCCTGGAAATGATACTATCGATTTAGATGTTAACCACAATCTGTAATCTGCATGTGATTCAATCATAATTAATTTATCTAATTCATTCAGCCATTGTTAATGTAAATGACAATTCTAGATTACAATCCATAATCCTTATTCTGCAGCCTCTCTTATAAGTCTCTCTGCTTTATTTCCTTAACCCTAACCCAAAGATAAAGTCCATAATTTTTTAATGAAATTTTTACTAACTGCATAATCTTTGATTTATTCAATTGGGTCTTAATTATTTTAAAGCACATAAAGCAATATCTTAGTGTGTGAACTTTCATTAAATGTAATGTCAAGTGGAATTTATTAGACCTTGTCTATGTCGAAATCTAGCATTCGGATTATAAATTATTTGACCATAATCTAAATGTAATCAGGTCGAATCGCTTTGACTATAAATATTCTTTGCATTTCATCTAATCTCTCGATATGAGGTATTTCTGATTCTTAGAATTTCTTACTTAAATAAAATTATTTAATTTATTCAAAATTGTTAATTAGTATTTTTGCTGTTACCAATTAGAAATGATTTAATTCAGAACAAATTCTTTGATAATTGGCATTGTCTATCCATGAAAATGGATTTATTTTAACTTAAAAATCTTCATTTCTCAATTTGGTATATCCAATAAAGGCTTACCAATCATCCTGATCGACAGATACCAAACATTATTTGGCCAATAGAAATGCTAAAACCTATCTGTGACGTTCAGTTAGAACTCTACTCAAGCAAGAATAATATCTTAAACGGAAATTAGAAAAAATAAGCTTTAGATTATTAGTATTTTAAATTGTATAGAGAAGCTAAGTAATGAACCATTCTAATGAAAATTAATACATAGGATCTAAACATTACATATCTTGAGAGATGAAATATAAGTCTGTTATTTTAGATGCTAACTATTTATATTAGTGTTTGGTGGTTACCAGATCCTTTTATATTTATTGGAATTCCGATTGAGCCAATTGTATTTCATTAAATGTTTTCTTTGAATGAGAAAGTTGATTTATTAATGTTTCCTAATTGAGTAAATCTTTGATGTTTTCAACATTTAAAATAGAAAGGATTGTATCTTCTATTTACTTTAATTTCTATTCATTTTTGAATTCCATCTACTTTAATTCTACTTATTGTTTATATAATTCTGGATTCTGAGTATTAACAATTTAATTCAAGATCAATTCTTCAGCATTCAGTTTAGTAATCTAAAAATTGATAACATAAAATTATGAATAATTCAATGAAGTCATCTAAAAGTTATATTGCATTGTGGTAACAAAGATTTTAACTTTTGGATGAGGATTGTTATTAACATATTCAGTTAACCAATCTGGTATAGTGTTTAGATTTTCAATAAGAATACTTTATTTTAATGAAAGCGCAACTTCAAATTAATGTTAATCATTGACATCCATGACTGAATTATTATTTCGAATATATTCATTTGCCTAACATTGTGGATCAATGCATAGAATAGGTTTAATTGTATGTTGTAAAAATATTGAATTGATTTAATGCAGGTCTTAGATTTAGGAAGGATTCAAAAACTATAGAGGATGATTTTCATATCCAATTTTAGCTTTAACTTACTTGGACCATTACTGTAATAATTAGTATTTTAATTGTTCTGAAAGTGGAGCACAGTAATTCAAGTATGCAGCTGCTATTGCACAATCTCCCAGGACACTTTTTAGAGAATTCTCTAATACATTAATTTATTGAGACCATCTTTATTGTTCCTATTCTAATCCTTACGTTAATCCTATGGCACGTTATAATTTACTTGATGATTCCTCAAGTTATTTATTAAGAATTTCGCATTTCTATGTTTATTAATCATATTTTTCTTATAGGACCTTGACTTTTTGAAATACAATTGCTAATTGCGATTTCTTTTCATTTAAAATATCAGTTTTGTCTTTCAATTATTTTTAGGCTTCAATTAGTCTTTCTCTCAGTGGTTTAGTTTCAATGTAAACTTTATTATATTCATACATGGCTTTGACCCAAGAGTACAAATATTTAACTGCAGCTGAACATTGTTTTGCTCTTTCGAATGTAAAGTCTGCTTCTGACAGTACAATCTTCTCAAGTCTATTAATATTATAGGGATTGATATTATTTTTGTCATAATTTCTTATTAACTCCAATAATTCTTTGGGATCATTCAACAAATATTTCTTAGCAATTTCAAAGTATTCTTGGTTTGATAATTAAGTAAGTGGCTAAGTAATGTATTATCGTAAGTTATCTAAATTTAGAATGACTACTCCTGTTAAGATAATCACTACTGGTTTTGGTGGTTTTCCCAATGATTTGATTTCTATTAAATGTTCTTTTTTCAATTTCGATACATCCTATAGGGTTTAATCTAATAAGAGATTAACTTCCTTTACTGCTTAGGTAGCTTCATTGGCTAATTTAGTTGCTTAGATTTATTAAACATTGGCTTGTGTTTCATCTTCACTTAATAAAGATTCCTAATAAAAAGCTTAATCTTTTTCTTATTTTAATTTTTGCATCATTCTTGAACTCTCTTATTATGATTTCTCAATCTCAGGGGTAATTTCAAGTAATTCTTTTTTTAATTCAGTAATAGTTTCGTTGGCAATTAATATTTTGGAGAGTCCATTTTTTATACGAGTAATCCTGGATTATAATTCAGTTGTTTTCTATTGATATAGTTTATTGAATGTGAAAATGAGATCTGAAAAATGAATTGAAGTAACAGTTTGAATTTTTTAATGGTTGTCAATAAGTTAAGCAGATTAATGGAAAAATTTGAATAATTCACTTAGTTATTTTTGATTGATATCCAAATGTTTTAATTACATTTAGGCAATGCTAAGCAATGCCTGATCTGGCAATTACTATAGAGCAAGAATTGTAGAACAATTGATAAGATTTGGATAATGTCGGAATTTAATGGTAGATGTTATACAAACTATGCAATGCAAATTCCTAACCAATCTATTAACATAGAGTTTATGTAGCAAAATTTTGAGGTTAATTTTAGAATCCTTCTATTCTTAGACTGCTTATTCTTAGAATATCGAATGAAGATCATCTAATTCTTGTCTATTAAATATGTCAAGGTCACCTGAATTCAATAGAGTACTTATGTCTTAATAAATTTATGGTTAATTATGAGTATTTCTTTAATCATCTATAATTATAGTCATCTTCTTATTCTCCATAATGCATTTCTTAATTATATTTCTCAAATCATCCTTCCATCTATCAATCTGAGGAGATTCATTCTCTTAAATTAAGGCTGCCAATTTGGATAATTGCACTCCTCCTGTGCCCACCTAACCTAATATTACTAAGTGTCCTGATTGCAGTCCTAATACTCTCGATATTGCAA